AACTATGAGAATCATCACCTCAAGTTTCATAGCATCATCATCAACCTCATTAGATAATTTCTTAATCTCTTACGCTTCTCACTCATTGAGTTTTTATTTTTCACATCATACAATTATGCATCTAAAAGATAGACATACATAGATCTTCAACTCAAGGGCTATCAATCATGTCTCCACTCAAATTTTTTTTACAAACTTATGAAACGTGTTTCAAGAGTAGATATCTAAGAGCAGATGAGAAGCTTATACTCGTAGTTGATATAGGCTTTATAGAACTTTGAAATATAAGAAAAAATCATCATATTCTTCATGTGCCTTATTATTGACCAACTTGATTTTTCTTAGTAAACTTAGACAATCTATCACTCATGACCCTTTAATTACTTTTAATAGATGTATTATATATGATAAGGACACGTGATGGAAGATTGAATTTACTGAAGGGAAAGAAGACTTATATTACATATGAGGTATTGGTGGAACACAAAGGGAGCATCCACAAGTGGCACAAGTAGTGAAGACAACCCCAAGAGTAGTGTCGAGGAAGAGTCGTACATCGATTGAACAACTTATGTTGCTTCATCACTGTCTAAGACATCCCTCTATCATGATTATTAGATATTCGTTCCTACAATTGTGTAAAGAACTTGATGATTATAGTTTTTTTATGTGAGGCATGCTAATTAGCTAAACATAAAAAATCTATTTATCCTACCTTTAACTCAAGATCTCTTAAATCTTTTGAACTCATTCATAATGATGTATGGGGATCAACATCAATGTTGAATATGTATAATTGTCGTTGATTCATTACCTTTATTGATAACTGTACTTGTATAATATGGATATAGTTGATGAGTCATAAATTACAAGTGATGAAAAAATTAAAAATATTCTTTCAAATAGTGAAATAGTAATTTAGTATCACTATTAAATGTTTTAGAATTGATAATACAAAGACTACATTAATAAATATTCAATAAAGATTTAGTTCAATTCTTTCTTACGAATGAAGTAGTCTATGAGACATCTTGTGTAAATACTCAACAAAATTAAATTATGGAAAGAAATAATCATAACTTATTAGAAGTGACTAGAATACTCCTTATCTAAAGAGAATGTCTCAAAATACTTGTGGGGGAAATGCTTATACCCACCCACCTAATCAATAGATGGTCGTCAAAGATTTTGAACAAGAAAAGTCTTATTGAGGCCTTAAAGTCTCATATTATAGGAGTAAAACTCAAAACCAACTTCACATTCAAAGTATTTAGATGTGTGGTGTATGTTCACCTACAATATACTAAGAAATTAGACTCAAGGGCACTTAAGTATTTATTCTTGAGTTACTCACAAAAACTCAAAAAGGTTATAAATGTTATGACCCAAAAATTAAGAAATGATATATTGCCCATGATGTCACCTTCAATGAAGGTGAAAATTATTACACGACTAATGAAGACTTTAAATTCCTCACCTTTAGAGAAGATAAACGATCTGACTATATTTCAAAGAGGTATCTACTTCCTTGTGATGAGGGGGAGTCACAATCACAAAAATTAAGTATAAAACAAAGATTTAGACATACCTATATGAGAAGGAAAGGTGAACAAATATCACACACTACTCTAGTAAAGGATCTAACACATGAGATCGAGTTAGATCCTCCACTAGAACCATAAAAAAATATAGTAAATTTATTAGTTTGTTAGAATATCACTAAGAATATTACTTATCTATTATATAATTATTTTTCCTTACATTAGTTATCTCCAACCCCCTCTTCATTTTTTATAAAAATAGGCTCAATTTTCATTCCATCAACACTCAATAAAACTGAAAATAATGCAAAATATAAAATGCTAGGGAAGTATAAATAAATACATTGATTTAGAATAACACATAAGAACTTGTTAAGTTCCTATGTAATAAGAGAATGGTGGAATGCAAATGAGTACTTATTATTAAATATAATCATGATGAAATTGTAGAGAGATATAAGGCTAAATTAGTATAAAAAAGATATACCTAAATATTAGAGATTGATTACGATGAAACATTTGCCCATATAGTAAAATTAAATATCATGAGGATTCTAATCTTCATGATAACGATGAAAGGATGACAACCTCACTAATTAGATGTGAAGGATGCCTTCCTATATGGCTCCTTAAATGAGGAGATCTACATAGACATACCTCTATATTTTAGGGAAGAGAAAAATCAGCGCAATGTGTAAATTAAAGGAGTCTTTATATAGACTTAAACAATCTTTGAGGGCATGACTTGACAAGCTCTTGGTCACTATGCATGAAATGAATTATCACCAAAGTAATGACAATCATATTTTTTTCTTTAAACACATTAAAAATAAAAATGTATATTTTTATTAGTTTATGTTGATGATATAATACTTACTAGTGATGATTTGTTAAAAATATAAATATTAAATGATAAATTATATGTATGTTTTGAAATTAAAAAAATTAATAAATTAAAATATTTTTTGGTATAGAAATTGCATACTCTAGTCATGATATTTTCTTATCTAAGTTGAAAGATATCTAACTTAACGAAACCAAAACTAGTGGTAGTAAATTGACAAACATTCCTAGTGACCCCGATGGAAAATTAAGTCAAGGTGAAGAGTTGATAAAGGAAGGTATCAAATATTGATTGGTAAATTAATTTATCTCACACTTTACTAGATATTACCTACATGGTAAGATTGTTGAGTCAATTTATACGTGACCTTACAAAAGTACATAATGTTGTGACAAGATACACTTCTTTATCTAAAAGGTACGCCTGATTATGGGCTCTTATTTTAATCACATAGACATAGTAATGCAGATTAGACATATGATATACTTCAAGATATTTTTCATTTCTTAGAGGGAACCTCATCACGTGACGCAGTAAAAAGTAGTTGGTGGTCTTAAGATCTAATGTGGAGTTTGAACTTAAAGTCATGGTGCAAGGTGTGTGTGAGGCATTATGGATTAGAAGGATTTTAGAAGATCTTAAGATCTAATACAGTTCACTCACAAAACTCTTTTGTAACAACAAATTAATTATAGATATTACTTATATTTTCATACATCACAATGAAACTAAGTATGTGGAGGTAGATTGTCATTTCATTAAGAAGAAAATACAAAATAGAATCCTCATTATCTAACATGTCAAGTCTGAGAAGTAATGTGCATACATCCTCAACAAAGGACATTATGGACTTATAATGAGAAGATTGTTAAAAAAGTTAGAGATGAAATATATACATTCCCCAACTTGAGGGGGAGTGTTAGAATATGATATTGGACTACATATGTCGGGATACAATTATTAGGTCTACTAATATAAGTAGTCTATTCAATTACCTTAGGGCTATTGGAACATGCCACTTATACCTAGCACACGATTTGAGAGTTAGTGATGATATATTAAAGGATCACAAACCCTAACCCTAAAAATAAAGCTTTTTATTTCTCTCTAACTCTAGTGGTTCTTCAACTCATTTTGGTAGCTGTGCCCTAGCCCAAGATGGGAGAAGCTCCAACATAAACATATATGTAACTAATTGTGATGAAGAATTCAAAACTTCTTACACATGTTCTCCTAGGTTGCCTTTGTACGCATGGCTTAGGTATGGCTATTTCTTCTACCGGCAACACTATAATTAAAATATATTCTTTTCCCTTAAAATTAAATAATATATTACATGTCCCTCACATTCAAAAATATTTACTTTCCATTAAACAATTTACCATTGATAATGATGTTTTCATTGAATTTCATGTTACTTACTATCTTGTGAAGGACGAGAAAACCTACAAAATCCTCTTCAAGGGAACAATTGAAGATGGACTTCATCTTCTTCAATCTCATGGTCAAACTTCAGTTTTCTTGGGGCCAAAGACAAACCTTGCTATATGACACAACCGACTGGGACATCCCTAATTTTGGATATTAAATAAGATCATTACTCAACATGGGTTTCCCTTATTTCACATACTCAAAAATAATTTTGAATTTTGTCATGCTTGTAATGTTTCGAAATCGCATAAACTTTCTTTTCAAACCTCTTCTCATACTTCTATTAAACCACTTGAATTAATACATTCCTACCTATGGGGTCCTTCATCCATTACTTCTCTTTTTTATTTCTCTTATTACGTAATTTTTATTGATGATTAGCAAATTCATGTGGCTTTATTCTCTCAAAAATAAAAGTGATGTGTGTCAAGCCTTTATCGAATTTCAAGCAAAGGTAGAACGACATTTTTCTAGTAAAATTCTTTCGTTTCAATCAGATTGAGGTGGAGAGTTTCAGGCATTGACCAAGCATTTTCAAGGTCAAGGCATTCATCATCGCATCTCTTGTCCTCATGCACCCCAACAAAATGGGACTGTCGAACACAAACATAGACACCTAATAGAGACATCCCTATCTCTTCTCAAATAAGCCTCTATGCCTCAAGAATATTGGGATGAAGCCGTGTTCGGCTACCTATCTTATTAATCGAATGCCTACACCCATTCTAAAATTTAAGAATCCTTTCGAAGTCTTTTACAAAGTTACACCTGACTATCAAACACTTAAAACCTTCGGATGTCTTTGTTATCTGCACACTAGATCTTATGCACAACATAAATTAGAAGATAGATTTGAATCTTGTTTATTTTTAGGATATAGCTCACATCACCACGGTTATAGATGTAAGTCTCTTGCTTCTAGAAAATTTTATATATCACGTCATGTAGTATTTTATGAGTCCATATTCCCTCACTTCACACCACATCTAGTCAAACCCAACTCCTTCACTACTGATAGAGGAATCCTAGGTTCTCATCCTAACTATATATCAGTTCCTATCCTTCCCTCATCACCCCCCGCTTCTATCACTTCTTCAATTGTCTCCTTTCACACCAAATAACAGCCACCACCACTTCCTTGTCCCCCACTTAAATTTACTCTCATTTTTTATTCTCTTGCTCACATGTTAAGTGAGTCAACCCTTCACCCACCCGATAGTGACAATTCAGATCCAACCTCTTCTTTCTCAACTGTATCAGCCAAATTTAGGCGTATCAAACATCTCTATAGGGATACCACAACAGTCCCTCTAACTTCCTCCTATTTAGCAACCTTATCAATTAAATATATGTTACCCCAATGCTACCATCTTACTCTCTCTCACAAAGAACCCAAAAATTTCTCCACTACCTCCAATCATCCCCTATGGAGACAAGTCATGCAATTGGAGTTTGAGGCTCTCCAAAAAAATCAAACTTGGACCTTAATCCCACGACCTCCTAACACACATATAATATGGTGTAAATGGGTCTACTAGTTAAAACTTAAATCTGATGGGTCCATAGACAGGTATAAAGCCCGGTTAGTGGCAAAAGATTTTTCTCAATAGGAAGGGTTCGATTATTTCGACACTTTCTCACATGTCATCAAAATTACAATTGTAAGGCTCCTTCTATCCATAGATATTAGTCAATGATGGCACATCCATCAATTGGATGTGTCCAACGCCTTCTTCCATGGGGATCTCACTGAGAGTATCATCATGGAGCAACAAGAGGGATACAAGAACTCCAATTTCCTTAGTCACGTCTACAAACTTCATAAATCTATCTATGGATTAAAACAATCCCTTAGAGCATGGTTTTCTAAATTATCCTCTTATTTTATCTCTCTCGATTTCATTGTATCCAAAATAGATACCTCCTTACTTTTTTTCATAAATGATCTACTAATCAAATGACCAAATTTTTGATTTATTAATTTTGTTATTTCATCACTGAATAAAAAATTTGTAATTAAGGATCTCAAGCATGCTCACTTTTTCTTTAGAATAGAATTACTTTGTGTTTCCACAGGTTATCTTCTATCGCAATCCAAATATCTAGCTATAATCCTTCAACGAGCATGCTTAGATCAATGCAAGCCATTGTCAACTTTGTGGTCAACTTCCATAATTGACTTTCTCAACAACACTTTATTTCTCGATCCCAAGACTTAAAGAAGCATCATCAGTGGTCTACAATACCTTACAATAACACGTCCGAGCATATCCTATGCTATGAATCGGGCATGTCAAAAGATGCACAACCCCTCTCATGAAGATTGGCAAACCCTCAAACATCTTCTTCACTATCTAAAGGGCTCAATTACTTTGGGCCTTCATCTCTCTCATGATTCCCCTTTTCAGCTCACAGCCTACAGCGATGCAGATTGGGCCTCTTCTAAGGATGATCGCCGACCCACTGGTAGTTATCTTGTTTATCTTGGAAGAAACTTGATTTCTTAGTCGTCAAAAAAATATTCCACCGTCTCAAGATCAAGTACAGAGGCTAAGTATAAAGCTCTAGCAAACACGGCTGCTGAGTTTACCTGGCTAAATTTCCTTCTTAATAAAATTCAAATCAAGCCACAAGGCGCTCCAATTCTCTATTGCGACAATCTAGGAGCTACATATCTATCTACTAATCCTGTCTTCCGCACTAGAACAAAACACATTGAGATTGACTTTCACTTTGTCCGTGAAAGGGTCACCGCCAAACAACTATAAATCGGATTTCTTCCCAGCACTCATCAGCTCACTGACATCCTAACAAAGCCTCTTCTTAAAAGTCGGTTTCAATGGCTAAGAAACAAGATAAATCTCCTTCCGAGTATTAGCTTGCGGGGGACTGTTAACACAGTTTTCAATAACAACACGTGCCTCATAGACATCATAACCGTCGCCCCAGTCAATCAAACATCTCTAACAATCATGAAATATTTAAACTTTCCAACGGATCTATTTTGATCCTATATAAATTGCTTGTATTCATCTATTTTGCTTTCTTCATTTTAAAATAGATGAATAAATGAAGAGGAAGATTTGCTTTCTCTTGTTTCCTCTCTTCCTCTCTCTCTCTCTTCCTCTGTTCTTCCCGCTCTTCCGATTCCTTCCTAAACAGGAATGCTCCATCTCTTTCACTGTGTTGTTGTTCTTCGCTGGAAGGAATGCACAACTGTTGCCGCCCGTTCTGCACCATCTGAATCCCAAGGTGGCCTCAGAAGAGCAGTGAAGCCGTTGCGGTTTTGCCTGGACAGAAGAAACATAACCTACCACCTAAACCTCTCTCCCTTTGCCAACGGAGTTACCTGACAGAGAAAGAGATTCAAGATATCTCTCTGAAGACTTGCACCGTTAGTGTTCCCGTGGATTTGACTCTGGGTTAGACGAAAGAAGAGAATGGAGATCGGGAAAGGACGGGAAGGGCCTCCTCTCCGACTAAACAAGTTGAAGGCCTCGAATACGATGAGCAAAGCATGCAGGGTTGAGATTGCTCAACAGACATTTCTCTTCATCACACGATCAAAAGTTCACCCCCTCCCAGCCCATGTGAGTAACAATCAAAGATTCCAGCAGCCCATTCTTGGATGGAAGAGATGGGGGCATGAAGAAAGCTTGAGGCGAAGATTTCAAAGCCTGTTCTACCGAAAGACCTCGGGAATCATACGCCCCCCCCCTGCAGTGCACCAGAGAAAACCCGAGCATTCAGCGATGCCGCGGAACCCCCCCTCCCTCCCATCCCTGCTTCTTCTTCCCCGGGATCAATAAACTCTTCTGCCGGAGTCGCCGACGAGAGTCCCTCAACCGAAGACTCCTTCCTGAATTTCTTGGACGTCTCCCCCAATTAGCTCGGCGTCTGTTATACTCCTCTCTCTCTCTCTCTCTCTCTCTCTCTCTCTCCCTCTCGCCCTCTCTTATCAGGAGTCAACCTTAGGCTCTCTCTCTCTCTCCCCCCCAATCTCTCTCTCTCTCTCTCTCCTCCCTATCCTCCGAAGACGACGAGGGACGGATCTATGGGAGGTTGACTTAGACTCTGTCGGCTACAAAATATATTCTCTCCCGTTAAATGTAGTCGTGGGTGAGTGCATAAACATATATATTTTATTCTCTATGCTTTAATTAATAGTTTCCCAGTCTTCCGATCCTGAAATAAATAAGATGTACCGATAATATCGATTTATAAGCTATAGTTTATCTCCATCGACAGTCTCAACAAATTACCCGAAACGAAAGGACGACCGATAATCTAGATGCACGGTGGTACTACCCACGAGCAGCCGGCGATGGGAGGCCGCCTCCTCCGGCGGCGATGACACCACCACCGGAGGAGGTAGAAGACGGCAGCGGGGCGACGCCGCCGCCGCCGCCTGGTACGACCTCCGCCACCAGACCTCGAAGGTCCTGCTGAGGTTCGGGCAGTCGTGGCCGTGGTCGGAGAAGCGGGCGAACCAATCCAAGAAGATTGCCTGCTGCTGCGGCAGGGAGAGGGTGAGGATCGCCTGCCCCGTCGCCTCCTCCACTTCCCGGAGGTCGAGCCCCTTCGGGCGGCGGCGCCGCAGCCAGGCGAAGTCCGCCAGAAACGGGCCGAACCAGGCGACGATAACGGCTTCCCTCACCTCGCCGGTGCACTGCAGCTTGGCGGTTCCCATGGCGGTGAAGACGGCGGCAGAGACCCTGCTGATCTCGTACCTCACCATCGGGGAGGCGGCGCCGTGCAGTCTTATCAGCTCGTCCTGCTCCGCCCAGAGCTTCACGAAGTCCTCCGCCATCTGCTGCTCGATGAGGATGTCCAGGAGCCAGGTGAGGCTGTCGACTTCGCCGGAGACACGTTCGATCGCCGGCGGACGTGGCGGAGCGGCGGCGGCCGCAGTGCGGAGGGTGTCGCCGGCTTCTCGAAGGATCTGCTTCAGGGAGGCGAAGCAGGAGCTGCAGGTTCCGTAGAGGGCTTCCTTGCGGAGCCCGGCGGGCTTCTTCTGGTAGACGGAGGAGCTCCTGGAGATGAGGCAGCTGACCAGCGTCTGCAACTCCTTCCTTGCTCTCCCGTTCCTCCCGTCTATGACGGATCGTACGAGTCTCATGGCCAGATCTTGGGTCTCCCCCGGAACCTGGCCGTAGAGCCTGCCAAGAACATCGTGAACTATCGGGTCATCGAAGGACCGCCTCCAGAACAGGCCCTTGAGCTTCTGCTCCTCGTCCTCGCTCCAGGGAGCAGCCTCGAGATACCTCAAGCACGATGCCACACCTCTGTTGAACATGATGGAGGATGATACCTGGAGATCGCACCAGAACCCAAGCCTCAGATTAAAGGGCTAAATGTTCGTAGAGAAAAATAAATGCATTTGGGGGATTCAAGGATGTCTTTTCTAGCAAGAAGTAAATAAATATGAACCGAGAACGAAAAATGAAGAAGAACAACAAGAAAAGGAACAGCTTGCAAAAGGTCCTCTGTATCGCCATCCAAGAATAAAATACATTCAACCAAAAGTCAGCGAGTGTACTTAAGCATCTGGTATCGTGGCCTTCCAAGAGTTCGGGAAGATTAAGCATGTTCTTCCGAATGGTGCCTTTCAGCCAACAATCTCTTATGCGAGCATCTGGCATCGTGGGTAGGAGGACGGCGACAGAGCGGAATCAATTAATTTCTATGAGAAACAGAAATAGAACGAGCTGCTGGATGCTTTTCGAGTGGGGGAGTTCGAACCCCGAAGACCTGGCAGTGATTTATGGCCCTCGTTTTGAAGAATCATGATAAAAAATGGACTAGAGAACAAGGGAGAGAATGGCCCACGCCTGAACTATCTTAGGGTAATCTGAGCCCAAATAAAATTATATCAAAACTTCGAGCATCACTGCGTTTCTTAATTTCTTCTTGCAGGAAGGCAAGCGTATCCCCAAACGCGATGAAATAGAAATCATGGACGCCGCATATCCACAAACAGGGAGAAGGTGCTCACCTCGAGTATATCAATGGAGCGAGAAACGCCGGCCTTCAGGAGGGCCTTGATCGCATCCTTCTCGTACATCAGCTCGACTGTGTCCTTGAACACTGATAGATCCTCGATCTCGGCGATTTCTATCTTTCGGGACCCCTGAGAGGTGCCCGACGCCTTTCGACGATCATCCAAGACCATGGCCGCAAAGAACTTGCTGCTCTGGCACAACACCTCCGCGTCCAGTTTCAACACCAAGCTCTTCCCATTCTTTCCCTTCAAAGTAAGCGTCAGATCTTCAGAGCCGGGTCGGGCGTTCGCGAGCTCTGCCGCGGTAGAAGATGCAGATAAACGAGCAGGGAGAAGGGGAGTCTTGCTTTCGGGCGGCGGATCGACGGAACCCTGATCAGATTCCAAGGTCACAGCGGCGGAGACGGAGAAGGTTGCATCGGAGTCGATGGGAGAAACCCTGCCGGGAGAGAGCATCCGACGAGGATCCATGAACCCTAAGCTCATCTTGGAGCTGGGGGAAGGCGAGCTGTGGAACGAGGAGGCAGATGAGGGTTTCCGGGGTTTCAACGGCGGCTCTTGGCCGCAGTCACTACGGCGGATCACCGGAGCCCCGCGGTTCTCGTGGCTCTGCAGCACGACGCCGAACGAGCAGCACCAGGCCCGGTTCATCCCCGGATTCTCCCTCCGACGGCGGCGGTGAGTTCGTCGGTGGCCGGGTTCCCCCATCAAGGAGGCCAGAGCGATTCCCGTGACCACACTGTCTGCGTGTGTGCGTGAGAGAGAGAGAGAGATGGCGAAGATCCCAGGTGAAGAGGGCAGGCGACCAGCGGGGCGGATGGAGGTTCTCCTACCTCAGGCAAAGGGCAGACCTTGTTATCAATTCTCTCTCTCTCTCTCTCTCTCTCTCTCTCTTCCCCTCCAGAGCGGGCAGGCTGCAGTGATTGTGCGCGTCAGCGTCTGCCCTGACGTGACTTGCGACCAAAAACATCACCTTTTCTGCATTCCATCCATTTCCTCAGAAATCAGAAAAAATTTCGCAACTGGAATTTCTTCCTCCCGTGGCTGTCCTGCGGGACCCGCTCCGCCGTCAATCGCCGCAAAGCGCCCTCCTCCTTCAAACAACCGACACGTCAAGCCTCTACCTATATAACTGGCCGTTGGCTCGACGGCACTTTCGCACGTGGGATACGAAATGTAGCCGTTGCTAACTTGTCCCACCGTCGCTCGCTCATATCATCGAAAGATCCTCACTTTCAGGCTTAGCCACATAGGAGAAAAAGCAGATTCCCTCCCTAGCGGGTCGCTTTAGTCCATGTTTTCGCTAATATGGGCTCAATATAATCTAAATAAATCGCTAAATATGCTAAAAACAATCACTTAGTGGGCAAATATTAAAGAGAGGTTAATATGATGGGTAAAGAAACCCAGTATTTTATCCCTAAATTAAAAATAAATTTTAAAATATATGGCTCACTTAAGGGGTCGTTGGATCATGCGAGCTGGATTTATTTAAAAAAAAACTTTTTTACTATTTCGATGGTAGTCGATAGATATAAAAATATCGATGATTTATTATCATATCCGGCGCAACGACCTCGTGAAGCCCCCTACTTGTGACCGACTGCCCCGTTCCACCTTCTCGCCTCTGTCCGGGCCAGGCAGGCCCTGACGACTGAGAGGGACCTCTCTCTTCTGTCTCTGACCTGCGTCTCTCTCTCTCTCTCTCTCCATCTCACTCGGCGGGAGAAATAGTACGGGTGGTGTCTCCCAACGTGGGGAGGTACTTATGGGGATGGATAGATAGATAAAAAGAGAGGAGGGGAGTTTTTTATCTACATCGTCTCTGGCCTCGCAATGCCTTCTTGGAGATGGAAAAAAAAGGAGAAGAAGAAGTCAAGAGCTACACCGCACGGCCCCCCCCCCGCTACGGCGCCGCTCCTCCGGCGCCGTTCTGCGCGCCGCCGTTGGCCAGCCGTGGCTTCTCGTACCCCATCTCCAGTGCGCCGCCGTCTTTGCCGCCGTTGCCGTCCTTCTGACCCCTTGAGGCCTCGCTGTTCCGGTAGATGGCGTACAGCACGAGCTGCATCGCGCCAAGCCCGCACCCGAAGCCGTTGGGCACCTGCCACGAAGAACAGAGATCATCAGCCTTCGGTTCACGTGTCGCCGGAAGAGACACGGTCGGAGAAGACGGCCGCTTGGATTGCTTGCTCTGCTGACGCCTGACGCCTGACGCCATGTGGGAATCTCTGCAAGATCATAAACCAGGGCCCCACACAAGAGAAAGGAACCGTACCGCGATGAAGGGGTCGCGCCCCAGGAGGCCGAAGACGAACCAGGAGGTGCCGCAGAGGAAGACGAAGAGCGAGAGGAGGAAGGGCATGAATTCCACGCTCCTGGTTCGGATTACGAGCCTCTGCGAGGTCAGACGAGGTCAGCCGAGGTCAGACGAGGTCAGATTGCTACATCTGAGGCGAACGTATAGGCGGAGGAAGACGAGCAGGGAGATCGGCGGATCTACGGCTTACCATCACGGATAGCGGGGAGGCGTACATGCAGATGGAGAAGATGGTGGCGGCGCAGCCGCAGAAAAGCTTCCTCTTCTGGCCGTGGAGAGCCAGGACGGAGACGAGCGCCACGGTCGCGAACACAGAGACGACCAGGAGGAGGAGACCCAGCATCCTGGCCTTGGCCCTCTTAGGGGCGAAGATGAGGAAGATGATGACGTACACGGTCTCCAGCACCGCCCCGGTGCCGTTGATGGTGTAGACCAGCATGTTGTTCGGGGAGACGAAGGGAAGCCCGTACCTGCATGGCAGCGAGCGTGACAGGGAGAGCTCACGTGTCAGAACTCCATGGACCCGTCGCCATCACCATCTCTTCCTCCATCTACAGTGTCAGCAATAACTTCCTATTACCGAAGACTCAAGAGTGGGCTTGCGATTTACTTACCAGGCGGAGAGGAGGCAATTGAGCAGGGTCATGTTGTAGGGGATCCCAGAGAACTGTTCCGTCGATTTGTTCCTGATGATCCTCCGAAATGTCACCCTGCGCGAGGGAGGGGAGAAAAAACCGCGGGGTCAGAAAGTTCTCCAAGAATTCAATCCCTGGTTTCGTCTTCAAAAATGAATCCGCGCTCGGTGAGGAGGAAGATGCATCGCTGGAGAAAGAAAGAGAATGGAAGAAAGAGAGAGAGAGAGAGCAGCACAGGGAAGGACTTTAAGAACAATGTTCTTGGCGTGTATGAAGCTCCCTCGCCCCTTAAAACCCCAAGGCGAAGAACTATTCTGGAGAGACGCAGGAGTTTATACTCACACGGGGGCGAGAAAGAGGAAGAGCCCGGTCGCGTTCCCTGTTCAAAGACGAGACGAATCAGAGATGCACCAAGAAAGAATGACAGGGACCAAGAATTCCGTCGGGAAAGCAAGAAAGACCAAGAACTGGTTGCTCCACGCGGGAGGTGCCCAGTGATTCTCCCGTCCAAAAACTGAGAGCTAGAACGAAAGAAACAAGTTGGAGGGGGAGAAGAGGAAGAGGAGCGGCGGGGTAAGGGCTCAACGCACCGAAGATCCCGAACAAGAAATGCAGGGCATGAAAGACGTCCATCTCGCCTCCGGTGAACAACGGAACGCGGGCTTGGAGTGACTACACTTCTCTCCTGAGTCCACAACCTCGGGGGAGACTTTGTTGGGTCAAGTTCCGGGAGAAGGGCGAGGTGAGCTGAGGGGTGAAGGGGAGTTATATATAGGAACGGGCACAGAGCAGGGGCCAGTAAGGACGGTGCGATTTTGCTTTGATTTCGCTCTTATCCGAAGCTTTGGAAACCCCAGAGATCGTCCGATTCGAGAATCTACTGGCACATAGCAATCCATTGACCTAATTCTTTCTCACTCTTGTCTTCTATCGCCTCCATGGCCGCCCCTCCTCCTACGCGCTTCGTACCTACCGGGTCTGGCCTTCTTTCTCTAGCCAGCTCTCCTTCCTGGGCATTAATTGGTGAGCTGCGGGCGCTCGGGTGTTGGGAGCGCCTAGCCAGGCGAGCCCTCGGCGTGACGGAGGGCGCCTTCTCGCGCACGCAGGCTTGGGCGGTGGCGCGGCCGGTGGCATACAGCGACATCTGCCGTGCCCCCAACCAACCCCCCTTCCCTGCGCTGAAAACTATTCTACTATTTATCCCCTTGACTGCGGGAAATGATCCCGTAGATGACAATGAAGACGAAATTAGCGATGGGTTTGAATGAAATATTTCGATAAAGCTATGGTTCTTCGATGCGTAATAAATGCGGTGTCGCTCTTCTTGTTGCACCGGTGCAACGGGGCTGGTCGGTCAAGTGACCAGGTGGGCGGTGGCTCCGCGTGGTCGGTCTACTCCCAAAAAATGTTCGAGCAAGTACGCGTGGGTACCCGAGAGAGTTTGTGAAGGGGCTAGCAGAAGCTTCGGAACCCTACGTCCCCTCTACACAGATTCCATGCATGGAGAGTTCATCATCCTGAAGTAGAAGACCGGCTTCACGTCAACATATCTGGTTGCCCTGGCGAGCTCCTGATCATGTTCCGATACTCGGTCAAACCGGCCAATGAGATCGTAAGAACCCTTCTGAGAGCCCATCTGCCAGAAAAGATGGAATCTTGGACGTCGACGAACACGATTAACAGGGTTTTCTACTTTTTCTTGTCGACTGCACCGCACCCTTCACCGTGAACTGTCTACGGGTCTTATCATTTATGCCCTCGGGCCCACCGGCCGTCGCCCTCAGACAGCCCTTGGCCGCACGGAAACGGCCGTCACACTCTCTTGGTCCTCTCACCCTCCATTTCAGGGGATGCATATAGATTCTCCAAGAAAAGTCGAACTCCCGGAACATTAGAATTGTCCAGGGTTCACTACTCTCTCTCTCCCTTTCTCCGTCACACACACACACCTCGGCAGCTTGTTCCCCAGAGCTTTTAATATCGTGGCGGCGAGCAGTTGGGGGAGAGCAACTGGAAAGAAGGGGAGCCGCCGGATGGATTCAACATCTCGTCGATAAGCCTGGAAGGGAGAACGAACATGGGCGCCCTCAGAGCAGTTTGCGCCGTCGAAAATGGCGGAGGCTGAGACTTTGAAGGGTTCTGGCATGGGCGGCGGGGTTGGGGTGGCGGCGGCGGGGGCCCCCCTCCACCAACTCCACCGCTGGGGCAGTGAGAGGCATGGGGATTGCGGCGACCGGACGTCAAGGTCAGGTACCGCCATTACTGTTCAAGTGGTTGGTGGACTGGAGCAAGAACAATCCAGGGGGAACGCGGGGCATCGACATTGAAGCCAAAACCATGGATATAACCTGTTGACGACCATCTTCATTAATGACCCCCGTTTCTCTCGAAACAGTAATAAATTGGGATGATAACTGCACGCTGAGGGAGTTTTAGATACGTGCCTCCCTCGTCGGGGCAAGCTACTGCAGTTTTTCTCTCTGCCTCTAGAAGTTGTAACGACAGATTTTTCGACGATCGGGGAAGGTGAGCTTATAGCGGGAGAATTGGATCGTCAGACTCACGATTAATTGACGTCTGACTGAAAAATGGCCGCATTGTGGATCATTAGAATTGTTCTTTCAGATTAAAATTATGCTAGCTTCTTTACTGCCGCACAAGCCAAGCCTTCTGAGTTCTAAAGCAGGAACAACGAAGACCGAATCCGAAGCCTATCAACCCATCCATGAATTGTCATCTTGCGTGGAATAATCATTTTATGTACGAGGCATGAATATTTGAGAGCATGATTCTGCGCGTCGCTGAAAGCATGGAAATAATCTAACACTGGAGCAGCTTGATGAAGAATCGGTCCCCGCACGAACCAGTGGAGTGTTTCTGGAGAGGAGAAAGTAACTAGTGTTTACGATGGCTGCCGAGCAGGAATTACTATGTTCCATCGTTCATTTCTTAGATTCATTTTTAAAATCTAATCATATACACTGTTTTCTGATGTAAACCTATATATGCAGGACCATCCGACGCTCGAATTTAATTTTTCTGTATGATGAATAATTCGGTGGTATTCTCCAGTATCCTTCCATCGCAGCATCAAAACCTTTGCTGGTGGCCGCCCATGGGGTAGGGATTCTGCTGTAACCTCGCCAATTCAAGCTGCCCTCGCATCCCTTCCTTGGCGTACTGCTGCCACATGATCTGCTCCTCCACAAGAAGATGCTGTTTCTTCTCCATGTCGGAGATGCGCACGTAGGCCGGCGGCTCCACCACCAGAGAGGCCGCGAAGGGGTCACCGCCGGCCGGCGCCCCGGTCGGAGCCAGCGGAGCTGGGAGTGCCAGCAGAGGCTGCCCCTGGGGAACCGCCATGCTGCTCGCGCTGCCGGTAAATCCTAGCGCATTCCCTGCTGGTGGCTGGTGCTGGTACATGGCGTCAAGCAAAAGCTGATCGAAGCCCCCGCCGAGGGCCGCCTTTTGAGTGGAGAGGCTGCTCGCCGATTGCACCAGGGCGGTTTCCCAGTCTGCCGTCTCCTCGGACGTGAAAGCTTCCCATTTCGGCGGGGCGGCGGCGTCGGTGGCGCCGCCATCGAACAACGCGAGCGCCAGCTGATCCCCGTGCTCCTCTGGTTTGACCGCCTCCGCCCCAAGATTCAAAAAGTCGGCTGGCTCTTCCTCTGGTTTCTCTGGTTTAGTCACTTCCTCTCCACCGACGACGACCTCCACCAGTTCTACGACGACCTCGCCGGCGCTCTCCGGTGCCGGCAACGCTTTGATAGAATTTATGTCGTAGTCGGTTTCCTCCGCCGGCTTGGTTTCTACCGCTGCATCGTCAACTTGCTTCAGCTTCCTGCTTGCCAAGGCCGATTTGTCCCGTATGAACTCCTCCATTACCTCCAGTTTCTTGGGGGTAATCTTCTCAACATCCGGGTACTCGGAGGACCTAGCGATCCCCACCGTCTTGCACCACTTGTAACACTTGTCGAGCTCCTCGAACTGCTTTGAGATGCGGCTGAAGATTTCATGGACTTTGACGCAGTCGGTGACCTCGAGCTCCATGAACCGGTCGATCAAGATGCCCATGATCTCTATGAGGTCGAAGTAAATCTGGTAGCTCTCCTTCACCATGGGGTAGAGCGCGATCGCTACTATCCGGCTGTTCTTCGCGGCACCTGCGAAGAGTCTCACGGATCAAAGGAGACGATGGGATCATAGATGACTACGAATAGACATAGTGTCAGATAATCGGAGATCACGGAAAGTAGCCTCTCTGCAAGTCATACGCCAGAAGCAGGTTTAATTTGGTTCTTCCTTGAAGCTGCCCGGGGAGCTCGCTCACCAGTGGGTCGGCATGCGATAAATCTCTCGAGCAGCAGCTGCAGGTGCTGGGTCCGGTTGAATATGCGGTCCGTCTTCATCTCCCTGACCGGAGTGGACCGCACGGACGACGGCGTGGCCTCGACGTCATCGTCATCGCCGCCAATGCTGCGAGTGCGGCGGACGCGGCGGCCCAGCATGCGGAACTCGAGGTGCTCGTCCAAGTAGAGCGCGAAGGTGCGCACAAAGGCGGAGAAGTCCCACGAGTCGGTCCTGGAGGTGTCCCTGAAGTCGGACAAATTCAGGAGCCGCGTGCCCCTGCGGGTGGCGAAGAAGATCTCCTGCTCGTAGGCGGGGTCGCCCTCGATGAGCAGGCGGTGGAGGAGGACGAGAGATTTGAGCGCCACCGCCCAGCTGCGGGTCTTGGTGAGGCGCTTAGAGATGGAGCTGACACAGGAACTGATGTACATCCGCGAGTAGCACGTCAGGCTGAGGATCTCCCGGATGTACTTCTCCTCCGCCGGCTGCTCATCGTGCCGGGTGGCCTTCACGATGGCCACATCCAGGTCGGAGATGGCGTTGCTGCTGCCCACCTTGGCTAGCCCGATGCTCGTCTGGTCCTTCACCGCTCCAAGCGCCTTGCGTATCCTGCTGGGTGCCATTGCCGACCTGCTCGGCTCTCCCACAGCTCCGCTTTCTCCGAAACCCGAGACTTAGCACGAAGGAGATGCGCGTCCCTTCATGCCACACGACTCATCGGAGGAGGAGGAGAATGATGAGAGCTGAGTGGAAGAGCGGCGAAAACGAAGAGGTCGGACTGAGAGGAAAGAAGAAGAGGAAGCAGGAGGATCGTCCTCTTCTCTTCTTCCTGGTCTCTGGTTCTCCTGCGTTTACTCCTTGTTTCCCCATTGCCAAACGAGAGCCTCGTCCTGCTTTGAACGGGTCGTCCAGATAACCAACGGCTCATGCGGCAAATGCGGAGAGAGCCTGAGTTGGAGCACGTTTTCACCATCCACGGTCAACTATCTAACCGTGTCTTCCTCTTGACTTAGGATTCTCAGCTCCCCACGTCGAGTCGCCAGCCTTTGGCCTAAACTCGGCTCGGATCAAAGAGAACTAATATTTTACCGTCGTCGTTCAATCGATGATAATCCATTATTAGTTGGAAAAAATGACGTAAAAAAATGAAAAGATAATAAGGCCAGCCTCATGGAATTCTGAATTGGGGAGAAATCGTCAAAGTTCGGATGGCTCAATCATCTCCCAGTTGTTTTCAAAGATCGTAAGGCATATTGGGTCAAGGTACTTTAGGAATGACCATGAAAATCTGCCGGGCGTCCGCAGGTTTAAGTTAATCGTATACAAAACAACGACGATAATACCATGAGGCCATCACATCTGTTCTTCAAGGTTGGATGATCATATGGGTCTTCAAAAGACAAGTTTCAGAAACTAGTTGGAGTACATGACCCATTCTCCATACTCAATTCCCAATGAAACGGTGTTGAGAGAGAGAGAGAGAGAGAGAGAGAGAGAGAGAGAGAGAGAGGGGCGTGGTTCTATTGACCAGATTCTGTATGAACCTCGCCCTGCGGAGCCTAATTTGATAGAATCTGGAGCTTTGAGGTTTTTTTTGGCTTGGGTCTCAAAATCATGGCGCAAGGAGGGCAAACATACCCAATACCGATATGAAATAAGCTGGAAACATTATGAAATATTAATCGTTGAGAATAATGGACAAAGTCCTAACCACGCACGCCCAAAACGGGCAGGTTTCGCAGTGTATCACAAGCAAGCAAGCTACAGTGTCGTATACCAAGCTCTTACTCTCGCCATGGCAAAATAAGGGGCGGGGAGTGAGGGGGTGGGGTATAACGTGAGGCTCTCACCCATGGTTTACTGCGAGACGAGGCAACCCTCCGGGAAATGTGGAGCTGCGGGGGGGACTGTCGCCGGCAGGAAGGGGGTCTCCGCCTGCGTCAACTCGTCCTCCTCGTCGGATTCTTCTACCAGTCCCGTGGCTTCAAAGATGTACTCTTGAACCTCCTTAAACCTCTCCTCGGAGAGAGAGACTTCCGCCAGGAGCCTCCAGGCGTAGTCTTCGGACGCGTCGTCGTAGTCCTTCCTCCGTTTCAGGACCATGTGCCCGCTAATCTCCCACGCCGCCGGGTTGACCTGCGTCTCGAGGAGTTCCTGGCTGACCTCCCCGAGGGCCTGCTTCTCGGCGTAACACTGCGTGTTTGTATCAAATGAGCAGCATTTAGAGGATGACCAAAGCTGGGATTCACGGGATCGGTGGTTCCCCTCCGAGGGCCGTTGACAGATAAATTTGATTCTCGTTGGAAGAGTAACGGAGGATTGGGGAGGGGGTTTACCTGAGGGAAGACGAAGATCCTTTTGCCCGAGTCAGAGATGAGCACGTTGAAGGGAGTGTTGTTCTCTTGGAGGAAGACGCAGACGTTGGAAACCAGGTCAGAGAGTGCCTGCAGGTCGCTTCCACCCTCGAAAACCAGGCCCCTTACAGGGTAACTCATCAGGCTCGAGACCTGCACTCCGCCCTTCGTCGGCCCCCCCTTTGTGCGGGCAATCTTCTTCGTCGGAGCTTTCTCCACGGGGAACGGCACCGATAAGTAATAAGCCTGATAAATTAGAAAAGCATCCATTCCATCGTCCGTCACCACGAAGAAACAAGTAATGGGAGGCGAGCACTGAGAGGGAGGTAAAGGGTGAGTACCTGAAAGTGGAGGTGATTGATGGTGGCGAAGGCGCCCAGGCTGTTGTAACCGAGCCTGAAGTAAGGGCTTCCTGCTTCCGCCGCCATCTTCACGGCGAGGAAGAAGCTTTCGCTGTCAATCTTCTGGGGCAAGCATTCCAGGACGCGGGGAATCAAGAGCACATGCCCGTACTCGATGGGGCTAACCTGAACGTATGACGAAGCGGGTGAGTTAGGGGAAGAAGAAAGAAGAAAGAAAACCTTGAAGATCGTCATCCAGTCGATTACGAGGAGGAGAGAGGGATCTGGTTGCTCACGTTGATGGCGACGACGTTGGGGGGGCTGGTCGTGCCGACAGGGGCCTTGTCGAAGTAGTGAGCTTTCTCGTCGGCGCTCTCCTCAAACCTGAAGAGCACCTCTTCCTGGCCGACCTTGGTGAAGTTGAACTTTCTGGGGTCGAAGGGCTGGAGGACTTGGTCGACGCGGAACTCCGTAGGGCGCTTCTTGAGGTGGCGGCCCTCGTTCAGCTGCGCGATGAAGCCGTGCTCCCCCTCGATCACCTTCGACTCGCAGGCCGTGACGTCGTAGCGGAACAGCCCCCTACTCAATCGATCTTCCCACTGGCGCCACCAACAAAGAAGAAACTTGTTAAGATAACGAAGAAATTAAGATTCAAGTGGGGAGGGAGCAAGGGAGGCGGAGTAGGTACCTGGCCGAGCACTAGGGTGTTGAGGAAGTCGATCGTCGGATCCTCGTCGGGAACAGACAAGGGGTTCTTCCCCTTGGGATCCTCATCTTTGGCCTCGTTTTTGAAGGAGTATAGCGGGAGCTTTGACACTGCGATTAAATCCACCAGGCAGGCGATTAGACACCGCGGAATGTTTCAAGAGAATCATACGCCCTAACCAGGTAAACAACGAAGAAATACCAGGGCATGCATGCGAAGACATACGAAGAGGAACATAGAAGGTCGAACGAAGGAGCAGAATAATTACCAGGAAGGCAGCACTTGCCGAGGCAGTTGCGGCCGCAGCCGAGGCTTTCGGCAGTCTCCTGAAAGTTGGAGACCACGGTAGGAACCCTCTTGATGGTCAGCATCTTTCAAATCCTCTCTTCGCTTCTTCTTCTCAACCTGGAGGAAGACGCCGGAGACGGAGGAGGAGAATCGACCTCCGAGGGAGGTGGAGAATCGGCTAGGACTAAGAGCAAGAATAGGGTTTCACGCCTAAGAAAGAACTAGACAGGAGAAGGGGATGGGAGGGGGAGGAGGAGGAGGAGGACGCTGCCGCCGCCGGCGAGGAACAGGAGGTCCGAGGGGCTACCGCCTTCGGAGGGGAGAGCTCCCCGGCCGCCGTGCGGGGAGGGACTCCTCTTCTTCTCGAAGAGGAGCTGGTTGTCGGCGCCTTCTTCAGCCGTGGTTGCTCCAACTCTTTCCTCCCTCTTCTTGCTCTATCAAACTCTTCGCCTCTTTCCTCCTCCAGGCGCAGGACACCGGTTAGGGAAGGAACGGGGGCCAATATACCCGCCAGCCGCCGACGGAGATTCGCTTAAAATTCGGATGTGTCGACACGTGTTCAATCTCGAAGCCTCTCAAGTGGCTCTTTTCTCTACCACCGGAATTGCGGCGGACCCACTGGGCCCACCGCCCGTTCATATTGGCCGTAGGGGGCGGCGGGCGGTCGTTAGGGCAGACCTCGTTATTGCAGCCCCCACTAACCGCCATGGCTTCATCTGCGGCCAGCTGCTCGCCGCCGGCCATGTAAACACGCCGCCCAAGGCCGAGCCAAGAGATTGTCCTGTGGCTGTAGGGCTTTGGTTATCCGGACGCACCGCGACTGTGGCCCACTCGACGGGGAAAATCAGGACCGCCTTTGACTTTGATCTCCTCCCCCGCCGTCTCCTCTACAAAAAATAAAAACGAAAGATAAATAGGAGCTTCAAACTGGATTTGAGGGCAGAATGGATCGTTGACCGGTCAGCAGGCACCGTTGAAGTGACGACGACAATTCAAGACCCATTGGTTATGATCCTTCTATGTATACATTTTTGTAAATATGAGCCGAAGAGCGAATGAAATCATGATATAAATTAATAAAAAGATAATGTTCCTCTTCTTTTAGGCTTAAATGGAAAGTCAGAGCCTAAAGAACAGAAGCGATGTCAGCTGGACATGCAAAGCTACGAAGGCAGGCGTAACACTGGGACTCGGACTGTTTGTACAGGGAAACGATAATCCTTGTTGGCGAGTCACTGTGCTAACTGCGGACTTCGATGAAAGATCCGGGGCTCAGCGTTGTTGACCCAAACAAGTGTAGCTGAAAAGATGTGCTTTGACCACGAGAGATGCAGCAGGCAAAACGAAGACGTTTCAAAAAGCATTTAAAATCGGTGATGGCTACACTTTTTGTGTATCAAATCAATGAGAGGTGGAGAACAAGCCCACCCCGCATAATCTAGGAGCCAGAAGAACCACTCCAACGAATGGCGATATGTGGCCTTGAGAATTCGGGTAGTCATGCTATTCGGCAATGGAGACTTCGGATATTTTTTATTCCTTTTCTTCGGTGAACAAGGATGTTCCTGCTGATAACATATACGGTGATTAACAACGTAAGAAAACAAAGAGAAATAATGTTTACTTTCGATAATAAAAAAATCGCACGGCATAGTTGGACATGAAAAATATGCAATACACAACGGAAGATTAGAGTCTGGAATCTGATGTGAATTTGATACTTGAGTTTTAATGCTAGTGGGGCCTCTCACACGGAGAAATAAGGTAGACTAACAAAGAAAGTTTAATGGCGTAATTATGGGTAAATTTATTGGGATATCGAATTCTATATGCAAACTAAGGAGGTTACCACCCTGTTTTATTTAACCCTGACAGGTCTGAGCCTTTCTAGAAATTCAACAGAGTGGAAGAAAGTCAGAGCTCCCATCTTCATAAGCACCGTTTTTCCACTAATTATTCTTCATTGTCTTTTCATTATGTCCATCCTTGAAAAGCTTTTAAGAAAGCCCTCTTCTTCCTCTCCTGACCTCTCCTTATCGCCGATACAATCCCTTCAAGAACCCATCTAAGCTGGAGGACAGCTCTCACTCTTCACGCATAGTTTCTCTCAGATTTCTCTCAAAGAAACCATCTTTAACCGAATTGTCTTCATCCCTGCCTTCGCTATCCTTCACAAGACTTCGTAGAAACCCGTCTCCACCCGAGTCGTCTTCGTTCCCAGAATCAATCTCTTAAATGGTTTGTTCTCGTAAAGAGACGAGAACCTGCTAGTGATGCTGATAGGAGTGCTCGGACTGCTGCCCTAGTCGATGCTACCCTCCTGTGTTGGCCCGCTGCCTGATGATGGATAATGACCGTTGTTTAGATGAGAGTAGCCAGTTAAGCACCACGTTAACTCTCACTATTATTCCACGGTCTAGCCAGTGACTCTACAGTACTCGATTCTCGTGTACACATGGTGGCCAGTAGTATCTGAGACTCCCAGATTTCAAAACAACTGAGTTCAACCGTCACTGAGCTCAAAACACCCAGACTTCAAACGACTCGGGGAAGGAATCGAGTAGAAAACGGAGGGATCGACAGACGGTGAGGTAGAAAAAAGGACCCGGTTAGCCCTGCTTGTGTCCCCTCAGGTGAAGGTTTGGGCAAGAGAGAACAGGCTTTTTCCGAATCAGAGAGCCTTCTTCTTGCCTCAACATTCTAGTTATTTCATCAATCTTCCAGTGGGTATTCCCAGAGACGACAAAAGGAGATTCAGTTCTCATCCGTCGTCGTCGGCGGGCGGAGGACTGTGGCGACAAGAACCAGCTGCCGAGTTTTCAAGACTGTGCCATGGGCTTCTGAAACGATCGGACGGGGGAAATCTTCAGCCGTTCCAATTCGGTCCTTGACATTCTTACGGTTTTACTCTTGGATCCTGCAACTTGAGATGCCCACGTACGTAATAACGGAAGCTTTCTGGTCCCCATCGAGTGAACAGAACCCGCCGCCACCTTCACCGCCGTCCTACATGAATCAAGACTGTAACAGGGACCAGTCCACGGAGAGTGGCGGAGCGGCAGAGGGAGAGGAGCATACTCGGTGAGCTTCAAATGATTAAATCGCCGGGGGAAGCCGTCACGGGAGAGAAGGGAAGATTGGAGACTTGGTTGCCGCCGACGGAGCTGGTGGCGCGGTGTGAGCTCCAATCTGATGACGACGAAGACATGGCTTGGAGGAGATCAGGAGGTCGCAAATTATAATTAGCCCCCAATAAATTTTATTTTGTATTATGACACATAATACGTTGAATTTTGTATCATATCTCAGGAAATATGCAATAAAACGGATAAATGGTACTTCTGTAAAAGTGTCGTTGTTTTGTTCCACCTCCGACTAGTCCTCTAGGCGAGTTTCCGAATGGCGGGGTTTGGGAGGCTCGTCGGTGGCGGTCTCTCTCAAGGAGATCACAGACGAGAAATGGTGAACACCAGGATATCGGTTTCTTCTTCTTCTTCTTCCTCTCATGTTAGAAATAGGGGTCAGCCCCGGCGACCTTCGCGCTACATCTCCATCTACGTCGTGCTTCTTCTTGCCTCCGCGGCCGTCCTCTTCCTCTTCTCCCAGAGAAGAATTGCGGAGGTGGACCGGAAAGATCAGTCTAAAAATTGGTTCCAGGTAATATCCCTCTATCCGCGCATCTGCCGGTGCCCTTGCCACGACGATGTCGAGTCAGAATTTGTCAGTACTTTGGTTTTTCCTTTTCCTGCACTTTCTTAATTTTTCGCCATTGTTGTTCGGAGCCAGCGGACGCTACCATTCCACAATCCCGAGGGAGAGTTTAGATAGCTTGCAGTTTCCAATTAGGATGTGGCATTTGTTCTCTCTATGTCGATTATTGTTTCTCTGTTCATAGATCGGATTCTGAAGACTTATCTCAAAATTTTCGAAAATGTAATGATAATTTCAGTCTCAGGTCATCTTACTTCTCTCCAAGATATGGCTCCAGATCCTCTACAGGACGGGAGGTTTTGTTTTTGTTACTAATGATATCTAACGCTTTAGAGTAAATACCAACTGGAAGGGCGTGCCAATAACTAGATAAGCGCGCTAAAACGTTCGATGAAAGGTGAAAATTGACAATGCCAATACTTGGCACATGAGAATGTAATACAGAATAACTGTTTCATTTGTTGAAATGTGTCACTTGGAAAATTAATAATTTTAAAATCTATAAGTGATTCGCACCACTTTATTATACAAAGATTCTCTGAATGTAGATAAAAAGGCGGATCAAATTACTGTATGAACTTCCCAATCAACTATCTCATTGATGCATGACATCATACAAGTCATGATCTTTTGCCGCTTATTATCTTAAACATTCTCATAATCGATGTTTTTGCTAGAGTAATGTCGAATCTGTTGAAAGAGATCCATACTCAATGACAGACTTGGCCATGACCCTTACTGGACTGTGTCTCAACCTTATGTAAAGACAAGCTTTCGTCTTTTCAGTCCTTATTCTATAATTTTTTTTGTGGTTTATCCGTTATTCGGCCATTTTTAAAGAATATGCTGGACTAGTGGAAATTGTTCCTTTAGATGGAACGTCAGTTCTGGTGGCAGTCTTCGAGTTACTTTCCCTTAATATTTTGAACATCTAACCGATATTGTTGAGCTCTCTCTTGATTCCTCTTTGATGCCTTTGTAATGTTCTCTTATATTTCTCTTTGGTTCCAAGGAGATGAAATCCTCTGACTGTGTTCTGCACGTAATGACTTTTTAATCATTATGAAAAAAATTGATTTGGAAATGGATTTGCTAAGAATATTTTTTTGGTTTGCTGATATTCAATGCAGGCTACAGAAGAAAATTTATGGGATTCTTCTTTTGGTTTTGGTTATCGCACTTGTGTCCACCGTACTAGCAAGTACAAAGGTTTGCCTTCTTCCCTGTAATCCCGTCCTGTAGATGATGCATATTCCTATGATAAGTATTGCGCAATTTTTTGTCAGCTTTGTTTATCTGGAGAACTGAGTTAAACGAATCACACTTTATCGTGCTTTAATGCCTGATCTTTTTTTCTTCCCTTTTTCGAGGGTGACAAGAAATGGGTGTTCCAATTGACGCTAATATCGTTTTGGGTGTTATATATTCATTGAAATTGAAAAAATCCCTACTTTTCTTGATTCTTATTTTTTATTTTATTTTTATTAGCCCCCCAAGTCTGGGATCGGTATTTAACTGTAAGAAGCAATGGAGGACTCAATCAAATGCGTACGGGTGTAAGTTCTTCTTTGGTTTTTAAGTTATTCAAGTTTTCATCTTTCTGAGTGGTTTTCTAGTCTGAAGAATTTTGGTGGATATATTTGGATTATAATATAGATATCTTTATATTTCCTCTCCTTCCCACCCTCACTCTCTCTCTATCTCTCTCTCTCTCTCTCTCTCTCTCTCTCCCCTTCCCATACTGGTGCATTCACCAGAGGTTGTAATGTTATCTTTGGAGAACATAGCTTTTATTTCTTCCATGCATCCGAAGTTTTTTACTTCTTGGGTCTTATTCAAGACTTTCCACCTCAATAGGCAAAGATGTTACTTGCACAAATCTTGTGTAACTTGCACAACTCTTGCTGGCACTTTGTTTGTAATGACCTTCAAGTGAGATTGAACTGTGTCTCATAAAACTAACATAATTCAGTTTTTTTAATCTTCCCTTCTGTCAAAATATGATCGTCTCTGTAGAGGATCCGGTCTTTTGATTGCAGTTTTGTGAAAAAAAACATTTTCTTTTGGTGGAAAAATCATTTTGATTGTAGTTTTGTGAACTGTTTGTAGAAATTAACTGAAGAGTTCTTATGAGGATGTGCACTGATAGTGTTCTGCTTACAGATATGTGACATGGTTGCTGTGGCACGTATATTGAATGCAACACTGGTGATTCCTGAATTGGATAAGAAATCATTTTGGCGAGATTCCAGGTTGGATGTTTATTTTTTCATTTGCTCTTGTGAGCTTCCTCACCTTTTACAGCCTATACTTTTACTTATAATTATAGATAGCAATGAATGCAAGGCAGCTTTCGCTAACAGTGTCTTTCATCTTTGTACACTTATTACAGCACATTTGCTGACATTTTTGATGAGCTTCATTTCATCAAATCCTTGGAGGGAGATGTTCGAATATTAAAGGAGCTTCCCAAGGAGTCAGCATTTCTTCCAAGGGCTCGCAAACACTTCTCTTCCTGGGCTAGTTTGAGTTATTATGAGGAGATAGCGCAGATCTGGAAAGACTACCGGGTATTGGTCTACTTCTTGTTATTTGGTGTGAGTTCTTTTGGGAAAAAGTTATGCCAATCTAGTTCTGAAGACTACCATTTACCACCGTTAATGTGTTTTCTGTCAGTGAAAAGATTTTGCCTTGCAAAACGTCTACATTCCTGTTTGGTATCATTAAGTTCGTTTGCTGTCTATTTCCAATGAGATTCTATAGCGGTTATCAATCAGCAGTTTCTACATTAATTTTATTCCTGCTTCATTCTTGTGGAATACAAGAGTGCTTTACATACACACATGCTCCCAATTAAATGCCAATACTTTTGCCTTTCTTTATCCTGGGCCTTTTAAAATAGTTTTAAGAAGGCAATGGATTGAAAGTGTAGAGAAGGCGGCATATGCCAAAGTACACCATTCTTTCTTTGGACTAATTGGTGTCATAATATCTGCTTGCATGGTTTTTTATGATTTTTTCATATGGTTATCATGTAAGGAAAAATATTTACAAATGTTTGTGTTGTAGTCAAACAGTGGCACTTGGGAACTTGGCAGCATCCGGGTTCATTTTCAAGAGAGCTTTGGCTTCATTTTATCTTCAGTGATCTGGATGGTTACAACAAGGGATTATTGAGTGATAGTTTTTTGTGATGAATTTCCTGTGAGAACTTCCCTTTTTGTGATTGCTGATAGTTTTTTCCGTTGGGTGGTGTAAGAACAGGTGATATTGCGGGTAAATTCCAGTGGTACTCGCAAAATGGCCAGAAACCCATGCGGGGAGTGAGCGTTGGATCTGTCTTCCTGAAGTTGTCACTTTGGGCCAACTGCCTTTATGGCTGGTAGGTGCTTCATCAGGGGTCCCCCTGTTTGGAATGATTTTGAACGGATATATAGGGGCGTCATCCGACTATTTCTTTAACCCTTCTTTTATAGAGTGTGACTTTTCGCATCTTGTTGCGATGATATCTTGGATTCATCAGATTTCTGGCAGAAATTGATTCCAATTTTATGAGTCCTTTGCATTTTCTAAGGAGGTCCGAGTTTGGAGAGGGAACATGGGAGATGTTTCCCTGTTGAAGAATGCAGAGACAAAATGGGTAAGAACCATTTTTCTGTGGTGAATGGGAAAACTTGCGTTGACGTATTGTGTACTAACGAAGGGGAAACGTTTCACACTGCAAATAGAACAGACAGGTTTCTGCAAATCAGCTTGAATGTGAGAAGGCACTCATCTTAATTCTGTGTATCAATTTGAATCTGGTTTCAATATTTTCCTTGACAGTCATTTGACATGGTCGATGATGCAACATAATTCAAGTAAAGCATTGATACAAGTCTTATAGCTTCCCTTGGATGGGGTGACTAATGCTTTGACAGTAACCTACAAAAAATGCCGCAAAACAGTCGATGGGGCTTTGCAGGTTTTTGTTAATTGAGTGATGTTAGAATCATCTTGGAGATGGGTTATAAATAATGGTGTTGAAAAAAAGTTGAAGTGGCATTTTACTTTAAATGAGCCAATCTATGTTCATTAGTCTAATACCTCAGTATGTCTCAAAGAAAATCTATCCATCATCCCATCAGTTTTCTGTTTTCTGTGATGATTTTTACTTGATATTTATGAAGTAAAGTTTATGTATGTGCTTCATTAGTAGGCTGAAATATAACATGCAATATTAGTTATTTGCATATATTTATAATTTTTTGTTCGAGGGTGAACGTTAATGTTTTAACGCAGGTGATTCACGCTCCCAAGTCTGATTCAAGACTGGCAAACAATGACCTTCCACTTGATATACAGAGGCTACGTTGCCGTTGCCTATACAATGCTCTTCGTTTCTCTCCTCCTATCGAGATATTAGGGAAGGTCTGATTTGTTTTCTTCTTATTTTGAATGTTGTCTGACTGCATTACTCCTGGGACTTGCTGATCTTCTGGCTTTGTGCATTTAAGAGTTCTCCTTTGGGGTACCTTGTAAACTAGGTTCTGAGTCTGCAATGATAATGACACCACAGACATTGGTGGAACGGTTGAAGTCACGTGGGAGGTACATCGCCCTTCATTTAAGATTTGAAAAGGATATGCTATCTTTTACTGGCTGTACATATGGTCTTACTGAGTTAGAAGCTGAAGAGCTGAGAAAAATTAGGTGGGAACTTTTCTCTAGAGCCATAGTTCTTTGCACTTTGTGGTTCGGTGTTACTTAGTTATTCTTATGTCCGCAGGGAGAGCACAAGCCACTGGAAAACGAAGAACATAAACTCAACAGAACAAAGAATTGGAGGTTTCTGCCCTCTAACTCCAAAAGAAGTGGGTATTTTCCTTCAAGCTCTGGGCTATGGACCATCCACCTGGATCTACATTGCAGCTGGTGAAATATTTGGCAGTGGTGCTCACCTTTCGAGTTTAAGATCACGCTTTCCTAATCTGGTTTTTAAGGTTAGTTGAAATCTCTTCCAAGTTCCTTGAAATGAGTGTTAGAGACTTTGTTTTTAATGTACCAGTATTAACAAACTTAGTTGGTGACAGGATACATTAGCGACTCCAGAAGAGCTGAAGATATTTTCAAATCATGCCTCACAGGCTGCGGCTCTGGATTACATCATATCCGTTGAAAGTGATGTTTTTGTTCCTTCATACACTGGAAACATGGCAAGAGCTGTTGAAGGTCATCGTAGATTTCTTGGGCATCGCAGGACTATTGTCCCTGATAGGTACTCCTTTTCTTGACTTATATATACGTATGATTGTTCTTTTAACCACAAAAATGCTCCACGGCTTCTCTTATGGTGTCCACAAAATTTGGCCGTAGGTTTTTTTCCACGATCTGAGTATCCGTGATTGTCAAAATCTTGGCAACTAGTAACAGTGTTGGAAAAGAAATCAGTTTTCCATATGAATGTCCTTTATATTATTAAAGTGAGTAGTATCACAATCGATGAATGATACTGGGAAGTACTAGGAGAACCAGCTTCAAAGGTCTCATCATGGCATTCATACTGTTTATACTTTCATTGATTGGCCATAGATCATCAGCTAGAGCAGATGGCGAAATCTTGCTTTCACCAGAGGCCTGTTGTGAGGATCATGTCAGCTTTCCATGCTTCCCTCTGTGTAAATCTTTAGTATCTCTCTCTTTCCCTATCATCCACCTATGGGCCTAGACAAAAACATGCAAATTTAGACCTTTCACATCCGTTTGGTTGGAGATAACGTCTGCCTCCCTTTGCTGATCTTTCCTTGGAATGATTTTTCTTGCCAATGTGAGTTATCTATTATGAACTATCAAGTTTTCTATCCTCTCTGCGTATTTGGAATGCATTACCTTTTTATTTTTATTTTTCAATCAATACGACCGGATCATTTAGACGAAAAAATGGACTAATTTGATGTATTATGGTCAAAAATCCTACGAATACATTTCGTGTTATTATAATTACCAAGAATTATTCCATTTCAGGAAAGGATTGGTAGAACTTTTTGATAAATTCGAAAGGGGAGAGCTGAACGAAGGACCCATGTCGGCCCAGCTCGTGCGCCGCATGCACAAGTCCAGGTGTGTATGACTCGTGAGATGTGCGCAGAGCTTAGCTACTCTTCACACCAATGTTTTCTTTCCTCTGCCGTGATTATCTGAAGAAAGGTGCTTGTTGCTATTGGCAGACAAGGGGCTCCGAGGAAAAGATACGGCCCCCTGCCGGGAATGAAAGGTCGGGGTCGCTTTAGAACTGAAGAATCCTTCTATGAAAACCCTCTACCAGAGTGCATATGCAGAAGACGAAGACTTTCCTAAAAAGGAAATGTTTTCTTCTGCGATCGCTACAAGCAGCTGGGCGTCACTTGCTCTGAAGTGTTGAAGAGATCATAGTCTGAAGCTCTCTGATTATAGAAATAGAATCAGACATTTGGTCGGAGAAGAACTTCGCCAGCTCTTCTTAGAGCCGATCTTGAGCTGTGCCATCTCGAGGGATATTCCATTTATGGAAATGGTTCCTTGCTTTCTTGTAGACCTTGACCATCTCTTGGTTTTTTTTTCTTTTTTTGGAAATGTTGTCATGCAAATTCTTCCCAGAGAGTGGGACATTCTTTTTTACTCTGGCGATGGTTTGTGCCTGCTCACTTCAAGCTGTCCGGCTCTTCTCTTCCAGCGTTGCCTCTCTCATGAATTCTACTCAGATTTTCTATCAACATTTTACATTGTTTCTATTGTTTTATACTCTTCTAGAGAGAGGGGGAGAGAGAGAGAGAGAGGGGGAGAGAGAGAGAAAGGAGAGTTTTTCCAAGTCCGAATTGACAAAAAAGAAAGTTGGAGGGTTAATTTGCTCTTTGGCGCTTCTAATTGATTGAAAATTCAATTTTCGTGAATAATGTACTAAAGTGGATTATTTCACAAAAATTGGCCTTGTTTTGTATTAATTAACATTTAATAATGAGAATAATATATATTCAAGTTAGGAATAAGGAAACCTGTTCAAGGATGGGTTTGGCGCTTGCGGCGTCGCAGGAGGCCCAGACGAGGCCTCCCTCGAACGTTGGGCTCGGCCCGTCTGGGAAATTTTGTTCGTCTGTGTTGCTTAAACCCTGAGAGAGGATAGAGCCACAGTTGCTCGTCTCTTCCCCTCCGTCGTCGGAGCCGTGGGGAGGAGCGGCGAGAGGGCCGGCAAGCCGAAGGACGGCAGGCATCTCCTTTTGTTTCTCCTTCCGTTCACCCTCCCCCCCTTCTTTCTTTGCAGATGGGGAGGATGACCCTCGCTGGCCCGGGACCAGTTGTGGCGGGGTGCTTCCCAAAGACCACCATTCCTTTTCCGTTGTCCCGCAGAGACCTGGTTCCTAAGAGGCGCAAGTCGCTTGCAACCAGATGGACTGGGAAGAGCATCCCCAAGTTCAGAATTTTCAGCTCAGCTTCGGACTCGGCTCCAATATCCAACGAGTGCGCTCCAGTTGGAGAGGATCCCGAATCTACCCAGCTGTTTGAGGTGTGGACTAATTTTCAGTGGAAAATGCTCCCTGTTTTAATGACCTGTTGTAGCGTGGGTTTTTTTTATTCGAGTTTACAATACGATCCGTGGGTCCTCGGTTAGATGCAAACCCAATATAGGACGTTCCTAGAGATGATTGGATGATTAACAATGGGGTTCAGATGCTTTCCTGATGGATCAAAATCTTTAGCGGATGCTTATAAATACTACAAGTCTTTAGAATCTTAGAAGTTTTTAGCGGATGTCTGTTCTGAATGAAACATTATCATGCTAAGTATAGCCATTTAGGAATCATTAGCAAAGTGGATGGCTGTACGTAGCCAACCTCCCTTGTCTGTTGGCAAGTTGACAGGCTTCAAGAGAATTCATTCCTTAAGCATGTCTAGAGGCCTTTTTACAAGTTTCCAGGCGTTTATGGACGTCAATACGCGATTTACCTCGCTAATTTTCATGTTCATTAATCAAACCTTTTGTATATCGACCGTTTTGCTTGAGCATGCACCGTATCACTGCATGTTAACATGAAAAAAAGAGTGTGCAAAGATTTGCTGATGTTTTATCCGTTGCTATTATTAATGTTTTATTTTGGTCTTTAGTTGTGGATCAAGTATGGAATAATTTAAACATGTATGCAGAAGCTGAAAAATGCAGAGAGAGAACGCATCAACAGATTAGAAGACTTCGAAAGAAAGGCTGATATGCAGTTGGAGAGACAGCTTGTTTTGGCTTCATCTTGGAGTAGATCATTGCTGAAATTTCAAGGGAAATTGAAAGGAACCGAGTGGGATCCAGAAAATTCACATAAAATCGACTATAGTGAATTTTGGAGGCTCCTTAATTCGAATAATGTTCAGTTCATGGAGTATTCAAATTTTGGTCAAACTGTCTCTGGTAAGTCTTTTATACTCTTATTTAAGTTTCTTATCTTGGAATATCATACCAGCTTCTAATGTTTAATGGAAGTACTGAATCATTTTCACATTCACAACCACCGGACATTACAATCAAGCTATTGCTGAGGATGCCTATCGTCTGGTAAAAATTATATCACTGTTTCCCCCAGGAAAGGAATCTAGGGTAGTTGCCGTACACAAATTAATACAAATGCCTGCAAGTGAGAGAGCGCATTGAAAATGAGAGGTGGGGTTTGAAGACGGGAATTGAAACATCTAAATGGATTCCCATTGTCAGTTTTGGTACAGATCACATACTTCGTGAGACCGAATCACTTTTTCCTTATCCCCATATTGTCTTTATCAGTTTTTGCATCTTAAATACCTCTAGGTGAATGTGGGCAATACTCCTGAAACTGATCCTGCTGGATTTCTGCTGGGCAAACTGAAAGGTATAGACTCCTATTGATACTGACAAATCCTTTCCCATATGACTTGATGATGTTAGTCCCATCGCCAGTTAGACTATAGTTATTGTTCAACAGAGATGTGACAACTAAGACGGATTCAGAACTGCGGCTTTGAAGAAATGCAGCTAAAGTTCTATTTTTATCATAAAGTTAACATCTAAACACAGCTAAATACAGAGGCTTATAAAGTTAACGTGCAACCTTGCTGGAATAGTAGAAAAAATTCTTCGGATTCTCTTTTCTGGCAGATTCTTCCGGAATAGTAGAAAAACTGCCTTGAACTTACATCATTGATGACTTATCCTATCCTCTTTACTTCTGCATTGGTGTCTTCAGTAATTGAGTTATCTATGAAAATTCTATCATTTTTGGCGCTCAATCCTCTAAAATAATCATCAAATTCATAATCCATGTCCATATTGAAGGAGAAATCACCACGTCATCCACGTCATATGAGTCTTATGCCATTGATTTGGGTGCGGCTAGAGCTAATGTAGGGTTCAATAATTTGAATAAGTCTCCCGATCAATTACCTACCTGATATCTATCCTCTACAATTGAATCACCTGATAATGTTAGCTTTTTATTGGAGTGTCAGTCAAATCCCTTAGCATCGTTCAATGTCTCTGTGAATTTCAAAGAGAGATTTTAAGTAAACACAAGTTTATAGTGAGAAGTGGCTGCAGAACAGTTCTGTTGATCTCACTCTCCTTCAAATTCATTGAAAAATGGTAAAGGTAATTTAATGAGATAATTTTTTTTGTTTAATTCCTGGAATTTCCAATGAATAATTTTTCTTGTTCAATAGTCTTATATCATTTTACATTAATTTAAATAACGCTTCCTTCTGTTGGAGAACTATTTGTAACAAAAGAATTAGGCTATAATGTTGATGGGATAGAAGATGGAAAATATGATATATTATTGAAGAATAATCAATATTCTCATAGTAAGGTTTGGTATTAGAATTCTATTGAGAAATTCAATAATTTATGACCAGTGATAAATCAATGTGAGTAAATCTACATAATTCAGAAATACAAATCGGATCAGATAAAGCTAATACAGAAATCTTAGAGGTAGACTTGCAGGATGGACATGTAAACTTCGTTATGGGGAGGAAAACTAGTGCTACGAGAGACTAAACTATCTAGCCTCCCAATCTATTTTGTCTAATTTTGAATCTCCTTATCACTGGTCTTCACAACCAGAATGGGAGAACGTGAGGGAGGGGAACATAATCCGTAATTTTCTCCCCCACTGAGGGGGGACAATGATTTTGGGGGGAAGTAAGGATACTCTGGAACCGGAGAAACTTTATGTGATAATGGAAAAAAAATGAGAAAGAATAAATACCTATCTTAAACTGCAGATGCTGTGCAACATTTTACTTCCTTGTAAGAAGAAACACACAGCTTTTTGTTCTCTCCTCTTCATCCGAAGGCCTCATTTCGCTCCATGGAAGGCTAACATACAGGGCAAAGGGTGAAAAGAGCATTATCCAGGAAGAGTGGATTGGTTGAACCTGGAAGAATTTTATCTCCCCTCTTTACGATGTGTATTATGTTGTCTGAAAATGATGATATAGCTGTATCCATTGGCAGTGGTAATCAGATAAGAATAGACCCATGTTCGTAAGTAAAAAAGTGAAACTATGGTTAGAAAGATAAAACTTCTCCGGTCATAGCCAATTAATTCTGAGTTGTTTGTCCTAAGGGCATTATGATGTCATTAACACGCCTTCCTATTTATGCAGTGATATTACCGTATTACAAAGACGAAACGAAAGAAGGGTCTGTGGGTTCTGGCAGGGAAATTATTTTCCGTCGCCATATTGTTGATCGAATGCCAATTGATTGCTGGAATGATGTTTGGCAGAAGCTACATCAACAGCTCATACACGTTGATGTTATTAATGTTAATTCAGTGCCTGCTGAAGTATACTCCACAATTGCGACTGCTGTTATCTGGTCTATGCGCTTTGCAATATCAATTGCTTTGTACCTCTGGATTGATAACTGGGCGAGGCCTATCTATTCTAAGTTGATTCCCTGTGATCTGGGTGTTCCTGAGAAAAAAGCTAGGACGCCTTTGAAACGCCGCGCACTTGGATCTTTGGGAAAGTCCCGGTGAGTGGTGGATTTTGAGACTTTGTCATTCTTGACTTCCACATTAATTTTTCAATCCTAGCTAATTCTGTTTCTGGTAGGTTTTGAATCAAATCGTTCAGTCATCGCAATGCTATAAGATCCGTTTTTCTATACATTTTTCGTGTGACCGTTCATCATGCAAGGTGGAATTAGCTATTGCAATTGGAGTTGATTAATATACATGGCATAGGCATTGTCTGATTACGGGAATGAAGAAGAAGAATGTGCAGAAATCTTCCTAATTAGGTTGATTCTGCTTATCCAATCAGCTAATTTAGATTGGGGTTGGCTGATCATCTTCATCTTGTCATAACTTAACTTGCTGACCACTCAAAGCAATTTAATTTCCTTTATTTTTATGGAATCTCCATAACACTTGTGTTATATGTTACCAAACTTTCTATTCTGTGACTCAATTCTTCTAGGTTACCCTTGAATTGAAATTCGGTTCTGTTATGGTACCCTTGAAAATTGATTCAGGGAAGTTTGTCTTAGACTTACTTTTCAACTCACAAGATGGTCCACAGTTAAATTTTTTCTCTTAGTACAATATTTAGCCCTTTAAATTGGTGTAGAAATACTGTATGATAATAGATCTATCGCCTTGGGTCCTGTTTTGGTTAATGTTCAAGCCTTGAAAGTGGGATTCAAGGCTGATTCGGAGAGGAATGAGGTTTGTTACTCTGCACTGTAACTCACCTTCCCGTCTATATCTGACTCGAGTTAGTTTAAAAATTACAGATCTGGTTCATATGGCAATGCGTTGATCCATTTACGTCGTTCATATCATTCATTTATCATGTATGTGTTCTTTTTGACATCTGCTAAATTACCACTATTACCTCTGGCATGCATTTCACTGGTTTTTCTGAATATATGATTTATTCTGGGGGATTTACGTTACTCTTCTTCCTAATCGGTTTTTACTTTGGTACTTAGTTCAATTATGACGCTTATACGGAGGGCCAATCCCTTGATGTTTTGTGGTAACAGGGCAAAATTCATATCAGCAGAAGAAACTACGGGTGTCACATTTGATGATTTTGCAGGCCAAGAGTATATAAAGAGAGAACTGCAAGAGATAGTGCGGATCCTTAAAAATGATGAGGAATTTCAAGATAAAGGCATCTACTGCCCTAAAGGAGTCCTCCTTCATGGGCCACCTGGCACAGGAAAAACCCTACTTGCTAAAGCTATTGCTGGAGAGGCTGGGCTTCCTTTCTTTGCAGCAAATGGAACTGATTTTGTGGAGGTGAAGCTGAGATTCTTTTTAAATATTCCTTTATATGATTTAAAATCTATGAAAGAATGGTGCATGGAATGTATGGACCTTGTGACATTCGGGAGTAAGACGTGTTTTATTTGGTCGAACAACAGTAATGTTGATCGATCCCAAATATTTCATTTTCCTTGGGCACGGTAATATACTATCATTTGTAGGTCCTGTGACTTAGCTGTTTATGATTATGTTCTGCATAATATGTTTTCTGGTTGAATATCAATCGAGAACGGATCTAATTTTTGATGGTTCATGGAATCTGGGAAGGTTATCATGATTATTTCCAAAGTACAGTATTCATTCATGTCAAACGAGGTTCTTCTGTGGTTAGAGCACTATATGGAGCCTCTGTGTCGCATTTGTGAAATTTCTTCATCTACAATCTTGCCTCTGCGTGTACTTTTTATACCCTTTATTGTTTTAGCTTTGCTTCATAGAAAATGGGAGGTTAATCCTTCATTTGGGTTAATATCACTTTGACATCTCACACATGAATCTCCAGATGTTTGTAGGTGTTGCAGCCGCACGAGTTAAGGATCTTTTTTCAAGCGCTAGATCATTTTCACCGTCAATAATATTTATTGATGAGATTGATGCAATTGGTAGCAAGCGTGGTGGTCCTGATGTTGGTGGGGTGAGATCTATTCTGGTTTTTCGTAGTTCTCATTATTCTTCGAGTCCATAACTAGAAAGTGTACAAGATGAAGGTCCATGTATGGATTTGTTCGGTTGGGATTTTCTTTTGATTTTATTGGTTCTCATCGTGTTGAAGTGCTCAATGATGTATTGACATTAAGTTTTCATGGCCATGAATGAGAATTCTCTAAGATTATGTTTTCATTATAATTCTTCTTTTCCTTTAGAAGTCTACTAATTTTTTCATTCCGTTGAAAAGATTTATCTTGAATAATATCAGATAGTTCACTCCATTAACCAAAAATCTTTCAACCGTATGTATCACAGGGTGGTGCTGAAAGGGAGCAAGGTCTGCTTCAGATATTGACCGAGATGGATGGATTCAAGGAATTTACATCACAGGTATAATTTGGCATGTTAGTTATTCGAGTTACGATCAAGGACTTATGATAGTCACACTGCTAAAATCAGCTTTTCAGGTATTAGTGATTGGTGCAACTAATAGATTGGACATACTGGACCCTGCTCTTTTGAGAAAGGGGCGCTTTGACAAAATTATCAGGGTTGGCTTGCCATCAAAAGATGGTAGACTGGCCATATTACAGGTCTGTTCCCGTCTAATTTGAGTTGCCATTTACAGAAATTTTCTTATGTTGTCATGTTACTCTCCTGACAGCCCAACTATGTGATAGGTACATGCAAGGAACAAGTTTTTCCAGTCTGAAAAGGAAAAGGATATTCTTCTTCAGGAGATTGCAGAGCTGACAGTAGACTTCACGGGTGCTGAGCTTCAGAACATACTGTAGCTGCCAAGACTTAACTTTCTAATTATTCGTTTCGTTCTTCAGTAGCTGTTCTTTTGATGATTTTTTGACCGGTTGGCAGGAACGAGGCTGGAATTTTGACTGCTCGGAAGGATCAGGACTACATTGGACGGGAAGAATTATTGGAAGCGTTGAAGAGGGTAGAAATTTGCATCATGCCATTTAAAGCATCAAGGAAATGCTTCCTCTAATCTTGACTAGAATATAGTTTAAACTAAAACTCCACTCTTCTACACTATACAGCAAAAAGGTACTTTTGAAACTGGTCAAGAAGACAGTACCGAAATTCCTCATGAGCTGAACCTGAGGATGGCATACAGAGAGGCAGCTGTGGCTGTTCTTGCATGTTACTATCCAGATCCTCATCGTCCTTTTGTTGAGGTCCATAAAGAAAACTGTCCACATTGAACTTGGTCTTCTGGATATTTTTTTTATGATGATTCACTTTCCTCAAGGGTTGATTAGTAAACTGAAAAACCAATGTTTGTTACAGACAGATATAAATGCCATTCGTAGCAAGCCAAATATGCGTTATGCAGAAACATCTGGAAAAGCCTTCTTGAGGAAATCAGATTACGTTTCTTCTATTGTGCGAGCATGTGCACGTAAGTTGAATCATTTTGCCTCTTTCACCTGTTTATTCGGAAATTTACGGCATGTCGCTTCTAGATCAAATCCATAGGAGTCATTTCCTGACATCCTTTATTGTCCAATTACATATGCTTTGTACTAGACAAGGGGAACCATAGAATTCGAATTGGAAGCAATGTATTGTCTTCCCTCATAGAAGACCTTGGGCAAGAGTAGAAGACTTATTGGCTGAAATTTTGATCCTTATTCTCATAGTTTTTCTTCTGAAAAAGAAGTGATAATTATGGATATTCACTTCCCTCCACATCAAATAATAGTGATCATTTATTTTCTTTGAATAGAGCACACTGCAGGCACTCTGATGCACTGAGTACATAATTTTATGTCATTATCCAATAGCTTTTGATTAGTAATGAGTGCATCAGCCTTTTGAAATCATTCTTTGAATTCACAATAACTCAGCAACGTGAACAAAGTTATTGTTTCTTATACTTGAAGAGGGCTCTTGAGAATCTATTGGAGGTCATTATTGAACATTTTTATGTTTCTTACTATCTTAAGCCTTTGGTTACTAATATATATATCGATTTACCTCCCATCTCCGAAAAGAAAAAAAGATTCTAGCCTGCAAAAAGGAAGCCTGTAAAGAGATGTGGTTTCGTTCATTGTTGTGATTATGGATGTGTTGCCTTGCTGTTATATACACGATCTACAAATGTATCACATTGAATAGCGTCGGGAACTCAAGAGAAAATTACTAGAGATACTGGTTACTTTCGAGAGAAATCATTACTCCCTTTTAAATGCTTTAATAAGCTGTGCATGCCCAAACTCTTCCCAAAGATCCTACCAAATGGGTGAATATACAGAAACCATAAATACTTTGAATATCTGGTTCGTCCAGCTGCTGGCAGAAGGAAACTTTTATTTGGGCTTCGAATTCTTAGCTCCAAAATATCAATCCAGTCATTGGAATTTTGTGATTGTGCCATTAGTTTCAACTTATTGGTTCCACAAAATTTCTGTCCCATTATTTGCGGTTAGATTATTTTCATTTATGATGCATCTGCTAATTACCTAAATTGACAGCAAGAGTGATTGAGGAGGAGATGTTCGGCATAGACAACTTGTGTTGGATATCTGCGAAGGCCACATCTGAAGCTTCAAGGCTCACAGAAATGTTGATCCTCCAGACGGGAATGACAGCGTTTGGGAAAACATTTTATAGAACTCAAAGTGATCTAGTACCAAATGTATGTTAAGCCTTTAACTACATCACACCTCATTCATGCTCGGATTTGATTCTGCAAATAAGTATCTTTATATGCATCGTGAGAACTTGTGTGAATTTACAGCTTGCACCGAAGTTGGAGGCACTTCGAGAAGAATACATGCGTTTTGCTGTCGAAAAATGTGCATCGGTGCTGAGGGAGTATCGCTCAGCAGTGGAGACCATTACTAGTAGAGAATCCTGCTTCCTCTTTGTTCACTTTTTTTCTTAATTTAGTTCAAAATTTTCTTGAATTATCATTGTCTGGCATACAACTAGGATGTCTATTCTGTATGTGATGAGACCTCACTTTCTGGCATCGGTTCATGACATTTAATGACGATATAGATAATACAATCTATGTTCCCTCGACTTTCAGATATTTTGCTCGAGAGAGGGGAGATTAAGGCAGAGAAAATTTGGGAAGTCTACAAGAAGGCCCCGCGAATTCCTCAGGTAAAATGAGCTAATGTTTTTCAATAAGATTATCAACATTTCTTCTATAAAATGTTAGACCTAATTATTGTATCCCACTGTCCTTTATCGAATTTATGCTCATTGTCATATTATGCTCTTCATATGCTTGGTGCCGGTGAGGCCTATTTTATCATACATATCTCTCTCCAATGCCAAACCACAAGTTGTGGGATTTCTGAAGTAGGCATCCACCAAGGTTTTTACAGAATTCCACTACATGTTGGTCCTTAATTGGTCACATTTGACTGCTTTATATTAGACACTTAAAAAACCAGTCCATTCAGTTCCTTTGAATAGTTCTATTGATTTGGTCCCAATTTTTCTGGTGGCACTTGGCCAAACAGTCATCTATCAAATACATGTGACCATGCCCAATTCATCAATGCCCAATGCATGTGACTTCAACTTGTTTGCTCATTGTTGCAGGCACCTGTGCACCCTGTTGATGAGTATGGCGCGCTTGTTTATGCTGGAAGATGGGGGATTCATGGGGTTTCCCTGCCCGGAAGGCTAACTTTTGCCCCAGGGAATGTGGGCTTCTTTACGTTTGGCGCTCCCCGACCAATGGAGGTTAGCAGCTTAGTATCCTGATTGGTTTGTGCTGGGTTCAAGCTCTTCCATGCTGCAGCTAATGCCTGCGAGGGTGTTGTCTATGTGCAGACCCAGATTATCAGCGATGAAGCTTGGAAGCTGGTTGACAACATTTGGGAAAAACGAGTGCAGGAAATCGACGAAGAGGTTTCTATACAGATCGAAGAAGAGACAGAAAAACCGCAACTCTTGCTGGCCGACCACATCCTCTGAGACGACCACATCCAGGTGCACATCTTCATGGCGTATGAAATTGACTTCATATTGACTTTATCTATGGTGAATAAATTATCTTTGTTTTTAATGGCTACCTGAATCAGTCTCCACTGCCAAAGATGGGAAGTATGTTCATAGTTGTTTAATCTCTTCGATTAAAGGTCAAGAAATTGCATGTTGTCCCGGCTGTAGCATCAGCATTCCTGAAGAGATGAAGCCACAGAATGACAATTATTAATTGGAAAATTGCCCGAGGGGGTTGAAGACTTTGCATCAGAAGAGCACCGCAAAGCATGAGAATCACCCTTTTGCCAGGATCTTTTGGATCTGCTCGATGGTGATGCAGCTCTCTGTTGATGTTGCCAGATCTTCAAACAAAAGGATGACAGGGGGATCAATGCCACCACATATGTAGATGTATCATCATCAAAGCATTCCACAGAGTTTATGCAGAGTAGGGTTTATGAGCATTTTAGAAAAAACCTGTTATTGGGCACTAGAATCTCTGTATCTTTTATTTTCCCTCAATTAATAACTCATTGATATACAATTGAGGAAAGAAATAACACTCTGTGGAATCATATATCATGAATTCGGTGACCTGGGGTGGTGCTGAAAGGCATAATCTTGCATATGCAATGGGTGGCCTGCATGCCTTAAGATTTCTGCAAGCCCATGCAAAGCCTCATAGATCTCAGTTCTCTTCTCATGCCTCAAGTCCTTGGCCAAGAACTCATGAACTTCACAGCCCACTTGGATCGAGCTGCACCCGGGGAGTTTCTCCACCCCCTCCTGCCACATGGCTCCTCGGATGCTCGACACGCCCCGCCATCTTCCAATAGACGCGCTGGAATTGGAAAGGAGAACCTGGTAGCCGGGATCCAACGGCTCCAGCTCCGCCATCTTTCTGCCGACTGACTCCACTACCTGTTCCCCACCTCCATCCCATCGACAAGAGCTCAACAGGGTGGCCCATACGACCACATTGGGCTCCACGGGCATGCTTCCGATGAAGTGGATTGCCTCTTCTGCCCTCCCTGCCCGGGCGAGGAGGTCAACCATGCAGCCATAGTGTTCGATCCTCGGCTCGATGCCGAATTCCACCGCCATCTGTCTGAAGATTCGCTGGCCTTCTTCCACCAGCCCGCCATGGGCGCACGCCGAGAGCAGGGCGATGAAGGTGACGTCGTCTGGTTCCACTCCACGGCGGGACATCTCCTCAAACAGAGCCAGAGCCTCTCCGCTCTGGCCGTGGGCACCAAGTCCCCAGATCATGGTCGTCCACGAGATTACGCACCTCATAGTCATCTGATTGAACACCGCCTCCGCGCATTTCATCTCTCCGCACTTGGCGAACATGTCCACGAGCGCGTTCCCCAGCTCGGAGGAGATCTCCAAGTCGTTCTTCTTGGCGTAAGAGTAGACCCAGTTCCCATGCTCGAGAGAACCCAGATGCCCACAAGCCGAGGCGACGGCGATCAGAGTGATTTCATTGGGTGGGCACTCGCCGTCGATCAACATGGCCTGGAATGTCTGCAGAGCTCGATCGAATCGACGGTTTTCATTGTACCCGGAGATCATCGCGTTCCAGGAGACGGTGTTCTTTGCTGGCATCTGATGGAAGAGAGAGCTCGCTGCCTCCATGCGGCCGATCTTGCTGAAGCCGGAGAGCATGGCCGTCCAGGAAACCACATTCTTCTGCTCCATCCGGTCGAAGATTGATCGGGCCGCCGCCATGTCGCCGGCCGCTGCGTAACCGGCGATCATGGCGTTCCCTGAGACGACGTTCCTCACGGCCATTCGGTCGAACATCAGCTGCGCCGAGCACATGTCTCCGACCTTGGAGAGGCCTGTGATTATGGAGTTCCACGAGACGATGCTCCTCTCGGGCATTGATTCGAACGCCTCCACAGCAGACGCCATTTCCCCGCGCATCATATACGCGTGAATCAGGGAGTTCCAGGAGACCACATCCCTCTGCAGCATTTCGTCGAACACTTGACGCGCGGGAGCTAAGTCGCGGCTGCACTTAGAGTAGAAGGCCAAGAGGGTGTTCTTGACGAAGAGGCTCGACCCGCAACCAGACCTAACTATCTGCGCATGGACAGCTTCCCCTCCTTGTGAGGAATCTCCCGAGTCCATTGCTCTGAGCAGGAAGGTGAAGGTGAAGCTGTTGGGATAGATGCCCAGAGCTCTCATCCGGCCGTAGGCCGAGAAGGCTCCGGCGGGGCTTCGGCTCCCGGCGAAGCACTTAACCATGTTGTTGTACGCCACAACGTTCCGCGTCTGTGCGCACCGGAGCACTCGGCCGGCGTAGCCGAGCGAGTGGGCGGCGGCGGAGACCTCCACGAGCTTCGGCAGGAGGAAGTCGCTGTCGGCGAGGCCCCGGACCAGGATTTGGAGGTGGGTTCGCTTCAACTCCCTGGGATTTCCACAGTTCTGCAGCATCCGGAGTAGCCTCTGCTCCATTCTTCAAACTCTGAAGAATGCCGGAGTCACAGAGACGAGCGCTCCTCCGGCGACACCATGCAGTCTATCTGACCACGGGCACCGAGGACTCCTCCCTCTGGTGCCGGCTCCTCCAGGGCTACCTCTCCGAAGGTTCCGCAGAGGAAGCTCTCCTCATGCTCACGAGGGGCCTCCCACGAGGAGCCCGCCGTCAGGTGCTGCCGGCAGCGCTCAAGGCCTGCGCCAGCCTCTCTCTCCTCTCCCTTGCGAAGGCCTTCCACGCAGAATCCGTCAAAGCGGGGCTGGCCTCCAACGTCCGTGTGGGGACGACCTTCATCTCCGTGTACAGCAAATGCGGCGATACCAAGGATGCACGTAGGTTCTTCGACGAAATGCCTCACAGAAACGCGGTCACCTACAACGCGATGATCAGCGGCCACTCCGGCGGCGGCGACATGGCCGCTGCGCGTCTTCTGTTCGGCCAAATGACTGCTCGAACGCCGGTGACTTGGACGTTGATGATAGAAGGCCTCGCAAGGGAAGGGGATATTGCCGCCGCCAGGGAGTTCTTCGACAGGGCGCCCCCCGAAATGAGGACCGTGGTCATGTGGACTGCGCTGGTCCACGGGTACACGGTCAATGGCCAGATGGAGGCTGCAAAACAGACGTTCGAGGAAATGCCTTGCAGGAACTTCTTCGTCTGGTCCTCGATGATCACTGGGTATTTCAGGGAAGGAAGGGTGGAGGAGGCCAGAAAGATGTTCGAGCAGATTCCTGCGAGAAATTTGGTGAATTGGAATACCTTGATCACTGGGTACACGCAGAACGGATTCTTCGAGGAGGCTCTGAGGTCCTTCCAAAGGATGCAGGAGGAGGGGTTCGAGCCCGATGAGGTCACAGTGGTGAGTGCTCTCTCCGCCTGCGCGCAGGCGGGATCACTGGACTGCGGCAAGGAGATTCACAGGCTCATCCACGGGGCAGGGATCAGACTTAACCAGTTCGTCCTCAATGGGCTCGTCGACATGTACGCCAAGTGTGGGGATCTGGGGAGAGCCGAGAGGATCTTCAAAGGGATGACCCGGAGGAACAGAGAGTGCTGGAACACGATGATCTCTGGCCTGGCCAGCCATGGCCGGAGCAGGGAGGCGCTGGAGCTCTTCTCCCGGATGGAGGAGTCGGGAGAAGAGCCCTGCGCTGTCACATTTCTCGCGGCTCTCTCTGCATGCACCCATGGCGGATTCGTCCAGGAAGGGCTGGAACTTTTCGCGAGGATGAAGAGGAGGTACGGGCTGGACGCCGGGGTCGAGCACTATGGATGCCTGATAGATCTTCTTGGCCGGGCTGGGAAGCTGAAGGAAGCTTATGGGTTGATCAGAATGATGCCCATGGAGCCAAATGATGTGGTCTGGGGGGGTCTGCTCGGTGCCTGTCGGATCCATGGGGAGGCAGAACTGGCAGAGCAGGTGGTGAGGGAGGTGGAATCAAGAGACGATGCTAGGTTTGTGCTGCTATCGAACATCTACGCCGCTTCAAGTAGATGGGAGGAAGCAGAGTACATGAGGAGGCAGATGGTTGACCATGGAGTTCAGAAGATTCCCGGGTGCAGTTTACTTAGTGTGGGGGTGGCAGATGAAGGGCTGACTTTGAACAATTCAACTCTGTTGCACTGAAGGTCTGTACACGAATGATCGAAAATTTCAAGCACTCGGAAGACTCACATGCAGCTTTAGACGACTCGGAAGGAATCCGAGATCCTCTTCAAGTCGTTGTAATGCTTCTTCCACTGAAGACCTGAAAGAACCATCACAGGCAGGTGAAGGTATACTTCGCCATGGAAAGACCAGTCGAAGAACAGCGAAGAACAGCTCTTACCGTTGGCCGTCACATTGAACAAGTAGAGCCGGTTTCCTGCTGCAGTGGCTGTAATTAGCACGTGGGGCGGTTCCAGCTCAAACTGGTAATATGTCCTCCCCATATGTTCGGCCACTTGCATGCTTAAAACCTTGCCTTCTACGTTTTCTCCGATGACCTCTGGGCCAAAGGCGCTGATCACCTTCTCCGGTGGCCCAATCTTCTCTATTGTCACATCATCTCCGAGAGTATCTGAACCAGAAACATCACCAGAACAGAAGCGGCGTGTGAATCTTGGGTGGATCAACCGAAATGACCTCATCAGGCAATACTCGAAGGAGATCGAAGACGAAGGAAGAACAACGTCTATTCTTCCTCACGGGCATTGCCTCCAAAACAAGGATGAATGCACGCGATCCCATAAGGTTAGACTCTGACTGCCGAAAATTTTTAGTGGGCTTACAAAAACTTTAGCACTCGGTTGGTGCCTCCTGTTTCTCTCCACCATCCTTCACAGTCTGCTTCTCTCTGGTGTTCAGTGTTCAGAGTCAAGATGCTCTACTGGGTAGATACTGGCTCTTATTGCTCTTCTGATGCCCAACAGGATCTACGTCTGGCATGCTGTTTTCCTTCGTTTATGTGAGACTTCTTGGCATTATGCAAGGGTAATTATGCTTGCCTGTACTAAGTTTTTCCCTTTGAAGACTATACCTGGGGGATACCCTTGAAAATTTGGAGCTTCTTGGGAAGGATGCTGTCAAGAGCGTTGACAGAATACAAATAGAGAGCCCATATTTTCGCGTGAAAAAAAGGGAAAATAGAACACAAACAGGAAGCGGGATTTCTCACCTGAAAATCGGAGAACAGGAGCTACGATAATAAATAAGCGTCCTTCTTTAGAGTTTGCAAATCTCAGATCAATCTCAGTGCCGCCAAGGTCTGCAATTGATACAGGGACCTAGGAAAACCGATCTACGTCAATCAGATGCATGGGAGCAATGGGACGACGCAAATCAGATTTAGTCCTTGTAAAATCTGGTTTCTTGTTGAGATATACCTCTTCCCATCCTTCGGGAACTGCAAACGAGTACGGGATGATTGGACTCCAGCCAACTCCATGTCCTCCGGACTTCTCATCTGGTCTACGGTATGTCCTCCAACCTGTCTGAGCAAGATATAAATAGAGCATATAGTATACATGCACACGTGAATATTTTATGATAAACACAACCTGATCGAATGCACTGAAAAGATTTTGGATTTTTCCCCAGGAAGCCAGGGTAGCAATCTTGGTGATTTCATGGTTTCTGCTTTAGAGATTTTATTGCTTTGAACTACAAAAATTAAACCTTTGATTGTACTGAAATCATCTACATGAAGCACCCCAAAGGCTTAAGTACTCAACTTTATCAAACAAAGAAGATCTACTCGGAATCTCATTTGAGATATGTTTGCGTATTGACTTATAAATGTATATCTGAATGCAAAAATAAATAAATAAACATAATATATGTATATATATATATATAGATAGATAGAGAGAGAGAGAGAGAGAGAGAGAGAGAGAGAGAGAGTTAGAGCTTTGTAACTTTCTTAGACAAAATCATCCTAAGAAATTGCAGCGTTGGACTTGGATTTTATTGGATTTCCTTTGGTGAACGAACGCCGGTTGTCTCGAATCTACGGATGGTAGAACTCTGGAATCACCGTATTTACTTGCAGGCTGGGCAGTGCTCATGAAATACGCGACTAGAACAGGGGAAACGGAAGGGACGAACCATTATCATCCGGTTCGGACAAGCCCGGGATCCTTCCTGCAAGAAGACCCTGCTTGACAGCCAACCCTTCCCCGGGGAAACCCAACACCGCCGAAGAAATCAGAGATAGCCCGGAAACCAGAGCTCCCCTCCTCCTCAGGAAATCTCCAGAAGGCTCACGCCCCTCATCTTTAGACTCGGTATTCTTTCCCATTACCGCGCTTCTCCTCACATGCACACCCCGAGGGCTGCTTGAATCAATCCTTAAGGCAAAGGAGCAGCCGCCAAAGAGAGCTGTAGCCATAGCTCGTTCCTTGCTCCCACAGCAGCAGAATCCTCCCTCTGATGAAAGCAAGCGACCTCTGGAGTTCCCGTGCGCTAGGAGGGCCCCTTCTTCTCGTCGAGAATCAATCTCCTTCGCCGCTCCGATCTTCCGGGAGCCCTCCGCGCCCTTGAAAACCAGAGGCAGATATCGGTGATGAGCTTCCTCAGTGCCATCGTCTTCTGTGGCCGTCTGGTATGGTGGACGCCTCATCTACAGCACTTGAAGCCCATAGATCGTGTGATGAGAGCTGTGCCACGCAAGCCACCTATGGGATCTGACGAGAGAAGCACGTCCGTTCGATTTCCGTATTGGAAGTCCTTGCCATTTTTATGGCGCCCAATAATTTGGCCCAATACTAATAATATAAAGTGGGCCGGGCTCCGAGCCCAGGGCAGCGAAAATGGGTAAAACTAAGGGTTTACTTAGCCTAGCTCTCAACGCCAAAAAATAATAATTACCAATATGACCCTGATTTGAAAATATTTCTCAAAAATATTTTAATTATTTAATCCTTTACTATTGGATCTCATTTTTTTCTCATTTTTTTCTAAAGTTTATTAACTAAGGGAGATATTAATCTCCCTCTCCGCTCAAGTGATTCTTCTTTCCTATAAGCAATTGACAAAAAAAAATTAATAAGCCCAAAAATATAAGAGACTTGTTTGATCTCATAAATAAATAAATAATTTTACATTTAATAGTATACTTCTTACTATGACTCAACTCATTGCTTGAGACATAAAGAGACACTATAGGTCATACAATTAGTCCCATAATCATATGAAACTTTTCTAAGGTTGTAAAAATATTGTATTATTATTTTTATAAACTCTTAGAAAAAAATTTACAATGTAAAATTACTGTTTGATTCATGCATATATTTTTTTAGTATCAAAATCATAAAGGATCCAAAAGACAACATAAACTTCTTTATATCTTGAAGAAATGAACAAATGTGTTGTTGGTGAAGACTACACCAATAAGTAGTAGACCACAACCATTACCTCAAGCTCATACACATGTAGGTATTGTTGTGTGTCATTTGGGTCTTGTGGTCCCTTGATAGTAGTATAAACACAATTATGTTGGTGACATTATAATCTACTAGTGTATCATCTGTGTGGTTAATCATACTTATTGTGCTCCTTTGTACTGTAACTCAGCCTATGTCTAAATTTGGAGTCATGTCATGAAACCAAAGAGAAGTGAAATAATTCTTTTTTTAATTACTTTAAATGGATTGTATGTGACTAAGTTAGAGGCTACCTCATAAACTAACCAACTAATCTTGCATTCAACAACAAGAACTACTCATTCAACTCTTTAACAGACACCTCTCATACAATCAACCAGACTTTGTTATAGATATATGTGCAATACTAAAGTTTGTATTTAGTATGGAGTTATACAATGGCCACCACTACCTTATTCAAACCAGACTTTATGTATTTAATATAGAGACATATAAGCAGTTTTCTGTTTTTTGACTGTTAGTGAACTAAAGTGCATTAAACTTGAATATCTTTGCCCTCATATGTGAGCACTTTGTTGGTTTTAAGAAGGCTACAAGAAGAACCAAGAGGAGGCATGAATTAAGCTTTTCATTTCATCTCCTTGACTCTTGAATCACAAATCAAAGTATGAAACTTAGATATATAGTGGCTCATCTCACGTTGTATACTCCAAACATTAAAGGCTTTGTCCTTAAGTTCCACTAAATCAAAATGGTAAAATTTCTAAATAGGAACTATTTTATTAGCTTTCACTAGAATTAATAGATCTTACCAACTCAACTATTTCCTCAAAACCTATTCTAAATTCATGACTCAAGGAAGCTAACTCAATTAGCATCAAAGTAATCCTTTATAGATTTATGGCTCTCTAGAAAAGAACTTCAAATACTATAGAAAATTTTGTAGCTCATAATAGAGCATTTTTAACATAATCATGTATTTTGAATATTTTGTAATGTGTAATCATTAGTTTATCATTGAGTACATTTTCTCAATATTGAGGCTTGTTCTTTTCTAATGCAGTTGACCTGATAAGAAAGGTGTTTGAGATATGAAATTAAATTCCTACATTCCCTTTCGAGTTGTGAGTGTAAAACTAATCTAAGTAGGAGGCTCTCAAGTTATAAAATCACTCCTTAAATCATTTTGAACTATTCTAAAGATTAGGAAAGTATGTAACCAATTATTTTTTAATATCTCATTGAATTTTTGTCACATAAGGTTACCATTTTAACTTTCCACCCATTTTTGTTACCATCAAGACTGTAACGCACCCATAGCCAACTTACTTCAGCAGCAACAAGTCTATTGCAAGTGTCTCAATGTACTCTTTTCACTTGTTAGTGTCAGTGGCATCTACCTACAACCTACTTGAGTAGATGATCGTTTTGTGCACTTCCACTTGCATCGAATTTTTAGTAAGGAAATGAGCATCCATCATTCACCTTATTGAGGGAGATGAGGACTTGGACCTCAGCTCGTTGGTCCTCTAGGCAAGTAATTCGTTGCCCTTGGGTCTTAGATTTATTTGACATCAATGCCTTAGACTTTGATACCAATTTTCACAATGATTTAACAAGCATACCTACCTTTTTTTTCCTTGTGTTTGACTTGACTATTTACGTACTAATGATCCGTAGTCAAATCTACAATTATGCACTCTTTATCTAGAAGGTCTTGGAGATTTTTCTCTATAAAAGTATATGACAAGGAAACTAACTTTCTCGAGGTTGAGCCCTATTTTTTTTATAGATTTACACTTGTATAGTATTATCCCAAAAAGACTAGGAAACCTTAGGAAAGCTCTAATCATAAGACCCAAATCCACATACATAAATTTCACATGTCATCCTGGGCATCATACAATATTATGTCATATTTGTGTGCTGAAGATATAACCCTTTTGTGCAGTGAGAGTTACAAACGCATCTGTGATTGATAATCATTCCAAAATTCATCACAACAACTCTGAAAACTTCTGCCCATAGCTTCCTTGCACACATCTATGCATGGAGCCTCTTTGTATGAGCTTGCTTGGGGTCATGTCACACTAAATTGGACATTTTTGTGCTCCAGTTATATGTGCCACACCATATAATTCTATGCTAGAACATATTATTACCATGTAGTGTCGTACAATTGGCCTCTACGATTCATTGACAAATACCCATAAATCACACTTAACTCTAGTGGTTCCACCTAGTAGTGATGCATGTTTGAGCTACTTCCATCATGTGCATGTGACAAGATGGCAATACCTAATAACGTGTCAGCACATGTGCACACATGCACACACATGCGCCCACATCAACTCTTCCAAGTGATGGAGTTCCCCACATAAAATCTTATTATTACATATTGAAGATCATTATGAGTAAATATGATATAATTTATGGGAAACTATATATAAATATGAGTAATTATGAGCATATATAATGACCGAAACGCCATTTTTTTTAATTAGTTTCTGGCTTAGGCGGGCAAATTTCTGACTCACGTGGGAGGCCAAGAATTTTAGGCACGTGTCATATGCCTAGGAAGAAAGGAGCAGGCATTCGCGCTAGATCACGTGTTTAGGCTTCCTCGGGCACGCCGCCCTTCTCCCGCATACCCAACCAACCCCACTGAAGTCCCGTGCCTACTCTTGCAGGGTGGGCCCACCGATCACGCGGTTCAGACAAGATCCTTAAATAAATAGAACACGAAATCTGACATTCCTTTTGAGGCACGTATCGGGGTCCACCGATCACGCGATCGTGATTGTACCGTCCGTTGGCCCGAGAAGCCGAAGCAAGCGTTTCACTGTTCCGTTGGACGATGTGACAGCTAGTAGGTGAGCTCGAAGGCCACCCTCCCCCTCTTCCTCCTCCCTTTGAGATAGCCTCCAAGGCCCAGATTTACAGTGTGGGTGGTTGGCGATCTCATTTCGAAGGATTTCCGCCGCCGCAGCCTGCGTTTGAGGTGGCCCGCCACTTGTTCTTGAGTTGCTTCTTGGAATGGTGGAGGCGGGAATAAACAGTGCTGGGTGAGGTGAGGGAAGGCCGACGCCATTAGTGGCTTTTCAATCCCCCAGGTATGAGCTTTTTAATGGATGGGGTAAAATCGGGGAAGACCGAGCGCTTCCGATGCGTTTTTTGGACTGTTTCTTGATAATTGTTTCTTCTTGTTTGAAATGTGTACGGTGGTATCGCCCTAGAGCTATTGGTAGATTCAGGAGAAAGGCGGCGATATTTCATTGCTGTGTACGCAGTCGACCGAGGGGTTGCTGTCTTTTTCTCAACGTTGGTGTTCTCTAATGTAGTAGATGGGTTTGTTTACTCATGCGTAATGTGCAAGAGATGGGCGAGGTGGGAATGGTGTCCGCCGAACAGCAGCCCATGCATCAGCGAAGGAAGTGGGTTCCGATGTCGGAGGATGAGGGGAAGGAGAGGAGGGAGCAGCAACGGCTGTGGTACCGGCGGCGGAGGGCACAGATGACTGAAGAAGAGATCGCCTATCAGAATGAGCGACGGAGGTTGAGGTACAGGCTGAGGAGGTTGAGGGCGAGCGCTGAGCAAACGGTCAGAGCCCTGTACGATCTTCCAATATTGGCCATGGGAGGAGGACAAAACTCCAGGGCATATGGTGAGAGGGTCCTGGAGGAGAATGAACGACGAGGGCAGCTGGGGTTTTACGAGTCGAACGCCCAGACGACCGGTGGACTCATCGATCTTCATGATGCGCAGCAGAAGTTCAAAGATGAACAACCAAGATGGGAGTTGGACGGCGGCGCACAAGTAAGAGAAAGTGGGGGTCGGCAACATCAGTGGAGGTGGAAAGTGGAAGCAAGGAAGGGAAGGGGCGACATGGCGGACGATCCACCCTCCGACTTGAGTCTAGTCGTCAGAGGTCCTACCGTAGTTAGAGTGGATCCCCAATCTGATGACTCTGAGACAACTGAAACTGACGAGAGTTTTCAGGGCATGCTTTCGCCTAGCTCCTTTGGATCTCTTACGATGATCAGTCGACCAGCAGATGGTGACCTCCCTATGTGCCCGGGTGAAGGTATATTGATGCCCTAGTCACAGTTATAGCTCCATGATTGGTCTGTTCATTTGTAAGTCTCATTTCTTTTATGCATTCTGAAATCAGCCATGTCCAAGGCTCCACCATTAGAGGAAAATTCTCGGCTGCATTCAACTGTTCCTAAAAGTGTGCGTTTGACCCAAGTGAAACAGCAAGCTCGAGCAATGCGCATTCATTCAGCTTCTCATTTGATGCGCAAGTGCTTCGTGATAGGAATGGCTGATGGTATGGCTTGCTGGTTCCTGAAATTATGAGTAAACACGAAATACTGTGGTCGCTATTATTGTTATTCTTTATACTCTTGCTCCTTGATATTCTGCCAAAATTTTCCTCACAATTAATGTAATCAATCATGACTCTACGCAGGTCCGCATTAAATCTACATTCAGAGATGTAAAAATTTTCTCAGCAGCAATACAGCATCAAGGAAATCAAAATTGATCTAAGGAATGCTAAATTTAGGCCCCTTTAACATAGGTGTGTGTTCAGATAATTTTCCAGAATGGGATGTTATTTTCATCATGGCTGATTTTATTTTTTTTGGTACGTTCAGATCCGTAATCCGCATTGAAATCTATACATTTTTTAAATTTTAGATTCATGTAGATAGTTTCAAATGTGTCTTCTCTTTTCCCAACTGCTGGAGTAGGATTCTTACTAAGTCTTTCATATCTTTGGGTCATGTGCTGATATTTACTATATTATTGTGTGTTGCATTGTAAAACAGTGCCCAGATGGTGTATACCAGTAAATGGCATGCCTTTAGGTCATGCTGGCGGATGATCGGTGACAAATTTATTAGTTGTAAATTTCAATTTCCTTGATCAAAGAGCCTCCCTGAATTGATCAGAGTATTCTCCTGCCGCTGTCCAAGAGCTCTTGTATTTTTTTGTGACAAGAAATTATTTAGATTTTAGGTTTTAGATGGGAAACATTCTTTGATGTTCTATCATGAATAAACTGGCAAGAAATGGCAATATATGATTTTCTAGGCTTCTAGGTAAATTTATGACAGATATCCATCATATTTACGAGTCCACTGGATATCTGTTGTGTTACACTAGTAATCTCAACTATATTTCTAGCCATCATATTTTAATTTTTTTTATTAAATTCTTGATGTAGCATACATCTGGGTATCTTCAATGCACGACACTATAGAACCGAGATGGTATTTCTTGCTCCTTATTTGTCTCAAATTCCTAGCTGACGACAGCTGTTTCACCGCAGAGATCATGAAACAGATTGTTATGAACTACTTGTTTCATATTTGCAGTAATTACAGAAAAATTATTTCGATGGATTATATTGTACAACCCGTATCGTTTTAACCATTTACAGGGAAATTTCTATAGCGATGATCTGCTATAATTTATCAGATGATCTTTGAGCGTTGCTTTTGTTTGCTATAAATTCCATTTTTTCTGATCTTCCTTTTCTTCCGCAGTTGTACATCTTGATTAAAAACGGCAATGCTTACAGCAAACTTTTTAATTAGTCTTTCCTGGATTGCCCGGATTTTATCTCTGGAAACCATGTCAAAGGCAGTGGAGAGATTTATTTCTTCATTGTAAGCATCTGTACGGCAACTGAAGTTGTAGCAGATCAGACCAAGGAAGCCTACGAAACAATTGGAATTTTTATGAAACTGTACACTTTCAAAAAATATTGTGATATTTTTGTATTTTTTCCCGAAATTCCTAGTGAAACATTCAGTCAGTTTTTTTTCTTTATTAAAAAAAAAAAATCCAGCAGAGAAGACTGCCTATCACTTACTGCAGATATTTCATTGATTCTGGAAAACATTTGATGGCAAACTTTTACGGTAAGAGATTAAAACGTTTAAGTTTTAAGGAATGGTCTTCGGATTTTTTTTCTGGTATTGAATGATCTGAAGGATCGAACAATAGATCATCAGTTTCTAAGGGCAGATTTTTACCCATTTAACGAATTTGTTTTCGTGTTGCCTGTGCCATCATCATTCAACGTTCCGAGATACATGTGAGATAAAATGACTACGGAAGCTGGGTTCTGGGATCCATGGCGGCTACTATTCAGACAAGGATTATATATCACATCACTGAAGTTAACTTTATAGTAGATTTATATATATATATTTATATATATCCGATTAAATAGTTGAATAAACTTTTTATTATACTTCTTGAATTAAGTGTACCGCATGTATAATTTTTATTATAGAATATTGAAAGATTAGTTGCTACAGGTAGGACTGTTCCACCCATACGCCGTTGATTATCATGATATACTAGTAATTATTTTAGGCTAAATTCCTTTAATTTATGCTGTTCGTTTACTTCATACTATTGGGTTTTTAGTATATAATTTTAAAGTGATACGAAAGCTGCAGAAGAATTAGGCTCATATATTGAGATTCAAGATTTAACCTGTTTTAATTAATGAAAAATCAGGCTAGCACGCCCTCCTCTGTCTTAGTTCGAATTAACTACTTATGGAATAGACTTATACACTTTCACAAATAAATTTTCGAACCAAATATTTAACTACTCGAACGTTAAAGCTATGCAATAATAATTTTATTTATGGTACATGGTGACCAAAAATTGTATGACAAAAGATCAGGGAAGCTGCAACTTCATTCCCTGCTTCAGTGTGGTAGAGGAACCCGGAGCCAGCTACATGTACTCTCCCAGTCTCCTCCGTCGGCGAGACTAAATCATTCAGGATGAGCGAGGATGACGCAGAGCATCGGCTATGGGTTCGTCCTCTCCATGTGATAAAGAGGAACGAGAGAGGGGGAGCCGAGGGAGTCAGAGAAGGCCCGGACGACAGTGATGAGGGAAATTCGCCACCACCAAAGCGGCGGTCTCTCTGGGCTTCTTCTCCTTCTTCTTCCCCTTCAAAGTCTCCACCGCATGTTTCTTCCCCTGGTCCGTCTTACTGGGAGAGACCTTGTCGATGGCGGAAAGGCAGGAGAGTATAAGGCCCATCTCCAACCCCGAGGACCCCGTTGAGAGATGAGGAACAGTAGATCGGAAGGTCAGAGGAGGGTTGAGCAGGTCTCCGAGAATCGCGGGTGACTGGTTGTGCGGCGGGGTTTGAATTAGAGGGAATCAATATATAGATGGGCCTCGTCCTGACCGCCTGCTGTGTTTTTTCGTTGTTGGTTGGCCGGGGAGGCTTCCTTGACGAGCAAGATTGAGTCCAACCTTGCGAGGGAAGATTCCAGGTGGCAGCTGGTGGATGATGCGTTGACTAAGCAAGCTCTATACTAACTAGTGATCCAAGGGACAGCGACAGGTTGTATTTTCCACAGGACCTTCCTTTCTCCTTCCTCTCTGCCACTGTGATTTGCCTACCCAGTTGAACCTTTGCCTCCCCCAGTCCAAGAAGATCCTCCCCGACAAACGTCCAGATGTCGGAAGAGACACGTTCTTCGCCCTGCGCATACGCCGGCGCAGGGTAGAAAGGGTTGCCCTATTAAATCAGAGATGCCGGGGAGAGGAAGGAGCTTTGAAGAAAAACCGAAGCCGAAAAATCCGTGCAATTTACTGAGATGAGAGCCGGCTATGTTGCTGGGTCAACCCACGGAAGCGTTCCAGCGCTGAAGATCTCTGGTGTGAGAAAATTAGAGGCTCTCTTTATGCGGGTCACGCAGGTTTACACAGAAAGACGATGGACAACATCAAATTTTATTCAATCGATCCCATGGTCGTCAAGCCCAACCTATACTTCATCAGACAGAACGCCCTCAACGGCGGCAGCGGGCGGGATTAGAGCTCAGTTTTCCATGCGAATGAGGCAGCGGAGGCCTTCTCCCCTGAACATTAAATCGAACGCCTTGTTGATCTCGGAGAAGGGGACCTCGTGGGTGATGAACTTCTCCAGCTCCATCTCCTGCACCATCAAGCAACCATAGAAAAAGGCCCACGTTTTTTAGCGAACACCTGCCTCAAGGATGACTCAACCCCACCACCACAACTGAAGCGGCAAGGTGAAACCGAGTTCCCTTACCTTGTTCATGTACTTCTCCACCACACCGGGGATATCACTGCGAGGCTTGTAGTTCCCGTAGAAGGTGCCCTTGAGAGTCCGCTCAGTCAAGAAATTTACTGGGGAGGTCTTGAACACGGCATCCTTGTGAGGCACACCGACCAACACAGCGACTCCCCAGCCCTGCGATCGTGACGTCAACCAGATTAGATAAGAAAGGGTGAAATAAGGTTAGATTTCCGTTTACGAAGCGTCAGAGATCGAGAGATATCAAGAGAAAGTACATCGTGGACGCATTCGAATGCGGAAATCATGGCGTTGATGTTGCCCGTGCACTCCACACTTCGGTCTACTCCGCCGCCGGTCATCTCGGCGATCACCTGTTCACCACAGACCACAGGACTCACACTTTAGAAACCGCAGTCAACGGCATGATGCTAAGCTCGGAAATGTTAAAGTGTGATATAGAAAGCGAACCTCTTGAACGGGTCTGTCGTGATCTTTTGGGTTCACAAACTCCGTCACGCCGAACTTCTTAGCTGGTGATGAAAGCAATGAAAATGTCTTAAACTCTGTTGTTCATATCATCACCCGAAATCCAATTGATTTAAAAAAAGATTGGACACACACCTTGCTCGAATCTGTCCGAGTTCAAGTCCACACCGATGATCCTTGAAGCTCCTGAGACCCTCGCTCCCTCCGCAGCCTGTTTGTTACCATTCTAATATGTCATCATCTAATCGAATGGGGAGAAGAGAACGAAAACCATCCACTATACAGAGTAACAGATAGAGGAACAGAGCGAGACACTCACGGCAAGGCCCACGGCTCCCAATCCGAATACAGCAACTGACGATCCTTTCTTCGGTTTGGCCACATTCACCGTCGCGCCGAAACCTTCAAAATTTTGATAAAAACATTTATGGTATTAAGGAAAGATATAATTTCCAAAATTAGAAGATAAAGAAGATAGTGTGAACACATTCCAAGGCTATGTTTTTTTTTTAATTAGTGAAGCCAAGCTGAAGAAGAAGAAGGCCGCACCTGTGGAGATCCCGCAGCTGAGCACGCAGACCGTTTCCAGGGGGGCCAGCGGGTTTATCTTCGCTAGGCAGCCCACGTGCACCACGGTGTACTCGCTGAAGGTGGAGGTGCCGAGAAAGTGGTAGATGGGCTTCCCGTTGATGGAGAACCTCGACTTCCCGTCCCCGATCATCACACCGCGGTCAGGGTCGATCCTCAGCAGGCTGCACATGTTGCTCTCCTCCGATTTGCAGTGGTCACACTCCTTACACTCTCCCGTGAACACCGGGAGCACGTGGTCTCCCGGCTGCAGATCCGTCACGCCTTCTCCCACGCTCTCCACAATCCTGCTCACCGTCAACACCAGACAGAGATTTAGTCCATATGGGGAGACTGAGGAAGAGAAAGAAGACTATTCGGGAAGGAGACCGAGGAAGTGAAGGGAATTGAGCATACCCTGCTGCTTCGTGGCCCAAAATTCGGGGGAACACGGGTGTCTGACCCTGCAATGCCACCAAGACCAGATTACGTGAATCACCGTGATCGATCGACCGAGGGACCTTCCCGGGGGTCGCCGTCTGTGGGACATATTATGGAGGAAAACCGTACCTTGGCCTCCCAGAAGTAGACGTCGGTGTGGCAGAGGGAGGTAAAGAGGATCTTCACGCGGACCTCCATGGCCTGCGGCGGAGCCACCTCCACCTCTTCGATAACCAGCGGCTTCCCCGCCTCCCAGGCAATCGCCGCTGCAAATCCCGGGGACAGATGTGAGGAAAAATGACAATGCGTACCACCATTGGATCAGGAGAAGCCCCTCCGTTTAATTCCTTTGACCCAGTTCGGAGACAGAAAGGACCAAATGAGGGGAAAACAGAGATCCGTCGCCTTGGGACGGTAAAGAAGAAACATCCGTCTAAAGGGAGGAGGAACGAACCTTTGCATTTGATGACCTGACCGGCCGTGCTCGACATCTTCGCCTTGTGCTTCTTCGACCCTTTCTTTTCTCTCCCAAAAGTCTCTGTACGTAGACTTGGAGAGAGATGGAGGCGCCGGAGAACAATTTATAGGGAGTATGCAGGCGCCGACGCGAGCTCCGAATCCGCAGAAAGCGGCGGATCCTTTCTTCGTCTAAAACCGCTGCTGCCGCTGGAAACCGGTCATCCAGCGGCTGGGAAACGGGATTCCCCCGCCCCTCCGCCAGCTGTTGTCCCTCCTTCCTGCGGGCCCACTGGGGCGTCTCCTCTCCCGCGATAGGGTTGACCACCTTATCGGCCTCAGCTTTCTTTCCGCGTGTCGGATTCTCGAGTCCTGGTTTTTATGTCCTATCGACTGACGTTAGCAGGCCATTCGGTCTAATGTTCAGAAATAATCGATTTTTTACAATAAATTTATGCTAGTCTTTCAAAACAGAATATTACGAGGTTGCTCTCACTCACAGACATACGTTGACCATACTAGAGCTCTGACTATCACACGTGACAATATCGCGATATAAGTTGACTAAACCAGAACAGTACTACATCAAACAACTCCCTTTAACCGAGCGGTTAAAGCATACGAGTAATTCTCGAATTTCTTTTATCGGACGTAATCCCATATGGCACCAAGTGCGGATTAGATTGCATAGTGGCTCATACTATCAAGAGTCAACGGCTAGAGTAACGAATCAGAGGAGACTAGGGTGAGCGTTGAAGGGAAAAGTAGGCACTGCCAATAGCGTTCTTTGAGCCTCTCTTATGTTTTCCTCGTCTTCAACCTCTTTCTCATGGCTAGCATCATCTCTTCGGAAGAGGGATAGCGTTTCCCCATGTCAGCGGTTTGGAAAGAGGACCTCAAGCCCCTAATGCTCCTTTCAGAGAGGACCTCCATCTCGTTTGATGAGCTGAGGTCTATCATAGCCCGTGGCCATCCCTTTGAGATCTACACTCCTCTTACAATATAGCTCTCATCCTCTCACTTCCTTGCCTTCTCCACAATCCCCCACGCTAAGGCCGACGTTTGCTCCCTCGTCATCGTTGCTGCTGCATAGGACTACCAGCTGTCCCATCCAGTTAGGATACTCCCTCCCTAGGCATCTCACCTCCCCTCGTCGGCGCCATTGTAGTGGATTTGGGGCAGTTGAAACCTTTCTCGCATGTATTGATATATTATTGAATCGTATATGTGATAATGTATGCTAGGATATGAGTTGTTGAATGTACTCCGCAACTTGAGTGTAAAAATATTATAAAAACATAGGAACTGACATAATAATTTGGATATGCTAATATATAAAGCACTAGACCTTAATGTTAACTTCTAATATGTGCATGATTATTATCGTGCATGTAATGGCACGTTCTGGCATCCCACATATGGTCTTATATGCTGCCATGCGCGTCATTGCAGATATTTACCAGTTCAGTATAATACTTTCGATATATTAACATATAAAGCACATTTAATTGAAACATATATTTAATGTATATTTGATATCTTAATACATTTATGATATTATTTGAGATTTCAGAACATTATAATGCACTACTTTCTTAGTTGATTTTATCCCTATTATTACTAAACTGAAAACTAAGGAAACTTAGGTTAACGTATGTTGGGAAGGAGGTTTTCTAACTAAAAAGTCGGATAAACAAGAATTTCTAACTGGTTATCAAGCCGGCCCTTAGTAATCTATGTTGGAGTATCTCACCAGGAGCTGGAAGATATGAGAGGCACAGAAGGCCCGCGTCGAGCTTTTTTTTACGATGCTGTAGACGAAGGTTGGAGGAATATAAAATTATTAACAAAATTTATATGAATTAAATAAAATAATGAAGTCATAAATCAAATATTTTGAGAAAATGTCTGATCGAATCTGAAAATTTTATGCTTGAAAGTTTTCCCGACGATTACGACTTCGCAAGGTTGGCCCCCGCACACGGAGTTTTCTCTTCGTTTCCACAGGAATGGAACCTCCGAGACAAAAAAACCGATGGCGTCGCCGCGGCCTAAAACCAGCCTTCTAGACGCCGTCCTTGCCCGTAGTGTGCAGTGAAGACAATTCCCAGACAGAACACAGCCCGCCGGCCCCATCCAGTATTTTATTAACCTTGGGTAGGTCCCGCCCAGAATCTTGGAGCCTACATCACCATCTCTCTCTCTCTCTCTCCCCTCTCCATCCCAAGGTGGGAGAGGTCAACCCCCACTCTTCTCCAAACTTTGACTTGAAAAATCACAACTTCGACAAAATACCAAATTCAAATCTCAAAAAATGAACAAATGGAAAGTTTCTAAATTAGGGTTTAAACGATCTTGGCTTGGGCTCAAGCTTGTACCCCATTTGCATGTATTTTACACCAATTCGTAGCATGATAAAATCCCTTTTAAAAAATCTAAAATAGCGACAGTCGAACGCTGCACATTGATCTTGAATCCTCCTCAGTCCCTCTTTCCGAAGTTCGAAAGGCCTTGAGGCTTAGGAAGAAACAAGATCATCACCGTCGGACCACAGCTAATTCATTTGCATGAGGAACCTCCCATCTGGAGTCACCGGCCCAAGACACCGGACGGCGTGCCCTTTCTGGTTTGTGATACCGCCGTCGCCGCAGCCCAAAACCAGAATCACCTATGCCGGCTCCTTCACGTCGTGTTCATCGACGGAGAAAACGACGTAGCTCTCTCCTAAACAGCTGTCTTGCCGAGATATTTTATCACAGAGGAGGGGGAGGATATGGGGCCTTGACGAAGATTCGGCATCCAAAGATCTTTCGGCACTTGTAGAGAAATGAACACGTGGCAGCAATGACGACGCGGCCGGGCACATCAAGAGTCGAATACAAATTATCATAAAAAAAGCTCTCTTTAGATTACATAAAATGGACGCATTAATATTTTGCCAGGAAAGCGACATCGGGCGCTAGATAGGAGCCACAGTTATTCAGACTTCAGTATGTCTCATCAGCAGCTCGCCTTCACCCGTAGGAGAGGGGTAGCAGAGTACAACTCAGTTTTCCATTCGGATGAGGCAGCGGAGGCCTTCTCCACTGACCATTAAATCGAACGCCTTGTTGATCTCGGAGAAGGGGACCTCATGGGTGATGAACTTCTCCAGCTCCATCTCCTGCACAGACAAACAGACATCCAATTAACTCTATGTCAAATACATTTGCTGATTAATGGGTTTTCTCCGGAACCCACGAGTGATGGCATAAAACGGGAGGGAAGAAGAGATCTTCCCTCCTCCACTGTACAGAAAACAAGCTTTTTTATCGCCACTCATGTTGTATGCTCGGTAACCAATCTTCGCTTATTCAAGAAACCAAAGGGCAGCTAATGTATCTTGCTCGGCCATAGGGACTGAGGAGGCTCTTCGACCCCTCCCCTATTTCGTCCCGAAAGGGTTAATTCAAGAAAGCGATGTTCAGAGAGGTTAGTTACCTTGTTCATATACTTCTCCACCAAACAAGGAATATCAGTGCGAGGCTTGTAGTTCCCATAGAAGGTGCCCTTGAGGGTCCGCTCACACAAGAAATTTACTGGAGAGGTCTTGAACACGGCATCCTTGGGAGGCACACCGACCAACACAGCGACTCCCCATCCCTGCGACCGTGATGTCAACCAGATTAGATCAGAGACCGTGAAATACGGTTAGATTTCCGTCTATGAAGCGTCAGCAATCGACAGTTATCAAGAGAAAGTACATCGTGGACGCATTCGAATGCGGAAATCATGGCGTTGATGTTGCCCGTGCACTCCACACTTCGGTCTACTCCGCCGCCGGTCATTTCGGCGATCACCTGTTCACCACAGACCACAGGACTCACACTTTAGAAACCGCTGTCAACGGCACGATGCTAAGCTCGGAAATGTTAAAGTGTGATATAGAAAGCGAACCTCTTGAACGGGTCTATCGTGATCTTTTGGGTTCACAAACTCCGTCACGCCGAACTTCTTAGCTGGTGATGAAAGCAATGAAAATGTCTTAAACTCTGTTGTTCATATCATCACCCGAAATCCAATTGATTTAAAAAAAGATTGGACACACACCTTGCTCGAATCTGTCCGAGTTCAAGTCCACACCGATGATCCTTGAAGCTCCTGAGACCCTCGCCCCCTCCGCAGCCTGTTTGTTACCATTCTAATATGTCATCATCTAATCGAATACGGAGAGGAGAACGAAAACCATCCACTATACAGAGTAACAGATAGAGGAACAGAGCGAGACACTCACGGCAAGGCCCACGGCTCCCAATCCGAATACAGCAACTGACGATCCCTTCTTTGGTTTGGCCACATTCACCGTCGCGCCGAAACCTTCAAAATTTTGATAAAAACATTTATGGTATTAAGGAAAGATATAATTTCCAAAATTAGAAGATAAAGAAGATAGTGTGAACACATTCCAAGACTATGTTTTTTTTATTAGTGAAGCCAAGCTGAAGAAGAAGAAGGCCGCACCTGTGGAGATCCCGCAGCTGAGCACGCAGACCGTTTCCAGGGGGGCCAGCGGGTTTATCTTCGCTAGGCAGCCCACGTGCACCACGGTGTACTCGCTGAACGTGGAGGTGCCGAGAAAGTGGTAGATGGGCTTCCCGTTGATGGAGAACCTCGACTTCCCGTCCCCGATCATCACACCGCGGTCAGGGTCGATCCTCAGCAGGCTGCACATGTTGCTCTCCTCCGATTTGCAGTGGTCACACTCCTTACACTCTCCCGTGAACACCGGGAGCACGTGGTCTCCCGGCTGCAGATCCGTCACGCCTTCTCCCACGCTCTCCACAATCCTGCTCACCGTCAACACCAGACACAGAGATTTAGTCCATCTGGGGAGACTGAGGAAGAGAAAGAAGACTATTCGGGAAGGAGACCGAGGAAGTGAAGGGAATTGAGCATACCCTGCTGCTTCGTGGCCCAAAATTCGGGGGAACACGGGTGTCTGACCCTGCAATGTCACCGAAGCCAGACCACGTCAATCATCCCGATCGACCGACCTTCCGGGAGTCACTGTATGCCGGAGATTGTGGAGAAAAACCGTACCTTGGCCTCCCAGAAGAAGACGTCCGTGTGGCAGAGGGAGGTGAAGAGGATCTTCACGCGGACCTCCATGGCCTGCGGCGGAGCCACCTCTACCTCTTCGATAACCAGCGACTTCCCTGCCTCCCAGGCAACCGCCGCTGCAACATCAGGGAAGAGAAGTAAGGATAAATTTGCAGCCTTTACTAAGCAGGAGAAGAACTTCCCTCTGTTGTGCCCCACAAAATTGGGGGAAAACTGAGCTCCGTCTCCTTGAGGCAACAAAAGAATGAAACACCAACAAACGGCAGAAGGGACGAACCTTTGCACTTGATGACCTGACCAGGTGTACTCGCCATCTTCCCTCTGTTGTTGCTTCTCTCTCTCTCTCTCTCGCTCGCTCGCTCGATGTAGGCCGATATAGATTGAGAAACACAGATGCCTGAGTAAGTATTTATAGGAAGCAGTCCCGGGGGCATTCGTGCTTTCTCGAACCTCCGTACCGCTTGTGCTGCGGTAAACATCTCAGCGGCGGCTTGGTTGGATTTGTATCGGCAGCTGTCGTCCTCTGATGCGTCCGCTCGGATGTGCCTGCAGCGTCTTGGATTTCGATTCAGGCTTTACTCTGACGTCAGTAAGATACTAGTGTACACGTAGTTATTGAAATTGCTTTGATCTAATTGGTACGATAAGTTGCATCTGGAATACTTCATTACACACGGAAGATTCCCTCGTTGACGCATTCCTTAAAATTCATAAAATGAAGGGATTCAGAAATCACAGTCTTCAAAACAGCTGGATTATATTCTAATTTTTATATTTATGGACTTGTTCTGAAAGAAATTTAACACCGTTGGCCATCGCACCAGGTTCTATTTTGGGAAATCCATTTTTTAATCAAATACTGAAAGCCGAAAAATTTACGTCAATCACTCTCAAACTTAGATTATGGCTCGACATAACTGGTTGCAAATCACGTTCCTATCCCTTTTTCCAGTATTCTCTTGAGTTTGTAAAGAGGGTGATGAAGATCAATTGAAACTAAAATGTCGAATATCCGACATTACACTCTAATCAAACCAGACCATCATTTCTCCTTCCAGAGCTGGGCAAACGGTTCTCGTGGAGCAGCTCATCGCCGTCGTAAATAAACCGCTCCGTCATTCGAATTACCAGAAACGTGATGGGTTGATCCAATGGACTAGGGACTTCAAACGACGACCGGATGAAGCCGCCTCCCTGGTTTCCAATACCGCCGTCACCGAGGAGTGAAACCGGGATCCTCGGTGCTGTCTCTCGCGCGTAGTGTTGGCGTCTGTGGAGAACAGCAAGGAAGACGACACGAGCTGTCTTCATGGGACATTGAAGAGAAAAATATTTTCTCCTTTTAATGCCTCTTTTTTTCTCTCTTGAAGAAACACAAAATGGAAATCTAAATAAGAACCAAGCCATCATATGAAATATATCTTACATCATGGTACACTAATGGCAATGCTGACTCACAATTTCTTTCACTGTTCTACATGCATATAGACGGGAAAAAGCGAAAGGACTTAGAATTTCACGATTTCTTGTATCCCTCTAAAATCCCAGACCCGACCCTGACAGACTTACCCTTTTGTTTCTTCTTCTGCGACCCCTCTACGATCACCGTCACGTTATGAAATAGAACCAAATCGGTATAAATACCAACAGCGGAAGACGGATTGCATGTGTTATCCACTTAAATATGGATGTGTCCGCAATATAACTAAGATGACAAGACTGAATCTAATGCACCAGGATTTACATGGTTCAGAGAAATCATCTTAAATCTACGGAGAGAGTTAGAGATATTTCTTTGATGGAAGAACAAATTGAAAGAGAGCCTTACAAGACGTCTGGATCTCTTTCCTTGACCTGATGTTGACTGTCGTCCTCTTCAAATAGAAAGAAAAGATCAAAATAAAAGAATTGGAAACCTACACCGTTATCCTCCCATCAAGCCCAACTTCTTCATGTCCTCACCCTTTTCACTATTCTCTACACGGTCATTTACCTTCTCCTACACCCTTCCCCTTTAAATCGAGGAAGAGTAGGGAGCGGAAGACAAACGTCTGAGAAGGATAGAGATTATGACGCATGAGAGTCCACTATAACAAATGGGGGTTCATTATAACTCATCATCGTTTCTCTTTGGCCATTATAACAGCCCAGTTAGATAAACAAATCAATAAAAATATCAGAGACGATTCGTATCTCGTTTGATGACCCAAGGTCTATCTCTCGTCTTCTCACTTGCCCTCTCCATAATCCCCATGCTCAGGAGGCCGACATTTGCCTCTTCATCGTTGCTACTGCATAGGACTACCATTTGTCTCAGCATATTAGGCTACTTGTTACATGGATGACACGCCTTTAGTTCTACCAAACAGGGTGTGGCTCAGGGACTTTAGAGCATGCCTAAATAGTGTGCACCAGTGCATGCACATACATGTGCGGCAGACCGTTGTGGCATCATGGCATGCACAGATCGGCACTGCATGTGCAGCGGAAGCGCAAAGTATGTGCGGTGGCACATGGATGCGCATGGCACGGGCGGAGGACTTTGCAAAGTGTAGGGTGGGAGCTGGACCCATCGGCCACTGACCTGGCACTGCAAGGCGTTAGCACAAGAATAGAGCGACGCGCACGACGTGGGAGCAGCGAGCAGATGTGGTGAGTGCGTGCAGAGGGAGCAGTAGCACGGAGGGCAGCTGGTGTGGACTGCATCAGTTGGGCAAGTAAACACACTCTGAGCTTAGAACAGTACAATAGGTTGTTACGCCGGTACGTTAAGTTGTTACAATAGCTGGCCTAATGTTGTAACAACCCATCAGATATCGAAGGGAGACTCTGGCTTCCCCCCCTATAAAGAATGGTCCTCTATAACTTGGAGAGGCGCCGAGTGAGCCAAGTTACTTAGACTCCTTCCCCTCGTATTTCCGAATTAAAATAGAAGACTCTTTGCTTCAAGTTCTCCTAGTGTGTGCTTCCGTTTGCGTTCTTCCAACAACTAGGGAAAAGGGTAGGCTGCTTGGGCGTGCTGCTAAATGCTCGAGGAAAAGGATCCTCCGGCAAGGGACGATCATAATGCCCACGTAACATTGGTATCATAGGAGGTTTTGCTCTGAGGTAAATGAGATCCTAATGATGGCTTCGGAAGGTGGTGCACAAGGACTTCAGATTGGTCGCATGGAAGAGAGAGTCCACATGTTGGAGAATGTTGTTCAGGTCAATGAAGACCAAATATCTATTATGGAGGAACAATGGAGATGGTCTAAGTTGCGACGACGCATGCGGCCACTTATTCATACTCGACTTGGACAGACGAGGCCAGGGTCATAGAGCTTTGGGAGGGATATCGATCCCTTCAAGCCGACTTGTAACTAGTTAGAGAGTTATTGGCCATTATAGCCCCCACAGAGGGTACAAAGTGGTGACATATTCCTAAGCCCAAGGCATATACAGAGGCATGCAGCAGACAAGAGTTGGAGAGCTTCCTATGGGATGTGGAACAATATTTTCAGGAGAACCTGACCTTCTATCTCAATCTGACCAAGTGTGAATTCACACTAGAGGAAGTAGTGTTCTTCAGCCACATGGTGGGATGGATAACTTGGTGTGAGGATGGATCAGATAAAGATCTAAGTAATCGATGATTGGTCAGCACCAACTCATGTCCTATAGCTCAGGTGATTTCTTGGCTTAACTAAATATTACCACAAGTTCATCAGGGGCTCCTCCAAGTTGGTGGCACAACTAATCTTGGAAATCAATTGAGGCCATGTATAACCTCACCTTATCTGTAATGATCACTTATGTAAATATGTTTGCTGGATTATTTAACTACTGATAGTTTCAATTTTTAATTATCCATTCTCTAACAAGATACGAATGAAATAACACCATAGTTCTTGACTAAGTAAATGGTGATTTGATTGTTAAAGAATAATATGGTGTTTTCTTACTTCCTACTAAGCTTAATAAGAAAATTATTGAGATATCGTGCCATTAATTAACTCTATAATGGCCCCATACCCTACTTTTGTTGAAGAGGGAACAACAATTTTATCCATTTAAGAAAGGCACCTCACAATAGTGCCACCCAAGGTATAAATCTATTAGGTTGTGTTTCTCTTCGTGTCTACATCACGACCCCCAACTCTAAATCTATAAAAAAGTATAATTTAAAATTCTTCTTCCTAGAATAAAGAGACATACATAAGTGTTACTCAAGTAATAAAGATTCTATTAGATTGTCATCTAATGTTACTTTCCTAGGTTCATCATGAATCCGCTCACAACTATCATGATTGATATATGAAAATTTTATGGATCCGAAAGTTCATGTCTTTTTGCACCATCTTTATAACCTAAGAAGATGTACTTTTTTTTATATAAGGTCAAGTTTTAATCTTTCATCACTCAGGATATGAACATGTTTGGAACATCAAAATATTTTTAAATTTGAACAATCCACATCTTTACTTTTTCAAACTTCCTCAATAATATTTATATCAAAACATCACTTGGCGATGTGTTAATCACTGCATGTCGAAAACCTCTTCTCAAAACTCTTTAGGTAATTTTGAATTCAACCTCTAACACATTCATCTCTTGATAATTGTTTTATTCATTTGTTTTGTTACTACATTATGTTGCATCATTTTTCTAACAATAAAGTGACTCTTGACTCTATGATTTTTGTGATACTTCATAAACTAAAAATCACTTAACTCTATCCAAAAATCAATCTTCAAGACTTCAACCTTACTTTATATCTGATTTTCAACCTTTATTCTCCATAATTTGAAATTTTCAAAAGTATGTGACTAATGATTCATGAACCAACCTAGATTTTACAAGATTTCTCATCAATAAAATTCACAAAGTAGTAGGATCCCCGTTTTGATATTATATTCACATGTCTCCAAACATGAAAATAAATCTTACTATACATTTTCTGCCATGAATGGCCATCTTGAATGTAATCTTTTATTATTTTCTCATAATGTAATACTTCAAAAAAAATTGTATGTTTTAACTCTCTTAAGCAATCCTCACTTATGGAGATCTCAAATACCATATCACTAATATGGCTTAACCTCATGTGTCATAAAAATATAATATCAGTAGCAGAACTTTCAAGTATTTTTAGTGAAATTCCAGCTATAATGAGACTTCCTAAAAGTCTAATTTTTTTTTATAGTAGATCATTTCCTTTCAGCACTACTAATACTCTTTTATATACCATCAAAGTTTCACTTTCAATCTTGAAATTATACCATTTAAATTTAATGTTCATAAAGAAATTAAATTCTTTTTTAGATCAAGGACATGTCTCAAGTTCCCTAAAATTCTTGTCTAATTAAACATCTTAATATTAATACTACAGATTCCAACCACCTTATAAAAAGGATCATTGCCCATCACAACACATCTTTAATTAGTTGACTTGTATGTATCAGATCAATCTAAATTTGGACACATGATATTAGCACCTTGAATCTTATATCTATTAATCTATAAATTATTAGTTCTAATTAATCCAATTAGCATGTCCCTAACTTTCATTTTTGATTCATCATTTGAAATATTTACATAATCAAAATAGTCATTTTTAGCAACCACTCCACAATTTATTTTGTGGTCAATTCCTTCTAAGTCCCTCTTCTCATGACACTTACAACATTCTATAGTCTTAAGCCAGCATGCTATAAATTGTGATCTAGATTTTGATTTCTATTTCTTTGTTTACTTCCCTCTTTTCTTCCCATTCCTTTATTCACTTTCTCCTTTAACCATCTACCCTTTAGCCTAGATACTTTCAGAATTTACCGTCCTTTATAATATTACAGCAGAGTTGTTGTCACCTCTTCGTGAGCAATGGTCTTTTTTCTCCACAACAATATTGTATATGTGTAGGGGAGAGAACAAAGAAGAATTAATGTTTTATCATCATCTTCAAAATTTAAATTCTAACCTCCACGTATCACTAATAATCTAATTACAACTTTCTATATGCACTGGAAGATAAAATACATTAGTCATCTTTAGCCTATATAGTTTTTGTTTAAGAAAAAATCTATTCATCAAGGATTTTGACAAAAGATAGCTCTCTAGTTTTGCCCAAATATCAACAAGAGAATCCAAATCTAAGACCTGATATAAAATTCTATATGTTAAACTTAATTGTCAGGATTTCAAAGTCTGGACACAATCATTAGGCTTTCAAGATCTAGGCACTATAAAATATTGGCCGCTCACATCTCTAGGCTTTCACAATCATCATTTGTCACCATTTCAAGCTTCTTTTATTTTACATATAATGTCTTAGCATATCTTGTTGAAAAAACAGATCATTCACCTTGTAATGTCGCAAGCTAAAATTAGATGTTCCGTTGTATATTTTAATGTTCTTATCCTGAAGGTGCTCGCAATTTTATATCACTACCAACATTGCTATGGGACCACATATTGATGTTTCTAGGAGATAAAACTTGGGATAAAAACCCAAAACATAACCCAATTGGAAGATGCAAGAAGAATACAAGTGTGGGAAGAAACTTGAGTTTCAAGGTCTAGCTGTTGTTTCACCTACACCACATCCCTCTTGATTAGGCTTCTGGGATTCAACAATCTTTTATCGTCTTCTGACAATAGTAAATCTCCTTCAGGGTACCGTCGAGAACAACCAACTTTTTTTTGTCTTCTTGAGAGACGGAGAGCGGGAGAGCTACCAAGAGAGGGAGGATGCATTCACGGGATAGAAAAATCGACTGGTATTAGGTCTGAATGTGCAAACAATTAATCTGGGTATCTCTGAGAACAACTTGTTTCTGCCTTCTTGCGAGAGGAAGAGGGGGAGAGCCACCAAGATAGGGATGAGACATGCGAGGGGTAGAAAAATTGACCGCTATTAGGTCTGAATGTAAAAATCCTTAATCGGGATACAAAAATACTGGATTTTTATATCCACTCTCTTCCCATGAGAATTTACATCTTTGTCATTCGACATATACTAAAGAAAAGGTTTTAGAGCTCCCTACTCTGCTTGTTGGGCCAATGCGCAGCTCAACCAGCATTTAATAGCCCGCCTCACTGAGCCCAAATGAGATATTAGCAATGAACCTAGTTCTTGACTTTTTTATGTGAAACTCCGTGTGAACTGTGTTAAGAGAGCTCACGCTCTGATAATAGGGATGCTCAGTGCGAGAATGGCTCGGCGGGTTCACCAAGCAGGAGAGGTATATTTTCAGCTAAAGAGATTGATCTAATGTCCTCTTCTCATTTCAATGATCGTCTCGCTTCTTGGCCCATTCCTAAACCCACGTGCACCCTCTAAAACTGAAGTAAATCCACCGTCGTCTTTCCCTTGTGTCATATTGTTCAGAGCTTGAACTAAATGCACCAAACTAAGACCGTTTTGCAGTTTACTTCCGAACACAGTTCTCTTAGAAGTAGACTAGATACGCTTGTTTGATGAGGACGAGGAAACCCTCCTTTGTTAGTGTCTATTGACTTTGAGGTAGGGTTTAATAATGACTTTTCCAAAAGATCCAGCTGGGGAATTTAGGCTGAAAGATTTCGATAGATTCAGCGTCAATTGCAGGGTCACATGAAGTGGCAACTGGAAGTTGTAACTCTTACTTTGTCGAATGCCACGCTAAGACAGCTGTTTTGAAAATGCCCAGTCACTCATCATCGCAGTAGTTTTGATGATTCACTTTCCCCTTTAACCTTAGAAACAAATCTGTAAGTCCTTTCCATGCTTGATTATAAGACTATTGATGCCATAAATATGAAAGTCAGCGTGTGATTTGTCTTTCACTCAAGAAAAATGAAAATGGGTATTAAACGTGTTGGCCTACCAAGAGAAAGACATGAAATTTTGACTTTGCTAAGACTTCAGATTATTCTTCTGAAATTCAGACCCAACATGGGGTGCTCCGGCGAGACCCCATATGTTCCTATCGGAATGTAGATAACGGTTTCGAATGTCTATCCAGACTTGGATTATAAAGATGATCCAGTCGGTGACGTTTAGAAATACACTGGAAATATTTATTATTCCATATGTTATATGCTTTCTAATTTCGTTCTCCTTAGACTCAGAACTCAACCAAAAAAACATAAATGATATTCACACCGATAACAGTTTTAGAGCTCGGTGAATCCGAATGCGCTGCTTGCCCAGTTCCAACTCCGTCGGCCCGACAGCTGATTGCTCCGCGTTCTTTATCTTCCGATATTCATGCAGACGCTCCCGATAAGATCACTAGTTTCAACCCTGTGACAACCTGAAATAGATGTCTACGTCATCCACTATTATTCATCTATTACAACCATCTACCTTAAAATATCCAATGAAGGCAGCGTTGAGGATTCCGGTTTCACTCCAGTTTCACTCCACGGCGACGGCGGTATTGCAAACCAACCACGGGGATGGCTTCATCCGGTCTTTACTTGACGACCCGGGTTTGTGGGTCTATCAACCATGTTTCTGGTTCTATTAACCTGATGCAATGGCCAGTAGTATTAAATTTCTTTCCTAAATCGTTCATAGATATAAAATTAGAATGTAATCTTGTTGTTTTCAAGCCAGTGATTTCTGAATCCCTTGATTTTATCAAATTTAAGTGATGCGTCAACGAGGATGATCCCTTTAGAGGGGATGTTCCGTTGCGTAATGAAGTATTGTAATTGCAACTTATCGTATCAATTAGATCAAACGAATGTAAATATCTACGTGTACGTCAGTCTCTCACTGATGTCAGAGTAAAACCGGAGTCGAAATCCTGTACGCTGGAAATACAGCCGAGGTGGACGCATCGGTCGACAACACCGTCGGCTGTGAAATAGACAGCCGCCAAGCCCAAATCCTCCAATCAAGCCGCCGGATAACATGTTTCCCACAGCGCAAGCGGTATTGGAGATTCGAGATACCGCGAATATCTCCGGGTCTGTTTCCTATATATACATACTCAGGCATCTACTTGTTTCTCCAAGTCTAATATCGGCCTTGCATCAGGACGAGTCAGCGAGTAAGAGAGAGAGAGAGGCAACGACAGAGGGAATATGGCGAGCACAACTGGTCAGACCATCAAATGCAAAGGTTCCACCCTTCTTCCGTTGGCTGGTGTTTCATTCTTTTGTCGTCTCAAGGACACAAAACTCCGTTTTCCCCCAACTTTCTGGGGGCACATAGATTCTTCCTGTCTTCACGATGTCCTTCGTCGCTGGATGTCCTTCGTCACTGGATGTCCTGCCCGGAAGTTATTCTCCTGCTTAGCCAAAGATGCATAATTATCCTTACTTCTCTGACCTGATGTTGTAGCCGCTGTTGCCTGGGAGGCGGGGAAGCCGCTGGTTATCGAAGAGGTGGAGGTGGCTCCGCCACAGGCCATGGAGGTCCGCGTGAAGATCCTTTTCACCTCCCTCTGCCACACCGATGTCTACTTCTGGGAAGCCAAGGTACGGTTTTCCTCCACAATATCCCGCAGACGGCGATCCCCGGAAGGTCCCTTAGTAAATCGGGTTGGTTGACGCTGTCTGATTTTGGTGGCACTGCAGGGCCAGACACCCGTGTTTCCCCGAATTTTGGGCCACGAAGCAGCAGGGTATGCCCCCACCGCTCAATTCCCTTCACTCCCTCGGTCTCCTCCCCGAATAGTCTTCTTCTTCTTCATCACTCTCCCCATTTGGACTTAAATTTCGGTGTATGGTGTGGATGATGACCAGGATCGTGGAAAGCGTGGGAGAAGGCGTGACGGATCTGCAGCCGGGAGACCACGTTCTCCCGGTGTTCACAGGAGAGTGTAAGGAGTGCGACCACTGCAAATCGGAGGAAAGCAACATGTGCAGCCTCCTGAGGATCGACCCTGACCGCGGTGTGATGATCGGGGACGGGAAGGCAAGGTTCTCCATCAACGGGAAGCCCATCTACCACTTTCTCGGCACCTCCACCTTCAGCGAGTACACCGTGGTGCACGTGGGCTGCCTGGCGAAGATAAACCCGCTGGCCCCCCTGGAAACGGTCTGCGTGCTCAGCTGCGGGATCTCCACAGGTGCGGCCTTCTTCTTCTTCAGCTTGGCTTCACTAATTAAAAAAAAAGCATACCTTGGAACGTGTTCACACCATCTTCCTCATCCTCTAATTTTGGGAATCAGATCTTTTCTTAATACCATAAATATTTTTGTCAACTTATCGAAGGTTTCGGCGCGACGGTGAATGTGGCCAAACCGAAGAAGGGATCGTCAGTTGCTGTATTCGGATTGGGAGCCGTGGGCCTTGCCGTGAGTGTCTCGCTCTCTTTCTCTCTCTGTTATTCTGTATTGTGAATGGTTTTCGTTCTCTTCTCCCTATTCGATTAGATGATGACATTAGAATGGTAACAAACAGGCTGCGGAGGGGGCGAGGGTCTCAGGAGCTTCAAGGATCATCGGTGTGGACTTGAACTCGGACAGATTTGAGCAAGGTGTGTGTCCAATCTTTTCAAATCAATATGATTTCGGCTCATGAGATCGAGAACAGAGTCTAAGACATTTTCATTGCTTTCATCGCCAGCTAAGAAGTTCGGCGTGACGGAGTTTGTGAACCCAAAAGATTACGACAGACCCGTTCAAGAGGTTCCCTTTCTATTTCTCACGTTTTAACATTTCCGAGTTTAGCATCGAGTCGTTGACTTCGGTTTCTGAAGTGTGAGTCATGTGGTCTGTGGTAGCAGGTGATCGCCGAGATGACCGGCGGCGGAGTAGACCGAAGCGTGGAGTGCACGGGCAACATCAACGCCATGATTTCCGCATTCGAATGCGTCCACGATGTACTTTCCCTTGATATCTCTCGATCTCTGACGCTGCATAAACGGAAATCTAACGTTTTTTGACGGTCCCTGATCTAATCTGGTTGACGTCGCGGTCGCAGGGCTGGGGAGTCGCTGTGTTGGTCGGTGTGCCTCACAAGGATGACGTATTCAAGACCTCCCCAGTAAATTTCTTGTGTGAGCGGACTCTCAAGGGCACCTTCTACGGGAACTACAAGCCTCGCAGTGACATCCCTGGAGTGGTGGAGAAGTACATGAACAAGGTAAGGGAACTCGGTTTCACTTGCCGCTTTAGTTGTGGGTGGGGTTGAGTTTTCCTTGAGGTAGGTGTTCGCTAAAAACGTCGGTGTGTTTCTTGGCGGTGCAGGAGATGGAGTTGGAGAAGTTCATCACCCACGAGGTCCCTTTCTCCGAGATCAACAAGGCGTTCGATTTAATGCTCAGGGGAGAAGGCCTCCGCTGCCTCATCCGAATGGAACACTGAGTTCTACTCTGCCAGCCCACTCCTAGGGGTGAAGGCGGGACGACACTCATGAGATATACTGAATTCCGAGTAACTGTGGCTCCTGTCTAGCGCCCAATGTCGCTTTCTTGGCAAAATATTAATCCATGCAGCTGGGTAGTCCGACTAATATGTAATGTAGTTGTTACGTTTGGTGTGCGAATCCGCGTGAACTGTGTAAAGAGAGCTTTTCTTTATGATGATTGAAGTCTTTGAATCCTGATGTGCCCGGCCGCGTCGCTGATGACTGCGGCGTGGTTGATTTCTTTACACGTGACGAAGGATCTTCGGGTGCCGATCTTCATCAAGCTCCAAGTCGGAAATTGACGTCTGCGGTGTCCTCCGCCTCCTCCGTGATAAAATATCACGGCAAGACAGCTGTTGAGGAGCGAACTACGTCGTTTTCTCATTCAACGGACGCTACGCGAATGAGCCGGCATCGATGATTCCTGTTTTGGGCTGCTACGATGGCGGTATCACAAACCAGGACGGCGGAGTGGTCCGGAGTTAGGCCGATTATTCTAGATTGAAGGCTCCGCGTGCAAATGAAGTGGCTGGGGCCCGACGGTGACGAGATCGCTTTTTTGCTGCGCCAGAAGGCCTTCCAAATTTCGGAGAGGGACTCTGGAGAATTTAAGATCGACGTGTAGCGTTCGACTGCCGCTATTTTATAGTTTTCTAAATGGATTTTATTTTGCTTCAAATTGGTGTAAAATACGTGAAAATGGGGTACAAGCTTGAGCCGAAGCCAAGATTGGTCAATCCCTAATTTATAAACTTTCCATTTTCATTTTTTGAGATTTTAATTTGGTATTTTATCAAAGTTGTGATTTTGCGTGTCCTTTTTCAATTTTATGTTATTTGAATTAACTGAAAACCCGCCGATATTTGTTGAGTCCATCCGTTCCGCTCATATAACGGTCCACGAAACTACTCTCTCCTTTCGATTGCCTCAAATATTGTCTGCGACAGATCAAATGCACCGAACATGGGTTTTCCGGTGTATTCCCATGCGTGTAAGGTACTGTCTCCATGTACCTGCTGGAGACAGGTGGGTATCGGGGGGGTAGGGGAGGAGGAAGCGGACGGGAGCTTCCAGCTAGTCGGGAGGGGGAGGAGGGGTTGACCACCCCCTATCTTGGCGCAGAGAGAGAGAGAGAGAGGGAGAGGGAGAGGGAGAGGGAGAGGGAGAGGGAAAGGAAGAGAGATGGTTTAGGCTCCAGGATTCTGGGCGGGACATGTCCGGGAATTGTCTTCACCGAATGCTACGGGCAAGGACGGCGTCTAGAATGCCGGCTTCAGGCTGCGGCGACGGCGGCGGTGTTGCGAACCACCGAGGCTACGTCATCGGTTTTTTGTCTCGGTGATTCGACCACTGTGGAAACGGGGGACCAGATTATTAATTCAGAAGTTTTAATGGTGGGAAAGATTTTCAAGTATGAAAGGTTCAGACTCGACATTTTCTCAAAATACGTGTCATATGGCTTCATTAGTTTTTTGCTTACGTATAAATTTATTGTACGAAATCTCTAAATCCATATGCCCCTCATCTACGGGATGCTAAAAGTAAGGATCTAGGACCCAGATGGAGAGCACAGAACCCATTTTGTCGGCGGGTCAACGCGTCTTCTGATTCTAGAAGTCCCGCAGAAAAAGGGGCCCGACGGCCGCCAGGTTCGAGGTATCCATCTCCGCCGCTGGATGAGAGATTTCCCGCAGCCGCAGCGGTTTTGGACAATCGACAAATCTCTTCACCGGAGCTCCGTAGGTCCTGTCCTCGTGGCTTCATATAAATACCACCCTCCCGTCGCTGTTCTTCCCCAAGTCTGGGACATCAGGGAACCGTTTCCTATGATTTCTCAAGCGCCCCTCTGAGAGTTAAGTGTTTGTGTGTGTGTGAGAGAGAGAGATAACGAAGATGTCGAGCACAGTCGGTCAGGTCATCAAGTGCAAAGGTCGGTATTCGTAGTCATGGATCGCTTCCCTCTTTTTCCTTGTCATACTCGTAGTTTTCCCTAGTCCTCCGCTGCCACCGCATAGATTTTGGGAAACCCTAGTAGATTCATTCTATTTGGGGAAACGAGGGAAGGGCGAGATGCTTTCTGTTCTCCTCCTGATTCCATTTGTGAATAGCATTGACATTTATCCTCACATCCCTCCCCGGATCTTGCAGCTGCGGTTGCCTGGGAGGCGGGGAAGCCACTGGTTATCGAAGAGGTGGAGGTGGCTCCGCCGCAGGCCATGGAGGTCCGCGTGAAGATCCTCTTCACCTCCCTCTGCCACACCGATGTCTACTTCTGGGAAGCCAAGGTACGATTTTCCTCCACAATCTCCGCTAGACGGCGACGACTGGAAGGTCGGTCGATCGATCGGAGTGATTGACGTGGTCTGGTTATGGTGGCATTGCAGGGTCAGACACCCGTGTTCCCCCGAATTTTGGGCCACGAAGCAGCAGGGTATGCCCCCACCGCTCAACTCCCTTCACTCCCTCGGTCTCTTATTCTTCACCATCATCATCACTCTCTCTATTTGGACTTAAATTTCGGTGTATGGTGTGGATGGTGACCAGGATCGTGGAAAGCGTAGGAGAAGGCGTGACGGATCTGCAGCCGGGAGACCACGTTCTCCCGGTGTTCACGGGAGAGTGTAAGGAGTGCGACCACTGCAAATCGGAGGAAAGCAACATGTGCAGCCTCCTGAGGATCAACCCTGACCGCGGTGTGATGATCGGGGATGGAAAGGCAAGGTTCTCCATCAACGGGAAGCCCATCTACCACTTTCTCGGCACCTCCACCTTCAGCGAGTACACCGTGGTGCACGTGGGCTGCCTGGCGAAGATAAACCCGCTGGCCCCCTTGGAAACGGTCTGCGTGCTCAGCTGCGGGATCTCCACAGGTGCGGCCTTATTCTTCTTCTGCCCAATTTCTCTAGTTAAAAAAAAAGGAGCATAGCCTTGGAAGGTGTTCACACCATCTTCTTCATCTTCCAATTTTGGAAATTATATCTTTTCTTAATACCATAAATGTTTTTATCAAAATTTTGAAGGTTTCGGCGCGACGGTGAATGTGGCCAAACCGAAGAAAGGATCGTCAGTTGCTGTATTCGGATTGGGAGCCGTGGGCCTTGCCGTGAGTGTCTCGCTCTGTTCCTCTATCTGTTACTCTGTATAGTGGATGGTTTTCGTTCTCTTCTCCCCATTCGATTAGATGATGACATATTAGAATGGTAACAAACAGGCTGCGGAGGGGGCGAGGGTCTCAGGAGCTTCAAGGATCATCGGTGTGGACTTGAACTCGGACAGATTCGAGCAAGGTGTGTGTCCAATCTTTTTTTAAATCAATTGGATTTCGGGTGATGATATGAACAACAGAGTTTAAGACATTTTCATTGCTTTCATCACCAGCTAAGAAGTTCGGCGTGACGGAGTTTGTGAACCCAAAAGATCACGACAGACCCGTTCAAGAGGTTCGCTTTCTATATCACACTTTAACATTTCCGAGCTTAGCATCGTGCCGTTGACTGCGGTTTCTAAAGTGTTGAGTCCTGTGGTCTGTGGTGAACAGGTGATCGCCGAGATGACCGGCGGCGGAGTAGACCGAAGCGTGGAGTGCACGGGCAACATCAACGCCATGATTTCCGCATTCGAATGCGTCCACGATGTACTTTCCCTTGATATCTCTCAATCGCTGGGGTTTCATAAACGGAAATCTAACCGTATTTCACGGTCTCTAATCTTATCTGGTTGACGTCACGATCGCAGGGCTGGGGAGTCGCTGTGTTGGTCGGTGTGCCTCACAATGATGACGTGTTCAAGACCTCCCCAGTAAATTTCTTGAGTGAGCGGACCCTCAAGGGCACCTTCTATGGGAACTACAAGCCTCGCAGTGATATCCCTGGAGTGGTGGAGAAGTACATGAACAAGGTAAGGGAACTCGGTTTCACGTTGCCGCTTTAGTTGTGGGTGGGGTTGAGTTTTCCTTGAGGTAGGTGTTCGCTAAAAACGTCGGTGTGTTTCTTGGCGGTGCAGGAGATGGAGCTGGAGAAGTTCATCACCCACGAGGTCCCTTTCTCCGAGATCAACAAGGCGTTCGATTTAATGCTCAGGGGAGAAGGCCTCCGCTGCCTCATCCGAATGGAACATTGAGTTTCTCTCGTTGCCCGGTTGTATGAGTTTAGGCTTCGCGTTGACAATGCAAACCGAACCTTAGGAACTCTGATTTATAGTTATTTATTTTGTTTGTAGCGCCGTACAAACACTGTAAAGATACACTTTCTTTCTTACGAACGAACTCTCAGGTCCATTTGTCTTTTTCGGAGTTGACCTCTTCGTCTCTCTTTCTCGCTCATCTCGACTGAAACTTGAGCAATTGTTAATTATGCGATAACGAATAAAGCGATTCTTACCCCACTGAAGGTGACCAACTGCCTCATTGACTAATAAGTCAAGCATTTTGCCAGAACTGCCTCATTCCTTGGATCTTCACTTCTTTTTACTCACACTACTATTAGTCGTTCCCCCTTGGCTGCTAAGTAAGCTCTGGTCTTCTGTCTCTCTGTCAGTGCATTATCTTCCATAGTCTTCGACGCCGGCCCTGCGGTGGCTCCATTTAAACCCATCATAGCTAGGCCGGTGATCTTCCCAAATAAGCCTAGCACCAATGCAGCCTCTGAGCGCCGGACGACTCGCACTGTCGAGGGCCACGGTTCCCCGGCGAGCTGGACTCGGGCCTTGTGCGTTTCTCTTATCTTCCAGCACCTGCTGAGATATTCCAACAGATACGACCAAGGTTCGACTTGATAAGTATGTTAACCTAGCCTCGGTTCAGAATTCTAGTTTACCCAACTTTTACTTTGGAAACACCCTATTTCCAACAAAGTTTTTCAGATTATTTAGGAAAAGAATAAAGTCAACAAAGAAGAAAATAACGTATTTAAATGCTCTGAAATCCCAAATAATATCGTAAATGCATTAAAATATCTAATTTCCACAATAATACACCTCAACAAAATGTAATTTATATCTTAATATATCGAAAGTACTATACTGAGCTGTTAAAATAGAAACGGCTGGAGCGGTCCCAATTTAGCTGTTGGCTGTCATCTAGAGGGAAGATGAAGAAAGAATGACTCAAGATCCTACTTAACATGCTCCGCAAAAAGTAATATGCTATTGTCTTGCTTCACCCGTATCCAAGCACCACCGTCTATGTTGGTAATTTGTTGCCGCATTCTTATCCACACCTACTCTCTTGGGTAAGAACTGCGGAGGGTTTAGGTTTTACATATCCTAATTGCGGAAGTGGGACAAGGTTGGATTTCCACTATACAACCATTTTGATGGAATAAGTTACCCACAACTTCATCTATGTTTATCCCCAAATAGGTCGAAGAGATGATGCTAGCCATGAGAAAGAGGTTGAATATGAGGAGAAGCTCGAAGAACACTATTGTTGGTGCCTAAATTTCCCTTCAACTCTCACCCCAGACTCCTCTGATTCGCAGTCCAGCCATTGACTCTTAATAATATCAACTACTTGGTATTCTAATCCATGTCTGTTGTGCCATATGAGAGTACGTCCTATATGAGAGTCATAGGGGAGATATTGTCATGCAAAGTTTATAAATGAAAGAAATTCGAGAATGACACGTATGTTTTTTAACCGCTCGGTACTATGGAGTTGTTCGATACAGTATTGCTTATTCAACTCATATTGCGAAATAGCAACGGGTGATAGTCAGAGTTCTAATATGGTCAACGTGTATCTGTGGGTGACATCGATCTACTCAAATCTGTTTTTGAAAAACTAGCATAAATATATTTTAAAAAGTCGATAGTTTCTGAGCATACGAGATTTTAATTTCTTATGTCAACTTGATAGCACAATATTGCCCGGCATAATTGATCAATCATTGGATTTAACTTGTTCCAGATTCCAAGTTAAAAGAAATGTAAACAAGGAAAGACCTAATGGCCTGCTTACGTCAGTCTATACGACAGCAAAACCAGGATGCCAGGAATCTGACACGCGGAAAGAAAGCTGAGGCCGATGAATTGGTCAACCCAATCGAAGGAGAGGAAACGCCGCAGTGGAACCGCAGAAGGCTGGACACCAGCTGGCCAGGGGGAGGGGGAATCCCGCTTCCCAGCCGCTGGATGACCAGTTTCCCGCTGCAGCAGCGGTTTTAGACATCAAAAAGATCCACCCTTTCTGCTAAGCTCTCGTCGGCGCCTCCATTGTCCCTATAAATAGTAATCCCCCGCCTTCATCTCTCTCCAAGTCTAGATACAGAGACTTTTGAGAGAGAGAAAAAAGAAAGGATCGAAGAAGAACAAGCGGAAGATGTCGAGCACGGTCGGTCAGGTCATCAAATGCAAAGGTTCGTCCCGTCTATATTTAGACGGTGTTTCCTTCTTTATCATTCCAAGGCTGCAGCTCTATGTTCTCCCCGATTGGTGACGAAGGCGGTCCTTACTGTCTTCGAAATGAGCCAAGGGATTACAAGGAGAGTCTTATCCTGATTCCTATGGTGGTACGCATTAGCATTTATCGTCACATCTCTTCCCGGAATTTACAGCGGCGGTTGCCTGGGAGGCGGGGAAGCCGCTGGTTATCGAAGAGGTGGAGGTGGCTCCGCCACAGGCCATGGAGGTCCGCGTGAAGATCCTCTTCACCTCCCTCTGCCACACCGATGTCTACTTCTGGGAAGCCAAGGTACGGTTTTCCTCCACAATATCCCGCAGACGGCGATACCCCGGAAGGTCCCTTAGAAGATCGGGTTGGTTGACGCTGTCTGATTTTGGTGGCACTGCAGGGCCAGACACCCGTGTTTCCCCGAATTTTGGGCCACGAAGCAGCAGGGTATGCCCCCACCGCTCAATTCCCTTCACTCCCTCGGTCTCCTCCCCGAATAGTCTTCTTCTTCTTCATCACTCTCCCCATTTGGACTTAAATTTCGGTGTATGGTGTTGATGGTGACCAGGATCGTGGAAAGCGTAGGAGAAGGCGTGACGGATCTGCAGCCGGGAGACCACGTTCTCCCGGTGTTCACAGGAGAGTGTAAGGAGTGCGACCACTGCAAATCGGAGGAAAGCAACATGTGCAGCCTCCTGAGGATCGACCCTGACCGCGGTGTGATGATCGGGGACGGGAAGGCAAGGTTCTCCATCAACGGGAAGCCCATCTACCACTTTCTCGGCACCTCCACCTTCAGCGAGTACACCGTGGTGCACGTGGGCTGCCTGGCGAAGATAAACCCGCTGGCCCCCCTGGAAACGGTCTGCGTGCTCAGCTGCGGGATCTCCACAGGTGCGGCCTTCCTCTTCTTCAGCTTGGCTTCACTAATTAAAAAAAAAACATAGCCTTGGAACGTGTTCACACCATCTTCTTCATCTTCCAATTTTGGAAATTAAATCTTTTCTTAATACCATAAATGTTTTTATCAAAATTTTGAAGGTTTCGGCGCGACGGTGAATGTGGCCAAACCGAAGAAGGGATCGTCAGTTGCTGTATTCGGATTGGGAGCCGTGGGCCTTGCCGTGAGTGTCTCGCTCTGTTCCTTTATCTGTTACTCTGTATAGTGGATGGTTTTCGTTCTCTTCTCCCAATTAGATTAAATGATGATAGGTTGAATGCTAACAGGCTGCTGAGGGGGCGAGGGTCTCAGGAGCTTCAAGGATCATCGGTGTGGACTTGAACTCGGACAGATTCGAGCAAGGTGTGTGTCCAATCTTTTCAAATCAATATGATTTCGGCTCATGAGATCGAGAAACAGAGTCTAAGACATTTTCATTGCTTTCATCGCCAGCTAAGAAGTTCGGCGTGACGGAGTTTGTGAACCCAAAAGATTACGACAGACCCGTTCAAGAGGTTCCCTTTCTATTTCTCACGTTTTAACATTTCCGAGTTTAGCATCGAGTCGTTGACTGCGGTTTCTAAAGTGTGAGTCATGTGGTCTGTGGTAACAGGTGATCGCCGAGATGACCGGCGGCGGAGTAGACCGAAGCGTGGAGTGCACGGGCAACATCAACGCCATGATTTCCGCATTCGAATGCGTCCACGATGTACTTTCCCTTGATATCTCTCGATCTCTGACGCTGCATAAACGGAAATCTATCCTTATTTCACGGTCTCTAATCTAATCTGGTTGACGTCGCGGTCGCAGGGCTGGGGAGTCGCTGTGTTGGTCGGTGTGCCTCACAAGGATGACGTATTCAAGACCTCCCCAGTAAATTTCTTGTGTGAGCGGACTCTCAAGGGCACCTTCTACGGGAACTACAAGCCTCGCAGTGACATCCCTGGAGTGGTGGAGAAGTACATGAACAAGGTAAGGGAACTCGGTTTCACGTTGCCGCTTCAGTGGTGGTGGTGGGGTTGAGTCATCCTTGAGGCAGGTGTTCGCTAAAAAATGTGGGCCTTTTTCTATGGTTGCTTGATGGTGCAGGAGATGGAGTTGGAGAAGTTCATCACCCACGAGGTCCCTTTCTCCGAGATCAACAAGGCGTTCGATTTAATGCTCAGGGGAGAAGGCCTCCGCTGCCTCATCCGAATGGAACATTGAGTTCTACTCCTGCCTGCTAGTTACTATGGATGAAGGCGTTCTATTTGATGATGTACTGATGCCGTTCCACGGGATAAAAACCTGGGACAGAAAACCCTAAACAGATAACTTAATTCGGAGTGCTGAGAAGAATACATGTCTGGGAACAATTCACATGAGTTTCAAGATCTAGCTGCTGCCCCTCTTCACGTTATGCCTCTTTATTAGGTTTCCGAGATAAAAACAATCTATTTTTCTTCTGTTGCGAACGGCTGATCTCCTTCCGGGTATCTCAGAGAATGGCCAGCCTATGTCTGTCTTCTTGAGAGACGAAGGGAGAGAGAACCACCAAGAGTGGAAGGATATACGCTGGGGATTGAAAAACGACCGTTATTTGGTCTAATTTCAAACACATTAGCCGGGGTCCAAAGACGTCACTATTTATACCCTCCTCTTATCCCTTGAAAGTTACATCATGCCCTCTGAACATCAACTAAAAGAAAAGGTTTTGGAGATTTCTACTCTGCTTGTTGGGCCAATGCTCTGGCCTAGCATACCTCATCTAATCCAAATGAGATAGTAGTCATATCTCAATTATTTCTACCTTTGGTAATATCTCAATCATCCTTGAAGATTAAATTTTGATGCTCTATCTTGAATTTCTTTGGAGAAGATTTCTCACCTTATCTGCAATTTTTACTTAGTTTAAATTTAAGTAATACTTGAATTTATTAATTTTGAAATGCTTGGTCAATACATCTACATCATCATATACAATCTTATTTTTTTCTGATAAAATGTCTCCTGAATTAATAAACTCATGGGTCTTATGAAATTTCAGATCAATGTGATTTATTCTCGCATGGTACATTGCCTTTCTCTCCATCAATATCTGCAATATTGTGGGGCGTTTCACGGCTCATCCTTTACAAGGCCCGCAGCCCGTATGGAGTAAGGGCCCGGCTCGAGAGTTAATATGCTCAAGTCTGGCCCACAGGTTAGAGTGTCAACGGATATTCGGGCCCGGCCCACCTGCCTTTTTATGTAGCCAAGGACCTGGCCCGTTTCCATCAACAGGGTCCACCCACCCAAGTCAGAGTGTCACCTCTCAAGGTCAAACCTGACACAAGGTGGATTGACCTCTGGGGCTGACCCATCCATCTCTTAGACATGGACCCACATTTCATTGTTGTCTTAATAAGCCTTCAACTTGGGCTAAGAAATCATCTTAGATGTAGAGAGAGAGAGAGAGAGAGAGAGAGGTGAAGCTTTTCTTATATGGCTAAAAGAGGGCTATTGACTTACTTAAAAGGGAGGGGGGCTTGACAGAGAGTGTCAGCTAGAACCCACAATACGAATAAATGGTTATAGAATATTATATGAGAGTATTATATTTTTCAAATATAGTTGCCAAATTAGGGAATTAATCTTAATTCCAATAAATTAGTATGATAAATACCTTTTATGTGGTGCAACTAAGTGATGGGCACAACAAAATTAGGGCATTGAGAGAGGAAGAAAGAGAGAGAGAGAGAGAGAGAGAGAGTTAATAGGATCACACAATATTAATAAATGGCTATGGAATATTGATGGAGAGAAAGTAAACTAGACCTCACAATATGAATATATGTGACATTTTGACCATCAAATAAAATGCACCTTCATCAAAATTAAGCCATTTCACCAACCTCTTATACGCAGCTTCTTTAGCCATATAAGTCATTTTCATAAGCACAACTTTGTTGTGGATAATGCAATTGTTGCTTGAAGTGTTGATTTCTAGTGTTAATCCTCTTGTAAGAGTAAACACATAATATAGTGTATTTTTTATCATCTAAAATCACTTACAAAATCAGCATTAACAAAAATTTCACTTTTATGTCTACATTAGAAGAAATTCTAAGATATCTCAAAATCTCAAATCACTATTTTTTAATTTTTTATTTTCTAGATTTATGATAAATATATTCACTGATAAATTCCATATATGCAATGTTGGATTTGATATAGATAATGGTAGGCATCAAGCTACTTGCAACACTCATATCATGTATATTATAATTCTCTAAAAAATTTATTCTATTTGAACTCTAATTAACACATATTTTTTTCTAATTTAAATGAGTAGTTATCTATTTAATCAACTTCTTGATGTAATTCTTTTGTGATATCCATAGTTGTTCATTCTTTATGTGTCTATGAATTTCTTATTTATAGAATATTTCTATAATTGTTTTTAATTAAGATGAGATCGTTCACATCAAATTATTTTTCAGCAAATATTTTAGTTTGACAATCTCATTCATAGTCATGGTTGTTATTAGTATATCATCAACATATATATTAAATGAATCAAAGATCCATCTTCAAAGAGTTTAATATTAACACATCAATCAGACTCACATCAAATATAATTACTATGTATCATAAGTGCATGTAACTCAAAGAAATCATAATATCTTCAATACATAAAGTAATTTTTTCCACTTACAAATAATATGTTTTGATATTAATTTTCTGAATCCTTCAAACTCTTCATTAGACAGTTTTTCATCAAATCACTATGAAATAATGTAAGGTACATATCAAGTTATTCCAACTCAAAATCTTCATTGCAACTATGGCAAACACTGCCCTAATTGATGTGTATTTCACTACTAGAGAAAAAATATTTGTCATAGTAAATATATTTTTGTTGTTAACCAAGATTTTATTATTCTCTTTTTCAATGTAGTCTCCTTCTATAAAACCCATTTTCATCATGTTTTCTTCTTCCCATAGGCAAGTCAATTTGATGAATAAACTATTTTTCTTCTATCATTATTTTAATCTAAAGATCATTGTCCTGTTAATTACATTTCTTGAAAAGATGTAGATCTTCTTTGTATGTAGTATAGATGGAAAAAATATAATCTTCAAAAATCTCAACTCATAGGTGGTCTAGTGTTGCATGTAGTCCTTCTAGTAGAAATTCAGAAATAATCTATTTAATTGAATCTATCAACATGAGTCCATTGTAAGGGGTGTTTATATTTTGTATGACCTTTAGGCTTAAATATAAGAAATTATCTTCATGTTGTACACTCACTTACTCTATGCAATCAAACATATGACTAAAATATTGATCAATAATAATCATATATAAAGTGTTACTCTATGATTCTTTATGTAAATTTATATGAATCATTTAAAAAGGTTGTAATAAAACATTGTTATTTGTTGTGTTGTAGAGATTAATTTTGTCAATATGTTACATATCTCACATTCAATAATTTTTTTACTATTATGTTTGAAGTTTGTATTTGAATACTTACTTTGAGAACAATGTCTAAGAGTTCATCATCAACAACTCATACTTTGTCAAACTTGACTGCAACATAAGTTAAAGATGCAAAACTCTATAAGACTACTTATGCTTAGAAGAACATGTTGAAACCAAATGGTAAGACAAAGAAATAGAGAGGAATGAGAGTGAATCTATACTCACTTTTTTTGTATTATTTGAGTCACTAAAAGAATAAGCCTAATTAAAATAAAAATATTACATGATAAAAAATACATCAAATAGATGTTGTCTATAGTATTTAGTCTCTCATTTAAACTCAAATATTAAAAAAAATCGATTTCGATAATGGCATAAAGTTTTACATTGATTTGGCCACCTCAAGTCTACATCACATCAATGAATACTCATTCATACATTCCATTATATTCTCCATAAATAAAGAATAGTAAACCTAGATCAGCAACCTCACTTATAATATAGACTCCACAAGTTTATATCACCCCACTAGATTTCAAAGAGCTCTAATAATTATTAGTAGCATAACCTCTATGAGTCTACACTTCCTATTAGTTTTAAAATATTTCTAGTAGGTTTTACACCCTATTGCAAACATAGTAAAAGCATATAATTGAGTTCTAATACTCAATGATATTGAATAAGATTGTCAATGCCTTCAAGATTTAAGAATGATTAAAGCTCTCTTAAAGCTTGTGATTTGGTGACTTTTGAAGAGATGAGTTGCTTTAGATTGGTTGTGCACTAAGAAGTTATTTCCATTTATCTTCAACCAGTTTTCTCTGCCAATAGATGAAAGAACAAGAAGAGGAAGTGGATTCCCATCAACTCTTCTTTGTCATCTTTAGGAACCTTGACATCTTTAAATTATTTTGATGATGATCAACTCAGATATGTGTAGAAAATTAATAAAATATATTATGATCATCCATTTAGGAAATAGTATAAAAAATAATTACTTGGAAAATATTTCATATTTAACATGTCTAGTGTAATGTACATAACTTTAGATTGAAGAAAATTTTATAATTATGCATAAATCATTATTTTCTTTTTACTAGATGGATTTTCAATCAAAATTACAAGTTGCACCCCAAGGTTAAAAAATAATGATTGAGTTGGGGAATTTTTTTTGTATGAACTTTAAAGTGATAGAAAAAATCCATAAATATAAAATCATGTAATGAATATTTAACATTGGTGAATTAAATGAAAGCTGTGGAAAAATCACTAATTACGTTTAAACTATATTTTGTAGACATACATTTGATGTAATGAGTTAAGAATCCAAAAAAATGGCAAACACTTAGTTTAAAATGTCAAAATAAACCTTTATAAATAATATATCATGCTTATGCCTTGCTTGTACGAATTCGGATTCACTTTGAAGTCGAATTTATTATCCAATCATTGTATGTATTCATGGACTATGCTTAAACATATTGAATTTAGTTTTGGGAATCCCATTGCAAATATTTTCTAATATTTAAGTTTTGGCTTAATTTTTTATATTGGTTTAAGTTTAAAGGATATTACCAAACACCTACACAGTATATCATATTGGATATTTTATATTAGAAACTATAATACTGTTAAAACAAGATATTAAGGGAATAGAAAAATAAAGAAATGCATTTAAAAATCAGCCTATAAATGGAAGCCAATCTCGCCCATTTGAAACATCTTTGCTGGCCTATGTCCTCTAACATTTTTGCAGCCTTCATGAAGAAATATTTCTATAGAAATTCAAAAGGTCTAGAGTCATTCTTTAAAAAAACATGAAGGAAGTTAAATTCTGATCAAAAAATCAGATTGCTCCAATCAACTACTAACATGAAGTCTTCTAGAATCGAGTATTGAAAGCAGAAAGGATCAATAAATCAAGATCTATAGATTTATGTCTTTTTCAATTCAAATAATTCTTCATCAAGTTATCTTTTTGGATTGAACAACTTAGTGGAGTATTTTCTAATTCTTTGTAAAAGGGATCTGATCTTTGTGATCAGCAAGTTGATTTGTCTTGATGGTGTGATCTAGTGTGGGTTTTGTAGAAAACTTGATATGACTTTATCCATTGTAATCAGAAATAAAATATTAAGTTGATAGGGAAAGGTAAAAACATAATCTTATTAATAAATTTGACATAAGTCAATGTGACAGGACCACTATAAACGACAATTGTAATATCGTGATTATAAAAGTTTTATAAACTACTTAACACTTCCTTCTTGGTCTAAATACTGCCATGAAACCAACATTCTCATCTTGATCTTTCATTTGATATTCTGTTAACTCATATTTTAGGTAAAATTATTAGTTATATTCTATGCATAGTGGGCCTGAAAATATGCCTTCAGACCTCATAAAAATTAAATGAAATCAGGATCTTGGTATTTTGACAATCGCACATGAGAGATCCATCCATGAGAGATAGAGATATAAGGTAGGCAAGAGATGAAAGAGCATACACCAAACATCTATCCTGCATCCTTAACATCTATTTCCAAAGTTGGGAAGGTCTTCTGCCGAAGGAAAAAACGAGCCCATCACAGTTCGGACCACAGCTACTTCATTTGCATGCGGACCGGAGCCTCCCATCTAGAATCATCGTCCAAAGACACCGGACGACGCAGCCTTCCCGGTTTATAATACCGCCGTCGCCGCACCCCAAAACCGGAATCAATCACCGATGCCGTCTCCTCCACGTAGCCTTCGTCGAAGGAGAAAACGGCGTAATTCTCTCCTCAATGGCGGTTTTTGCGAGATATTTTATCACAGAGGAGACGGAGGACACCAGAGACGTCCATTCGGATTTGGAGCTTAACGAAGATCGGCATCCGAAGATCCTTCGGCAAGTGTCACAAAGGCAACCACGCGGCAGGACACATCAAGATTCGAAAACTTGTACTATCATGAAAAAACGCTCTGTTTACACAGTCACGCGGACTCGCACACCAAAGGACACAACTATATTGCATCTTAGCCGGACTAGCCAACCGCACGCATTAACATTTGGTCAAGAAAGCGACATTGGGCACTAGATAACAGCCAAAGCTACTCAGACTTTCAGTACATCTCATAATCGGTTCGCCTTCACCAGTAGGAGTCGGCTGGCAAAGTACTACTCAGTTTTCCATGCGAATGAGGCAGCGCAGGCCTTCTCCTCTGAACATTAAATCAAACGCCTTGTTGATCTCGGAGAAGGGGACCTCGTGGGTGATGAACTTCTCCAGCTCCATCTCCTGCACAATCAACCATAGAAACAGGCCCACATTTTTTAGCGAACACCTGCCTCAAGGATGACTCAACCCCACCACCACAACTGAAGCGGCAACGTGAAACCGAGTTCCCTTACCTTGTTCATGTACTTCTCCACCACACCGGGGATATCACTGCGAGGCTTGTAGTTCCCGTAGAAGGTGCCCTTGAGAGTCCGCTCACACAAGAAATTTACTGGGGAGGTCTTGAATACGTCATCCTTGTGAGGCACACCGACCAACACAGCGACTCCCCAGCCCTGCGATCGTGACGTCAACCAGATAAGATTAGAGACCGTGAAATAAGGATAGATTTCCGTTTATGAAACCCCAGCGATTGAGAGATATCAAGGGAAAGTACATCGTGGACGCATTCGAATGCGGAAATCATGGCGTTGATGTTGCCCGTGCACTCCACACTTCGGTCTACTCCGCCGCCGGTCATCTCGGCGATCACCTGTTACCACAGACCACAGGACTCACACTTTAGAAACCGCAGTCAACGGCACGATGCTAAGCTCGGAAATGTTAAAGTGTGATATAGAAAGCGAACCTCTTGAACGGGTCTGTCGTGATCTTTTGGGTTCACAAACTCCGTCACGCCGAACTTCTTAGCTGGTGATGAAAGCAATGAAAATGTCTTAAACTCTGTTGTTCATATCATCACCCGAAATCCAATTGATTTAAAAAAAGATTGGACACACACCTTGCTCGAATCTGTCCGAGTTCAAGTCCACACCGATGATCCTTGAAGCTCCTGAGACCCTCGCCCCCTCCGCAGCCTGTTTGTTACCATTCTAATGTCATCATCTAATCGAATGGGGAGAAGAGAACGAAAACCATCCACTATACAGAGTAACAGATAAAGGAACAGAGCGAGACACTCACGGCAAGGCCCACGGCTCCCAATCCGAATACAGCAACTGACGATCCCTTCTTCGGTTTGGCCACATTCACCGTCGCGCCGAAACCTTCAAAATTTTGATAAAAACATTTATGGTATTAAGAAAAGATATAATTTCCAAAATTGGAAGATGAAGAAGATGGTGTGAACACCTTCCAAGGCTATGCTCCTTTTTTTTTAACTAGAGAAATTGGGCAGAAGAAGAATAAGGCCGCACCTGTGGAGATCCCGCAGCTGAGCACGCAGACCGTTTCCAAGGGGGCCAGCGGGTTTATCTTCGCCAGGCAGCCCACGTGCACCACGGTGTACTCGCTGAAAGTGGAGGTGCCGAGAAAGTGGTAGATGGGCTTCCCGTTGATGGAGAACCTTGACTTCCCGTCCCCGATCATTACACCGCGGTCAGGGTCGATCCTCAGCAGACTGCACATGTTGCTCTCCTCCGATTTGCAGTGGTCGCACTCCTTACACTCTCCCGTGAACACCGGGAGCACGTGGTCTCCCGGCTGCACATCCGTCACGCCTTCTCCCACGCTCTCCACGATCCTGCTCACCATCAACACCAATACACCGAAATTAAGTCCATATGGAGAGACTGATGATGATGAAGAAGAAGAAGACTATTTGGGAAGGAGACCGAAGATGTGAAGGGAATTGAGCGGGGGGGGGCATACCCTGCTGCTTCGTGGCCCAAAATTCGGGGGAACACGGGTGTCTGACCCTACAATGCCACAAAACCAGACCACGTCAATCACCGCCCACGTCAATCACCGCGATCGATCGACCGAGAGACCTTCATGGGGTCGCCGTCTGCTGGAGATATTATGGAGGAAAACCGTACCTTGGCCTCCCAGAAGTAGACGTCAGTGTGGCAGAGGGAGGTGAAGAGGATCTTCACGCGCACCTCCATGGCCTGCGGTGGAGCTACCTCCACCTCTTCGATAACCAGCGGCTTCCCCGCCTCCCAGGCAACCGCAGCTGCAACATCAGGCCAGAGAAGTAAGGACAAATTTGCAGCTTTGGCTAAGAAGGAGAAGAACTTCCGAGCGGGATATCCACCCACGAAAGGTAATTTCCGTCCCCCTCAGGGCTTCGCGAAGACAGGAAGAATCTATGTGCCCCCAGAAAATGGGGGGAAACATTGCTCTGTCTGCTTGACACAACAAAACAATGAAACACTAAACAACGGGAGAAAGTCGAACCTTTGCATTTGATGACCTGACCAGCTGTGCTCGCCATCTCTTCCGTCCCTCTGTTGTTTCCTCTCTCTCTCTCCCCCTCTCTCTTTCTCGCTCGCTCGTTAGTGAGGACAAGGCCGACAGCGGACTTGGGGAGACACGGGGATGTGCGAGTAAGTATATATAGGGGCCAGATCCGGGGATATTCGTGGTTTCTCGAATCGCCAATACCGCTTGCGCTGCGGGAAACATATCCGGCGGCTTGGTTGGAGACTTTGGGCTCGGTTGACCGATGCGCCCGCCTCCGTCGTATTTCCGGCGTCTTGGATTTCGACTGTGGTTTTACTCTGATATCAGTAAGATACAGGCGTACAAGTAGTTATTTCAATTGCTTTGATCTAATTGATGCAATAAGTCGCATCTGTAATACTTGATTACATAACGGAACAATTCCTCTAGAAGGAATCATCGTCGTTTGACATTCATCGGTCAAGGGCTACAGAAATCACAGACTTGATTATATCTATGAACTTTGTACGAAAGAAACTTAACACCATTGGCCATCGCATCAGGTATCAATTCTGGAAGGAAAAATGGACTAATTTGGTTGGAGTGTAATATTGGATATTCGAAATTTTAGTTTCAAAATTGATCTACAAAACCCACCCTCTCTACTCAAGAAAATAACGAAAGCTAGGATAGTGCAATTGATACAAATTGATTCTTGTGGAGAAGCTCATCGCTCCATCCTCCCGACCACCAGAAACAAGGTGGATAGATCCACCGGATGAAGCCGCCTCCATGGTTTGCAATACCGCTGTCCCGCCGAGTAAAACCGGGATTCTCGACGTTGTCCCTCGTGTAGTGTTGGCGTCTGTAGAGAACTCCACAGAAGACGACGCGTGCCGTCTTCACGGGATATATTAAGGTAGAGGGTTGGAAGAGTTGAATAATGGAGAATAACGTCACACCATTCATCTCAGGCTGTCACAGCGTTGAAGCTTGTGATCTTATCCGAAGCATTGACTAATAAGTATCTGAAGATAAAAAAAAGAATGTGGAGCAATCAGCTGTTGGGCGGACGGAGATGTAACTGGGCAAGCGGCGCATCCGGATTCGCTGAGTTTTTCAAACGTAATCGGTCTGAATAAAATATGTTTTTTAGTTGAGCTCAGATTACGAGGAAAACGAAATTAAAAAGCATAAAATATTTGGAATAATAAATATTTCCCCTGTGTTTTTAATCCTCACCGATTGGATAAACTGTATTACGCAAGTCTAAATAGACATCCAAAACCATCATCTGCATTTCATTGCATGTAGATAACCCCCCCCCCCCCTACCAGCACCCTATGTTTGGTCTGAATTTCAGAAAAATAATTCAAAGTCGTGGCAAAGTCAACTTTTCATGCTTTCCTCTAGATAGCCGAGGAATTTTGATACCCATATTCATTTTCCTCGAGTGAAAAACACTGACTTTCATGTTCTTGGGGTCAATAATCTAATAATCATGCATGGAAAGAAGGAATCACAGATTTCCTCCGAGGGTTAAAAGGAAAAGTGAATCATCAAAACTACTGCGATCATGACTGGCCGGACATTTACAAAGAACACGAGGCTTAGCGTGGCGTCCGAAAAAGACAGAGCTACAACTTGCAATTGCCTCTTCATGTGAACGGATGCTGACTCCATCGAAATATTTCAGCCTGAATTCCTATCTGGCTCTTTTGGATAAATCACTATTAACCCTACCTCGAAGTCAACCGGTTTGATAAAAGGAGGGTTTCCTCGTTCAGACAAGCGCATCCAAGACACCAGGAACCCATCATCTACTCTACGTCGGAGGGAAACGGCGCGGGGAAGTGTATGCCAAAACGGGCTTAGTTTTCAAGCTCTGAACAATATGGCACAAGGAAAGACGACGGCGCATTTACTTCAGTCATAGAGGCCGCGCACATCGGTTTAGCAATGGGTCAAGAAGTGAGGCGATGACTGAAACGAGTCAAGGCCATTAGATCAGCAAGTAAAATAGCTTTCCTGCTTGGTGAATCTCCAGAGCCATTCCGGAACTGCACATCCCTATTATCACAGTCTGCGCTCTCTTTTCACAGTTCACGCACAGTTACTCGTAAAAAATTCAACAACTAGGTTAATTAACAAAACATCCATAGCACTCAAACAGGCCAGAGAGTTCATAAGAAAGTGTATATTACAGACATCCTTATGGTGTTTGTACGCGGCTGCAAACTAAATAAATAACAGAAATCAGAGTTGGTTCGGTTTGCATTGTGAACGCAAAGCCTAAACTCATACAACCGGTCAACGAGAGAAACTCAGTGTTCCATCCGGACGAGGCAGCGGAGGCCTTCTCCCCTGAACATTAAATCGAAGGCCTTGTTGATCTCGGAGAAGGGGACCTCGTGGGTGACGAACTTCTCCAGCTCCAGCTCCTGCACCATCAAACAACCATAGAAACACACCCCACGTTTCTTAGTGAACACCTCCCTCAAGGATAGCTCAACCCCTCTCACAACTAATGCGGCAAGGCGAAACCGAGTCCCCTGACCTTGTCCATGTACTTCTCCACTACACCAGGGATATCACCCCGAGGTTTTTAGTTCCCATAGAACGTGCCCTTGAGGGTCCGCTCACACAAGAAATTTACTGGGGACGTCTTGAACACGTCATCCATGTAAGGTACACCGACTAACACACCCACACACCCCAGCCCTGCGACCGTGACGTCAACCAGATTATATGAGACCGTCAAAAAACGTTAGATTTCCGTTTATGAAGCCTCAGAGATATCAAGGGAAAGTACATCGTGGACGCATTCGAATGCAGAAATCATGGCGTTGATGTTGCCCGTGCACTCCACGCTGCGGCCTACTCCGCCGCCGGTCATCTCAGCGATCACCTGTTCATCACAGTCGACAGGATTCACATTTTATAAACCGCAGTCAACAGTTCGATGCTAAACTCGGAAATGTAAAATTGTGTGAAAATGAAAACATACCTCTTGAACGGGTCTGTCGTAATCTTTTGGGTTCACAAACTCTGTCACGCCGAACTTCTTAGCTGGTGATAAAAACGATGCAAATGTCTTAAACTCTGTTGTTCATATCATCAGCCGAAATCCAATTGATTTGAAAGAATGGACAGACACCTTGCTCGAATCTGTCCAAGTCCACACCGATGATCCTTGAAGCTCCTGAGACCCTCGCCCCCTCCGCAGCCTGTTACCATTCAACCTATCATCATTTAATCTAATTGGAAGAAGAGAACGAAAGCCATCCACAATACAGAGTAACAGAGAGAGGAACAGAGGGAGACACGGCAAGGCCCACGGCTCCCAATCCGAATACAGAATCTGTTGATCCCTTCTTTGGTTTGGCCACATTCACCGTCGCGCCGAAACCTTCAAAAAGTTGATAAAAACGTTTATGGTATTAAGAAAAGATCTGATTTCCAAATTTTGAGGATGACGAAAATGGTGTGAACACCTTCCAAGGCTATGCTCTTTCTTCTTCTTTTTAACTAGAGAAATTGGGCAGAAGAAGAATAAGGCCGCACCTGTGGAGATCCCGCAGCTGAGCACGCAGACTGTTTCCAAGGGAGCCAGCGGGTTTATCTTCGCCAGGCAGCCCACGTGCACCACGGTGTACTCGCTGAAAGTGGAGGTGCCGAGAAAGTGGTAGATGGGCTTCCCATTGATGGAGAACCTCGACTTCCCGTCCACGATCATGACACCCCGTCAGGGTCGACCCTCAGCATTCTGTGTTGACTTCGGAAAAACCAGAAACCGCTCCAGGAACTTCCGAAATCAGAAAGAAACAAGAACACGGAAGAAGTGAACAAAAAATGCACCAAATTGAATACGAAATGTGCTGATGAGTTTTCGTCGAACACTTAGCCCTCTATTTAGGGGCCCAACCAGAGGCGAAGAGAGGATGAGAGTAACGGCCGCTCAAAGAGCTGGCACCGCATCTCACGTGACAGGTTATCCGCCGTTATAACTCCAAGAGATGTTCGGCTGTGATTCACACCCAAATATTTCTCGATGGAGAGTTCGCCGGAGACGGCGAGCAGCGAAGGAGCTGGAGCAGCTCCTTTATTCTCCTCCTTGCTCTTGCTCCTCCGTGAGAAGATTTCGCACACTCAGACGCTGTCACATTTCTATGAACTTCTGACTTCTAAGTGCCTTAGTGAGAATATCAGTCAATTGATCCTCCGTCTTGACGTAATGTACTTCAACCTTTTTGTCCTCAACACATTGACGAATAATGTGGTCTTGTGTCAATGTGCTTTGCACAATTGTGGTGAACATGATTCTTGCTCAGAATAATGATTGATTGATTGTCCACCATCAATTTTACTGACTTCATTTTTTTTCCCTTTCATCTCACTAATCAGGCGACTCAACCACACACCTTGGCAAGTAGCTACTGTAGCTGCAATATATTCAGCTTCGCATGAGGATTAGGCAACTATTTTCTACTTATGAGATGACCAGCTGATGGCCATGCTTCTGAGGAAATAGATGTGACCAGAGGTGCTCTTCCAATCATCTGCATCTATTCAAGCTTCAAGTGGTGTGAACACTAGATTACAATCTTCCATCCTTGCATGCTCCAATATTTTTAAGGCATAACCCTTCTGAGAGAAAAAAATGAAGTCATTGCTTTGTACGATCTCGAGTCCCATATAGGAACTTAGTGATCCAAGAATCACTCATTTCAAATTTCTCCTTCATCCTTGTCGTGAAGTCTTCTACGCACTCAGAGGTAGAACCTGTGATTATTACATCATCAACATAAACCTCGATAATTAAGACTTCTTTACCCAATTTCTTGAGATAAAGAACTTGCTCATGATTGTTCTTAGTAAATCCAAGAGAGGTCAGACACTCGTGGAGTTCAAAATACTAAGCCTTAGAGCTTGCTTCAAACCATACAATGCCTTTTTAATCATAAAACAGAGCCTTCTCTACCCTCCACAGTGAAGCTGTCAAATTGCTTTATATAGATTTTTTATTCGATCTCCCTATTCAAGAAGGCCGACTTAACATCAAGGTGATGAAGAATCTATCCTCTTAAAGCTGCTAAGGTAATTAGAGCTCTTATAGACTCAAAGTGGACCACTGGGGCAAATACTTCTTCATAGTCAATCCCATATATCTGTGAGTATCCCTTCATAACCAGCCAAGCTTTGTGTCTAATGATCTCTCATTGTGAGTTCTTCTTGACTTTGAAGATCCATTTTAGCCTAGTTAGCTTACAATTATATGGGGGTGACACCAACTCTCACGTTTGAGTTGGTCAATAACTTACATTTCCTCTTTCATGACTCTCCTCCATACTTACTCTCAAGAAGCTTCTGAGTATGAGAATGGTTCTTCACAAGTGAGCAAGCAAACCTGATGATCTAGTGGAATTGAAGTCGTCTCTGAGTAAATTTCAGTAATAAACTTGTATTTGTGAAGTTGACTTTCTTCAAACTCACTCTAAGAGATTGAAGTCTCCTCTCGAGATCCAAACACCTCCATATCTTCAACTTCGGCATCAGAGTCTTCTTTCATACCCTAATTAGATAGAAAATCAGGTAAGAAAGTATAATTAGTAAAAAAAATTACCTTTCTTTGTCCAATCTCACTTACAATTTTCTTCAGAAATGACATCTTGATTGATGTTGACTTTGCCATTAATCCGGTTATAGCATTTGTAGGCCTTGGAGCCCACCTCATATCCAATGAAGATCATAAGTTAACTTTGGTCTTCCAACTTGCTCTGTGATCCTCTAGTGCATTTCATATAGACAATTGAGTCAAAGACTCTCAAGTGATCAATGTGGGACTTTCTCCGGATCTACTTCTCGTAAGGAGTCAATCCTTATAGACTTTTAGTAAATGAGTGATTACAGATGTAAATAACAGTGCTTACTGTTTCTCCCCACAGCTCTCGAGGCAGCTCATTTGCCTTCAACATGCTTTGGACCATGGACATCACAATCTGGTTTTTTCTCTCCATCACTCTATTCTGTTGAGGTAAGGGGACATTAATTGCCTCTTAATGCCTTTTGAGACACAATAATTGTCAAATTTATCAAATGTAACTTCTCCTCCTCAGTCTGATATGAAGTTCTTGATCTTCACACCCGTCTTTGTCTTTATTAGAGTATTGAATTGCTTAAATGTAGCAAATGCATCGAATTTTTACTTCAACATAGCCACCCACGTTAGATAAGAGTAATCATGGATAATTAGGAAGAAATATCTACTTCCCTTTAAGGTGGGTGGTGTAATAGACCTGCAAATGTCAATATAGATAAGCTCTAGAGGTTCAGAAGCTCTAAATGTGGTGACTTGAGGAAATTGTGATCGGTGTTGCTTTACAACAACATAATTACTGTAGAGATGAACAAGAATTCTGATATGAGGAAGTTCCTCCATGATATACTTACTAGTCATCTCTTTCAAATGGTGAAAACTAAGATGTCCAAATCGAGAATGCCACAACTATTTCTCATAATTGTTGTCAATGGGTAAACAAACACTGATCCACCACATTCAATTTCAGTAAGTACAGTGTACATTCGAATCTTTGAACTTCAGTAAATAGACGACCATCACAATCAAAAATAATCAACTGACCTCCATACATTGTCATACGACAGCCTTCTTCATACAAGCAGCCGAGAGTAAGAATGTTAGTCACCAATTGAGGGACAAATAAGACATTAAGAAGCCAGAGCAGTCTACCATCTTTCTGATTACTTAGAATATTACCTCTATCTTTAATTTCAACCTTTGAATTATCATCGAATTTGACAAATTCAAATGCAGTTTCATCTAAGTCCTTAAAGAATTTTCGACGGCCAGACATATGATCTGTCGCTCTAGTAGCAAGATACTAGAGATTGGGATCGGAGAGCATCATCTCGGAGCCCTAAAGTAGTAGGCCATCATGTTCCTCCACAATTGTCATCAGAAGCAAAGATTCTACTGTCGGTGCAGAAGAATTACTCACATAAACTCGTTCTTCCTTCTCCTTCTTTGCACTTCAACACTCATAAGCAAAGTGTTAATACTTCTCGCAATTGTAATATTAAATTTGTGATTTATCAAATTACTTCTTCACGTCGTCAAGAGGTGGACGTCGACCATGGCCACAGCCTCTGCCTTTGCCTCTGCCTCTGCTGTGGCCACAATATATGTCTCTTCCGCAAGATGACTCCTCCTTCTCACTTAAGAATTTGGCTTTGCTCAATGCTCTCGCTAGTAATGCTTGCTCCTCTTCCTGTGATTCTAGCTCCTTGAGCTGCAATTTGTGGACGCTCAGAGAACCAATTACTTCATTTAGGCTGATTTTGTCCAAATCGCCATATTGCTCTAAAGACAAGGTGAGTGCATTGAATTTTGAAGGCGTCGCCCGTAGAAGTCGTCGCACCACCTCTCTTTCTTCCATCGTCTCACCTATGTTCTGGAGTTCCAAGACGAGACTGGTGAATTTCGTTTCACCTACATCGTGAGAATTTCGTACTCATGTTTCAGGCTTTGAATTATTGACTGAATCACTTTATCCACGCCAAGATTCTGCGAACGAAGAATCTCCCAGCTCTCCTTAATCGTCTTCTTTGCGTCAAGAACCGTTATCGTCTCCTCATGAACTGCTCCGAAAATCACAGACAGAGCGAGACAATCATTCTTCTTCGAGACATTCTCACCTACAATTGCTTGCCATAATTCATGAGAATCATGAAATACCACCATCCGCATCACCTAGACGCGGTAATTCATCTTCCACAGCATGAGAGACAGTGCCAGCGACACCATCTCCACTCCACGCTCACCGGAGGTACTCATCTCGCCTCCCTTCTTCGTCATCCTCTTGATCCCGTGAACCGAAGAGCTCTGATACCACTTGTTGGCTTCAGAAAAACTAGAAACCGCTCCAGGAACTTCCGAAATCAGAAAGAAACAAGAACACGGAAGAAGTGAACAGAAAATGCACCAAATTGAATACGCGAATGTGTTGATGATTTTTCGTAGAACCACTTAGCCCTCTATTTAGGGGCCCAATCAGAGGCGAAGAGAGGATGAGAGTAACGGCCGCTCAAGGAGCTGTGCGGCTGTGATTTACACGCAAATGTTTCTCGATGGAGAGTTCGCCGGAGACAGCGAGCAGCGGAGCTGGAGCAGCTCCTTCAGTCTGCACATGTTGCTCTCCTCCGATTTGCAGTGGTCACACTCCTTACACTCTCCCGTGAACACCGGGAGCACGTGGTCTCCCGGCTGCAGATCCGTCACGCCTTCTCCCACGCTCTCCACGATCCTGCTCACCATCAACACCAATACACCGAAATTAAGTCCATATGGAGAGACTGATGATGATGAAGAAGAAGAAGACTATTTGGGAAGGAGACCGAAGATGTGAAGGGAATTGAGCGGGGGGGGGCATACCCTGCTGCTTCGTGGCCCAAAATTCGGGGGAACACGGGTGTCTGACCCTGCAATGCCACCAAAACCAGACCACGTCAATCACCGCCCACGTCAATCACCGCGATCGATCGACCGAGAGACCTTCAGGTGGTCGCCGTCTGCTGGAGATATTATGGAGGAAAACCGTACCTTGGCCTCCCAGAAGTAGACGTCAGTGTGGCAGAGGGAGGTGAAGAGGATCTTCACGCGCACCTCCATGGCCTGCGGTGGAGCTACCTCCACCTCTTCGATAACCAGCGGCTTCCCCGCCTCCCAGGCAACCGCAGCTGCAACATCAGGCCAGAGAAGTAAGGACAAATTTGCAGCTTTGGCTAAGAAGGAGAAGAACTTCCGAGCGGGACATCCACCCACGAAAGGTAATTTCCGTCCCCCTCAGGGCTTCGCGAAGACAGGAAGAATCTATGTGCCCCCAGAAAATGGGGGGAAACATTGCTCTGTCTGCTTGACACAACAAAACAATGAAACACTAACCAACGGGAGAAGAGGAACGAACCTCTACTCTGCACTTGATGACCTGGTGAGCTGTGCTATTCATCGTTTTCTTCGTCTCTTAGATCTCCTCTCCTTCGTACTGATAAGTCTGACTGTAGACTTGGTGAGGAGTGTTGAGTCCTGGGAAGTTTAAATAGCGATACTAGGGGACTCCTGGTCCACTGATAGCAGTTCCAAAGACGGAAAACTTCTCTGGCAATTTCAGGCGATTTCACTAACAAATGCGGCTCCCATTTCGGAGGAGGTTGGATTTTACTTCTCCATCCCCCCTCTATTTCCCCGGTTTTAGTGTGGTTTGGATCAGAACTCCCGGCACATGAATGCTGTGGACCTGCTTGCGCATCTTTTTCCCGCTCACTTCTTGGGTTTGACCAAATTCCCAGCCCTTGTTACCGGCGTTTGTGGATCTGGTTTGGCGTTCAAATAGTCGTTGCTTGCCGTAGTGGTGGGCCCTTCCTATGTCCAGCTTTCGCCATTTGGCAGTGCCGCTGCCCACATGGTTGACTACCTATTAAAGATTGCGTTGACTATTCAATCTCCAGAAGATCTCGTGGTGTTCAGAAGACACGGCGGCTTTGCCAAAGGTCAAGGGAGCAATAGCGAGGGGTCTGGAGGCGGTTTAAGGATACAGACCGATCAAGTCGAGTGAAATTTGATCAATGAAATATTGCTAGCCGAAATAGGATTCGTTTTGGCAAGAGCGCCCAAATCCGCTATAGACTTGACAATGTATTTTAAAAGAGTAACTTTCATCAGGATGATTTCGAAAAAATTATTCCAAAAATTTTAGGTTTCTGGTTTCATGGATGCCAGCTAATTTTTTTGGATTCCAACTTCAGAACACTCAAAATAGGTTAGAAGTCAACTTGGCTCTAGGGTTAAGGTGTCTATAATGCTTGAAGCAAGAAATTAATGCCATAAATGCTCAGCGCGATCTTTTATCAACCTTAAGATGGCTTTCGCCAAAGATAATTTATTTTAGAATGATCAACATAATCTAGAAGGGGAAGACGCTGACTATTATAATCCAGAGGTTGCCGCCTCATGACGACCTGCTACTATTATAACCAGGTGGCGCAGCCCACCCAGCTCACCTTCTCTAGACGCCGCTGGTCCCAGCTTCAGTGACTGCACATCACGCCGCCGTGAACAAAGCCTCCACAATGAACACGTAGCGCACCGAGCATCAATTGCCCATAAATCCAATACAACGACAGAGAGACAGGGATAGAGAGAGAGAGTCTCAGTGTAGCACGTATTATATCAGGTTGTCTAAGCAGCCTTTTTCGGCGAAGTTCATTACACCTGTGTGTCCGGTTCGCCAAATATCAGGCGCTCAGAAAAGAGACCAGTATGAGATGCCAAAGATTATTCTTTTAACTATTAGGCCACTGCTGATGACAATTAACCGACTTTGGCCCAAGCAAGGGAAGAGCTACCGTTGGGCCACGGCTCGAGCATGGACAGGCGACTTGAGCTTTGCAATGGATACTCTCCGGGTCTTGGACATCACAAACAGGGTTGAGACACCGTTGGCCCACCAAAAACCCATGAAGTCAACTCATGGGATCATAATTTCTTATCCAGAAACTCTCGGAAAAGATATTAGACTCTGAGTGGAACCCCATGGAGCGCTAGCGTGGCTCCAAAAATCGCAGCCTATTGAAATCCCAGGCAGGAATTTAAGACCTAATTTTTTTTTCTTCCAATACGACTCGGAGACCTAGATTCATGAATAATCATAATCATTCACTCGTCCGTGCCTATGTGAATCTCATTATTCTCGGTCCTTGAAAATAGAGAGAATCATGTCTTTCCGGCCGAAAGGAGCGATGGAAGAAGGAGAGCAGGAGCTGTATGACCCTCTCATCGGGAGGGGAGCTATATCCGACGATGGGAGCATTAAAAGGAGACGAGCTGTCCCCTCATCAATGCATACCCGCCAGGAAAGCTGCCGGCCTGCGTGTACTGATGACCATTATCCGGCGGACTCCGAAGTCTGTCGGGAATCACAAGGAAGAGAGCCTTTCTTCCATTAAACATGCGATAAAGAAGCTCTACAGCCCTATGATACTCGCCAAGAGCACTCCTCTGGCCGGATGCTCGGGCTATACATCTTCGGCTTCCACTAGCGTCTACAGTCGAATGAATTAGATTAGACATTTTTTCCTCCCAACTTTATCTCAAAACTTACGTCCTCCACACCGGGGAGCTCGCCCGATGACGATCTTCGGAAGGAACGCAGAGGGCGTAAAGCAAGGCACAGGGCCTACAAAGTAAACATCATGAGCCCTGCTCTGACCAGGGTAGGAAAATGACCCTGGACGTCGTCGTCTAATTTGGACGTCGTCCATCCCGCGGGAAGGATGGCCTCGTCGTCTCCTCACAGCCCCAGCAGAACGTAGTAGAGAAGGGTGGTGGGCAAGGAGACCAGCATGCCGAAGATGACCCTGCGCAGACAGCAAGCTAGTAAAGAACAAGTAGATTGGCTCTCGGGATACGGCAGTCCTCGGCGAGAAGACCAAGAACAAGCAAGGGTTTTTGGCAAGCACCTTACGAAAAGATAGCCAAAAGTCATATTTAGGCTTGTATTTCCACACATCTAACTCCCAAGAACGTGAGAAAGGTTCAAAGGATAAAAATGTCTAAATGGACTGCAAAAGCTGGGAAGCATACCCTGTGCTGAGGATGTCAGGGTGAAGCCCGTATTCCCTGGCAAAGACGAAGGGCACAATCCCCTGAGGAAGAGCCGCCTGAAATGCACAGCCAGAAGCATTTGAGTCTATAAAGTGAGACAATCCAAACGTAGCTACACAAACCGCTTAGCGCATAGCCCCAATGCTCTTAAGAATAATTTAAATATAGAACGTAGATATCTAGGGGTCTACAACTGTTATTCCCTTCTCCGACAGATTCCAGGGGAAGAGCAGCGCCGCCTCAAAGACCCAGCCCACTGCATAGAAATCTACCCGGCGCCGTCCCAACAGAGCTGCTCAAACAATTACCTACGTCATCCGCTTTCTTGAAGCAACGAAACCATATAAAAGTTTCCATCTCATGCACGTCGACGGAGGTGGGTCTACCCTGCAATCTATTTTCATGACTCGAGAACTATGGTGATGATACCTGAACGATTGCTGTGCGCAGGCGCGCGCCTCTCAGTTCCACGGCGAAGGAGGCAGCTGAGACTATCATAGGCCCGCTGATGAATCGGATGGCCATGCTGAGAACGGCCATCTTGGGTCCGCACGCGATGATCCTTGGCTGAAGAGCCATGAAGAGTCCTGCGCTCGGCCGTCAGCCAGTTTAGGGGTCTTCTGTCATCCGAAGAGCATCTAGGTCAGTGACAGAGAGGTACGACAGGAAAGCTCACCTAAGCTGAACATGGCCATTCCAAGCCCCGCATCCGCGATTATATTTATCGAGTTCTTCAACAGGACCGGCATGCCGACGCCCCACCTGATCAATTACCCGAGGTAAACGGCGGTTTGACTAGCAGAGATGAAAAAGGCAGTTCTTTGTTTCTAGAAGGTCGCATACCTGAAGGAGATCAGAGACCAGACCAGACCCAGAACGCTCGAGTAGGTGTTAGGGTTCCGCAAGAGCTTCCGGACCACCATGATCAGTATGAGCCGCACCATGACGCCGGCCGGTGGCATCTTCTGGCGGATTCCTTCTTCGGGGTCTTCTGGTTCGTCTTCCTCCCTCAAAACGAACTTCGAGGTGCTCCTGAAGCTCAAGTCCTTCTCTGCAAGGTCTCACCATGTTAATGCTGAATTAGTTTGCCGTAATTCCAGTCACTAACCAAAAATTTCAACTATTATGAGCCGTGTCACGGAACTGGATTCGATTCAAATGATGTTCATGGTCTACCGACTGGGAACGTAAGAGATGAAACAAGGGCCCTACTGGTACTGGTAGTCAAGCATCGCCTTTGTCGACTCCGAGGACGCGCAGGAAAACCCGTCTATTCCAGAGACCGTTTTCAATGGAGATGAACGCGAACGGAAGAAGGATGAAATATACTTTGGACCAGGAATCTTTCATTACCTCCAAGGTCCTTGCATCTCTGTCCTGCCGGCTGTTGAAACTCCCACACTGCCCTCGCAGCACTGTTGACGGCCGGAGAATACGATCTGAAAGTCCTCGCAGCGGTGGCCGGGGACTTGGCCCACACCGGCGTGCTCGCGTCTACTTCGTTGAAGTTAGACGCCCGCGGCGTGGGATGGAAGGAGTACACCTCCGAGGAGGCGTACCCAGAGAGGCGTGGGCTCATCATCTTGCATCCCATTGCAGCACCATCGCCGCTACCGTAGTCGTACGATGGCGCCGCCGCCCCTGGGCGGCCAGGGGTATTGGCGGAGTATATCTCTGCTCCGGAGAGGCTCGAGTGGCGCGGGGTCATCGCGACGGAGGAGATGGCCGACTCGGCCGCCGACGAAGTGGACCGCCTGATACGGACCCGGATTTGACCATTGATGTCGAGCTCCGATTCCGCCCAGACAGGGTCCCCCCCGTCGAGGGAAATGACATCGCCGTCGACGTCGACTCGGGAAATTGCCGCCGCCGCGGGCCCCGGGAAGTTGTTCCTGATCAACAGTGTAGCGGAACGGTATTCGAAGAGGAAGAGCAGCAGCGTATACCTGCGAATACAGCACAAATCTAAAAAGAGAGGCGGTGATATTTACGAAGACTGTAGCTATAAATGGAGCCTGTATACCATATTATGCACTGTAAGACAACGAGTTGCACCATTAGGCTCTGGGTGAAGTCGCCGTACATGGCGCGGAGGAGGGGTATGCCCATGACCAGCGTGTTGGGCAGGGTGGCCACGGAGAAGAGGGTGATCAGCCAGTCGAGTCCTCCCTTGGAGAAGACGGCCCACAGGGAAAGCACAACCAACACGGCGACCTTGGAGAGGGTGTCAGCGAGGACGAATTTGAGGTCCATCTGGTAGGGGTTGTTCTGAGAGATGAAGTAGAAAGAGAGCACCGGGACGGCGAACACCGCCACGAATCGGTTGATCCCTGAGCACTGCTCCGGCGAGAAGACCCCCCACCACTTGACTGAGCCATAGGCCATGAACATGGCAAAGTAAAGAGGAACCATGGCGCACATCACGTTGTAGAAGTCCCCTCCGCTTATCATCTCTCACCCTGGTTTTTCTACCCCCAACTCCTGAGCTACCGATAGTTGTGCTGGTTGCTCCAAAGTAGACAGCCACAGAGAGAGAGAGAGAGAGAACGAGAGCGAGAGAGAGAGATCAGAAGACGATGCCCAGAAGCTGTGCGTCCGGGATTTTATAGAGGCGGGTGGAATACATAAGCCGAACTCTTGGACTAGAGAGCCAATGGCCAATGATTGTCGGAGAACAGACTGTCGCCCCTCTGCCAGCGCAGTATCTTCTGATGATTCTACGCAAACTCAGAATCAACAGCTTACCACGAAACTAGGGCTTAATCCAAGATCAATGGCCATGGTCCGATCGCATGATGTGATCGGTGATGACCCAAATGCTAGTCTCACCGTCGCCGATGGACTTCCCTGCCGATGCTCGAGGCGTCAAATTGATGAGGAGAGGACCCACGCACGCATCCTTTCTTCGAAGTTTACAAATGGGCAGAAATTGAACGGAGGAAAAAACTCCATTCCCTGATCTAGACGCATCAAACTACGTGAATTCAGATTCCCGTGGTATTAATTATCTCTTGCTACAGAAAAACCTACAACAAGGAAAAAAAATACAACAAATATTTAAAAAATTGAATTTTCTTCAGGCCCGCATATTCGAGAGGTTATTTAGATGCTGTTTTATCTCTGTGCACATTTTTCGTGATAATAGAAAATAAGATTCCCACGTCGCATTTATCCGGTCGCCCCTGAAGAACAGTCGTATTTTTTATCAATAGGGTGCAGAGCACGAGGTACTGCTAGAGTCAAAGGTGGTCAAGGATGTCGGTCATCTTCCGGCATTCCCTTTCATCCCCACGGAAAAGCTGCGGAGGACACTGTGTAACGGTGGCCCCGGGGGGGCCGGCCATGGCCGCAAACGCAGCCCTACTCCGGCAGGCGCCGGCTACTCCGGCTGATTCGGATTCTTTCGGCTGTCCCCATCCGGCTCTTGGAGTAAGTATAGATTCCTCCTCGCTTCCATTCTCACCGGTGACTGCCGCCGGCGAGCATGCCACCTCTGTGCGCGAGAAGAGAAGAAGATACAGACCAGATTGCCATTTATCGTATTTGCGAGAAGAAAAACACAAAGATTACTTGAAAATAAGGAATAACTTTAAGATTACTCGTGTAGGCAAATTACAAAGCATAAATCTCCCAATAAATAAAAATTAATCTATTTTATTGAAGTCACTTAGTTTCGAGTAATAATATTTAATAAATTCACAACCATGTCCTAAAATCAAATTGCTAAGGTCAAATGCTTAGTACTGGGTGTACTTCATGTACATGGGTGTCATGCATGAGGTTTCATTTTTGCACACGAGCTTCTTAATCGCGGAACACATGGCCAGTGGGATCGGGCTGCTTCAACTGTCAACATCTTTTGTGATACTTAAAGTTATTGCCTTGTTTATCTCAAAGTTAAAACTTTATAATAAACAGAATTATAAATTAAACTTTCTAAGGGTCACCAATTAAACATTGTAATTGAATTCGACATACTAATCTAATGGTTAAAATATTGAATATAAAATCCGTTAAATTATTTTGAATTAGATATATAGTTGAATTTGTGTTATTTTAAACTAGACATGGTGAAGTCCAAAATATTAATGCCTTTGATATGTATACTAAATTAAACCCTGAAATGTGTAGCAATTAAGGTATTTAATCTAAACTCAATGAATAACATTCAAAGATTATTTAGTCGAAGTATACTAAACTTTAAAATCTTGTTGGTAGCAAAACCAAGATTCCAAAAATTATTCAGTATAAAATTGGTTTATTTATAAAAATGAAAAAGCCTTTATATCAATCGATATTTGAGGTAGAATGTTGAGAACAGTCACATACTAGCACTAAATAGTAGATCACAAGCAATTGTTCAGAAAAACATGTCTTCTCCAACCAGTATAAAATAATTTTAGGTTATTTGGTCTAATGATTTTAGCATATTGTATTCAATTTTGGTGTCACAATTCCAAGATTAAGCATCATAATTAAAAATGTTCACTCAAGGGATAAGATATTACGACACCCACACAATAAAAAAACAAATTATATGGTCCGATTAAAGTAATATAAATTGAAGTTCAGTATTGATATTGATTTAGGGGTGTCATTGGATCAAAGCCGCATGGTCCTCTTTCCAAAGTACACTTTATAGATTGTGTATTTTATGAGATGCATATTTCTACTTGAGCCTGAATCAAGGTAGTCAATGGTCTCAAGAGCAAAGCCCACCATCTACAAAAGGCCAAGTCCACGCCAACTCCTTCTTTGTACTTGCGTCATAGATATATATATATATATATATATATATAGAGAGAGAGAGAGAGAGAGAGAGAGAGAGAGAGTATGTGGAAGATAGAACAATAATAAGTGAGAAACATATTGGGCTTCTAGTCTTAGATGTTGGAAGCTATTGAAACCCGTTGTTGAGTAAAGGTAGAGATGGAGTCACTTAAGAGGAGAAACTGCTCTCTTTCTTCTCTAGTTTTCTGACGCTGTAACTTAGTTTGGATATAATTAAGCAATTAATTTATTTTTTAAGGTCACAATGCACGAGAAGACGTTGCAATTTTCCGACCACATTTAAATGAAGTGAATAGTTTCTAAGAGTGGTGCATAAAAAGGTGAGTAAATGCGCCGCCCAGAGTCTCGGTCTCGAGCGGAGGGCCGTACTAAATGCGAACCTCCTGGCATCGTATAGACCGGCCCGCAAATTCGCTTACGTAGCCCCCGGCAAGCGGACCAGCGCCTCACGTGAAACGTAACTTCGAGCGTGTAGGACCAACCAGCTGGTGGGTTTTTTTTTATATGGGGCCCACCAGAGAGCTCCGGCCGCGGGCGTAGGGTAGGGCCCATCATATGCCCATTTTAAGGCCTGTGTCGGGTTCTGTCCGAGCCCGCAAGGCCCGTGACCTACAGAGAGGACGACAGGTCAACATATACGTTAAAATGGCCCCGCAACGCTCGTCCGGCTGGCCACGGCGGCGGAGCCCCATCTCTCAGTCCTCTCCTACTTCCTCAGTCACTCCATTTCTTGTATATTTTGACACACACACACACTCTCTCTCACTCTATCTTCTCGAGGAGCAAAGTTCATGGCGAGGGTTCCCTCGTCCTCCATCGCCATCGTCTTCTTGGCCATCTTTCTTGTTCCCGATCTCTCCGGCGCCGTCCCCGGAGACCCGGATCTGATCCGGAGGACTTGCAACAGCACCAGTTTCTTCGACCTCTGCGTGTCGTCCCTCCAGTCGGATCCCAAGAGTTCCAAGTCCGACGTGAAGGGCCTCTCCGTGATCGTCATCAACCTTGGCATCTCCAACGCCACTGACACGTCGTCGTACACCTCCCATCTGGTAAAGCGCAGGAGGAACGCCGGCCTCAACTCGGCGCTGGAGGGCTGCGCCGGCCGCTACGCAGACGCCCGTGCCGCGCTCTGCTCGGCGCTAGAGGCCCTGTCCCTGGACGACTACGACTTCGCCTCCCTGCACGTGAGCGCCGCGGCGGCGTACGCCGACATGTGCCACAGCCTGTTCAGGCTTAGCCCGGCGCTGACCTACCCGGCGGCGCTCTCCAGCAGGGAGAAGGCTCTGGAGCGGCTCTGCACCATAGCCTCCGACATCATCTCTCTCCTCGGCTGATCCGCGCCGGTGCGCCGTCTCTTTCGCGTTTACTCCTCAGTTCCCTCCGCGCTGTTGCAGTGTCCTCAACTGAACAATGTGGGAAGCTCGGGAATTAAATAAGTGCATCCAAAGCCAGGGAGTAGGTGATGGAGGGGAAGACCGCTTTCTCAGACCAATCTTAGGAACAAACGTGTGGATTCATGCGCAGTGTTCACTGTTTAGGTTGGGCTCCCTCATCTTTCTCCCATTTCGCTCCCATTCTGAGTACTCTTCTTTTGGGCGATCTCTGGTGCTCGGCCAGACAGCCCTGAAGTTTTGACGAGAGTGTCTCTCCAGTGTCTTTTATTTTTCTCTCAGAACACCCATTTCCCCTCGTTCCTGGGACCTGTCCTTGAGACGGGCAAGCTTCATGGAGGAATCCTCCCCTTGGGAGCGGTCGAGAACGGGCAGGGGCTGGAGATGGTAAAAGCCCCTCCTTTTTCGAGACAAACGGCACCTTCAAAAGGGCGGCTTTATATCTAGTGTGAAAGAGTCGAATTATTGAACTAGAAAGTGATTAGCATGGAGAGAAGTTTGGTCCAGCTCGGAAAAACATACTGAATAAGGGGACAAGGAAGCTGGGATATAATGATAGGTGATAGAAGCTCAATAAAAATGCCCCAATTTTACCAAGTTTGCACCGGCCATTTTCAATAGCATAGTGATGAGCTCATTTATCCATGGTATATATGTCAAATAACTTAGTAAAATGAAGATGCAATCCCGTAAACTATTGTGATGTTCGTTGCGTGTGGAATCAATTGATCCTCGATGTAGATTCGCTCCGAACCAAATTAGGGGGAAGATCTCCAATCTCCAGCGAATCCCTGCTTGCCTTCAACGTTATTGCATTATTTTATTGTGCTGCAGTTCATTAAACTTTGATGGTTCATGTATATTATTTTCAGCCTAAGTAGAGATTTCCCAATTTATTGGCCGATCCTCTCGATCCCCAGGTTCTGTGAGAATCGTCAAGATGCAGCGTTCATGGTTGAGTTCATGGTGGCGGGTAGACTCGAGAGTTCACGGCAGCCATGATAGGAGCAGACAGTCGGCAGTGTTTTGAGCTGCAAATGGTTCTTACGTATCGGACTGCCAGATTTAACATCACTGCATTCCGGATCGTTCGAGCTCCTAACGAAACCATCCCCTCCACCCCCCACCCCCCCTCCCTCCTTGTTGAGTCTTTTAAGCGAGACAAGCGTCCATGGAGGACAGCCCAACTGCTACCCTCCTACACCATGAGTTCCTTATCGAAGATCCAGCTGAAGCGGACGGGGCACGGCGGCACCCGCCGCACCCGCTCCTCCGCCCTCTCGTAGAGCTTGCGGATCCTCTGCGGCAGCCCGCAGACGAACTCCTGCGCCCGCCGGCCCGGCCCGTCGAGGCCCTCCAGCGTCTCCAGGTCCCATCGACCCACCAGGAACTCCACGATGTCGGCGTAATCCCTGGAAGTGTAGACGCCGAGTCGTTGCGCCACGGCGGAGAAGTGGTCGAACAGGCGGGGGTCCCGGCCGTCCCTCATCAAGTGGGCCGGCATGGTGATCTTCTTCCTCATCATATCCTCGATCGCCAGCATGGTTTCTACGGGGTCCACCTCCAGCAGCTTCTCCACGATCTTGGCGTACGCCGTCTCGTGGCGCTTCTCGTCGGCGGCGATGGTGCCGCATATCCGAGCCAGGACGGGGTCGCCGCTGTCCTTCGCCAGCCGGGCGGTGTTGCCGTGGGAGACGAAGGTGGCCCGCTCCTGGAACGAGGTGTAGACGAAGCCCAGGTACGGGTTGTTCTCCGTCCCCGGGTCCTGCGGCGCCGGCGGTGGCATAATTTAGCGGATCGCCGCTAAAATCGGAGAGCTGAGGGAAATGGGGGGGGCGGGGCATGAGATCTCACCATTCCTGCGCCGATGAGGTACTGGACGGTGCGCTCCACCATGCGCATGTCAACCCTCCCGGAGAGATACAGGTACCGGGCGAGGAGGTCCCCGTGGCGGTTCTCCTCCGCCGTCCAGGAACGGGTCCACCTTGCCCAGGGGCTGGAGCTCGCCCCCGTCTCGTCGCGGACGCCGTCTAGTGTGTTGATCATCGTCTGGTACGTCGGCAGCGCCTCCTCCGTGATCATGTCGCCGACGAGCACCACGAAGTACTCGTCCGGCAGGCGCTCTGTGCGGGAGCGGAGAGAGCGGACCTCCTCCTCGAACTCGTCGGTGGGCCGGGAAGAGTCCGGCAGGAAATCCTGCGGCTGCCAGCACTTCTCGACGGGCTTCAGGAGCGGCAGCAAGGACTGGGCGGCCCAACCCTCGAGAGACTTGAACACCTCCACCTTCTCCGGCGGCATGGAGTGCTGGACGGGGTGGCGCACCGCCGGCGCCGCCACTGCCGCCACCGCCATTGGCCGGATTCTGCCACGGCACTTGAGGATATGGGCGGAGGAGAGGGTCAGCTGGTGCGAGGAGAGGAGCGAGTGGCCCCGCATTTTTTTCTCTCCGGAGAACTCCTCCTGTGCGGGCGCGACTGCAGAGCACCGCGGCGGATGCACTTGACAGTCTCTCTTTGCTGCTCTTGTTTATGAAGGAGGAGGCCACCAGATATAGCCCTCCGCATGGGCTAAAATTACGGATTTCGCCATTCCGACTAGAATGTGCAGAATTAAAGCTTCATAGCTCATCTAGTAAATCATGGTGTTAACGAGGGCAGGATAGGTATTGGAGAAGGTGGCGGACTCTCCCGTCTCCAAAATGGTGGGTCGCTCCGGCGGCTGAAAACCAGTGGGTGCTGCGGTTTCGATCTTATTACCTGTGGGTTCGCCGTGCCAGCGCTTGACAAGCTCATTGGTAGTGGCTCTCACGTGCTGGGCGATGCTCCTCCGACCTTGGGGCACGTGAGGTATCTCTCTCTCTCTCTCTCTCTCTCTCTCTCTCTCCCCAAATCACGTGAGATTCATCGAGCAATAGGTAATAGAGAATTGTCATGATCAGTCATCAAAATAATACTCCACTGATTAACATAAGAGCAAGTACGCTTTTATAAATATTCATTATATTTATTGATTCATAATTAGTCTTTGAGCTGACGGTCAAACAACCTTGATTTAATATCTTGTTTGAAAGCTAACGTTGAATGAAATCATGAACAACACAAAGCACAACAATCTAGTCCACGTCAAACTGAAAAATGTGCACTTCCTTCGTCTCATGAAAAAATATTACGGCAATATCATGTTTTAAAGTATATATATATATATATGTGTTCTTTGAAAGATAAATCTCTCGATGTGATCAAAGTGGAACTTTAGTGAGAGGACCGAGTCAAAATTAAGAAATGTTTTTCTACTTGGGACCCCATCAATTAGCTTCGTTATCATTTACACACACTCAGCTCTATAGGAACTCATTCCGTCCCATTATTTACTATCATCGTAACATTAAAAATAATGAATTATTATTAGTTCTATTATTCACATTTTGTCAAGGTTTACCGACGGCAATTATGAAAATCTGGGTGCTCAGCCAGGTCAGTGATGATGCAAGGGCAGTGCCATGCATCTCTCTCTCTCTCTCTCTCTCTCTATCGCCATCTCCCTTGGTACATCCCTTCGTGACAGTTTGGAAAAATGGGAGAAAATAATTCACGAATGGTAGCTTTGTTTTTGGTAATATTTAGATGTTAAATAATCTTAATTGGATGATGACACCAAATAATTCACTGATCATATCGTTTGGAGAAGTACAAGTCCAAAACTACAAATACGAGGGTTTTATAGATAATTAGAACAATCTTGCATCGTGCTGAAACCAAGATATCCAGATATATATTTTCAGATGTAACCGGTGGGAATATAAACATGTCACTGATGAACATAAATACCGATTTAAATGAACTAATACGAAGAATACTAATTATTGTATTCATGTAATGTACACATCATTAATGCGCTGCGCTTGAGCTAACACGCTCTCATTGCGAAAAACGAAATAAAAATCGTCATTATTATTTCGTCCCTATTGAAATCGACCAAAATAAGATTTTAATAGAACAGCATAGAATCGATTTTGTTCCATTTTCTGAAATCTTGATTCGGGTCTTCCCACCAATCAACGGATTGACCGGATTCTGATCGGACCCAGTGGGGCCTATCGGGCTCGTGGAACGTGGAGACGGAAGTCAACCACACCCGTTGGCTAGTCGTCGCGTCCATAGACGCCGATCCGACACAGGGGATGGAGGGGGCAATCAGCAAAATCAAACCATTTGTGGACGACGGCGGCTCTGGCGGCGGCCCTCGGCCGACTCCAAAAACGGAAAGAAGACGCCTAATAAAAATGTCGACCGGCCCGAATCAAGACAGACTCGGCCCGAATATCATATCGTGTCCAAGGCGCCGACAAAGTCCACGTAGACTTAGTTCCTCGGAAAGCCCAACCTGGAAGCGTCTACGTGCCCACGTCGCACGGGGGGGTAATACACGTGTGAAGAATGCCAGCCGTTGATCCGCTGTACGCTTGCGTAAATGTATGTGCGCTTGGTGTCCCAATGCCCATCGGACGGTCGACATCGTTGGCCGAAGCCGTGCAGAAGAGAAACGAGTAGGGAAAGTATTATGATGCGACGAAGATACCCTCGCTTTCTCATCTGCTGCAGTGGCGACCGGGGAGAGGGGGTCTCCACATTTATTCCCTTCGTCGAGCAGAGCGGGAAGAGATATCGCGTGGGGTCAAAGCTTCTTCGAATGTGCTCTTGGTGGAAGCTCGGAGAGGTTGCGAAGGGATCGGAAATAGGAGAGGCTGGATCGTGGGAGGAGTTTGGTAATTTTTCTCGGAATTTGTCCTCCTGCGACCTCAACCGTCCGTTTCTCAGGAAGCAATTGCCGATTTCCGAGGACAATTCGTTCGTGTTCCCCTGCCTCCCCTGGTGTTGCGTCGGTGAGTGCGCGCAGTATATCCCCCGCCCTCATCTCTTGTTTATTCTGGTTGTGATGAGGAGCTTATATTTCGGATCGCCTTTTTGCCGATTTAGAATGAAGGTGATGGGAGCGTTTGGTTCTCAGACGGGTTCGCGTCTGTTAGATCTGAGAACATGATCGATTTGGGGGCGAGGTTTGGAGATCTTTCAAGGAAGGAGTTCTTCGGGGCTTTTAAGCTTTGCGATTTTTGGACGGTTGGCAGGAGATGGGGAGCGCTAATCTTAATCGAACCACATCATCTCACATCTCACGAAGGAACCTGAGTTTCAGCGGTCCTAGGGTGTCTGTTCATCGTAAGGTGTGGGGTTCCTTATCGGCTTATACCGTAGCCACAGCATTCTTCTTGATATCGTCGATTTTAGCGCTGGGATGTGTCCTCTATCTGTCCTTATTCCGGACTTCCATTCATAGGGGCGTAAGTCCTTACGAACTTATCGGTCGCACCCATGGCTGCGATGTATTTGAGGGGAGCTGGATACCGGACAGCTCGTACCCATTGTACAACAGTTCGACCTGTCCATTCGCCGAGCGGGGTTTCAATTGCTTGGCAAATGGGAGGAGGGACACCGAATATTTGAAGTGGAGGTGGAAGCCTAGGCAATGCCACGTTCCTAGGTTTGATGTGAACCAGACGCTGGAAAGTCTCAGGGGGAAACGTGTCGTCTTCGTTGGTGATTCGATGAGCCGAACGCAGTGGGAATCCTTCATATGCATGCTTATGACCGGGGTTCGTGAACCCAAGTCCGTCTATGAAGTGAAAGGGAACAATATTTCCAAGAGAATCCGGTTCCTTGGTGTCCGTTTTCATTCATTCAATTTCACCGTGGAGTTCTTTCGTTCAGTGTTCCTAGTACAGCAAGGTTTACCTCCAAGACACGGCCCGAAAAGAATTCAATCCACGCTCAAGTTGGACAAGCTGGATGATATCAGTAAGAAATGGGTGGATTCGGACGTTCTGGTCTTCAATTCAGGACACTGGTGGAATCCAGGGAAGCTTTTCGATTCGTAAGTGTTTTCTCATTGATTTCAAATTGTTTCTGGCTTTGGCTACTCACTTGACTTTGTTCACCCCTCCAATAAATGTTTAGCTTGTCCCGGGACAGTCATGTTACTAATAACGTCCTATTTTGCCAATTGTGATCTGCAGTTCGTGTTGATTATCTTCATGACTTGGTTCACTGAACGGCATATTCTTAATTGTAAATTTCCTTTTTCTTCAAATATAAGATGAAGTGATCAACATGTCGGTGTATCTGATTCCAAAATTTGATGTTTCGGTGAAAATACCATTCTACTATGAAGAAGAAAATGCCGAGGAGTGGATTTTATTTGGTATGATAATACTAAATTTCATTGTCTTTGGAGAGAAAATTTATTTAATAATAGTCAAGCTAGTGACATAATTGGCGCTTGGTCTTCCGAAACAACAAACTGTGGACTTATCACAAACTCAGTCTCTGATGTTAAGAACCGGAGATCTTTGAGAAGTGAAAGGATGATGATTGCCATTGATGTTCCTTAGACATGTAGAAAAAAGGCATTTCACTGAAGGTTACCCTATTTACTAAAAGGGTAAAATTGATATGCAGAGTTTCTAAACGCCCGGATTCATTAGATTCAACCTTAATCGAAAGAGATTTATATACTCATATCTAGACCCCTATGTGAATGAGCTTTTAGAAGATGAAGCAATTTTGTCAATGAGAAGCAGAATGTTCCTTGGCTTAAGGAAAGGTTCCATAAAGATCTGATTATATATTATTATGTGCATTAAGATCAGTCAACAATACTAAATCAGATAATGGAAGGCTTCACATAAAGGAGAAGAGGGAGAAAAAATAATATAATTGATGCTGCAGGTGTACGCAAGAACTCTCATCTGGAAGTCAGTGTCGACTAGCATCTGAGGCCTGGATGGTGGGACTATCTTTCACAGATGTTAGGAACCCGGCTTTTCTGGAGGAGACCAAAATCAGGGGGAAGGTACAGAGGAGGCTGGGGTTTAACCTGTAGTTGGAATATGGGATTTTACTTATGTATATCTGAGTCGAATGGTAAAAATGATTTTAGAGGACTTACAAACGTCTATTGGCTACAAAAAATGAAGGCAAATAAAAGGGCAGCTAATGTAGTGAGCAACAGAGTTCCTCATAGAAAAAGTCTTTCTTCCCTGGATTTGGTTATTTAGGGAGAGGTTTGGGCTCAAAGCAAATAAGAAAGCTGTCTTAGGTGGAGAAAGCTTGAGGCATTGATAAGCTGGTCCGATGACGGGAAGCAAGATAAACGTTTTTGAGTTTGAACTGACATAGAATCTGAGCCCAACCTCATGACCTGTTTACATTATAACAACCTGTTACAGACAAGGTTCTTCACGTCTTCCTGAATGTGAGAGGAAAATCTAATGAATGTCGTCTTCTGTCAAACAATATGGATACCAGAAAACATAGGACGAGGCTTGAACTGTAGGTTCATACCCTCACGAACGAATATTAAGGAATAAAATGTTGTGAGAGCGTAGTTGTATTGCCTGCTTGACAGAATCGGTGGTCAGTCTCATAATTTGGGTTCCCACCACACCTTAAAATATCGACAATTGATAGGGAACCACTGGTAAATGCCCTGGGAAACGGATTTTGATGATGAAAGGAAAAATGCTGGAGCCAAGGTTCGCATGCATCACAGAAGATATATATCTTCCCATGTACTTAAATATCCATAAACCAAATTGAGAGGAAATGTGTGGTTTTTCCCATGTGATAATGGTAGGATGGTCATGTGCTACGTAAAAATTGGTGGATGTTCTAAGGTCAAAGGCTGGACTATAACTATATGGTTTGAGTCTGAAGCCATTAATAGTGATTTATTTCAAAATTGAATGATGAAACTTTAAAGACTGATAGATCAGATGAAACCATGGCATCCCTGACTGACTCCTTTTAGTGAGCAGTTTAACACAACGAGGAGTAACTGCAGGTAACGCAGTTTGGGAAATCACCTGCAGTCGTCCGGTTCCTCAAAACATGTTGGTAACATACCGTCGAGTAAGGATAATCCTGGAGTATTCGTCTTTATATTGATGTGTCCTTTGTTGACACTTTTGTCAGCCTGGTATTTCATGTGGAAATTACGTCTGATCGGGATTCAAATGATGGGTCTCATTCATAGGATTAACGATCATGATGGAAAAATCTTACCTTTGTGATGATAATAATGATAGTGACATGTTACCCTGCTATATCTATTTATGTACACGTCAATGTTGATACCCGTGCTTATTGTGGTGGTAAAGATGATGCAGACCTGAGAAAGAAAAGTGCTCTTCTCCTAGGAAAGGAACATGTACAGGATAAGAAAAGATTGAGATGAAATCGATGATCCCTGGTGGTCTAGTTATGCCAAGAGATGGCAATATCCCTCGGGGCTTACCCTTGTTCTTGGTGTTAGTGCCTCTGTGGGGACGATCACATCAACAAAACTACCATGAATATGCATTAAATAACCGTCCATTATGTGTGTTCTATCTTAAATCTCTTTTATTAAAATAAATTAACTGACACTTCTCATCAGAAAATAGTCACTGCCAATGTGGTCTGATTTGACAAATTTTTTCGGTTAATTTGCCCCGAAATTTGATATTCTTCCATGCTTCTAGTGGACGTGATTATACATATACATGAGTCCTTTTCCTCTAGTATCATAACCCTGTTAAAATCTAGTGCGTGTAATCTGTCCCTGGCTCTCATTCTGCCCCACGCCTTCACAGGGGCTGCTACTTCCAGGTTGGCGGATCACTGAAACTGGGCATGCCGATCACTGCTGCCTTCAAGATGGCGATGGAGACGTGGGCCTCATGGGTCGAAACAATGGTGGACACGGACAGAACTCACATATTCTTCCGGACCTTTGAGCCTTCCCACTGGAGGTATTCTCCGCTGAACTTGGTTTTTCATGCAGATATCATTGATGACGGGAGGCCCCTGTGCGTGGTAAAACCATATAAAAATGGCAATTAATTCACCAGATGAATCTGATGTCTGCTCTTTCTCGCCAGTGGCCTAAATCAGAAGGTCTGCGAACTGACGAAGCAGCCTGTGACTGAGGCCACCGGTGAGGACCGCAGCGAGTTCGTGGGCATCATAACCGATGTGGTCGCTAGGATGAGAGCTCCCGTGACCATACTCAACGTGACATCGATGGGGGCGGTCCGGAGTGATGCTCATATCGGCCCGTGGGGAGACCTGCGGCCCTTGGTGGACTGCAGCCACTGGTGCCTCCCTGGTGTCCCAGATGCTTGGAACGAGCTCATCTTCCACCTGCTGGCGAACCCTGGAATTCCCCGTCCGTCCATCCGGAGGTAACCCAGAAGAGTAGCCGTATTCTTTGACTTTCCTCTGAGGTGGCAAACAGAAGAAAGTGGCAGACACAGTTTCTGATGCTTTTAAAAAAAAAAAAAATTTATATAGTCAAAGGCGCTGTACATCGCTTCCACTGTGTACCCGTTGTGTAATACTCCCATCAATTTTGTCAACATGTTCTTCGGCGATCTCCCATTGGGGAATGGATTGAAGAGTGGTAGAGCTCCTGCTGTCCCCGCGAATGGCGGCGCCATGTGGGCAGCTCTTACGGCCGCCGAGGTCAGGATGTCCGTCCCAGCTGTTTTCACACCTCGGAATGAGAGAGAAGAAGAAGAAGAAGAATCCCCAGCTGACCTCCGTTCAGAGAGAGAGAGAGAGAGATGGGGACGTGTGGGAAGTTGGTGGCCCACCCGACAGACATCAGACCACTCGGCGGAAGCTGGCTCTGATCAGGAGAGAGAAGTTCTTGATTTGGAAGCTTCTGGTTGGAGACGGAACCCTGGAGCAGAACTAGCAGGGCAAAAGGAGAGAGAAAAGCGAAAGGTGGAGAGAGAAATATAGCCGTTAAGCTCATCGGCGGCCTCACTATGACCCAATATTATATGAATATGGGATTTACTATAATCATTGAATTGCTTAGTAGTTTAACGTGGGAATCCTGATTTAGATCCCCTTAACCCTTCTCTCAGAAGATAAAATATCCCTCAGCGAGTGGCTGTCATCAACCTCTGGCCAGACACAGCTTCTCCCATGTCGATCCGTCTCCGTTGGACAGATCTCTGTTTCCTTGCAGATTACAGAGTGATCAATCGGGGCCTTTCGGAGATGCTGGGAGGTTGCCGGCGATCGACTTACAGGCCCAGCATCCGACGATTTCTTGAGGGCCGGAGAGAAAACGGAAACTGGAGGATGACTGCCAAATCGCCGCCATGGAATTGTCCTCCCGTCATCCATCAATGGGGGGATGAGTCGTGTTGGGCAGCCGCTTCCCCCCCAAGAAGGACTTGAAGAGGGTTAGCGCCCTCCCCGGCTGAGCGTAGGGCACCATGTGAGATGCCCCTCTCACCGTTGCGAAGGTCAGAAGGTTGCCGTACTCTGTTGCCCATCCCCCAACCTTCACACAGGAAACCCAGCCGACGACACAGACAGGGATATTATCAGGTGGATGGACGAGGGGAAGGAAGGTAGACGACGGGTCGCCGGCGGCGTACCTGGCCTTTGTGGAACCAGGCGCTGTAGGGAACGGTGACTTTGATCTTGAGATCCTGCGCGAGCTCTCGCACTAGCGTTCGGGAGCCCAGCAGAGGGACGACGGAGTCCTGGTCGCCGCTGCGATTCGAGGGGGGGAGGAGGATCATCCGTCACGCCGTTTCTCTTTTCTCCAAAGAAAAAATGGGGGGAAGACGATGGGTCTCACCTGAATATCCACACAGGTATACGATGCTCGATGATATTCTTGAGCACGGGGAGCATGTTGATGTTCCCGTCGGCCACGCTGTAGTTGAGAACGCTGGTCAACGCATCGAAAGCAGCCAAAACGTCAGTTCCTTGCTTCCGCAATCATCACGGGCTCCACTGAACAGCCGCACCACCCCTGTCGGGGCGACCGCCGCCCCAGTGATCTCCCCTCCTCCGGGCAGAATGATGACATGAAGACGAGCTCAATCTCAGAGTGGGGAACGAACTTACTCGCTGCACATGGTCCAGCTGTAGTGCAGATTCGTCCGGTTGGCGTGGAGAGCTCGCTGGACCTCCGGCAGGTTGAAGTAGAAGCGCCGCTCGTAGGACATGCAGACATCGACCCCTACGCTCGTCTTGGTGGCCTGCAAGAGGTCCCGGAGAAGAGGGGATTAATGGAAGGCATCGCCGCCGCCGAGAAGCAGAAGCTCCTCGAGGAGGAACAGGCGGGTGGCTGTGCTCACGTATCTCCGAAGCCGCAGCTCTTGCTCCACGATCGAGGGGTAGCAGACGTCCAAGATCACGTCGTAGTTGTTTATATAATCACCGACGATGCGGTTCGCCTCCTCGATCGCATCGGTGCAGGATTTGCTCACGTTATGGTGACCTTCGAAGACGTAGTCCTCGAAGTCGCAGTCGTTCATGATCTTGAGCCCGAGCTCGTCGGAGATCATCCCGTGAGACCAGAAATACTCGTACGTCGCCGGGACATCCCTATCCAGGTTGAGGAGAGGATTCCCAATCTGATGAATCGAGCACCGATGAACAGAGCACGAGAATCCACGCTTAGTCTGGTTCGAACCTCGATTAGAGAAGGATAGACGAGGGAAGAAGGAGAAAGAAACGCGGGTTTGTTGTTCTTACGGCCAGTCCTTTGACATTGAACTTGAAATCCCGCGAGTTTTTGTTATAGCGGAGAAGAACCTCCGCCAGCTGGGGAATGTAGTGTCCTGGGAGAGATCAAATCAGGTCAGCCGGTGGGTTATGCAGACAGAACGTCTACCGGAGAGTGGGCTCTGCCTTGCCGGAAATACCTGCATAGCTTTCTCCGGTCAGGAACAGGTCGCGGGATCTCAACTCTGGGAACTTCTTGAACCATTGATGCAGGAACGTTAACAAGTCGTAAGCTGCAGCAATTAGAGACAAGACGGCAAGAAAAGGAAGGAAGAACACTGGTTATCATCGACCCATGTCTCCTTCCACCCGTGATTATCAGGGAAAATAGATCAGGATGGGATTTCCATTACCAGTCGAATTGTCTCCGGTGGTGTAGTCGGAGGTTCTGTTCGAGTAGGACCATCCAACTCCGGCCGGAGACTCCACGAACAGGAGGTTCGAGACTGAGAAACATCAAGACACAATCGCTGAGATCTTCCAAAGCCGCCTGAGTTAGGCAGACGTGATCTTTCTGGCTGTATTATTTCGATATATCACGACGTTTCTATGGAGATTGAAGGGAAATTGAAAGCTTCTCGACCTTTGTTCCATGAATGTTTGTTTATCCGAAGGCCGCGGCCGTCGCCCCTGGGAAAGAAGGGGCCCAGCTCTGTAAAAGCCCCTCCACCGATCGAAGAGCAACCAGGGCCTGAAAAATACTGACAGGCGCCGTGAGCGGAGCCAGTATAAATGTAGAATCGAGGAAGAGGGCCTTCTCCATCTCCGAAGAAAGACGGCGGAGACGATTCGGAGCAGAATTGCGGGGAAAGAGATGCAGAACTCCACGGCGAAATTCGGCAATAAATTCGGAGAGAGGGGAAGAAGGAAAAAGATGTGGACGAGACGAAATCGACCGACAGAAGAGTATGAACAGAGGAGAAATGATGGATGGGAGAACCTCCGTTCAGCCAGAGAGTGAGCGGCTTCTCGTGGGCATCTCCGTCGGCCTCGGCGAAGTAGTAGAAGAGGCTCCTCCCGGCTTTCCTGTCCACATCGACGTACCCTGCGTACTGCCGGAACCCCACCGCCGGCTGCCCCGGGAGGCCCTTCACCAAGTCCTCCGGGGGGTAGCACTTCACTCTCCGCAGTGCTACCAGCAGAGCCGCCACCACCACCACCACCAACGCGCCGCCGGAGAACCTCCCCATCGCCGTCGTACCTCGAATTCGGCGCGGCAACAGAGACCCAGATCTCGTTTAACGGAAGAGCCGCTGGGGGGCCGCTCCTCGCCGGTTATATAAGCCTAATCCATCTACCCGCCCGGCTGTATCTTCCTCTGTTACAAGAATTCTGTTAAAAGCGCGACACGTGAATTTGGCGATTCCACAGCCTCAAAAGGAGCCGGATTTTTTTTTGAAGTTTGAACGAGCGCAGTTATGACGTGTCAGGTTTCTCCGGCCGCCCCGCAGGCCGGCTGGGGGGGCGTTCACCGTGCAGAGAGGAGTCACCACTCCCAAGCAAGAAACCCCCGAGAGTCTAGAGAGAGAGAGAGTAATGGAACAGGGGATTCCTCTAAAGACGGCAAAAGGAGGGGGGAGCAGAAGAAAGAGCAATGATGGTGTGGAGCCGTCGGTGTGTGCTCGTGAAGGCTCCGCTGTTTTACTGATGGAATTCATCAGAGCTCGGGGAGGGTGGGAAGGGGACGAAGCAGCCAGAGCATCTCCTGACTCAAGAGGATTTGCTTCTCTTCCACGCAACGCCAGTGCCAAGATTTCGCCTCGGATCCTCCCCCACAACAAGCCAGGATCGACAAAAAAGGTTCGCCGGCGGCAGCGGCTCAGTTCCTGATCATCCGCCGGGAAGCTGGCGGACGGCTGGGGAATCCGGCGCAGCCTTTCCCCTACCTTTTAGCGCAGGACGGAGGACGGCCGGCGTGGGAGAACCCCCGTCACCCACCGGTGAGGGGCGGGGAAGGCATGCTGGAGGCGTCCACCGGGGACCAGCTCACGCCACAGAGGCCCCGACAGATGTCTCCGCAGAACCCGCATCGCCGCGACGACCCCTCGACCTTCCCCGCCTGCCGCCCTCCATGACCGACGCCTCCGTCTACCCTCTGTTTATCCACAATCGCGGTCCGATCCCATGATTACTCCCGGGGAAAACGCAAACGCAAAAGACAAGGATTTCTCTGTCCTACCGTGGGACAGCGACTTAGCCCATCGAACCAAACGTATCCAGCAATGCGACCGCCGTGCAAGACTACCTACACACAGAGAGAGCAGCGAGAGAGAGAGAGAGAGAGAGAGAGAGTGTAGAATGGAGCGTTACTTGGAGGAGCGGCGAAGAATTGAGGTGGGCTTTTGTCTTCTGGCGAGTTTCTGGCAGCCGACGCATATAATAATCTCCCCCTCACAGCCGACAATGGCTCATTTCACAGCTGAGGGGCCTGCGACACGGCAAAGGAAAACTGCTCCTTCACGCGGGGGGGTACGGTGCCCGTGAAGCTTCGCTCAGTATGAAAAAAACCCTTCCCCACGATTCAAGATCACGACCAGAACGTGAATTCAACAGAATCCGGGGGAGTTTTGAGCAGTGAGCGTCCATTAAATCCGCGGTTTGTCATCCTGCAAAGCTCGGAAAATGAAGAAAAGGCCGCCCAATTTCCCGACAGAAGCCTCGATTTATTTATGCGTTCTGTACAGCGGCCGCGCAGAGGGTCAGCACTCGGAGTGCACCCGGACGAGTCGTAGGGAGTCGAAGGGGGTCTGCAGCCGCCAGTCTCTTTGCTTCTTGCTCAGCGGCCTTCCTTTTCCCGCTTTCTCTCTGTTGATTCTCACATCCGCCAGGCTCCAGGTGCAGTGCCCAGCTTCCACGTCGAAGGAGACCAGCTTGAAAACGCCGTCGCCCTCCTGCGGTGGTGAGCCCTCCTCGGCCGCCTCTCTGGCGTATTTCACGTAAAACGCCCGCTCCTTGAAGCGCTCCAACTCCTCTGGTATTCGGACCACCCTCTCTACTCCGGGGGACGAAACCTGGGGGTTCATGGAGGTTCTTCAGAAGTCAAATAGCAGACGACGAAGTGAAGAAATTCAAAAGAAAATTGAGCCGATCTGAACCATGGCCATCTCTCCTATGCATCTCTCGTCTACCTCGTCGTGAATGAATAATGCCCGACTAGAAAATCTGAAGAAAATATCGTTTTTTTTTTGTTCCCAAGGACGGCTGCTGATCAGCTAATAGACTGACGTCAAACCACAGGAATGAAAGCCCACTTATCAAGTAAACATGAACTAAAAATATATATATAAAATAAACCCGGAAGAGTCGTTGGTTACTTGAGCATAGAGGGTATCAATCAAAATCAGAATGGAGAAAGGAAAACCTACTTCCAGAGATATGTTTTCAGGAATGGTCCCAGCACGCTCAGCTTCATCCAGGCGTTCTCGATAGGCAGACGAGAAATTCTCTATGTCAGACATACTGGGGGAGCCATACCTGGGAAATTAATTTAATCAGAAGCAGGTAACTTTCATATAGTCAGCCGTCGAAACAAAACGATTAGCTGTTGAACAGTTAAAAAGGTACTAAGATTTCCTAGAGAAAGCATACGCACAGTAAATTCGAACACAAAAAAAAAAGAAGGTAAAACAGTAATGTTCCTACTCATCAGGTGAAAAAGCTACGAAGAAAAGGGATGGGGAAGCTTGGTAAAACGTTGACCAAAACTTAGCTAGTCTGATGCCTAAATTAGGAAGAATAAGACTATAACTCGTCCTAATATCACATGATAATTTATGCACAGGTAGTCTATATTTCAACAGCCCCAGTCCACACAGCCTCCCCCCCATCCCTCCCAAAAAAAGCCTCTCAAAGCAAAAAATAAAGTAAGGGCAAAGAAACGCTTCTGGATCCATTTCTCTCGTGGGCAAGGTTTCTTTCTTTAATGTTTGAAGCCCTTAAAGTGCCCCTTAGTCTTTCACTTCTGGATCTTAATCCCCACTTTAAGCTTGGACAGTTCCACCAAAAGTCAAGGATTTTTCCCAAACCAAGGTGTTTCAAGCGCAAAGCTCGCATCACAGCTGCGTGGTTTATGTTTGTCACGATCTCAAGAACAAAACGAAAAAAAATAATAGGATTTTTAAGATTAATGAATCTCAGTTGATCGTATTGAAGAATTAAAAAGACCAACAACAAACTCATCAAGGAGACCTCAGGTTGCATCTCTTAATGAATAATATTTATAATAATTTGGAAAACTAAGTGATCAAATGACACGATTGAGATAAACCTACACCACAACCTGCTCAAAAAGAAATTTCCGCATTCCACCCTTCAAGCCTATTTTTTCACAAGGAACACCATTTTTGACTTTGCCAAGATTTAGTTTTCCAAGTGATCACTTACTTCGTGGAGAGTTTCTCTATACGCACTCGAATAACTGAATTTGCACAAGTTTTAAAAGCATATATCTTCAAATCGCCATCAAACGTTTTAGAAACCTCCTCCGCTATAGCCAAGGCTTCTTTGTCCCACCACATACCAGCAAGCGATATTCCACCTCCTGCGGCTCCATCTCCAACCTGTGACAGGGTCGGATTTATAAGTTAGCTTTTAGTAATTCAAATAGATTACATGTTCATTAGAGATTATAAAAACTTACATAGGGATCACCCTCGTCGACTTCGAATTCGTCTTCAAAATCCTCATCATCATCATCCTCAAAGATTTCTGTGCCATGGAATAATGAAGTGATGATGCAAAAGACTACCCCTGAGTGGACTTTACCAGTGCTCTACCTAAATATGAATGCTCGAAATAGTATACTCATTCAATTCCACCAAACAGCATCATGAGGAAGATGTGTAGACAATAATATCCACTACCCTGTTCCCGTCATATTTATAGTTTCCGTCAAACTTAAAACTTTCTTAAAAATTGCTTCAACGGTGGCTCATCTTGTGTTTGAATCACAACTAGAAAGCCTCATGTGAGGGTTCTTCCTGCCCCGGGATCATATTACAGATGGGAAAGTCACAAGCATGAAACCGACCTCAGCTTGACAAAATTTGAGTTGACATTAGGAATAAATGAAATATTGTGGATGTCTCTAAGTCCAGTGGTAAAATTTCAGGATCATGGCCCAAGGATCACCATCTCAGGGTAAGTGGAGCACCCACCAGTGGTATGAACCAGAATTTTGATCGCTTTAGAGAAAACCATCATCAACTCAAGATCATGTTATGAATCTTATTCAGGCCTTAAAGCAAGGTGCATCGAAGAAATATTTTATTTCGGTTCTTGACAATGTGTACCTAAAAAACCCTTCAAAGGAATGCAATATTAAGGCCTGGGACGTTTTTACCGTGGTTGTTGGTCGACTCGTCGACATGATCCTCCTCATTCGGCAAGGCTTACGATTCAGCGCTTGCCAAATTACGTGCAGGTATAAATCTTGCCATCTCAGAATGTCATGGATGGAAATTTCGAGCAGAAATTGAAGAACATAAGACAATAAGTTCGGAAGAACTCAGAACGAAAAATCGAAATTCGACGCAGCAAATAAACTGTGAAGAAAAAAATTGAGTGATAAAGTCGACGAAACCCAATCAAATGCCAATAAACAGTCATAAAATCCTTGCTCAACCGAAATACGAAGAGCGCGTTTCTCACCATCTTCTAATTCGTCAATAGAATCCTTGTCTTCGTCGGCGTAGTCCATTACCTCTTCTTCACCTTCTTCCGTACCTCCGCTCGCGGGCTGCTTGAGAACCGGTTCGAGATAGGAGTTTCTCTTCTTAGCATAGCAAATGTGGGAAAATATCTTCGGCGGGCAAGGCGGTGGACAAGGCCGAATGAGGAAGGGGGGCCCTCCGCGCGTGCTGGGGAAAAAGCACGAGGCGATTGCGATGCCGGCGGAGGATGTAGCAGAGAGCCTCACTGCCATCCCACAGTCGGGAAACATTTCCATTTTCTTTCTTTGAACCGCGTTAGAGCTGAGCGGCGAGCACAGCTATCGGAGCAGGAGAAGGCATCCACGCCGCCAAGAACACGTCGCAGACGCCACCCACCGATGAGAGGCCGAGAGTTGCCGTCGGCTCGACACACAAACCCGTACGGCGACCGATGCTTCGCCGGCCTTTGGCCCCAAATCCTTATGGGCTGGGCATGGGTTCCACGGTCGGGTCCCCACAGTCTCTATGGGTTTTTCCACAACCCATTCATCCGTTGACTCAAACTCTTTTTTCGTCCTGACCCAACTTGGATCTAAATCGCCAGCAGCTCATTCGATCCAAAGTAGAACCATCCTGCACAATTCCACAGGTCTTTGGATCAACCGATTATAACTCCACCCAAATCGAATTCCGAAGGCGTTGACTCCCTAACTCGAGACCCCGATTGAGTGCCACGCAGCCTATTTTGGCTCGTCATCTACAAACGAATACACCCATCATATCAACAACCACACAATTAATCATGGGGGATGCTCGTATTAGCCAAGAAATAACATGGACTATGGAGTGTGTACGCGCATGCATGGGTTCATGCACATAAAATCAATGCATGCGACTGATTTAATAGTCTACTTAATCAATTCTGTCGACGGTGAAACTGTCCTATGAGCACTTTACATCCAGGCGACATCATTCAAGTCGTTTTTTTTGTAGCAATAATGAGTAAATAATATAGGTATAGTGAATACCATGTAGGTTTCCTTTTCTTCTCATTTATTCTTCTCTATCTTCATTTGCATGAAGTAGTCTCATTGTTAAGAAAATAAATTGTGTAATGTTTGTAGAAGTAGGTGGTCAACCGCTTGGGAGGTGCAATAGCGAGTAATGAAAATTTTATCTAAGTAGATGGGGAAGACTAATAAATGCTGGTGGGATCAAATCAGAATAGAGAAAGGGGTGCACTCTACAAGAGAGTGCATTGAATGACATGACGTCCACGCATACCCGGAGAGGGGGAGAGGGGAGCCAAAAGCCAGAAGAGGGAGATGAACGCATTCACGAGATCGATCGACGAGGGAAGGGCCACGGGATGAGATTGTTATGTTCACGAGGCGATCTATGCACGTGGGGACGCGGAGTTTTGCGGGTGCCTCCAGAAAACGAGTAATCGGAAATGACCCATTATTATTGTTATTATCCTCTTCTTCTTCTTCTTCTTCTTATTTTTTCAGAAGAGAAAGGAGTTGACCATTACGACATGCACAGAAAATGCGAAAACAGGGTTTTAATTCTCTTCTCTTACCGAGATCTAACCATTATCAGCAAAGCGGGGAGATCTGAAGTTTCAGATTGCTTTCAGATTGCCAATCTCTTAATGCATAGAACGCATCATCTTGTTAGGCATAGCTCCTCGTTTAGCTTCGGTAACCCTTCTTTATCGTTCCCCTCACACCCACCAAAAAGGAGAGGCAACTTCAGAGAACAAGAGTTTCGGATGATGCTGCTAATTTCATCTCCACACATGGCTTCATGCTACTGCTCCTAGATTTGTTGTCTTGCACCAGAGTGAGACAGAGAGAGGGTCTGATAGAGCACAAGAGATACAGAAAGAGAGAAGAGAGGTGGGGCGGGCTCACCAGAGAGGCAGGGAATCATTGCGGCGGCGGAGCTGCACCACTGATCTCTGTTGTTTGTTTTCCGGGGAAGAGACGAGCGCTAACAAACTTCCAGCATAGTTTTCATACGAGTCGCGAGAACAAAAACAATAATATGAGTGAGCTCACGCGCAGAAGAAATCAAAGCCATCACAAGCCGACGCGGCTCGAGTGTAACGGCGGCCATGATTCCTAGGGCCGCTGGAGTCAACCAAATTGTAACCACCTTGGGAGGTCACATGTCTCCCTGAGAATTAGTCTACCCACCTGTCCATCTCCTCCCTACCGCCATCTCATCCTCCTAGTCGGCGCCTCATCGTCAGACGGTAATAAAGGAGACGTTTTGAATACAGACATTGGCTTAGAATGACCGGACTCCGCCTCTTCATTGTCATCCACTCGCGGCCGATTAGCTGAAGGGTAAATGCATATGGCTGTAAGATCCATCGTGGGGGAAGGAGAACACTGTGCTAGGAGCTGTGGAGGCGGCGGGAACGGCGGAGCTTCCGTCTTCACTGATGCCTATGCTAGATGAAGCGGCGGCGGCGCCGGAGGTAGGATCCAGAGATTCCGCTCCCGTGCAGGCCCAGTTGTCGGCGGGTGCAAGATGCCCGCCGACTGTGCCCTCGGGGGGGTTGACCTGGGTAGACTCTAGAACTTGCACCTGCCTCTTGAGGTACTTGACATAGCGGATGGCCTCGTCGAGCATGGAGGCGGTGTCCAGCTTGGTGCCCCCTGGAACCAGCCTCTGAAGGATTCTTATCCGCTCGCTTATTCTCTCGCGACGGTGGCGCGCCGCAGTGCTTTGCGGGTCGTCGCTGATGTGGACGTTCCTCCGCTTGGGCTTCTTGATAGTGGCGGGGTCTATGTCGACTGGCTGCATGGAAGCAATCCTGTACATCATCTCCTTCATGGGACCCAAATTCTCTTCTTCCTCTTCCTCTTCTTCGTCTCCTCCTCCTCCATGGCGCCCATCTGCCGCATCTCTCCGGATCGGGTTTCCCTCTTGGAGTACGGGCAATCCCGTGGAGGAGGGAAGCTGATGGGTTTGGGGATGATGCTCCATGGGAAGCAACTCGAGAGGCAGTTGATCAAGGAACAGCTGGTTCCCCATGGTTATGTCGATATCCCAGGAGCGACCACCTGTGCTGGTGTTGTTGGTGGCGTCCATTAAATATGTCGTAAGGGAAGGGTGTGGGCTTTGAGAAGGGTAAAGGAGAAGAGGGAGGGTGGGGAGAGGGGACAGAGGTTTGGGCGGTATGTTCCACCTATACTCCTCTCTCCGCAGGCGCTTTGAGCCTTAAATAAATGACGGATCAACAGGAGATATGGGGAGGAACATGGAACTCTAAGAGTGTAACTTCGTGTTTACACGAGGGTAAGGTTGAGAGTGACGGATCGAATATACGAGCACAGGTGGTGAAACCAAGGCTGAGGGTTGGATTCAGTTCATCGGTCCCCAATTGTAGAGATGCCTCTCTCTCCCTCCTGCGAAATAAAGAAAAACAGAGAAGTCCGTCTGCGCTACAGTCATCAGTTTTCATGCAAACAGGGGAGGGGGGGAATCTGAAGACATTACTTGGAACTTGTACTGTTTGAGAGGAGGGAGAGAGAGAGAGAGAGAGCGAGAGAGAGAGAGAGAGAGAGAGAGAGAGGATGTTGAGGTGGGAAATTACGAAGACGCGTAGTCAGCCAGTTTCTACTGGGCTTACTGAATTGGGTATGAAGGCTATAACATTATAAGGTCCCGGGCGAGAAGGATAGGCGACACACGGATCTCATCGAAAAGGTACAGCTGTGCTCCTCGTGAAGGATTGCAGTCTTTTACTCCACTCCTCTCTCTCTCTCTCTCTCTCTCTCTCTCAATAATTTCGTATGCTGAGCTCCACAGTTTGTTTCATCTTCCTCATATTCCCTCACGGAAAGGCCTTTGAGGTCGAAGAAGCTATTCCCATTTGGAACCTTATCCCCCATTGAGGAGACCCCCTCTGGCTATGATGCCTTTCCATGTTTGATGGCACAATCGCATTCTAAAAGGGCGTGAAGAACTGACCGCCTTTCGGGGACAGCTTCCTCCCGACGTCATCATCGTGGAAGAAGAGCTCAAATCTTATCCAATCTTATTCCTTTTATCTGTGAGACCAAGAACTGCACCCGTCCCATGCTCTCGCTCTCGCTCTCTCTTTCTCTCTCTCTCTCTCTCTCTCTTATATCTCACTGAGAAGGGAAGATTACTCACTCTCGAGCAATGAGTTGCCCTGATTATCCCTCTACTTCCTCCCCCGATGCTTGTTGTCGACATACAGAGCTTCCAGAAGTCAGTTGATTATCCGGCAGTACGCATGAAGCCGTTTAACGTTTTGTTCTCCTCCAGGAGCTAGCTCAGCTCGGCTGCTATAAAACTCGAAGCACGCTCAGCTGTGATGGCGAGCGAGAGAAAGAGAAAACAGGCAGATGTGATGGGGGGTGGGCGGGGCACTGAAACGATTGAGCATTAAAATAATCGTGCACGGGAGGCTTTGGATTCGGTGAAGGGACCTATCGAGGCTGATGAATGGACAAGGAGGAAAGGTAAGCGATCCTCCAAAACAGAAAAAGATAACAGCTTCTGGACAACGGGGTTGGAGCCCGTGGCCCGGTCGAGATTCTGATAGAGGCGGATCCTCCCCGCTTGTCTTCCCGGCGACCACCGGCGACCTCCGGCGAGTCAAATCTCGGCGCCACCGCCGCCGTGACACCCCCGTCGAAAACCAGGAGGGGGGGCTCGTAGACTTCCGCCTGTGTGGTAGGCGGGTGCGGCGGTCCTCTGACGTCCTTCTGTTCGTCTGCTGCGAGCTCATTGGTGACGGGCGGCGGCGGCGTCAGGCAACTTACTACCGACCATTGGAGATGGTCTCTGTCGGGGGAGAAGCTGATGGATCACATGAGATAGATCGAAACAGTGGACCAGCGCAGACCGCCCACATGGCCTGATCAAGTTGAGGAGAAGCATGCACGATAAGCCAGACAGGATCGCGAGCTGTCCACAGTCTCTAGAGTGGAGAGGATCCAATGATCGCTCCAATTATTTAAGTTGCCGATGGGCTAAAGCACCGCTGGTTTCCAATGTAGATACGAAATCAAACGCCTCGCAATCAGGATTGGAACGACGTCCCTGGCCATGCATAGACACTGCCTAAGAAAGAGCTAAAGAACTGGTTTGGAAAAACGAAACTTAGTAAACGCTACAATATTTTTTTCCGATAATGAAATAAAGGATGTGACTCTCTCTCTCTCTCTCTCATAACAGACACCGCCCTGAGTCCATTTTATGGCTTTTCTCCGAACCTAGGTCAATTTTGAATCTTATGAAAGGACGATCAGGACCCGGCCATCCAGTCCCGTCCACAGATAACCTTCCCTCTGCAACTATTAAAGAGACCAGTGATGGCGTTTAGCCTTGATTCCGAGCTCATCATCCCCCGCTCGGTCTGCCCTTCCCCAACCTCCCCGACCCCTTCATTTGATCCTTAGTCCGTGGACCTTATTCAGGAACTCCGATCTCAAGTCCAGCATCTATTGATCATGACGGGGAGCTATGGTTCTCTGATTGACCGTTTATTCGCTAATCTTCTCCGGCCCTTGCACCGCTATTAGGAGTCGTAGCGAGACGAGTGATGGCCATCCACGGTGTTTACTGAAGTTGTCGAGCTTGAAACGATTTCGTTCAGAACATGTTCTAGAATGTCTTGTTGGATCGTCGATGACGATCGATCATGCAGTCATAGCTATGTCATCTGTTGATGAATGTTTCTCTATTTCTTATTGAGTTACACAAAAAATGAGGAGGTCTTACGATCGGCGAAACGGGTGAGACTATTGGATTCTATCCTCTTCCAAGATGGTTTTTAAGACGACCAAGATCTCAGGTCAACCCGTAACGTAATCTCTACAAAATCCACTCTTCGGAACAAGTTGACCATGTTTCAATGGAGTTGACCTACCATGAGTCTCCGATGCACCGGGAGGAATCTAGCACCCACTCCAATCCGTCGATTCATTCTTGCAAACATCCAAGCTTCTGTACTCTAGGTTCACGTTCTTCTTGGTTAGATTGACCTGTTATGTCACCCTAAGTTGCCGCTTCATTGTTTACTTACTGTCTTGCAAGGGTAGCGCCTGTAGTTGAGTTGACCCACCATCGCACTGGGTCAACTTGACTACATTGGAACATTAGGGTTTCACTTGATCGCCTAAAACAAGTATAATCTCGAGATGTATAGTCGACTCACAACTTTAATGATCTCCTCCTGATCTCTATAGCTAAGGCTTAAAAAGGAACCGCAACCAACCCAAGTCAACCCCCCTCACTTCCCACACAAGCGCATTGTCAAATGAATGGTTGACTCTCACTTTAATGGTTTCTACCTCTCTATAGCTTACATTACAAAAGAAACCCCAACCAGCCTAAGTCAACCTCTGTCCCCCCATCCTAGACTGACACTCACATTAGGGTTTTAATACCAAGCCTAGGCATCATCATTAACAAACCATTCCATGGTTCTGACTTTCTTTATGGGACGACGCCATCTTGAGCTTTGAGTTCCTTTTCCTCGTTGACTGCGCAGAACACGTCCAAATTAGGGCGATCGAGAGAGAGAGAGAGAGAGAGAGGGGGGGGTTGTGGGTTTAATAAATATTGAAAAACGTATATATACATATACACGGAGTCAGACGTACATTGGAAAATGTGAAAAAAGTCCGGAACTAACTTGGTTATTTTTATCCACCCTGGAAAGTAGTGAAATGGACAGATTCCTCCCCTGGTCCCGTGCAACGCCCGTGACCCTCGCAGGAAAAGCAGAGGCTCCCCTTCCCGTTCGTCTTCCTCCCGTCTGTCGTCCCTGCTAATCACTGCAATTTTAGAGCTTTCTTCCTTCTCGGTGGCCTATCGGGCGGCTCGTGGAGAGCCGCGTTCCCGGGATCTCCTGATTACGGGGAAAACGGACGGATCTCCCTTCCGGAAACGATCCCTGATACGGATTTGGAGGTCGGAATCAACCGCCGCCGGCCACCGGCCACCGCCCGCCGCCCACTATCCATTCTCTGCCCCCACTTCGCTGTTCCGCGTGCTCCCGGGCCATTATCATGAACCACGCTTCCGCCATTACAAAATCCCACCGCACCAGAGCCCCATCAAGATGGTCGCCCCTTTTCTGCATCTCCATGGCTTCCCTCCTCGCGCTGTCCGTCCTCTCCCTTCTCCTCTCCCTGTCCCCCGCCTCCACCGCCGCCAACAACTTCCACCGCCACCGGCGGCCCCCCTTGTCGGCCGGACACCCACCGTCAATGAAGGTGGCGCCGTCGCTTGCCGTGATCCAGCAGGCCTGCAAGGGCACACAATTCCCCGACTCCTGCGCGTCCTCGCTCTCCAGTTCACCCTCCCTTCCCCCGAATCCAACCCCTTCCGACCTCATCCTCGCTGCCATTTTTGCCTCCACCCAAAACCTGAAGACCGCCCAATCCATGGCTCATTCCATCCTGGATTCTTCCTCCGGCAACCCCAACCGCTCCAATGCCGCAGGCAACTGCATTGAGCACCTGGGCTACTCCGGCCACCGCCTCTCCCGCGCCGCCGACGCCCTCCCCCCGGGGAGGACGAAGGACGCCCGCGCCTGGACCAGCGCCGCACTGCTCTACCAGTACGACTGCTTCTCCGCGCTCAAGTACGTGAACGGGACCAAGGAGGTGAACGACGCCATGTGGTTCCTCATCTCCCTCACCGAGCTCACCAGCAACGCCCTCTCTATGCTGGCCGCCTACGAGCGCTTTGGCAGTAACACGGCCGCGTGGGTGCCGCCGCAGACGGAGCGAGATGGGTACTGGGGAGACGACGCGGTGGCGGCCGGCGGAGGGGAGCCCCACAGGGGCGGCGGCTTCCCGTCAGACCTGTCGCCGCCGGACGCCAAGGTGTGCAAGGACCAGGGGAGCGGGTGCTACCGGACTGTCCAGGAGGCGGTGAGCGCCGCGCCGGACTTCGGCGCCTCCAGGTTCGTGATCTACATCAAGGAGGGGATTTACCATGAGACAGTGAGGATCCCGTTCGAGAAGACCAACGTCGTGTTCCTCGGTGACGGCATGGGGAAGACAATCATCACCGGAGACCTCAACGTCCAGATTGCCGGAGTCTCCACCTACAACACCGCCACCGTAGGTACGAGGAAGAAGAAAGAGACAGTGGCCTTTCCTTTCTTCTTTTCTTCCTTACTGCATGTGGTAGTGAAAGATGGATATCCTGGTGCTGAATTGCAGGCGTCAATGGAGACGGATTCATGGCGAAGGGGCTGACCTTCGAGAACACGGCCGGACAGGACGCCCACCAGGCGGTGGCGTTCCGGTCGGACAGCGACCTGTCCGTGCTGCAGGAGGTGGAGTTTCTGGGGCACCAGGACACACTTTACGCCCGCTCTCTCCGGCAGTTCTACAGGTCCTGCCGGATCGCCGGCACCGTCGACTTCATATTCGGCAACTCGGCGGCCGTCTTCCAGGACTGCCTCGTCCTGGTCCGCCCCCGGCAGCTCTCGCCGGAGAAGGGGGAGACCAACGCCGTCACCGCCCACGGCCGGACGGACCCCGCGCAAGCAACGGGGTTCGTCTTCCAGAGCTGCGTCGTCAACGGTACCGACGAGTACATGGAGCTCTACGGCCGGAAGCCGGCGGCGCATAGAAACTACCTGGGCCGGCCATGGAAGGAGTACTCCAGGACGGTCTTCATACGGTGCTACCTCGAGCGGCTGGTGCGGGCGGAGGGGTGGCTGCCGTGGACGGGGGACTTCGCCCTGAAGACGCTGTTCTACGGGGAGTTGGAGAGCTCCGGCCCGGGGGCGAATTCGGCGGCCAGGGTGCCCTGGAGCACCCAGATCTCGCCGGAGCACGGCGACGTCTACTCAGTGCGGAGCTTCATCCAGGGGGACGACTGGATCCCCGCCAGTTCCTGACGGGCGGGCGGGGCCCCCAGCCCGTCGGCGGGGGGAGGAGAGGGACGAGATGGATGTGTTTGTGGTGCGCGATGGGCCCCTTTCTTCTTCTTCTTCTTCTTTATGAGAGTGCTCGGCCCATGGAAGTGAAAGAGCCTCCGCCGGCGCCGCCCGACAGAGCGCGGCGCAACGAAAGGTCGCCATCGCCCATGATTGGCAGCGTTGGCTCCCGTAATAAAAGAAAAAACGAGATCTTTCTTTAAAAGCGGAAAACGGGCATGAATGACAACGCAACATATGAACACGAGAAATCTGATGTGGTAAGAAGTAAGGTTTTGTATCAAAAAATCGACCGATCAAGCGCTAACGAGGACGATCAAGGAGGAAGAGAGTCGACGATATCTAATCTACGGAGAGGGGAGGGTTTACCGTTTTAGGCTTGTCGCCGGTAGGGTTGGTCTCCCCCCAGTGCCACAGCATGCTCTCCCAGAAGCAGAACTTCTCGAAGCAGGTCTTCAGCCGCGGGTCTCTGATCTTCCTCTTCCAGTGGCCATCGGAGTAGTTGGCCTTCTCGGCCTGCCGCCGGTCCCACTCGAGCGACGCCTTCTGCTTCGACCTCAGGAGGCAGAAGCTCTGCAGCTTTTTGGGCATGGCGTCGTGCACCCTCCACCACCTCTCGTGCGCCACGTCGCTGGCGAACTCCTGCAGGATGTCCACGTTCCAGTTGCAGTCATAGTCGCGGAAGCAGAGCCACGGCTTCAGCCCCAGGTAGTGGAGGACGTAGAGGACGGGGGGGTCGGCCCCGAACAGGCGGATCTTCATCTGCTTCTTCTCCTCCTCGTCCCCTTCCCAGAAATGCTTCAAGAAGTTCATGTGCTTGGGTATGCGGTGCCACCACGTGAAGATCTCGTTCAGATACCCCTGGTCTCCGCCGTTGTAGGACTCGATCTCCTCGATGTGATCCATCAGCAGCTGGAAGGTGCAGTTGGAGGGCTCGACGACCATCACGCCGGAGTTGAACAGGGTCGCGTTGTTCCCCGTCGCCGTGATCTCCGGCATGGAGAACAGGAAGTCGATGTTCCGCAGGATGAGGAGGTCGGCGTCGATGAAGATGATCTTGTCGTAGTCCGTAAGCTGCCAAAGCCGGAACTTGCTGTAGTTCCACTCGTTGTAGGCATCCCGCTCCGCCTTCGGATTCCGTATCCTCTGTATCGTCCTCACCTTCCATCCCGCAGCTGCCAGGCCTCCTCTGTGCTCATCGCTGATCGTCTTGTCGACCAGAATCACTAGGTCCCTGTCCGACCCCGACATCCGGATGCTCTGAGCCGCGGCGATGGCGCCGCAGACATAAAATTGCGCTGAATGAAGGATCGTAGCATAGGCCTCCCGTCGAACAGCTTCAGAGCGGGGACGCACTGTTTCCAGATACAGCAACCCAAGCACGCAGATCAGAATCAGTAGAGAGAGGCAGAGAGAGATAGAGAGAGATAGAGAGATGACCAGGCGAAGGCTCTGAGATGAGTTCAACTGACCTTCTGCCTTCAATGGGATTGAAAGAGTGCATGATCCGACTGGCAGCTCGATCCTTTCTCTTAGCGTCCGCAAGCTGGGCCTGTACAGCCACAAGCTCCCTTCGCGAGCGACAAGATCCTTGCAATTGAATAGGTTGGGAAGTGGGAAGCAATCGGTGAGAAAGAGGACCTGCGGGCCATGGAGGGCTCCTCCAGATGCAGAGGCGGCCAGCTTAGCCGCAGCTAGCTGCAGGTGCAGTCGCACCAGATCTCTTGACCAGCCTCCCGACCTGTTGCAAGGAAGCTTTACGGCAATGAAGTCTAGCTGCACATCTGTTGGAGTAACACTGGGTTCGGGAAGGGTGGGGCACTTAGGGATTTCAAACTCTTCTTCTTCGTCGATCCATTCAGGATAGAGATCCTCCCATCTGAGGCTGGCGTTGACCGAGTTCAGGCCCACAACGACAAACTCGGATGTGGGCAGAAGCTGCTGCCAATTATTGACCTCCGTCTTATTGAAATTTAGCAGGCCGACCTTTGACTTTACACTCTGGTAGCCCGATTCCTTGATAACTTTCAAAACCTTAGCCCAGTCAATATCTAGATCAGATACATATCGCGGGTCTGCACTTCGCCGATCCCAGATCCACCCGACGTCTGCGAATCGGGACCTGCGGTCAAAGGAGAACATCCTCAGAATCACAGAAGATAACAAGGACCTGCGATCAAGAGCATCTTTTTTGTCTTTTAAGCACGGCAAGATGCAAGAGACCAGTGAGCTGAGCCCAAATCCATGATCGATCGATCCTTTACCGTGATGTTTGCTTCAGCGAGCGTTCACTGAGATTTACTGTTGGCGAGAGGAGCATCATGTAGAAGGCCCCCAAGATGAGGAAAGTGAAGACAAACTTCATGGAACGTATCTTCCAGGTCGGATTCCTCTCTTGGAGCAAGGGCTTCTCGCCCTCTTTCGAGTCTCTGGTTCTCCGCGCCCATCTCCTACCTGAATCATCACTGAACCATACAGCAACGTCTAAGTCAAACCCACTTCTTCACATGGGTAGCTCAAAGGACATTATTAAAAAAAAAAAAAGATTGGAAAAAAAAATCCTATGAGCCAAGTCCTGTGTTTCCCTAGTGATCATCTACCATATAAAGCCCTGACTTTATAATGAACAGATTAACTCTTTTTTTTTGTTTTTCTCAGGTCCTGTCCATTATTGGGTACCCCGTAAGATGGAACATCCAGCCTGAGACGCTGGTTAGACACAGCTGATCTTGCAGATGAAGAGCACAATCCCAAGTCTACCGGACAATTTTATCAACGGATGCCTGGTTGTTCATCAACGAATCCAGGTGCCCGATCAAAAAGATATCTTTTCTGTCTTAAAAAATTGAATAAAATTCTTCCTGAGGGTAGATATATGAGGTACTTTGGCTGAAGATTAATCGCGGTGCATCCACATAAATCCAAGAGTCAAATATCTGAATCATTTAAAGTCATACACCCATGCAGTTTCGCATTGCGACATTCAGTCGATTCAAAAATCCGTCCCTCACACAATGAATGCGCTCCCCTATTTATAGAAACGCATATATCCATCATGGCCAAGCAAAACCTCTGCAGACTATCTGGCATCCGGCAATGGATTGAAATACTGAAGCATAAAGTATACAAGAACTAGAAGAATCAAATTCCAAAAACGTGATGTAAAATATCCACAATCAAATTGAAACCTCAAAACCAGAGGAACTTGAATTTCCCACATGTGCCATCACTAAAATTCACCTTACAGAGAGCCCTGAATTTTTTTTCCATAACAGGACTCAACACAGACAGCAGCAGACTAGGAATTTCTGAGCAAAGTACTAGCCAATCAGCGTGGCTTTTCTCAGACGGATTTCTTTCGCGACCCAATCGGACAATCCTCAGTGGAATAACAAGGACGGATGCTAAAAGTAAACTCTAATGCCGTGTTTAAGCTATGAAGACTACATGCCAACGGCAAAGTTCATGAAATAAATGCTATATCAGCTTCTTGATAATATTACAGAAGTATAACACCCATTGTGTGCTTTGAGGCTGCCCTACAAGCCAGAAGATTAATAAGGAGAAACATGGCAGAGGAAACTCTTTTTTGCACCCATTTCTTCGCTTAATGTGAGCAAGGAGGCAGCTACAGGAATCTTAAAATGAAGACTACCGACCACAAACATCTCATCTGAAATTGAAAGAAGACATTTCCTAAGATTGAAAGAAGACCTTTCCGACAGAAATAGAAAAGCATGATCCTGTGACGACAGAGTAATGGCGAATTATAGGTTACGTTGGGTGTGCCAGCAGCCACAAGCTTCGATCATATGGTATTGCAATCATTGAATCTACACGACCCAAGATTCAATTAACAAAACTTTCCCCTAATTGTATTGTTGATCCCATTCCGATGCACTTCATTGCGAAGTGAAGCATGTCGTGTTGCTAATAATTCACTGTGCATGGAACTAACCTCGTTGACCATCACTCAAGGTCATCTCAGCTCCTTACACTCTCCCTGGTTTCATACTAAGAAATTTTCGAGATGTGTTGACAAAATTTTCTTTTCAAGGACTTATTAAGCTCTTCATTGAATTTAACACGAAAGTAACCAAGCAACATAGCTTTTTTGTCATCTTAGATACAAAATCACAAAGAGTAGAATCAAAATACACTATGAAGGAGGGCAAAGAGGATGGTCGATCAGGAAAAGGTTCACTCTTTACAATTACGTGAGGCAACCAAAAATGGATTGCAGCGTGTGACTAGGATTCAAAATGTCTAAAATCCATCAGAAATGCTTACCATAAGTGTCATAACTTGAAGTTCGTGGCTTACTTCTAAAAGAAGTAGAACTACACGGCAAGACTCTCATCATATTCAAGTATACTGAAGTAGAACCACGGCCAGGCAGTAGCTGAGAGATAATAGAGCACATAAGGAAGCTCCAGTCTTAGAAAGTCAGTGAAGAGCTAGTTTAAGTAGCTGCCACGGGTTAAATGGATGCTTCCTACTCGCAAACAGGGACAGAAGCCGACCATTGTCGAGGCATTTCATGGATCCGAGCTTAAGAGAAGAAAAGGGGGAAACTAAAAAGCATATGTATTTGTGCAGAGAATATAGCACATATAATTTAAGACCGCATACAGTACAAGAGAAACAGCACGCAGCACAGAACGATGAGATCCTCGAGAGAAGAAAGGAAAAAGGTAAGATTGTCCGAAATAAGGAGAGTGAAGGAGAAGAGATGCACTGACGGTGTAGCGGCCGATCTGAGCCTGGCCTCCCCAGGCCCAGGAGATGCACCCATATATCCTCTCATATGAATTTCGACCCCCCTTGGTGAGGCATGATCTTATCTCAGATCCGATTAGAGATATCCACGAGAGGAAAGGCAGGCGTTCTGAGAGCAGTGGTACGCAGTCAAATCTGAATTGGAACAGCAAGGGATGAGAACACCGCGATAAGCAAGAACAGAGAACAGAGTAGAAAGAACCGTACGCTGTAAAACTACCGAGAAGACACGGCCTAACCCAAAGAACTCCTGCGAAACGGTCAAGGCTGTAGAACCCGAGCGAAAAAACAATAACGGTTCCTGTAATCCCCAATGCAGCGCCATAAAAGGTTCGCCGCGTAGAGAATTGACCACTGAACGAACAATATTGCAGGAACAACCGTTGAAAAATCAAACACAAGGCATTGAAGGAAAAGATCCAGAAATTTGCCAGACGACAAGCAGAAATCCCGAATCAGAGATCAACCCGGAAACAGCGAAAACTATGACCAGCGCTCCGACGCCGATACCAATAAAAGAGCAACCAACACGAAGAACCTGAGATTGCTACGAGGGCGCGCACCAACAGAAACCAGGTCCAGCTGATGAACTCCTCTAACCGCGGAAAAAACGGAACGAAGAAAGACCAGTCAACCCGGGGGAGGATAGACGCCGCTTTCGTCCTTTCGTCCTCCCTCCTCCTCCCCGCAGAGCAAGGCGCGAGGGGAGCAATCCCCCACTCTGAAGCTGCACCTCTTCCTCCCTCTGCCCCTCCTCGGCGAGCAGAATGGCGTAGGCGAGAAGGGTCGGTAGAATGTTGACAACAGTGCCGTTCAACGTCGTGCGTCGGAGCCATAAATAATTCATAAATAAAATTAAATTACGATATTCCATTTTTAAAGTTCGTCGGAGGAAGGAGTAGAAGCCAACCGCTAGATTCCAATCGGACGAGCAGCGTTCGATACGAGCCTACCTGCGCCGACGTTGGCCTTTTGGGCAAATCCCACGCTGCAGTCGCGGAGAGTTCTCGCCGTCCGATCCACCTCTGTCTCGCCGATGACTTGTTAACATGTCGAATGGATGATAAAAATCGACCCCATTTCGGTCTTCTTTATTTAATACTAATTAAAAATTTGTGATTATGAATAAATATCATCACTGGAAAAATAAATAATCTACCCCTGACATTATTGCACATGGCGTATATTATTCTTACGTGTCGGCGGATTTACCGTACGAGGCTTCGTGGATACCTGTCCGATCTGGTTTAGTGGATACGGTCTTACACATTATCCCTCCCTTGTAAAAACAGGAAAAAGGAAAGGACCCCCCCAGCTGGCAATATATTTGCGAGAAGAAGCCCGCTTATGGGCTCTTCCGTGGGCCGGCAGTTGGCGGTGGTTGCGTATTGAAGGAGAAGCAACGGTTCACTTTCGGATCACGCGAGCCGCCAACCTGAGCCACCAAACTGCCGTCGAACTCGATGGCCGGAAAGATCGGCGCCCGGAGAAAGTCAACCAGCGGAAGCCCGACTAGACCGAGTTGTTTGTCAACCCTCCCACGAGTCCTGACGCTGGCTGCCTAGTCCAGTGGGCCGGGCGGCGTTCCAAAACCGAGCCCGGATCTGAGCCCAACACCCCATGGTGGAAATCGGTGCGTAAATAATGCACGTAATCTCGACGAAATTATCCCGAGAAACCCCAAAATTCAATATATATATTCATATATCTTTAAAATTACTCACATGTCCTCCTACGAAGAGCAACACCTCCCTTCTCCAGCGTCTGGAAAAGCGCATATTAGGCCGTGGTTTTTAAGGCCCGTAGGCTAGCTGGGCTGGACCCGGGCAACTCCGATAGGTCCGTGAATACGTACAGATGAAAGTATTATTAATATTAGGTAGACTGGTCCACGAACGTGGCGGCCTATCTATTGCCCTATTATACACCAACTACGAGATAGTGGGCCTGAGCAGAAAGGCGGGCCTGGTGATTGGGCCCCCCCTCCTAGGCTAACTATCAGGTGGGAGGCCCAATATATTTAAAAATAAAGCCCATATTTTAATGGAGAAGTATTTGCAACCCAAAAAAGAAGGGAAATGGCAGGCAGAGAGTGGGGCCCAGGTCTTGAAGGCTTGAGAGCCACGTGGCGATGAAGCACAGCGATCTCAGCGTACGATAGCAGTGACAGTCATGCGCAGGGATCTGTGCCCCTGGAGGTCCCTCCCTCCCGAGACCCGCAATTTACTCGTCCGCGGACCAGCCGACAGTCGGCTGCCGCGATATACGTCTTTATATTATTATTATTTTATATGTTTCGAATTATTATTTACTTTAAGAGGACGCCGGTTATTCCCTCGGAAAAGATCGTCATTATTGAGTTGCTTATCAAATAATTACGAATTAATAGGTATTTATTGCGTCGGATTACTGTACGGGTATATCGTCAGAAGATGACGTCATGGTTTCCGCTCCGCTGGCATCAGCTCCGGATAGACTCACTCGGGGGCACCCCAGACGGCACAAGACGACACGTATTCTCTCCGTCCGTGCAACTGTCTCGACCCGCGGGTCACCGTAGCGTGCCGATAGGGGTGGGAGTATGATACCAGTATGCAATAACACAATATCGGTTGCAGACAACCGGACACGTGGCGCCCCGAGGGGACCGATGCAGCTGTCCCCCTTCCTAAGCAAAGCCACACTTTTTTTTCTTGCTCCTTTGTGCCTCCTCGTGACGTGACGCCCTCTGTTCGTTTCAGGATCTTCCTTCCTCTCTCTCTCTCTCTCTCTGTCCCTCTTCTGTGGGGCTATGGAGGGGCGGAAATCTCCGCAGGAGTCTGTCCGGGCCCGCTCGGTGCCGATCTCATCCAAACCGGATGAGGCCGTCACGTGGGGAGCAACCTGATGAAAGCACGCCGAAGGTGGAAAATAAATGGCAAAGTGCAATAATATCCAATGTCTCTCACCTTCTCTCTAAGACCACGAGCTCTTCTTCCTTCGATAATCTCCGGTGTTACAGGAAGGGGGGAGGAGGGGGAGGGGAGTCACCAAAATTGCAAAAGGAGGTCGGGGGGTGGGGAGACTCGTGGCTCAGAAGGTGATGCCATCGTCATCTAGATAGGCGACGCTGTTCCTCCATGACTCCGGAGTTGAACAGCAGCCGCTCAGGTCAGAGAACTGCAGGGAGAGGGCAGACCCTCGAGGCCTCCGAGGAGCACCGCCGTGTTCGCTCCCTTCGAACGAGCTGTAACCGTCGGGTCGCTTCTGGTCCACCTGCGTTGAACTGTGCAGCGGGATGGAGGAGATCTTGCGGCAGTGGGACAGCCACTTGGACTGCACGTAGGCGGTGCGCCGCCATGGGGGGACGTGGAGGCCCCTCTCCCGCAGGGACTCCTGCGCCGCCGCACAGAGCAGAGGGATTATCCTCCGTAGCTTCTCCTCCGCCCCAACGAAGATGGGAGGAAGGGTACCCGACAGCCGCGCATACGTCGCAGTGGGCCTCGCCAACTCAAACTGGGACCTGAAGTCTACATCCACGATGATCCTCCTGGGGGCTCCGCCTCCCTTCTTTGCCTCCACCAGAACGTCAACGTACTCGTAGTCCCCTGGCCAGCAAGTGAAGACCGGATGAGAGGAGCGATGGCGGGCCGGGGGAAGGCGGACAGAGCTAGGAACAAAGGGGGAAAGAATGAGGCTGCACCCCCAGGGCACTCCAAAGTGGAAACCCAAGAAGATCGGCACAGGGAGGCGTTGTAGCCGTCCATCCGCAGCCTCATCGTCAACCTCTTCCTCACGCTGCTCCTACCCTCACTGCCCATGTCCAGAACATACCTCGCCGCCTTCTCGAACAATTCCATTTCGACGTCCGTGGCGCAGGCCAGCAAACCCTAAAACTCCAGAACGTAAAGCTCATCAGCGACCCTCTCGGTTCCGGCCACATGGAAGGAGAGCGAAGAGAAAGCTCACCTCTAGCGCGAGGAAGGTGTGCTGGTGGAGAGAGAACGCCGGGGTGCAGGAGTTGCAACCCGGCGTCGTCTCCGGGGAGCCCGATTCCATGAAGTCCTGGACCATCTGGACGAGCTGCTCCTCTGAGAAGCTCATTCCTCCCCCCAGGAGACCCGTTGCACCTGGAGACGATGAGGGCGGGGAGTATTAATGAGCTTAGGGGAGTAAATAATGGTCATCTACGGCTCCAGCCTTCCTTCTTACGGTTCTATTTAAGCCTTCGTCAAGGAAACAGCTGGGCCCAGTGAGGTAGACGACGATGCTGATGTGAAACCAGAGACGTGGATGAGAGGGAGGGAGCCAGAAAAAGCGGCGGCGAGAGGACCCAGAATCGTCCACTTTCCCTCTCCCCCAGTGGATGACGTGCTCGGTCAGCTATTCCAGCACCACGCGTCAACGGGAGGCGAACCGGCATCCGCGTGTACGCTTGCTCCTTGCGATGAAGCACCGTGCTGCGAAATTTCGCACAGCGCAGGCCTTGAGATGCACGAAGGCCCCCGATGTGCGGGACCCATGGAGTTGACAAGTCAACTTTAAAGGTGGACCTCTGTTGTCGTCTAGTGCCCGGCACCGACCAATGGCAAAATGGGCCTGCCGAGGATGGGTCCATCATGGCGAGTGGGCAGAGAATCTTATTGGGCGAATCGATCAGAATGGAAAGAGAATCGTCGAGCCCAAGCCCAACAATGCGATGGACCCTGTATGACGCCATCAGTTCGGTCTGGTGGACCGACCAAGTAGATTCCCTCCCTTTGCACGATGGTCGAATTCATATCGGCCCAGTAGCTCATCTGGGCCCATTACGTTAAGGCAATCAGGGGCCGACTACAGCGACCTTCACTCTCTATATATACAGCCCAGCAGTTCCCCCGTCCCTGAGAGGTCGATAGGGTTTCCTGTTCCGTTTTGCTCGTTCTGCCGCCGTCTGGGTTTTTTTAGCTCCGTAGCCGCTATGGCCGTCGTTTCTGTTTGATGCTTGAATGGGAGTAGGCCGTGATGAAGCAAAGATGTCATGCACCACACTGAGGATGCGTCCTGTGCTGATAATCGACAGATAACCCATTTAGTTCTGAGCCTCCTCTCGTTTCCCATCTTCGATCTGTCATACGCTCGCCGTCTTCTGTCTTTGTATATACGTCAGTACGTTACCATCTGGAGTTAATTTTTTTGGGGATTTGATCTTGTTTTCATGCCTTGGAAAATTTTTCGAGGCCTCCTGGTTCGAAATCTTGCTTTCTCGATGCGAATCCCGAGGACCTGCCTTGGAAGAACCAGATGATGCGGCCCTTCTGCTGGGCCAACCATGATGCGGACTGAACAGGCGCTTGATGTGCCTTGAGGACTGCTTTTTATTCACTGATGGTTCAATCCGCTTCTTTCACTGATGGTCTTTCGCATTACTCGATTGGGCGACCGGCCTCCCATGGCCAACTCTGTCGTTTATCGGATGCTCCTAGCCCAATATCTGAGCTCGGTCGTGGCGATGTCTATGACGTCTTTTACCTTGGTCAGTTGACTGATGATCCAGTAGTTTTTGCCAAATATCTGTGTCCAGGGGATGCTAGAAGCGGCATCGAAGAATATCCGGTATCGATGTGTAGTCCTAAATTCCTTGGCAAATGACGAGATTGTACTGATCTGTTCATATGATCATTCGCTGGTTCCACGAAAGACAATTGATATGCTTGTTTATTGGAGCCAATTGTGCACATTTCTTCATAAGCTTTTATGGCCTGTTATCAGCAATAACTGTTAATGACAGAACGGCTATCCATCATGAATGCAAGTGCTGGATCGGTCGTCGGTGATCGTCACGGATAATTGTGGCCTGGTGATTCGTGATTCTTGGGCAGGTTGAATAAATACAATCTGATCGTCTCGCTTGATGGGAGCCTGTTTATTATCTTTTTCTGCGATTTTGCAGGCAGGGTTCTGTCTGTTGTCCCTAACTTCTCCATCTCGAAGAAGCTTGGCCTCATCAGCCGACCAGGTCATGGCGGGGCCAACGATTCCCGTGGGCGGTCTTCATATACCCCATTGGGAAGGATGAAGAACCAGGGCTCCGCCAGGCTTCCAGCGTCTAGCAGGTGTAGCTGGCAGATGCTGATTCTGCATCTTAATTTCTGAACTCGCAGAAGATCATCGCGGTGGTGTGCTCAGATTTCATGCTGATAGATGGAAACAGATTGAAGGTGACATGAAAATCAAGGTGGAGTGCTACCACGATGGCGGGCATCTTTACTCCACCGACCCCAAGAAGAGATGGAAAGTCATTAGAGCTTTGACTTCGCGCTTGATTAAGCAGTCACCGTCGAATAATCTATGAGCAAGGCCTCATTTGCAATGAATCATCAAACCGAGTTTGATTTTGTTTTTCAAATTTATTCGAAAGTGGAAGGGGTGAGTTTATCCACCGATTGAAGGGATGTCGACCTCGGAGTTGGAATGACAGTAGGGCCCCCATCAAGCCCGCTTTCATGGAGATCCCCGTTGGCATTTTTCATACATGGGTCTCTCTGTACCATTAGCTTAATCTAACCAGCTGACGGCCGGTACTGCGCATCCTATCTCCGGTGCAATGCCAGATCTTTTGAGCTCATTCCTACGACCACCCGTCGGTACCTTCACATTTTGGACCCGCATGGACTGCTGCTGACTTGCCGCCCTGATCACGGGAAGAGGGCAACGCAATGTCCCCTAACTTGTCTAAACGGGTCGTCCCCAAGATCGGGCACCAGGGTTTCATTGAAGGTCCATTCAGTGGGCTCACTAGTTACTGTGTGGCTTCTTCAAGACAAAACTGGACTGCATAGCCTTCTGAAGTCCCTAAATTCTCACCATAAGCAACAAAATCATGAAGGAGCGAGGCTTCTGAATCGTAAGCAAAGATTTTCTTTAATCAAATGTGATTAACCTACACATACTTCCCCCTGTACTTGGGCTTCAACTCTCTCTCAGGCCAGCCCGCCGGCGGCGGCTGCTGGGCATCGGCAGGGCTGAAGACGGCAGAATGAAGGTTCCCGTCTTCCATCCATTTCAGATGGTTCTCCTTGAACTCCCGATGCTTCAGTCTGGCCGACTCTGCGAGCTCCTCGGTGTACGCCGCCGTCTTCACCATCGTCAGCAGGTGGCGGCTGTATCTGAAACTCAGGATCTGCTCGCAGGCGGCGGCCATGGCGAAGCAGGGATGCTCAGGGTATTGGGGGTCGCCGGAGCCCTCGTCCCGCACCACCGGGTAGAAGAACACGAGCCTGCCGCCCATCACGAGCATCTTGGCGGCGAGATCCAGGAGGTCATGAACGCACTCCGCCAAGCAGTACGCCGCCGTGGAGGGTATATGGTCGGCTTTCTTGTCCTCCGGGACGGTGTACGGATCGACAGTGCCCTTCATCAGCTTCCGACCTCCCGATTTGCGACCCCCAGCTCGAACCCCGTACGGCGGGTCGCAGATTATCGCGTCAAATACCTGGCACACGAGAGGAGAAGAGGATCCGACGCTGAAGGTATGCAGAGGGAGAACCCAAGCAGGATAGGGGCCTCAGAATGACAATCCCAGAGCAAGAACATGCGAATCAATGGCGTTAGATTTACAGAGACAGAAAAGAGAACCGTACCTCTCCCAGCCCTTGCCGCCAGGGAGGAAGATTGTTGTCCGCCCTCAGGAGAGAAATCGGAGGTGGTAAACCGTACTGCGAGGAAAAGCACAGGATCATGGGAAACCGTGGTGACAAAAAGTCAAACCCTGAAGAAATCTAGATGTACGGATGGTGGGGGCCATGATAATCTGTTTGGAACCACGCTTGTTGCCCCTTAAATTCAATATTAACTTCTAAGGACCATAATTCCAAGTCAAATCATTTACATTTTCCAGAAAGAACAAATACACATCTTCATAGTTTAGTCATAATTCTGGTTGACCAGACCGAGTTTTAGCTGATAGGTCCTGGGTCAAATTCTGATCTATTCTAACTGCTGCTTCCCAGCTTTGAGATGAAGTGATCATGCTGGCCAAAAGTTTTTTTCAGAACGAAAGTCAAAGGCCATAGCATGTCCAATTAATGAATGTAGGGGAGGGTCAGGGCATTCTCTCAAAGATATTAAAAGATCTAAAGATCAGAACGCTGGAGAAAATGTACTTGATGATGTTCATGCCCTCTTCAAGAATCATATAATCACAAAAGAAAAACTGCTTAAATCACCTGTTTGAAATTACTCCAGATGTTGCAGTTGGGTCCCCGACCATCACGAACCACTCGAATGTCGATATCTGCACCCTGATTGATTCATATAAGAACATAAAGAGCAGAAAACACAGTCTACAAAGCAAAAAATAAAAAACCTGCTGAAGACATCGTAACATCCAGACATGAAATAAACATGTAGTTATAAAGAACACAGACCATAGTCATAGCTCCAAAATGCGCGGCAGCAACCAAGATACTTCCAGTGCCAACGAATGGATCATAGACGAGTTTCCCTGGTTGAGCTAAGCCTTGGTTAGCCATGAGAAACGCCATCTCGGCATCCATAGCAGTGGGACCGAGGTACCCGCGACTTTTCAGCTGATAAGTCGGCAGAAGCTTCCTATCTGCAGCTCCTATCTCTCGGCCAAAGAAAACCTTCTTCTGAACAACCCGTGGGAGCCCATTATTAGTTCTATAGTCATCAGTTTCCATAAGCCAAAACTTGTGATCAGGGTTTCGCAAATCAACTCGACCCTGGGAAAAAATAAAAAATAAAAATATATCAGCTGGAAAACACGCATCTCAGTTGAGGCAACTACTTCGAGGCAAAAGGTATCCGAAAAATTCTCTGATGCAACACATATCATATTTATGGTTATCTGATTTGAAAAAAATGAGCCAAATATTTTAAAAAATCTTACTTCGATGATGCGCATAAAGACGTTATGCCAACTAGGTGCCTTGTACATAATGTAAAGAGAACAACATTTATCAGACACATGACTTTGCTCGACTGCAAGATATTGAACGACATCATCTTTGAAAGATAAGATCTTTGTACCATGCGGTTTGATCATTGTCTGGGTAAACTCGAGACAATGCAAATTATGTCTCACACAAAAATCACCCCTCAATGGAAATCTGATCAAAGGTTGCAGAAACATCTTTCCTGAATTGCTCAAAGCAAGAAAATCTTCCACGAGCAAATGCTACTTATCCACGAGCAAGAAGACGAAAGTACCTTGAATGGTATGTAACTCAGTCCATTTATGCGCTTATTTTGCTCCTCAAAGCTGATCACCTTGCCAAAACTATCCACGATGATGCGGAATGTGCTGTCTGAAGACAAGTACGGGATTTTCCTTTCTTCGGGAAAAAGTTTGATAGCTTCCTCTAACTCTTGATGGTTGCTTCCATGCCCCCAAAGCTCATATATTCCCTTTACAAGTATGCCTGAGATGTACAAGAATTTAGAAACCACTGATACAGAGCCCATAGAATAAACTTCATAAATAATTCTCTGCAGATTAGTTTAGGAGCAGAGATATGAATGCCTGCTATTCACAATGCTCAAAAATGAATACAGCACGATTTTGGCATGAGGGGCAAGATTGGGATATTGTGCTCTATGAAGCAGGAAGGCACTTGATCCAAAAAGAACTTTGTAGGAGGAGGAGAAGAACATATCAAGGGATACATTCACACAGGGAACCGTTGTCTTTCTAGAATGAAGATTTCCAAAGGGCAGCACCACAACAAGAGAGTAAGTGTGTTGCTTTCAGACACACCATTTTCAGGCTCAGCTTTCCATGGAGGTCGATGTAACTTGGATTTCAAGGGTGCAATACATTATTAACGAACAGCCTAATATGAATGAAAACCAATGCGTCTATGATAGAGTGAAATGACGAGATGGGTTATAATCCTATTTCCATAGTTTGATAGTCAAGAAATAATTTAGGGGGGAATGAAGAAAAAGGATACGTGCCCACATACACAAGATGAGTGTTCCTTCAGGAGAGAAACGCTCCACTTGGTGGGCTTTTCCTGTGTTAAGCCCTCCCATAAATGGAAATGACACAACCTGGTCATCCACTTCTACCCGATGATGTTCACAGGGAAGCATTTTTTCTCACAATAATGGTGGATCAGGGGACCACTTGCAGCTGGCCCAAAGGCTCGCAATGATCTTTCCTAGCCATTCTCAACTTTGTCCCATTTAATATCTCATTAACGGGACATTGATTTATACAAGCTAAAGAAAACTCTAACGATGCTTGGGCAAATATGAAACAGAGGTTATTTCAGTCCATCGACCATTCAGATGCTCGCAAATAAATCTTGTTGCCCTTTTCAACAAAAACTCTGAATCATTTTCTATTTCACTAATCGGATTTAGATATTTCAGCACCTCAAGAACATCATGCAGATCAGCACTTCGATCCATATCTTTCTGACGCGCCATTCACTCTGCCAATAAAGAAAGCTGAAGGCCCAGAATAGAGGAAGGAAGCGTGCTGCAGCATTATCAAACTGAGGGGGATTGCCTCCCTGAACTCCTCCTCCTTGATTTGAGTCCTATTTCTTAGCATCACAACTAAGGCAGAACAGGGAAGAACACAGTCGGAGTGGCGAGCGCGCGCGCACACACAAGCTTACTTCCTGAAACTAAAAAGTCTTGTTTCCGACAAGAGCGTGAGTAAATACTATACGAGGAATGTCCGTATGCTATAATGCCTTGCTAAGCTTTTATAAATGAAAGCAACCCGTGCTGTTTTAAGAATTCCCCTGCCCAGTCGTCTGTTCATGGCTTTCTTTTAAAAAAGAAGGAGAATCAATAACAATTCCCGATGATATTGCCAACAAACTGAGGCGGTCCTAGATCACTCGCCACCTCTTGTTCTGCTTCCAACGCTCGCCGCTGACTAAAAAGCAAGGGGTGGCAAAATACACCAATGGAAGCCGGTAAGAAGAACGGGTTTAACCCGACTCACTTCGCTTGGCGATCTTCCGGGCGATCTCCTCGGAGGGGAGGGAAACGAAATGGAAAGGGGAGTCAACATGGAAGTTCTCCGGGAGTTTCCACTCCAGGTGCCTCTCCGCGCAGGCTATATCTCCCTCGCCGTCGTCGAACACCCCGAAGAGCTCCGCGAGCGACTCCACCTCGGGTCTCCTGTAATCCAAAAGCCTATGGAAGAAGACACACAGGAACCACATCTCACCCTCCTTCCTCGTCTCTCACCTTTCCTGCCTTCTCCAGATTCCCCGCGACAAGTGAGAGAGGCAGAGGAGCGGCAAACCCAAAACCCTGGAAGAAGACGCGAGCTCCTTATGCTTGTCCTGCGATGTCCTAATATTGGGCTCCCAGTTAATGGGCTCACCGGCCAAAACCCTCAGGTCAGTCCATTACACCTGACGGACATCAGAATCATCCCTCGTTGAGGATGAATAGTCAACCTCTGGAATCTCACGACCTTCTGGAGATCGACGGCCTGCTTCCGTGAGGACGGCGAGGAAAAGCCACGTTTTTCGGTGGATCGAATCATGGGGGTTCCAAAGTTATTGCCATCGGAGAAGCAGCCTTAGGTCACCACCCGTTACCGACCTCCGGATGTGGACACACCGGAGTTGGTGGAGCGCCGATGACTTTTCTGGCGGAAGCACTGAGAAAGAGACGCTCACTTTAAGGGAAATTACGGCGAAGGCTAAACAGAAGGAGAGGATGGCGGGGGCAAACGAGGACGATCACATCGTGAGAGAAGCCTTTCTGGTCGCCAACACTTCTCCTGAGGGGGGAGGGGAGGCGCTAGAGATCTGTAGCGTATTTTATCCCCGCCGGAGAAAACTTGGCTTCACTTCTACTCAAAACATCAGCCTCTGAAACTGACGGGGCGACAAACTACCTTCCCCATTTTGCACAAAACTAGCTCAAGTTCTCAGGGTTCTTTCCCGTCGCCGTTCTTCCTCTCCCAAATGGCCGGCCCAGACCCCGCCAGCGCCATATCCTGGCTCTTCTTCTTCGCCTTCTTGATCGCCGCCGGAGCCCAGAACGGGTTCGACTTCGGGGAGGAGAAGAGGACACACCTGCACTTCTTCTTCCACGACGTGGTCAGCGGCTCCAAACCCACGGTCGTGCGCGTCGCCGGCGTGACGAGTGGGCTCCGGTCGCTAAACATGTTCGGAGACGTGATGATGATCGACGACGCCTTGACGGAAGGTCCAGATAGCACCTCGAAGCTCATCGGACGGGCTCAGGGCTTCTACGCCGGGGCATCGCAGGAGGAGCTCGCCTTGCTGATGGCCATGAACTACTATTTCGTGGAGGGCGACTACAAGGGCAGCACCCTTGCTCTCCTCGGGAGGAACAGCGTCATGTCGGCGACGAGGGAGATGGCCATCATCGGGGGCTCCGGTTACTTCCGTCTCGCCCGCGGCTACGCCGTCGCCAAGACCCACTCCTTCAACGTCAGCGGAGACGCCATTGTGGAGTACAACGTCTACGTTATTCACCGGTGATGCGGCCGCGCCATGTCCCTGCATTGGTTTTCCCTGAAACCCCCATCGTCCTTCACGACTGTAGCGCTCCCATGCCGAGTTGTATCTCGTCGCCATGGAAGCATCTCTAGACCTCCGATGTCTCCGTAGAGCAACCCGTGTCGTGTATTTTTGTGACGTTGTCATTTTCAAATAAGTTATGCAGTGCATTTCCCCGTTTGAAGCGGAAATAAACATGGGCTGATCGAGGAAATTGGTAATTTGCGTGATTAAAGCAAATACGTTAAGATATGAATTTAAAAATATTTCCCATATTATTTTCGTCGGTCGTCTAGTGATACAAGCTCAAATATTCTTAAATATACTGTTCATGTATTGATATTTTTGAACATTAGACGATATTCTCCGATGATTTTCCAACGAATTGGCAATTTGCGTGGCTAACACAAATAATCTTAAAATAGGAATTTCAAAATATTTCCAATATTTTTTAATTGGCCATCTAATTCAGGGGCAGTTGGCGGTAAGTAATACAAGCTCAAATATTCGTAAATATGCTGGTCATCTTGTAATATTTCGAACATTAAATTATACTACCCGATGATATTCTAACGAACTGGCTCACCTAACACGAAAAGAAGATTCCTTGACTCGTGGACTCGGCCTGCTTCCGCATGGTCTGCACCATTTCTCCAATGTGTCATCACGTCCAAAGCAAACGTTGATTGAAGCGGTGGGCTGGAAACTTCCTTGCGATACCTATCGTTCGCCGTGGAGATTAGATCAGGCGTCTAGGATGCGGCCGAGTCAACCGACGGCCGAGAGACCCCATACGTTGGCAGGGCATTCGCGTTTCTTTCTAGAAGGAGATCACCAACCCTCCTGACGACTGGGTGCCCTTCCTCTTTCCCTCTGCGAGCTCCTATGTAGAACAAGCAGGTTCCTTTAAATATCTGGTCGAGGAGGATGGAGTGGATCAGCAACCAAACTGTCGAGTCCTTCTGTCTTTTCCTCCGCAGCACAGAAAGTCCCCATGGCTTCCATCCTCCGCGCCTCCTCGGTCTGGGTCTGCCTCTTCTTGCTCTTGGCGGCCGTGAATGGCCAGGATGACTTCGACATCGGGGAGGAGAGGAAGACCCACCTGAACTTCTTCTTCCACGACATCGTGAGCGGCCCCAATGCCACGGCGGTCGCCATCGTGCAGTCGTCCGTGATGAACTCGACGGCCGGCCGCTTCGGCCTCGTCGTCATGGTCGACAACGCGCTCACGGAGGGCCCCAACATCTCCTCCAAGCTCATCGGCCGAGCTCAGGGCTTCTATGCCACGGCGTCGCAGGGGGATCTCGCACTGCTGATGACCATGAACTTCTATTTCATCGACGGAGTCTACAACGGCAGCACGCTCGCCATACTGGGGAGGAACAGCGCCGCCTCACAGACCAGGGAGATATCCGTCGTCGGCGGCACCGGCTACTTCCGCCTCGCGCAAGGCTATGCCATAGCCAAGACGGGCTCATGGAACGCCACCTCAGGAGACGCCGTCGTGGAGTACGACGTCTACGTCGTCCACAAGGGGCCGGCATCGGCGAGCACTTCGAACCCCGGTGGAGCTCCCGGTTCCGGCCAGACGTCTGCAGGCTCCCGGAGCACCGTTTACTTCCCCGTGCTGCTACTCCTCCAGGCGGCGTATTTCCTCTGTTTCCTCGGGCATTGAATTTGATCTCCACGAGATCGAGTAGTCGTCCTCTTTTTTTCCCTGCTGATCCCCTGGCGAGTGAGGGGATCGACCGGCCGTTACTTTTCAATAAGATTTCATTTTCGTGTAATATTTGAACCATTGGAGATTGATTGTATGGAGGCTTCCCGCTACCTTCCGACTTCTTCTTCTTCTTCTTCTGCGCCCCCCAGGCGTGCCCGGGGATAGCTCCACGCACACTAATTTCATACAGTCAGGATGACGACTCTCGAATCTAATCATAGACTAAATTGCCGCTCTTCACATTAAAGATGGCAGTTATTGAGGGCTTAGTTCTCTTGGCCGCGGTGTTCAATTGGCCCAATGCTTTATGAAGATAATAGCTCCCGAGCATCTGAAGAACCCGCTCAGGCGGCAGTTATCGAGACCATGTGAAGACTGAGATAACCTTTGACACTAGAATGCTCTCTCTCTCTCCCCCCCTCTCTCTCCCTTCCCCCCCTCTCTCTCCCCCTCTCTCTCTCCCTTCCCCCCCTCTCTCTCCCCCTCTCTCTCCCCTTGTCACCAGAAATCCCAATCCTCTCAATTCCCCTTCTGGGTTTCATCCGTCTGCCTTGTGGCTCCTCTTTTCCCCCCTTCTAACAGCCTTCCCCCAGCCAATTTCTAGTCATCAGTCCTCGGCCGATTGATGCAGCCATGCTCTACCCCTCTTCTAAACCGGTATTCCTTGACAGTAGCTCACAAAACTCTCTGTCATCCACCTCTTGGTCCTAAGCTACGTGTCTACAATGATACACTGCGCTGATATTCTTAGGTTGTTAACCTTTCTTCCGTCTATATATTTTAAAATACAGTTATAGGGGCTAAATTATGTTATACAATATTTTTTACGTTTATTATTATATAGTAGGTTATTTATTTATTAAATATTAAAATAAGCAAAGATTAATATGCGTAATCGCTTTTCTATACTAGTTTATAACCTTTGCCAATATGGGTTTATTTTGTCTTTAACAAATCTCTACGGCGTCTATTCTCAGATTGCTTAACGGTTCTGTTATGACGGTAATTAAAATAAGCTCGATTTCTTGCGACCACGATTTAACTTAGGCGTTGAACGGGAGACTCATCAAACTTTGACTACTTTGCTGATGTCTTACCGAAGAAGTTATCACCTTCTACGGAGGTGGGGTCCTCCAGCCGATCCCACTTCCCACGGTGTTAGAGAAGTTCCTTTATATAGCCATGGCAGGCAGGGGCGGAGGGCAGATGTGATCAGCCTTCTTCTTCCCCTCCGCCAGCTCCTCTTGACAGAGAAGACCACCATGGCTTCCGTCCCTACCGTCGCCTCGATTGGGCTCTGCCTCTTCTTGCTCGTGGCGGGAGTGGCTGGCGAGGACGACTTCAACTTCGGGCCGGAGAGGAAGACCCATCTGCACTTCTTCTTCCACGACATCCTAGCCGGACCCAACGCCACCGCCGTTGTCATCGCGCAGGGCCCTACGTGGAACACGACCGCCGGCCGCTTCGGGCAGATCGTCATGATGGATAACCCGCTGACGGAGGGCCCCAGCCTCTCCTCCAAGCTCATCGGCCGGGCTCAGGGCCTCTACGCAACGGCATCGCAGGAGGAGCTCGGGCTGCTTATGACCCTGAACTACTACTTCACCGAAGGGGTCTACAACGGCAGCACGCTCGCCATTCTGGGGAGGAACAACATCTTATCCGAGAGGAGAGAGATGTCCGTCGTCGGCGGCACAGGCTACTTCCGCCTCGCGCAGGGCTTCGCCGTCGGCAAGACGAGCTCAATGAACTTCACGTCGGGAGACGCCGTCGTGGAGTACGACGTCTACGTCGTCCACGGGGACCGATGAACTCCACAGGAGCTCGGATGGAGCTCCAGAATCGAAGGCTAGTTCCGGCCTGATTCCAACCTTCGAGAACATTAAACACGGAAGTGTACTACGCCGTATTATTCTGCTATTCGGTCTATATGACACTGTATTAATTATTATGAGAATAAATCTGCAATTATAGAATGTTGGGTTCAGTCAACGCTTTTCGGAGGTTGAATTTGATTTCTCATCGTGGAAAATTGACCCATATATGGGGAGAGCAAATCGCCCGACCGTGCTTGACGCCGTCTGAGAGTTGGCGACATCGAATTAAACGCTTCTGTCCGAAAACGAGCGCAAATCGGACAAAGGCCTTCGGCACGGCCACAAGTTCGTCCCTTTCAGACAGGGACGTAGACGGGACACAGCTGACAACCATAGAACACGTGTCCAGGTGTGCTGTAGCAGCCCTCCGTCTGATTCTCTCACCGACCGTGTCACACTTGGAGGACATAGTCAACAGAAGTGAAAGTAGAAGCCCCGAAACGAACGGATACGGGCACGGACACGGAGTGGGGAAAAGTCAAAGCCGCCCAGTCGTTGGTCCATCGTAACCACGGACGCGCTCGGCTACGGAAAGTACTCGTTCTTCGATTTTGGCTCCTCGTGGAGACAGACCGCTCTCTGGTTTCCACCATTACGGTTGACTAGCATCGGCGCCGTCGGCATTCGAGTCTCCTCTTCTGTTGACTACCAGTCGTCGCCGCCGCAGGCGACCACAGCCACGGATTATGCCTCGGAGAGGAAAGGAAGACGTTCCAGCGTTTCTTCCTCCACGGCATCTTCAACGGCGGTGGCCATGTGCGTTTGGATGGGAAATCTTTCCTCGGAAATTCTCGAGACTTCCAGGAGATGACCGCTAAGGTATCGTCAAGGAATTCATATTTTATCACCAAATAAATATTTAAGATTTTTGGGAAATCATTATGGCAAGTAATAACACATGCAAGGATAAGCTATAGTATTTATATATTGATATAAGAAACAAAAGAAAATATGTACGTGCCATAACTAAGCATGTCAAATATCACGTCTCGATGGAAAAAATAAAAAATATAATTATCTTTTTAAATATAGTATAAAGAGTCACAAAAAATTCCATTTAAACAGACAATCAATAAATTATATTATCAAAAAATAATTTTTTTCACAAACATGTTATATTCAAATAAGAGCTTATTGTCCATTTTGTTCAAATAAGAGCCTATATTCAAACATGTTGTATTTTCACAAACATGTTATATCCAACTAGGTTTTGAATTTAGGCACCAATAAAACATCATAAAATGTGGTTCTATTTTGAAAAATAAACATTGATGTCACAATGTCCTACTACTTTCTAGGTATGTAGGTGTTGGCAAGACATGAAGTTACTTGGCATGGGAATAGGTGCATGTCAGCACAACATTACATAGCGACATGAGAGGAAGTGTATGTTAGGATGACATGGCCCAATGACAATATACCCAAAGGGGCAAGTTGATATATCAACATGTACGAAGGTACACATAGTCACAACATGACATGGAGAACCATGTCAATGTGATATATCAACATGTGTGAGAGTGAATATGTGTGACAATATGGCATATGCAACATGTATGATATGTTCACATGATGACACATCATTGCACAATGCAACATGCATCACATATGTGTACTCACATAGAGTCATGTAGTGTCAAGCAATGTGATGTGATTTTAAGAGTCACTATATGAGAAGTGAAGAATATCCATCCCATTAGTCTAGACGTGTTTTCACACAACAGTAAAAGCATTAGATGTTGGACGAACAATAGTTGAGATTAGTAAGGACAAAAGTGGTTAACTGAAATATACTAATGTGTTAAATTTTATCATAAAAGGTTATAGATAATAGATGGAAGTACCATAAATGGATAAGGGATCTTTTTATTAGAACAAGAAATCTCTTTGTTAGCCACCTCTATAGAAGATGTAGAGACTTATTTATAGGTCATAGAAGAATGAATGAAAGCCTTATAAGTGGTTACTAGTAAAGTTGTTATTTGTACTGGTAACTCATGGGTAGATGACGTAGATGCTGATGAAGTACAAGAAGCATTTAAAGCCCTTAAATCAGACATCATTATGTTGAAATACTATTTATTGGTTTTGCAAGTAATAGATGGTATAGTGTGGGTGAAATTTTCTAAACCCGAATGGTATAGTGGATGCATGGATAACTTGACCCTCCATTAAGACATTGGAGATGTGAAGGAATTAATTTTTCAATTCTTTCAAATAATAATATATGAATAACATGTGAGAGACTCTACTAAGTGTATGCCAATGTTTTATCAAAGAGTACCTAAAACACTTTTCTTCCCTATTCTTATATATGAACAATACACTTGACGCTAAGTTATTTAATTTTATCCTAGCTCTCAAAGATTTGACAGAAGTAGATATTAGACTCTAATAAGTTAAAATGTGTAATCAACCATAACTATTATGTAATAAAAGATAACTAAGTTACTATTATTTTGAACCCAATGTAGATACTAGACAATATATCTCAACAAATTAAGGCAAAGAAGTGATCATAGGGCAATTGTGACATAAATAGTGGCACCAACAAAGGTCATTATGAGAGAGATTGTAAAGAGAATAAGACAAGTCCCAAGTCAACAACATTATCTATCTAGACAACCCTCTCAAGTGGGGTGATCTGATGCAAAAGACATTCTTTTGTGTGAGGATTAGAATGCATGAAGTGTCATGATGATACTTAAGTGCAATTTAGAGAAGTTGACAACATGACTGAATTCAAGCTCATTGATTTGAAAGTCACTATCAATGAACAACTAATAAAGGTGATGATTCACAACTAAGTGTTTCATAATTTTCTCTAGAAGATAGGCTTAACTTGATTGGGGTTGGCATTGTCACAAAAATATGCCCACATTAAGATTATGAATTAAGAAACATATTCCCAAATTATTATCATATCAAGAGCTCAATTATAGATCAAATTGTTGGAGGATGGAATAAACTTTGTTGTGTTGTCTATAGATGACTACAAGAACACCTTAGGTATAGATTTTTTGTTCCAATCTCAATCATTGATCTTTCTTTAGTACCATGGAATCCTTATGTAAAGCATCAAAGCATACTTCATCTTAGATACAAATTCTTACATGAGAACTAGACATGATATCATTGGTGTTGCAACTACAAAAATATGAAGAAAATATTATTCTCTCAATATAGCTGGTTTAAGTCTAATCTTGTAATATCTTAGTGTAGAAAAGTAGAAAAAGCCAAACACTTGGGATCCATCTACTTCACAAATTAATTATAAAGAGGAAAAGGTTAAAATAGAATCAAAATCTTTATGGGGCCCAAATAAAGCACAAGAAAACTAAGTTAAACCCAATTTTTTGACATAATATATTTCTTATTTATATTAATTATTTTTAGCTATTTTAATTTTTTAATCATATTGTCTCAAAAAAAAAAATCTATTATAGAGTATGTTTGCTTTTAGAAGCATCCTACCTCATTTAGGGCTATTAAAGTATCTCACAACCCAAGGTTTCTTTGAAATAATACAATTTTTTCTTCCTTTGAGTTATCCCATCTTTACTTTTAGATTCAAGAGGCTCTTGTGGTTTTAAAATGACATGCTTGATCTTATAGACTAAAAGGTTACCATCAGCAAAATCTTGTAATTTTAATGATTAATGTTGTTAGTTGTGTGAATTCATAATCTGATATCTTCATCAAAGTTTGTGTTTTATGAATTTAAAGTTAAATCTTGTTATCCCTCATATCAATGTTGCATCAATTTGTTTTAGAGCAAAGAGATAACAATTGATGAAGCTATGAAAGAATGATCAATTTTGGATCTATAAAATTTACAAGATTTATGTCAATCTTTAAATCTACAAGATTAACTTGGATGGCCCTTTCATCAACAAGGGTTCATTTTGAATTTGAAATTTTCAAATATCATTGAATACACAAGAATTACTTAAATCTAAAAATACTAAAACTTTCTCAAAGAAAATAAAAAATCATGATAGAAAATATTTCTTTGAGTTTTCAAAGCGATGACCTTTAAATGGGCCAAAACATGAGGTGAGAATAAAGTCTCAAAAAATAAATTGACTTCAGAACATAATCAAAATAGTCTCTAAGCCTATTTATGAAAAAGTTCATAAAGAGAGGAACAAAAAGAAAAATAAAAATAGAACATAATAAACTCTGCACAATAAACTAGTCAAAAGTTAGTCTTCTCACACTTTATTTGGGCCTAATCTTACTTTTTATTTTATTCATCATTCTATCTTCATAGTCCATCATCCAAGCTTCTAAAATGGTTGACCTACAAATTTTTCGTTACTTGGGTTAAATTCATCATTCTCTTTTCTGAAAGTGATATGGTATATCATCCTACCATGGTGCATATGGGTGTATTTATGGCAAACATGCATGCAATGTTCACGTAGACTCGAATGGAAGCATGTTGATGACGTTCGGTCACAACGAGGTGCCAAAGTTTAATAGCAGGCAATGTGCACAAATGTGGGCGACGACATGGTGCAGCATTGACACTATAGATGTACAGTCGTGCAGTGGCAAGCAACATGGCATTGCGAATTGCTCATTAAAAATGTTCGCAAATAACATTATTATGATAATTTCGTAGAAAAAAATAAAAGATGAAACTGAAAAGTGAGTATTTGGTGGAAGCATGATGAGTAGATGGATGCTCTTGAGACAGATGAAGTCCCTCCAGTGTACACCTCTAAGATATGACCGCTGTTACTCACCGTGACACCTCCTAACCCATACAACAGGACAATGTTGAAACCACCTTCCTTTTGGGCACTAAGATTTAGTTTGTGAGCTCTCCGGAGTAGGAGAGGGAGAGAGGAGTGGAATGGGGAGAGGGTTTTTCCAAATATTCACCTCCTGACACGGAGAACTTGGGCCGTGTGTGAGCGCAAGTTCTCGTCCGTGCTCGCGCCGCAGCCACAGGGGAGAACATGGAGACCCGAAGGCCTAGTAGCATCCTGCCGCGCAGTGTATACCCAAAAACCGTTCTCCGAGCGCTCTCGCGACGTGATACGATCGTTGGTCTGATGGAGCTCTTTTTGACCAATTAGGCTACGTGGGCCAACCTGGGAAAACGACGCTGCTACTCGGGTTGTACCTGTTCGACTAAAAGCGCCGACAAAATTCTCCGGCACAATCTAGGACTCGTCGGCACCGGTCGACCCACCGTCTCGCACGGATAGCCGAAAAGTTCGGTAAAACCTAAAAGAGAGTCATTTTAACGTAAATTATGTACAGAGACCATGAAAAGGCCCGTCTATAGCTTTGATTGATCGCATGTGAGAAGGTTGGGAGGGAGCGTGTCGCGGTTAATTACAGCACGGGAGTAAGCGGCTATTCACAGGTGGAGTACGTATCAGGCCACCTCGTGGCTCTACGCAGACTTCAGCCTGTCCAAGCGAGACTCCCCCTGCAAATAATGACCACGGAGAGGACGCTGTTGAGTTGCCACTCGTGTTGCCGGGGCATACAGAGGAGAATGCAGGTGAAGAGAGAAGACCAGGGAGAACTTACCAGGAGAACGTGGATCTCGCTCAGAAGAGGCCGCAGCAGGGAGACCAAGGTCCGGATGCCCCCCTTCAGAGAGTCGCTATCCTCCCCTTCACCGACGACCAGCTCCACGAGCTTTCTTCTGTGGGGAACGAGCTTCAGAGCCACCTGCAACGAGGCAACCCTCTCATCTTCTGCTCGGAGTCACTCTACAGACTGAGAAAACCAGGTCGCAGGCGAAAGAGTACACACCTTGTAGGCCGCCGTGGATATCCAGCCGTGCCACGGCTTCAGGGTGGTCTCGTAGGCTTCCTCCACCAGCCGCTCGAGGCTCGCCTCTGGGTCGCCCTCCAGCCCCTCCACGAGGGCTACGCTGAAGTCCATGGATCTGAGAAGAGACCACAGCAGGGAAAGTAGTAAGAGAATGAGAGGAGAGAGAGAGAGAGAGAGAGAGAGAGGCAGGCGCCGGGGAAAACCCTAAGCCCCCAGCATTGACGCGTTACCTGGTGAGCCACAGAACAGCTCGCGAAGAGCTCTCGCCTGCCCTTGCGGCGCCCGCATCCACCTCCTTCTTTATTATCTCTGCCAGGCAAGAGTTGGCCAAGGGGTCAGCCATGTACGAGCTCTCCAGCCTCTGCGAAGACGGGAAGACCAGGAAAAGTAAACGATGAGCTTATCGGCGTGGTCCACCGAGGGGGGTTAGGGGTTGAAAGTATGATAGTGGGCCAGTCAATGATGACCGTAGGTGGGACCGAGGTTCTACGGCTGAGAAGCTGCTCACGTGGGGGTCATCAGATTCCCACTCCCCCCTCTTGGATGTGATGTTGGAAGGAAGAGGGCGGACGGACGCGATACCTGGATGTTCCGCCGGATGTCCTCTCGGAGTACCACCATGGTCGGTCCAATCTGATCTGCCCAAACCCCACGCGAGAACGTGTAAGCCACACGAAGAACCGGCGCTATTCTTCTGAAAGTTCGATCGAGAAGAGTAGAAAGGAGAGAGAGATAGAGAGAGAAAGGGGGGGGGGGGAGATTGCACCAGGGAATTAGGTGAAGAGAGAGAGGAGGATCATCGCCGGGAGAGATGAAGAGTACGGCTGGAGCGTTGCAGAAGAAGGCGACTGGAAGGGCATATGGAGGGAGCAGAGAGCATTAAGATGGAAGCCCCATCCTCACCCATCTTCTCTCCGGAACCGGACAGAGAGGTGGGGTCGCAAGGCCTCGTCGGCATTTGAGGCCAGCAGGTACAGCAGTCACGAGGGGAGAGGAAGCCCCTCGCCCAGGAGGTTGCGGATGATCGGGTAGGGAAGGAGGGGGGAGAGGAGAGATTAAAAGCCGGAACGATAACTGCAGAGTCATCTGTTCCCCCATTATTTATCGGGGAGAAGTAGAGATCGATGAAGGTTTACAGAGAGAGAGTGAGAGAGAGAGGGTTCGGGGGTGGTGTGGGGGACGGCACGGCATAGGGACTAACCAATGACATGGAGGAGCAAGCTGGAGACGCGTAGGAAAGCCGCCGTGGGAATCTTCCCCTCGGACCTCTTCAGGGAGAGCTGCTCGATGATGAACGTTACATCCGGGACCCCCTCCTCCTCCTCCCTCCATCTCCTCTTCAATCGGAGGACCTCCTCCTCCTTGTCCTCGCTCTTGCGCTTTTTCTTGACCTGTAACTCCTTCATCTCGCCCTCCCGCCCCGGCCTCTAGCGACCCTCGGCCCTATCGCCACCGGGGTCTCCGATCTTTCCCCAGATATAAGGCTTCCCTTCCATTGATCAAGTCAACGAGAGCTCCAACGCAGGCTAGACTTCTTCTTCTCCCAGGCGACCTTGCGGTGTTGGCGTTGCTATGGGCGTCATCTCCCCGCCGGCACTCTGCCAAGCCATTAATTATATTTTTCTTCGTTGGAGGATACTTCACCCAACACCGTCCCAACACGGCTCCGGAATACGTAATTAATTTAGCCATTTTTATATCGTCAGACGTGAGCTGAAGGGGAGAGCCGACCTCATCGAGACACCCACACAGCCATCGACGGCCTCGGAGGATTTCCATGGAGAAGATGATCATAGTAAATTCTCCGCAGCTGATGCAGTATGTGATATGGGTCGTATGTTCAAATATTATGTTTGCTTATTTAAGCTAGGAATTTCCATGAAGATTCGCCATTTTTCTCCATTTAGTCTCAAATTGAACGACTACAAGAAAAATAAGCCCACTAATATCATCTATCGATAAGGTCTCACCAGGTGTCTCCGCCTATACTCTCTTTCTCTCTCTCTCTCTCTCTCTCTCTCATATGGTGATAAACAGAGGCCTAGAAAAGGACTACTATCAAGGGCCCTACCTATAGAATATTTTAAAATATCTCTTTAAGGCCCAATTGGGTTTGGGGCAGTTTTTAGTCTTCGATTTATTGCCATCCCCATATACTAAACGAATATATTTTCCAAATTTGCATAGATGTACTAGGTGACATTTTTTTTTCCCTTTGCTTTTAATTGAGTATTGAGAGTGTGATTTCTTGAACTACTTGAGACAAGACGGCATTTTATATGAAGGCTAGTTTGAAACACCATGATAGGTTTGACCCAGAAAATTTCAAGCTTTTGAGTGGCTGATATTTTTGATCAATTCTAAACACTTTTGACTTTCATATGACGACGACATGTTGTTCGGGGCATCCACTTGATAGCAAGCTATGATATTATAATCAGAATCAGTACCTCGTGTGGGTCATTCCCAGTAATTAGTAATGAATGAAAGAATTATACACCTATTTAAGCACATTTAGCTTTTTGAAAAATTCTTGTGTGGCTGTGAATTGCAAAGTTTATAAATATGATTCATTCAGCTTACCACGATAAGATCATATTTTTTTAGCACATCAGCTTCCAGTATTTTATTCAGGTAATAGTTTAATTTATCCTGCCATCATTATTCAACCGAATCGTACAGCTGCCAAACTAAAATATCACGAACGCCGATTAGCGCTATGGCGTTGGTCAAAACCCCCCAAGAAAATATTGGATTAAAAATATATCAGTGTGATTAAGTGGGCACAAATACTTTAATTGATTTACTTGCATCGCTTTCTCTGAATCAGTGGGCATCCCAATGTAGCTTTCATTCTAATGAACACAAACCTAAATGATGTATGATCTGGGCTCGGATATGCTTGCGAAGATAAGCTCTCTAAACACCAATCGAGCCGTGGGCAGTTAGCAAATTGTAAGCATTTAGCCGTCCTCAAATGATCTAAAAGTTTGATGATAACGTATAGGATCGGCTGGCCGCGGAGCTAGCCTCTTGCAAGTTCAGAGGGCCACCAGTTTAAAACCAAGGGCTGACCTTTGGAGACGGCAAGGAGGCGCCGTTCCTTTCGATCAGGGGGTCAACTGCTACTCCGTGCCTCAGCGTGTCGTGGCTCCACTTGAGTTGACTTCGGCAGAGCCCCTGGATTACACCTGAGGTGAGAGGTTTGAGCCTCCCATCTAATCCAACCTGTCGTCAGGTGACGAAGAGGAAGACGATGATCAGATTCTCCAAGTCGCATGGGGAAGCTGCATGGGTGCGCACGCCTCCCGGGACGATGACCCGTCACATTAAATGGAGAGAGAGAGAGAGGAAGGGAGATGCTTCTTTATCTCTTTTGGCGCTAATCAACTATCAACTATCAACTACCATGTGGCGTAACCACGTATGTGTGTGAGAGAGAAGCAATAAATATCTTTGCAGATTATAATTCGCTACGACCTCGCATAATTATGCGTGATTATCCGTCACTTATGTGCCAATAAAGTATGCGTCGTCTAGCCAGTTGGTAAAGATGACACGTGAGCCAGTTCCCACCTTTCAGGATAAGATAAGGCCGGAGCTCGAACAATAAGTGGCTTAGATGAATCATTTTGGGCCCATAAGTGAGGCCCAAATTCAGGAACATTAATGGGCCCCAATTTGCCCGGTAAACGAAGGGCTCCGAAGAGAACCACAGCCGCCTCATCCAACGCGGCCACTGAGCGGACACGTAGCTAAAGCTCATGGCGGCCGCTGGGTCTCTTTGCTGTGGAGCCTTCGTGCGCCTTGCTGGTGCTAGTCGCCGACTGGGCTCCGTCGCCGCCACCAGGACGCTCCGCCCTCGCTCGGAGCCTTCCATTCGGCTGCGCAGCCGAAGGCCGCCGCCGCCGCCTGCGAGGAAGCTGCAGGTCAGAGCCGCGAGAATGGAGCCCGGGCGCGTCGGTCTCGGCTTTAGGGCTCCTCATTTCGAGGCAATCTTCTCCCCTTTCTTTACCCTCGATTCTCTCCGCCTAAGCAGAGTCCCTGCGTAGTAGACTCTGAGTTTTTGCATCGCGTGGGGCAGCTTGAAGAGCCTCTTACGGGGAAAACATGGAGTCTGGATGACTTCGAGGCTTATCCTGCTCTCCTGGTAGTCGCCTGCTCCCTTCATCCCTCTTTGGATCCCCTCTTGTTCCATCTTTGGGATCGACCATCAATCTTAGCGTCTTCTATTTGGGTCGTTCTTCCATACCAATCGGACGATGAAGGTGATGTTTATCTGCAATCACTGCCCGTTCGTCGTACACCTGAAGAAAGACATCGTGAAGCTCGCGAATTTCTACATGAAAGTAAGTTTGGAGTCCCTTTTGCCGTCCGGTCCTTCGCTTCAGAGTTGATTTCTATGAACCCCTAGAAGTTTTGATTGTTGGCTGATCCTCTGTAGCTTGTGCTTCCTGATTTTGGATGCAGAGAGGACTAGCCGTCGTTGCGATCTCGTCTAACTCCACCGTCACTCATCCTCAGGTCATCTCCGGCTCTACCCTCCATAGCTTTCACCATCTGCAACCGCGCTCTCCTCTTTCTTTTGCATAGATACTAATCATAGAACACATCCGGAGGATACTCTGTATTTTTTTCTCTTCACGATAAGCATCCATAGCTCCTGCTTGGTTTCTTGTTTCACATCTCATCTTGCTCAGGTAGAGAGATATTGCTTTGATTCCCTGCGACGGTAGTTCTTTCTCGTTCATCTTCTTCAGACACCGACGTTGTTGACGATGATTACTAACTTAAAGTCAACCGCACAGGATGGACCGGAGTTCATGGCGGAAGAAGCGAAGTCATTCAATTATCCTTTCCCGTACTTGTATGACCAGGTAGATCCCTGCGCTCTTCATCATCTTTTCCACCCATCATCCGGAGTCGATTTCTTCTAGTAAGGAGGCAATTGCTACTCCTATTCTTCATTTCACGGCATGGTTCAGGCCCAGATCGCGTCAAGTTGCCCTCTTTTTGAGGAAAATCGTGCCATTTTTTAGGATTTACACCCTTTTTTTGATCTTCGAGCATAACCCAATCATCCCACGAGTTCGATCTTAAAACCCAGCCTACGTTTGGATGCAGTCCCAAGCTGCTGCGCGGGCCTTTGGGGCCGTCTGCACGCCGGAGTTCTTCCTCTTCAAGAAGGTCTTCTTTATCCTCAATCACCCCTCAGAAGTCGTCCAACAATCTCCTAAAATGGTGGGGAACCTAAATTCGCGCTGACCCATTTCATGCTCCTCCTTCATATTTCTTTTTCGCAGGATGGGCGGAGGCCCTTCGAGCTGTTCTACCATGGCCAGTTCGACGACTCACGGCCGCGCAGCGGCGTCCCGGTGACAGGAAGGTACAGTCCATCTGCCTGCCTCCGCCATGCTCAGAATGCACAGACCTTCCATTGATGGATGTATATCCGCCTCAGGGACCTGAGCGCCGCCGTCGACGCAGTCCTCAGCGGCCAGCCGCCGCCTTCCAGGCAGAAACCCAGGTAGCTCTCGTTCTGAAAAGCCTTGCTTCTGACGTCCTTTCTCACAGGTCATCGCAGTTCTAACGCCGTTTCTTCCTCGTCCAGTATGGGCTGCAGCATCAAATGGCATCCTGAGGGGACCCTCTGATCTTTCCCATCAGATCTTCACCTTCGCTGTGCTGAATTCAACCTGAATAAATACCCCAATAACGTATGTAAATCTTCGCTTCTCGAGCTTCTGAGGGATATCTCCCGTGGTTTGAAGTCAAGGGGACGAGCTGGCCCAGACCCCGGTACTCGCCAAGCCTGGCATGACTTTTCTGTGCTCACGGCTGAAAATCATGATTAAGAACAACACTCTCTCCCCTCTCTCTCTCGTGGTCAACTTCTTGTTTGACATAGGAGGGAGGATATCGTAGCCCCTACTAGCGTTGATCCGCACTTAGTTTTGTTCACCATTGCGCCCCACTCGTCCCCCTCTCTCTCTCTCTTTCTCTCTAGAACGAGAATATCCCTCTCTTTCTCTCTCTACCGTTGTATTCAGGACAGTAGCTAAGAAAGCAGGCAAGGCCGGGCGGGAGTTCCCTGACTACCCGAGATAATGAGCTAAATAATATTAAATACATTTTTTTGGGGCAACGGTCGTCCAGGCTTTTCGCGGCGAGACGTCATTCGCTCTCATTCAACTTCAACGGGTGAATGGAGCGATTAAGCTAGACCTGCGGAACAGGATATGTAGAGAATACGGTACCGCGCAGCCCCCCGATCTGACCTAAACGTCCGGTAAGAATCGCGGTGGCTGTTTGACACGGTGGGTGGTGTTCAGGTGCGCGAGGACGTTGGACCGGTTGTTCGCTCACGTTTCCCCTCTGGCAGCCCACCGCCGTACATGGAGTAGCTCGAAAACGGGTTCACTATACAAGTACGAGCGCTCTCCCCCACCTTCCCCTCCCGCGGTTTCTCGCTTTATTGCTTGTCTCCGTCGTCTCCCTTTCTTGTTTCGCAAGTTTCTCGACTCCGGACTCCCGCTTCTCCGTCGCCCTTCTCCGCCCTCCTCTCGGAGCGTTCTCCGCTTCATAATGCAAGGGGGACGGATGGTGGTGGAGGAGTCCGTTCGGCTCGCTTCAATTCTCACGCCTTCTAAACTGGTGACTAGTTTATCTATTACTCTCTTTTTCTGCTGGCTGCCGAGGTGGCTTAATTTTCATTACTCTGTTTGAATGAACATGCTTGTTTTTCTTTCTACCTTACTTATCATCTCGTGATTTCCGAAGAAAGTTTCGTCATCTCTTGCATTCAGCCCCCCCCCCCCCCCCGTTTCTTGCTTCCTTTCTCTCGGGGTCGTTGGCATCGCAGGAAAGTTTTTTGTCTTCTCTGTGTTGATTTGCTGCGGTGAGTCGCCCTATGTCTCGCATTTCCCTATTCTTCTTTTCATTCACTATCGGCTCGTTTGTATTCTCCTGCTTCTAAACTGGTAGTTAGGTTCTCCGTTACTCGCTCTACTGGCGGTCAAGATGGCTTAATTTTCATTAATCTGTTTGCATGAATATGCTTGTTTTTCTTTCTGTCTTAATTAACGTCTCATGTTTTACGCATAAAGTTTTGTCAATTCTTGCATTTTTCTCCCGTTTCTTGCTTCCTTTCTCTCGGGGTGGTTGGCATCTCAGGAAGGCCTTTTGTCTTCTCTGTGTCGATTTGCTCCGGCGAGTCACCCCAACTCTTCTTTTCATCTACTATCGGCTGTCTTCAATTCTCACTCCTTCGAAAAAGGTTGCTAGTCTCTCTGTTACCTTCTTTTTCTGCTGGCTGTCGAGATGTCTTAATTTTTATTGTTCAGTTTGCATGAATATGTTTTTTTTTTGTCTTATTTGGCATCTCATGATTTATAAAGAAAGTTTTGTCAACTCTTGCATTTTTCTCCCGTTTCTTGCTTCCTTTCCATCGGGGTAGTTGGCATCTCAGGAAGGTTTTTAGTCTTCTCTGTGTTGATTGCCCCAGTGAGTCACCCCATATTTCACATTCCCCTATTCTTCTTTTCATTTGATATCGGCTGTCTTCAATTCTCACTCCTTCGAAACTGGTCATTAGTTTCTCCGTTACCTTCTTTTTCTGCTGTCTGTCGAGATGTCTTAATTTTTATTGTTCAGTTTGCATGAATATGTTTTTCAGTCTTAATTGGCATCTCATGATTTACAAAGAAAGTTTGGTAAACTCTTGCACTTTTCTCCCGTTTCTTGCTTCCTTTCTATCGGGGTGGTTGGCATCTCAGGAAGGCTTTTAGTCTTCTCTGTGTTGATTTGCTCCGGTGGGTCGTCCCATGTCTCACATTTCCTTATTCCTCTTTTCATTCGTTAAATGGTTCAGTAGGGTTATATCATTTTCCCATTTCTTTCCCTCCTCTCTGGGCAATGGATTGACTTTTAAGAATCTACTTTTATGTTTTTATCATTTTTTTATGATTATATGACAGATTTTACAAAGGAAATGTTCGATACAATAATATCATCCTTCACTGAATCGTCCTCACTCTAAACTGTGGAATCTTCACATTTTCTTGGTTGACCTCGGAAACCATGTGTTTTCTCCAATCATCATGCGGAGGCTACAAGAAATATTCCTTTCCTTGTGATGATTTCCTTTTTTAATATATACTATTTTGTTCGAAAACGCACATTCATCAATGGAATATGTTAATATTGTCTGATAAAGCTGATTTGAGATACTTGTGATGGTTTAGTACTGCCAATTTGATTTTCCTCAGAAACCTGGTTTCATTATCTCTATGAAATGCAGAACTTTTTCCCATCGCTGACCAAAATTGTCGCAACCCTTGGACCAAAGTCTCGCTCCATTGAAGTGATTGAATCATGCCTAACATCAGGAATGTCAGGTAAACTGTGCTGATTTTTGAAGATATTTTCATTTTTTACCATAGATTTTTTTTTTGATCATGCCTACTTTACCTCTGGCAGTTGCACGATTTGATTTCTCTTGGTTAGATTCTGAGTACCACCAGGAGACTCTTGAGAATTTGAGAAAAGCTGTGAAGAATGTTAAGAAGCTGTGTGCAGTAAGTCTTGGAGGATTAGTCTGGTATCCCCTGTTTATTCTTATTATTTTTTTCCTTTTCGCAGGTTTTAAAATGATAGACAGACATGGTTCTTCACTTTCTCTTGATAACTCGTGCATTTTTTTTATTTAATAAGAATCGTTTTAGTGTATACTATGAGAGCTATGCCATTTGCCGTTGTACCTCGAATCTCTCCTTTTTTTTCAACAATGTTTTTCTATATTCCAGAGATATTACAAGGATGTGCATTCATTGTATACTCTGCTTGCCCCAGAAGACCATAATTTACCAACCGCGAACTTAAGACTTCTTTATGAATTATCTTGCATGCTTTCCTTATGAGAGTAAGTTAGTCGTATATTGTATCTTGGTGGAAAAATGCCCTCAATGTACTTTTTCAAAGTACCTAGAGTGGATAACTAAGCATTTTATCTCTTAAGATCCATACTTTTAACTTAAACCCCCACGTTGAGGCAGAGTATATGCACCCACCCGTATCTAAACAGTGCAATCATTTTGAAAAATTCATCATTTCTATGGTAATGTACTTGTGGAGCTAGTTCATGCTGTTTGGGTCGTAGCATCTAAGGTGTCAATTTTCTTCAGGTTATGCTGGATACTGTTGGCCCAGAGCTTCAGGTTTTCAATACTAATGGGTCCCCAATTGAGTTGAAAAATGATGATCGCGTTACCATTACGCCTGATATATCAAAAGTTCCTTCATCAGGGATCTTGCCTGTTAATTATGCTGAATTGGCAAAGGTGTGTCAAATGATACAGCACAAAGTATTGTTATTGCATTTGATTGTTTGTTTTAATGCCATTAAGCTTCCATATTTTCGTGTTGATGGTTAAAATCTTAGTCAGGGCTCGGCATAAACTTGAGTACGTCTTTTTTACTGCATATCAAGACTTGAACTGTTTATGATCCATTTTTATGATTCTCATGAATATATTGAAGAGAATGGCTATATGCTCGTGAACTTGCTTTTTTTTCAAAAGAACTGATGAGATAAGATGAGATTGTAAATATAACCCTAATTCGAAGGTAGTATTATTGTTTGTGGATCTCGTTTGATGACTTGACTATTTCTTGATCTGAGCACTAAGTTAGCCTGTATTCGGAATATTACTTTTTGTTCCTCACTTTATCTTTTACTTAATTTGTATCAGTGAGTTGATATAGCTGTTTCGACCCATTAAACATATGTGAACAAGTACAGTGATTTCTCCAAGAAATTGTAATTTATTCACTTTTTAAATAGTATTTAGAGTTTTATGATCTAATTAATGGTGGGTTCTAACTAAGTGAATGAGTTCTATGGGACTATTTCAACAGATCTGCCGGAAGACAGACCCATTGGGTCACTTTAGCTCTCTCATGAAAGAGGGTTGATCTGTCTGCTTATTGATGCTGAAACTGCAGAAACGTCATTCCCTCACTTAACATAAATAGTCTTATGAATGGAGCTCCATATTGCATCTTATCTGTGGTTCATTTTGTCCGGATTTGTTAATAATGTTTCTGTAGATATAGTTGACGTGAACGAAACTCTCATGGCAAAGATATTGGTGCTTTCTAATTTCCGTCCCAATGTTCTTTTAGCTTCAATTATTCTAAATTCTGCGTCATAGGTATCTGGCTGGCTCTTGCTGACATTGTCTTTGTGTTGTAATCTAATCCCGTGTAAGATGGTCTAGCTCTCTTTGTTTAAACATTTATAACAGTTTTTTCCCAATGCGGAACTGCAGGCTGTTAAAAAGGGTGATACAATTTTTGTTGGCCAGTATCTCTTCACAGGAAGTGAGACGACATCTGTTTGGCTAGAGGTGAAAACATGGGTTGATCCTTTGTTTTTACATGGCTGAATATTCTGGTGTTTTTTTTCGTCTTTAACTGAAAATTTATCTTCTTTTTGCAGGTAATTGAAACAAATGGTGAAGATGTCATCTGTCTCGTGAAGAATAGTGCTACACTTTCGGGTTTTATTTTGACTATGCATGTAGCTCAAGTCCACATCAACTTGCCTACTTTGACTGAAACTGATAAGCAGGTCAGCTCACTCCCTTATGACTTGACTGTTGATATTTTGGTCAGAACTTTAAATCCTTTTCTGTTGCAGACGCCTAATCTCCCTCATGATCGTTCGCGTTTTTGAATTATTGTTTCATTTTATCTTCAGGATAAGTAAGCATGGTATAAAATCCTTTGATTTCTTCTAGTTGATCTTTATTTCTTGGAGGTCTTTCATAGAAGATGTAGGCCATGCCTTATAAATTTAGATATGTGACTCTTATGTTCCTTTGCCAAATAATGATTTATAGTTTCATCTGCAATTTTTGCCCCTGGTATGAGATCAGATTTCGATTTCAGTGAGAACAAGAAAAGGTTGTGTTTTCAACGTGAAATATGTCTGATTCTCTCTTTACATTCGAATAGCACGTCTACCTGACACAAAATGATGCAATGAGAGGTTAATGACTGGTTGAAGGTCTGTCTGAGTTTTATCTCGACTTGTCATCCTTTAGGTTATTTCAACGTGGGGGAGTCGTAACAGTGTTGATATCATTTCACTCTCTTACACACGACATGCAGAGGATGTACAGCAAGTGAGTTCTTTGAAGCTTTTTGAACTATAGTTTTTCAATTAAAATCACTTTGATTGATGAGAGGATGCTCATTAGTCGATTCACATCTATTCTCATTCCTGTATGCCTGTGGCGAATGTTGCTCCATATTCTCATTCATGCAACAACAGGTAGCTTAGTGATGCTTTACTATTATAATGGACGAAATAGGACCAGAAATGCGGAAGACATAACTGTAGTATAGTACGGTAATGTAAGGTTGGGACGAATGTGTATCTTGGATACATTTTATGCTGTTCTTGATAACATATTTCTTAGATGGACTGAAAATTTTCGATGATTTCTTTGCCAAAACATATTCCTGATTATTGACATAGATCTGATTTTGAAAGGGCAAGACTTTCTTTCCTTGCAATTAAAGAAATTGGTTTTCCTCATTGATACTGTTGATATTCCTATCAGATACTCCCTCATTATACCTGAAGGCATCATAATTTCAGACAAAACAGTTTCTTCAAATTATGGCAGTCTTCACCATAGCCCCAAAGAAGCTGTCCAAGTATCTAACATTGCCCTCGTTTCTGAACACTTACTTTTTTTGTGATGCTACGTCATTCTTTTTTATTCGAAATGCAATTACTCTTAGTATAAATATTTTGATAGTCAGAAAATTATAATGCTCTAAAATAGGTCAACACACTATTGTTACATTCCAGAAAAGAAGGGAAACGCACAAAGGAAAGTGTGCGGTATCCTTGTCTGATGTTCAGTTTCTCAATTTTGTCAAAAATTGTGCCAGGCTTACTGAACAGCCAGATGTATTGTAATATGTTTTATGCGCAAGATTCATAACCAATTTTTGATTCACCTGTCACTAGGCAACTTTCTCCCGAATGAATGTTTTACTTTAAAATTTTCATCAAATTACATTGCTTTGCTTAAAATATTCATCGGGAATGTTAAATTGAAATAGTTGATTGTCTTTGTTTCTTATGGAAAATATTCTTGTCCGTTGAGCATGTTTCCGTCGTGGAAACTATTCTCTATGGCAGGTGCATAAAGGCAACTTGTAAAAATGAATTCACTTCCAACACATCATATGCCTGTTTGTCGTTCTTTGTTTAATATTATCCAAATATCTTGCTCTAAATAATCTTGTCTTCCTGTTATAAGTTTATTTCATTTTGCTACGTAAAGTTTGCTGTTGTACCTCATATTATAGTTCCCTTATTGATGTCAGATACCAGGTGATTGTCTATTTATGTTAAATGCTTAACGTACTCCCATAAGAGCCCACTTAGTTTTAAAATACTTTCCTTGATGATCCATGTTGGATCCATCGATTATTCCTCAAATGGTTAACAATTCCTGATGCTTAGTTTTAGAAATTTTCTGTCATCTACGGCATACTGTTCGGAATTGGAGGAAGAAGATGAATTTTGTGGAAGATGTTCCTCTTGTTTCAGCAATCTTTATCCCTGATACTGTATCCAATTAGCCTGCCTTATTAGATTATAAAACATAAATTTTTTCTAGGAAAACAACTGATCAGCAGCAGGTCTTTCCCTCTGAAATCGCCATCTTAATTACAAACAAATAACAATGTACATATTGGAGAGGTTAACAACAATTAAATATCTGATAATATATTTTACATTACTTCCTGGGAACAAACTCACAAAGATTTTTTCATTTCCTCTCAGTTGCGTTATATTCGAATAGCTGAATGTTTGTACTGTCAGGGTGATTGCATTCTAGTGATTTCTGATTCAGTAAAGTGTGTCATTCTTCAGTATAATTAATTATATATGACAACGCACATAAAATTGATGTCCAAAGAATTTGTTTGAGTTCCTTATAATATCTCATATGTTTATTTTCGTTTGCAGCTTAGAGCATTCCTTGACGCTCATAATCTTACTGAAACTCAGATATTTGCTAAAATTGAAAATGTGGAGGTGAGTAAATGTTTTTAACATTGAACTATGGTTCTTGATTGGCCTTCATTTGTTTATCCTTTAGAAATGGGAAAATCCGTGCCTTTCAGTTAGTCTTATTCAGTATTTTTTCCTGGTTCAACATGTTTTCCATATCAGTTAAATTTTGTCTTTATTTCAATACGTTATACCATCTACATTACAGGGTCTGAGGCATTTTGACGATATCCTCCAAGAAGCGGATGGTATTATACTTTCTCGTGGCAATTTAGGCATAGATCTTCCTCCAGAAAAGGTTATCCTCAAATCTATCAAACTTTATAATTTACTGACCTTACTACTTAGGTATTGGTTATTTTAGTTTCCTGCTAGAAATTTCACCGCCATTATTTTAAAATGTACCTACAGACCTCGTAACTATTAGCGAATATAAATACTTTCAGATTGTCAAGAGTAAATTCTTTATTTCATCTGTGTTTTTATCATATCATCTGTGTTTTTATTTCACTATTGATGACATCTAAACTATTTTATTTTTATTCCTGATTGATAATTATTGAATCTTATTGTATTTTCTGTTTTTGTCCTCTTGTACTCTAGTCAAATTTTGTTTGTGGCTATTTCGCTTCATGTAAAGACATAAGTTCGTGCTGATTTATTCCAAGTGATAAGTCAAAACTATTTCGCTCGACCCTTCTATATTAGCACGAATTGTGATTGTAACAATGAGGCGCCTTTTTTACGTGAGAAAGAATAGACAAACCAATATCCGTTGATGGAAACAGGTGACTCTGCTTTCCTCAGCTCAATTATCGGTGAATCTCTACCTATTAAGTGGAGGTAGTCAAACTCTCCTGCTGCTGAATGGTGACGTCTTAGCTTTAGGTGCAACAGCTAAGTCATTCTCAACATAACGATGGTATCTCCTAGCTTGGAGGTTATTTTGGAAACCATCATCTATATTAATACTGGAACATTTTTCTGGTGGTAAAAAAATTGTACTTCATTACACTTTCTTAACCCACACAGATATTCATTGCAAACTGTCTGTGATCCTCTCTTTGTCTAGACTATTACTGTATTTATTACAGTTTAGGTTAATATTTCAGGGCTACTCTAGTGCTTTTCCGAGCTCAAAAATATAGACACCCAAAGAAAACTTAATAGGTTCTCTATAGTTTTTAGCATTTGCAGTCTTGTGGGAGACTTACGTCTGCAGTTGAAACACTCTTCAAAATCCTTGTATTCTTCATAAAATCATATCGATGACACCTGCCAAATGGATAGTACAATGCAGAAATTCGGCATGACAATGATTTCTTGCCTTCCATATGTGGAAGTTGCTCTGAAATATCTTTATGGAACTTCGCAGAAAGTATTGTGTGATCGGTCATTTATCCTTCACCTTGGAAGTGTTTTGTGATCCATCTAGTGGATGACTCCCACTCCCTTGGAGAACATCACAAATCCACATAACGAATTCACCTTGTTCACTCCCTCTTTCGCAATGTAGTGCAATAGAAATGTTTTTTTTTCTGGTCTCTGTAGTAAATCACTACGCTGAAAACAACGGAGCCAATCCCACTGTCGCTCACGTAATCAATCCTAAACTTTATCCTCGCCATTTGATGCGTTGCAAGCACTGTTTATTGACTTAGTGTTCGTATCCCACTCATATGTTTTGGATCAATTTTCCATATAGTTCATATTTTGTGGTTAAAGTTATTAGTTGACCACCTTTTGTTCTGAGGTGATTGCAAACTTTGATGTTTCGAAGTCCAAGCTGAGTTGTAATTGAGTCAGTAGCTGATTGTTATTCTGTGTTTTCAATATGTTACTGAGTCGACCAACTCCTCTTGGATAACATTTTGTTTGTAATTGGCTGAGTTACAAACTATTATAAATGCTGATTTATGGGGGCTGCAGGTATTCCTGTTTCAAAAGGCTGCTCTTCATAAGTGCAACATGATGGGGAAGACTGCCATTGTTACTAGAGTAGTCGATAGCATGACCGACAATTTACGCCCTACCCGGGCTGAGGCGACCGATGTGGCAAATGCTGTCCTTGATGGTTCGTAATGCAGTATTTTTTCCTCAAACTGAGCCCATAATGCATTTCAATGATTTCAAGCCGCTCTTTCTCTTCATTTTTTTTTCATCATTTATTAAAAAAAAATTATACTTCGTCCAACTGATGTCGCATGCCTTTCTATTTTCTAGGCGCTGATGGAATTTTATTAGGAGCAGAGACACTCAGGGGTCTGTATCCTGTTGATGCGATAAAAACTGTCGGAAGAATTTGCGCTGAAGTATGCCTCTTAAATCTGCCTGACGACTTAGAACTCTGTTCCATTCATGCTATAAGTTTTTCTGGACAATGCTTGACCGAATTAATATGCCACAATATCATCGCCAAGTATCTTCTCCATATTTGCAGGCTGAAACTGTTTACGACCAGTCTGCTCACTTTAAAAGCGTTGTGAAGCATGTTGGGGAGCCAATGTCTCATTTAGAATCTGTTGCTTCTTCCGCGGTAACACAGATATTTTATTGTTGTAATTAAATTCCTTCTCTGTGCAAACACGGTCCCTTAATGAGGCCTGTATTTTTCCCTTTTCATGATTGCAGGTACGCGCCGCAGTTAAAGTCAAGGCGGCAATTATTGTGGTCGTAACTATGTCTGGCAGAGCTGGACGGTATAGACCAGATATACAGATGCATTTATGTCATTTGCGTATTTAAGATTCGATCCTTGTTCCTGACCAGCAATAAATGGCAGTTCCGACCTGAATACTGAAAAGCCTTTCAACGTTGCGTTTGCAGGCTCATTGCTAAATACAGACCTCCAATGCCCGTGTTGGCTGTCGTTGTTCCACGGCTTCGGTCAAACTCACTGAAATGGAGCTTCTCGGGCGCATTACAGGTTAAAGAACGACGTCTTGCCAGGGTTTTGTTATCTTCGATTGTGTTGAGATCCTTGGATGGAGGTGGGTTCAATCCAATCTTGTTGTTGTCTGTGATGCAGGCTCGGCAGTCTCTTGCTGTCAGAGGAGTCTACCCTGTCCTGACCAGTCCCACCGTGGTAGGTTTTCCTTTCTTTTGGAACCCATTACGAATAATTATCTTAATAGATTTTCGGTAAAGATTCATCAATACCCCCCCCCCCACACCCCCACGTCGGAGATTCCCCTTGAAGCAGTGCAACCTCACGGTTGTTAGGGAGTGGCAGCTAGCAGATAATAATGTTCTCTTTCTGTATTTCTCACTGGATGATCTCATTCTTTCTCGTCTCCTCCTTTTCTTCCAGGTATCTTCGGGCAGTCCGGGCGACGGGTCCGACCTGTCCCTCGCGCTGAGCTACGCCAAGTCTGTGGGCTTGGTGAAGCCCCACGACCGGGTCGTCGTCTTCCAGAAGATCGGGGACTCGTCGGTCGTCGAGATCGTCGAGCTGCACGACACCTGACAGGAGCACCATGCCCAGTTTTGAATTTCTCGGGCCATTTTTTGAAGGGACAAATGCCCAGTTTTGATTTCCCCCGCCCCCGTATGCCGTAATTTTTTGGACCCAAAAATGCCGGATATTATTTATCACCATAATTGCGTTGAATGAGTTAGGGGCCATATGCCCCCCCCCCCCCCCCCTTCCTGCTCCTGGGGAATGTGCTGCCAGGGGCTTCCTAATTCTAGTTATCAGTACTGCTCCTTGAAGACGACGACGTAGACGACGCAGCAGAGGGAGAAGATGATGATGGCGATGTCGATGGTGAGGGCGGTCATGGCCTGGTCGCTGAGCGGCATGTTCTTGCCGCCGAGCCGGTCGACGGTGTCGGGGATGGACTCCCAGTTCCTGATGTCCTGCATGTAGGGGTCCTCTAGCCTCATCCTCATCCTCGCCTCCCGCCGGCTCTCTGCCTCCTGCGCCAGCGTCCAGTCGTAGAACCGCCGGCTCTCCTCGTCGCTCAGCACGTTGTAGGCCTCCCTCAGCTGCACGAACTTCATCGACGCCGTCTTCAGCGGCAGCTCCGTCGTGTCCGGGTGGTACTCCTTGGACAGCCGCCGGTACGCCCCCTTTATCTCCTCCGCGTCCGCGTCGGCGGTCACCCCAAGGAACCTGTCACATTCCCCCACCACCACTACCACCCAATGAGACGGCCGTCCGTCGCCGGATATGGAGAGAGCGGTAGAGAGAGAGAGAGAGAGAGGGAGCGCTCAACTGGTAGTGAGACGCCGTCGTCGAGGCATCGGTCCCGGTGATCAGATCGGCGAACCTGCCCCCGAGATTCTCGCGCTTGTCGGCGGCCGTCGTCTCCGGGCGGGGCTTTCCCCCGACCCATCCCTCGTCCGGGTCGCTCCAGTGGATCCTCGTGTCCACCCCCGGCGTACCCCTCACGCGCCTGAAAGGCGGGGCGGCGGCGCCGCTGTCCTGAGCGCCGTCCGACGCGGCGGCGCGCGCCCGCCGGACCCGGGTCCTGCCCGGAGAGGGGCATCTGCACCCTCCGCCACCCCGGAGGAGAGACAACGCCGGAGACGCCGCGGAAGACATGGCCTCCGCTGGAGGATGAGAATTTCGGGAAGTGGTCGTCTGTCTGCCCAGCGGAGCTCAGGCCAGAGAGGTGGAGAGGGATGAGACAGGCAGACGGCCCCACCGGTGGGGCCGTTCCCGCCCTCGCCCAGAATAAAAAGTGTGGCTCGGGTTATATCGGCGCAAATCGGACACAAAAAATTCGAGCTTTCGTCCGAAAACGTCGAATCCCCTCGAGATCAAGCCTCCGACCTGGTTTCTCCAAGAATCTAAATATCTAACTAAATGCCATCTCTCTTAGAGATCAAGGTTTTAGAGTTGCTTCAAATCGCATATAGTATCAGAAAGGTGACCGCGTTGGCGTGATATTTTTCAAAGTAGAAAGCAGCTAACTGATCAGCTTAGACGAACCCAGAACTCTGCCAAAAGACTATGCAGGCGGGCCTTTTAGTGGCAGCCGTGCGTATGATGGATACTATCGTAGACTGTGGAGATAATACCATCGTTGCCGTGAGTATGGTAGCATTTGGGGATCGTGCTGACCCGAGCCGGCCCAATTTAGTCAACGCAAACCGTTGGAGCCTTGCTCCCCCTGCTGTTCGTCTTATTGGGGGCCCAAATGTCGGCGCCGTTGCTGCGGGCGAGCCTCAGCGCGCAGGGCAGTGGCACCAGGCACAAGCCGCGGGCTCTCAGGCTCCGCCGGTAGGATTCCTGCGCAGAAGAGTCAACGAAAATGCCAATCTCTTTAGCGCCGCCGACCTCCCCCCCAACCACAGTCGAACGTCTACAGAGAAATCTGGACCGTCGTCGTCGTCGTCCTCACCTGCTGTACCTCCTCCGTCTCCGTGCTCCGGAGGTACGGACCGCTCAGCACCTGTGAACCCGGACGACCGCCTCTCAGTCACAGAGAGTGAGTCATTGAGAGAGAGAGAGAGAGAGAGAGAGAGAGAGAGAGAGAGAGAGAGGGGGGGGGGACCTGAAGTTGTGCATGGAGGAAGTTGATGTAGTCGGCTGTCTCCTGAAGGACAGAGGCGGTGTCCGTCTGCATCGAGACGGGTGTTACGATGGGGATGGCTCTAGTTAGAGGAGAGTGAAGACACGAGGAGGAAGCTTCCTCTGACCTTGCCGAAGGGAGAGACCAACTGCTGCAACGCGGCCACCCGCTTCCCGATCCTGTCCTTTCCTTCCTGTTCAGGTCAAAGACCGGGTGCCAGTCATTAACGAAATGCTTGTCCTTGAGAATCTTCCGGAAAACGGCCGCTCACGTTCACGTGAGGACCCGCGCGACAAGATTCTTATGGCATAATTCATTCTTCCTGGCCCAATTAGAGAGAGAGAGAAAGAGAGAGAGAGAGAGAGAGAGAGAGAGGCATACTAGACGCACCTTGACGCAGGCGGAGCCGCCTCCGCCATTAGTCGGAGCGGCAGAATCGCCTTCGCCGCCGCCAGACTTTAGTCTCTTGCCGCTGGCCGCACTGCAGCCGAGGCTGCTGAAGCTTCCCCCTCCTTCACAGCCGAGGAACCCATCGCTCCTCCGCTTCTGCTCCGCCACCTCCGTCGTCATCGTCACCTCCGACAAGACGACCTCCCGACTGCCCTCCTCTCTCCCGTCCCCCGTGCTTCGTATTACTTGAATCAATCCCGAAATCTAGTGCCTGGAAATGATAGGGAAAAGGAATGCTGTCAACGTCTTTCGAGACATCCGGCTCGAAATGATAGTGCCTGGGTCGGAGGAGACATCCGATCGGAAAGTCAAGAGAGTGGCTTTAAAGTCTGCATCGCAAACTGTCCTCCGGCGTCGGCCTTCATTTTCTTTCCTTCACTGGTCGGGAATGCTCAGAAGCCTTCTTCGATCGCAGCTCCTTGATTTAATGCTCTCTTGTGACCTGTGATGGCGGGCATGTCCCCCGAGATCTTCAAAGAGGTGCAGAAGCTCTGAAAGTGGACTCTTCGTCATTGGTGGGTTCAATGGCCCCTTCGGACCCTCTTCCGTCCATCTTGGGAGATTGATTGCAGAACCCAACGGGAGGAAATTTGAATATGCGATTCTCCCCAGCCACACAGCAGGAACCGAAAACGTCCTCTGAGAGTTCCCGCTCTAATGACACCTCGACCATCTCAAGCTCTCTCTCTCTCTCTCTCTCTCTCTCGCTTTCACAGCGACAACACATAGGCACGATGTAGAAGCCGAGGCGAGAGACTAACCAGAGTTGAAGCTGGAGAATGAACCGAGTGCACCGGCAACCGTTCAAGAGGCTTCGCAGGGAAGGCGGCTGGCGGAGGGGACTATTTTCCGTAGGAATCCGACGGCGGAAGATAACTGAGCCGTGGCGAGGCCAGTTAGGAGAAGCGAGGGGAAGCACACAGAATGGAAGCATGCGCAGAGGCGGAAAGAGCCCAGGAATGCGAGTAGATGACTACTAACTGATTAGCGAGAGGGGGGGCAGGGGGAGAGAGAGAGAGAGAGAGAGCTATTTCGATAGTAGCCTAAGGGAATACGAAAACCGCTGCTTGATGGCAGATACTGACAGGAAGCCCTGCCGGGAACAACCCCCCCTCGACCCGCGGCCATCTTTTTTCCAAGTCGCCAGCTCGAATCCAAACGGCAGAAGCTCATCGTGACGCCATTCCCTTCTCGAATCCAAACGGTAGACGATTCCACAAACGGGCGCGAACTCCGGTGAGGTGCCGTCCGCGTGGTCCACTGACCCTTCTCCTGTCCCTTTCGCCCCTAACTCAGCCATCGGCGTATATAATACTCATCTTTCTATCTCAGCGGCCGCTCGTCCTTCGAACATTAATGGCGAGGTTTGAACAGCGGACCCCCGTCGCACCATGGCGGCTTTCAATTTCCCACATCGCCGTCAGCGACGCCAGGCGCCAGCCTATCGCTTGGAGACAATAGCTTTCGTCAACCTGGCGGCTATTCAGATGTTCTGATATTATGGGTAGGGGAAGAACAGTATCAGATTCTGGGTGGCATCCCGAGGCAGAGATTGCGGAGGAAAACGAACGAGAAGAAGCCATCGCAAGTGTGGCCACCCGCCGCGCGGCGATAGTACCCTCTTCGCCGGAGGGCAATTTTTATTCCGGCGTGTTCACAAAGCACAGTTCTTCCACTGGCCCACCTCGTTTTCTCATAGATCCTAAAAAACCCTGAGTGATAACTAGCACCAGGGTAAGAGGAGGAACGAACCAGTTGTGATTTGGATTCCGCTGTCAGGGATAACCAAGGTTTGAACGCGGCATAGCCCGGCCAAGCCCCCCCCCTCCACGGACCACACAGTCAACCAAAGGGCGGCCGACAATCACCAAATTTGTGTCAGAGACCAAAGAAAAATGGGCTAACCAGGTGCGGAAACCCTGCAGAGGATAACCATCGGAGCAGGAAAGTCTAAGATGGGAAGTTCACAAACACAGGCATGAAGGGAGAGTGGGGAATCGCAACCAGTTTCAGGAGCAAGATGGAAGAAAAAGAGGTGGACAGTTAATTATGTACAGTAAAATAAAAGTCAACGCGTGCGTCCGAGTTTGCAGTGGGAAGAAGAGGAGGAATACATGAACAACTCTTCAAAAAAGAATTACATTTTCTAGTACCCTTTGCCTCGGAGATCTTAGTCGGGGTTTACTGATGTACGAAAGCAGCTGCCTTTGACAAAAAAGGCAGATTCGGCCAGGGAACTTGCATCTGGGGTGAATATACAGTTTAATGTAAAGATCACATTCGAATCTTCAACGCTGCAACAGCAAAAAGCCCGATAAACAGGAGGAAAAGATTCTACAACAGTAACAGGCCAAGAGCACATTGAATCCAACACTATTACTTCAATATGGATTAATCTAGTCATCTAATTTATCGCCCCCCACCTCTTTAATCTACGCCCATTAGCAATTAATTATCTCATGGTAGTGGGTAGGAGATGATAACTTCTTCCTCGGTTCAGATAGCTATGGGGTTTCTTGATGTAGATTTCTTGTCCTTTTATCATGTAGCAAAGGGTACTTAAAATCCTTCTTCTCAAGAAAATAATGAAAGGAAATGGGAATTAAACTGATTCCACGAGAATACCTGTCTCCTCCATCGGCTCTGAATTATGTAGCAGGAGAGGGCAGCTGCATAGCATGGTAGGAAAAAGCCAGATAACTGAAGAACAGAGATCTGGAAGGCAAAGATGACATGTTACAGTTGGCCACTTGGGTGGTTACATAGCAATGACAGATCAAATCTACAAAAAGGGCTTCCTCAGTCTCAAGAATGGTCCGCCTGGACGATCATTTTTCTCAATGTTGTCTGAAAAGATCGATTCAAGCAGAGAAAAAAGCTGTAATCGGGCAAAGGTTATTTCAATGCCAAACAACAGCGTGGAGCTGTGCAAGACCTCTCACAGAAATGAATCTTTCAAAAAACTGGACAGGGTGCTGTTAGATTGTCAGGAAACTTTCAAGACCAAGACGCATCATAATCAGCATAGAGTTCATCTTGATGTAGGGAAATCCGAATAAATTGAGGCGTTCTAACCGTAGGTTATATCAACATACATTTCTGACCAACAGTTATGGAGACAAACTGGCAAAAGAAGACTCACGTTGATGGATCTCGTTGTGTGCCTGAAAACCTCTGATTCCTCTGCGATTGAAAGGATGTGGGAAGCAAACAGCACCAACATCAACTGCTCAACCCAACAACTCCACCTTAATTGGACATTTTCTTTTTTTATGTAAAAGGCAAATCCAGGAACATGGTTTTCATCTCGACATACCATGAATGCCACAGTGCGGAAGCACACAATCCCACTGTTGTTAGATATAGCAAAGTCTTCATACTCTGCGCCGCGAAACTGCTGCTCTGCAGCAGCAATTGCTAGAAAATGCGAATTATTTAGTTCGATCCTTGAGCCCCAACCTCGCCTGATCAAAGAGGTATAATTGGTTAATACCCTAGTAAAGTAGCCAAAAATACGAGAATTGCTATTTCTAAGCCAATGAACTTTCAGGTAACGCTATCCTCATCAACTTATAAATATTCAGGGAGAAATAAATGAAGCACATTAGAAACATACTCGATGTCAATGGCCGTATAATCCGAGATAGGGCTGCTTGGGGAGACTGAATAATCTGGAGCGTAAGCCTATCAAAGGGAAAGATGTGTGAGCATATATATATGTAGCGTCATACATGTAAAGAAATAACAAGTATTGGATTATAATAATTCCATTATAATAGTCAATGCACAATAACGCTACTGGAGAGACGACTTATGATGATGACTCATAGGAGCGCCGTCAGACCTGTTTGCAAAGCTCGCAGATGATATTCCCCTTCTTGTCACACCATCTCTGAATGCACTTTCTGTGGGCAAACTACACAGAAGAAAAAAATGGCAACAAACAGTTCAAACGTTGTCATATGCCAAAATTTTACGGTAAGCATAGCATAAAAGGGGAGTGAGAAACAAGAATGGCCCAGAATCATAGCATAAATTTAAGATAGAAACAAGGAGGTACACCTTGCAGTCAAGAACCAAAGAATGAGTACCACATACATAATGTCGATGAGGGCATAGTCCATAAAGCATTTTTACACAAAATCAGACAGGCACTCTTCCAACAGGAACGGAAATGTCAAAATCTGGAATCCATCATGATTATTGACAAGATTTACTCGTCAACTATGCACACAATGTGCAATAAACCAAGGCATGGAAAAGGATAGGATATGCATCCAGGTGAGATGAAGTGATGAAATGATGTACAGACCAGAAATACAAAAAGTACGCTCATATCAAAATTAATTATTCGTCAACATTACACCTAGGGAGCCCAAAAATATGACGATGTCTATAAATTCTCCCATGTGTCTTCCAGAAGGGTCAAAAACACCAATGTAGACTCAGTTTTCAAAACTAAACTAATTATATTCCTTAAAGAGAAGGCAATGACCATTTCCTGACAAATAGGGAAGCCAATCATACCAGATATGTTACAGGAAGGAAGTACCAGAAAAGGAGAAGAGAAAATGTTAGCAGACAGACCACACCATCAAGCCTGGTACCTAGACAGAAACCGAACAAACATAGAAAGGAGAAAATAAAAATATAAAAGAAACAGGTACGAGATGTAAACTAACAGACTTTGAGAAAGCTTCCGTTATTCAGAAAAAAAATAAATCATTTTAATGCTGCCATACAGAAGAAACATACCTGTTCAAGACAATTCAAGTAAATCATCTTAACTATACAAGACATCCTCTTAACTGAATTGAAGAAGAAGGACACAATACTTATAAAAATAAAAAATAATTTGGAATCAAGCATGTATCTTCTGTTCGTCTGCATATAATGTCAGGTGATTTGGATCGGGCCCAATCAATACGAGATATACAAGAAATCTATCACATTGTCAAATTTATTAAAGTGTGTGCCCAGATTAACAGCAGGAGCGTGCTAAAAGATATCCTCCACGAGAGATATTTGGATTAAATTTGCCTAAACAGAGATCCCACCTTATGCATTAAGAAGTGAAGAGGTTGACGGGAAACACAAAAAAAGAAAATAACAAGATAACGGTAGGAAAACAGTACCAAAAAAATGAATGGTAGATGTATATCCATGCCAGAGGAGAATAATAATGATGAAGTCCAAAAATAACAGCGCCCGAATAAACTCTTCCTGAAGAAATAATGGTTAATCTGGGCAATCCGAAAAATACAGAAATCTCGATGGGTGGGACGGACTTCTACGGAGGAGAAATGGTGCAAAGAGAAGAAAGAATATCAAAATGGTTTCTAAGCCGCAAAAACAACGACAAGCGTGACATTTGTTGAGACGATACGGTACAATGGACAATTCGCGGTCTTTGTTGAGACTGAAAGAAGAAAGCGTGAGGGATGCAGAGAGAGAGAAGGGGAGAGAGGGGGAGAGATAGGGGGAGAGAGAAGGGGAGGGAGGGAGAGAGAGAGACCCTGAGTGTACCGCTGCAGGCGCAGGGAGTTTCCATTTCATTTTCCTCCCCTTCCTCCTGACATATCCTACACTCTGCAACCTCCCCAAATCCCTTCCTCTCCGTCGTCTTCTTCTTGCTCTTGTGGAACTTATCCGAACGGAACCCATCATCTCCTCGATCCATCTGCATCGGAAGGGCTGCACAGCCAGTATTCGGGTCCAATTGCCCGTCGAACCCGACACTTCCGACGGCCATCCCTTCACGGTGCTCTAAGCACGAAGAGGCTAAAGTCCTGTCCATCCACACCACGAGACGGTCCACCATGGCCACTGTTTCGACCACCAATCTTCCTCTGTCTGCACCAGGGGTCTCCTCCCTCTGAAAAAGCGGGAAGAGGCAGAGCAAAGCAGACGCCTTGAAAGAACAGGCGCAGGGGAAGGTTGAGGAACACGAGAAACTATGATATCAGTTCTCAGATAAGAAATGACACAATTATCCTTTGAGAAAACCGTACATGCTTACGTGGTAGGAGAGATATTGCCCAGTCGAACATCAATGGGTCCGACGTGGCCGGCGACTGATCACCAACCTCTCCAGATCATGCCACGTGTAAGGATCTAGCCTCATCGAACGGATGCGGTGGCCCAAGAGCCACACTGAATGATGGCTGCCGTTTTCAGACAGCCGCCACCGCAGAGGCCATGGGACGGTGCCCCACAGGCATTTACGAAGTGGTCCAGGTTGGCCTCGTCGAAATATATCCCAGCCGTCCATTCCGTCCAAGGCCCAAAAGTGGTCCATCGGATCACACAGGGCCCATTTAAGGAGGTCAAGTGGGTCGCATGAAGGCCTATTTAATGCCGACAACGGAAGAGCCGGCCAGACGAGGTAAGTATGGGACTGGCTACTTCGGGAAGCCCGATAAAAGTAAAAGTCGGTTCTCTTATTAATGGGCCGCAGAGACTTTCAAAGTACCAACCGGCCCGGCCCAGCCCACCCCCATTCCAAGAGATAAGGAAGGGAGGGCTGAGAGATACTCTCCTGGTAGCCACATAGGACCATAATATGCAGAAAATAAATATGAGGATTCGAAAATATATATATAGATATATATATATATATATTGGAGATTAAATGAGGCTTATTTTATCAATGCTGTACCTCATAGGACCATAATATGCAGGAAATAAGTATGGGGATTCGAAAAATAAATAAAAATCCAGAATATATATTGGAGATTAAATGAGGCATACATTATCAATGCTGGTAGCCTCATAGGACCATAATATGCAGAAAATAAATATGGGGATTCGAAATTTATTTATTTATTTTCCAAGATATAAGTTGAAGATAAAATGAGGCATACATTATCAAGTAATTTTTGCGAAAAATCAATGCAGAAGTATATGGAAGTGGTATGGTGGGTGATCACTCTTCAGATGCCTCAGGCTCTGACTCGAACTCCAGAATGGCATTGAACCCGAAGGTCGTCCCCGGGGAAAACGCCGACTCCAGCTCTTCAGCTGTCTGGATGGTGTTGCACTTGCTTCCCACTTTCAGGTTTTCCTGGATCGGATGATGCATGAAAGGCCATTAGTCCATATGTCCGTAAATGGGTTCGTTTCTCCCAGGCAGAGCTGCTGGATGACTTACTTTAGTGACATAATCCCTTATGGTTGTGCTGACAATTTCTTGAATGACGAATTTAGTAACACGGTCTCTGCCGAGCATCTGCAGTAGAAAGCTCTTCGGGACCTGCAAGAATCATGGGAACGGCAGCAGCCCCGGTTGAAAAAATGGAACCAGAGAGGCAGCATTACGATGTTCTTGTACCCAATAAAGCTACAGGCTGGATGAAAAGGGAATCATCAGATCTACCAAGAAATGGCCCCACCCCACAAGATCGAGGATTAAGTCGTGGGACATTGACCCTTCACAAGGATGAGACAAGATTTCTAAGATTTGGTCACATTTTCACAAAAAACATTATCTGAAGAATATCGTTGTGGAGGTTCCAAGAATCATGGGGAAGAAGGAAAATGAATCCTCAATGCTATAATACCAGGGGGAGTTCCATATTTTGGAAGGCAGTCGTATAGTCTCTATGGTCAGAAAGGGGAGTTTTCCCATTTTCCTGTGGACATTGTCATTTTCAGGTAGGCTATTTCTGAGGGAAACTATTCATGTAAATATCCTTGTTATTTCAATGGTGCATGATATCAACCAAAATATCTAGATTTCATTGTAAACATTAGCATTGGATGACGAATGACAACGTGCATGAAACCTGATAACATGGACCGCTGATATATTTCCCACACAAATAACAAAATAAATATATGATGGAAGATTCGTAAAAGTATAAATAATAACCATACTAATCAAAAGTCAACTCTAAGGTGGTGACCTACTCACATTGGATGTTTTCCCTGCAATTTCTCGGGGGTGGGAAAACACGAGGAAACAGAAAAATAAATGTCAGAAATGGTAAAACATTCTGATTAATTTGGTAGAAAATAAATGAGTTATGGAATGAGAATATTTTAAGTGGGTAAATGCAATATTAATTCCTTGAAATATTACGAGCCTGGACTTAAAACCTAACCTCCTTTCATTTTACGAAAACCTGGAATAGGTGGTGCAGTGCGGGCCAAATTTGTTAGAACCTCATCAAAAGTTCTCTGCGTCTCTTCTTCCGTCAAGTCTACTCTTACCTGACAAAAAAAATTCACGAGAAATATACAACTAATAAAGTTTGCATGCACGCGTGTTTAGAAATTTGATTCCCATTTTTTTTTCTCATTTCATTAGATCTCTTGATAAGAATTAGTAAAATACTAGATGCGAAACATTTGGATCCATTTTGAATTAAATAACTTTTTTCTTAAATTATGATAAGAAGAGGGGAGATAAATGAGTTTATCTGATATGTTATCTCACAAAAAAATAACCACTGAGAGAACGGCTATCAGTGCAGATATTCATACCTCCGTTGTTTCAAGATTAAAACTTAAAACTTGATTTAAAATAAATTTACAAAAAAAATCCCAGTTCTTTTTGGAAAATGCTTACATTTTATAAAAAAATCACAATATAAGAAATAAAAAATAAAGAATATTCCAGGAGAAATAATAGATAAGTCACTCGTTAAGGACATCAAACTCTACAAATAAGTGTTCATTTCATGTTTCCAATTTTTTGGGAAATCCATCTAATAAAAAGTTCTAGTCATAACAAGACAATCATTATAACATGTTGTATCACTTATAAGATGAAATATAAAATGCGGAACTTTTTTTGGGCAGCATCATTTATTATGTCCTGCGTAAAATGATCGGAATTATCATGGCTGTTTAAGGTATAGAATTATCGAACAACACTATTTATCAGGTGTCTAAAAGCAATAACCTGACAATCACTAAATTTCATAAATACAAATTAGCTGTGTCAAAGGATTCTTATCATCGATTCTGACTTTATCTTTAGCTTACGTCTGCATCAATTGCCGGATAATATATACACACACAACATAGAATAAATTTTATAAAAAAATCTCCTGCACAGGCCTTTGCAGTGGTATAACAGGAAGTCTCATCTTTCTTATTTTCAAAACCAGATATAATTTCGCTGGTACATATCCAAAGACAAAAAATAATTTTCATATTTCGGCAGCAAAATATTTTTAAAAGACTCGTAAATAATTTTCCATTCCCAGCTCTTGGTACTGGTACAGCCACACAAGATACGCCTTGCACTGTACTTAATGTAGATGACAGAGCCTTGCATGATATAGAGTACATCATGGCTCAGAAGAAATAATTATTGTTAGTTATTCAAGCAAAGGTTTTAACAATGCGATGTGAAACATTAGTATAAATAACGCCAGAAACAAAAAATGCAGGTCAGATGCTCACCTGAATTTTATCATCGTCACGTGACTCAACCACCGTCTTAACATCTCGCAAGGATATATCATTTTTGTTTGGTTCTGTAAATGATGCTTCAACACCTGCGAGTTTAACGCACGGTTGTTCAATAGTAAATTGCAGGAACCCGAGTCAATTTGTGTATTTCAAGGCCAAATAATTTACTCATCATAAAGAGTTAAGAGAAATACGGTGGAATGAGGGATTCAAGGACAAATTTTAATGCTAACTGAAGATCACCTGAACCAGTTGCTTGTGTCGACCAGGATAGATGTCTTATTTCTCTATCATGCAAAAACTGTTTCCTAAATTAGTGAATAATGATTCATTAAATAATCATACAAAAGTGAAATAAAACACTGAAAGGGAGTGCAGTTCCATGTGAGCCCCCATAATGGTCTCAATAATTACAGGAAGGATTGATGATAACACTTTATGAGAGACAAAAAAGGGAAGAGAACAATAGAAAATTGAATTGAGGCAGTAAAAAGTATGAAATCAGTTATATATTTAGGGGACATACTTATTTTTTGAAAGTGAGAGAAAATACAGAGGGGAGCCATTTACACTCCATTAGTTGGAATCTGATGCTTTGTATCATCCTTAATAAAAAAAAATTGTGTTATTTCTGAAGATACTTTTACATGTCTACTTCAAACAGATTCACAGTACAGGAGGAACGAGTAGAGAAGACGCCATAACTTTTTCTTCAAATTGACTTGCTTACCGTTTTGGATGAGACGAAAGTTTACAGGAGAAAACATAAATGATGGACCCTTAATGCACTTCAGAATCGTAGAAAAACTCCTCTCGAAGATGAAGCGGCGCTTAAACAGAATAAAAACAAATAAATAACCATCTCACGAGCCAACAACTCACTTTCTGGAGAAGCATTTTCCGGCATCGTGAATGTGGGTACTGCTTACAATTCCATTTACACGGAGGAATTTGGGGGCATTCCCAGGAATCTTCATCTGCGACTAAAAATTCCACAACATCACGTGCTATGACAGTCCCATTACAAACCACACCGAAAGAAAGATAACATACGTAGGCCGAAAAAGGTGCGGGAAAGAGGAGAACCAACCGCATTTCAATCCAAATACATCAATATGCATGAGAATTTTCCTTCTCTTTCAGACGAAAAAAACATTCGGCGCCGAAGAAATCCGCCAAAACGGTCTCAACAGTGAGAATGTAACGTAATTATCTCTAGAAATGATTAAACTCTGACGGGAGCAATAATCTTACTTGACGGCTAGATAGAGACCGACTGAACTGGTAACGTAATCCCGAGGGCATATGAGCTACCGCCATTGAGCCCATTCCCCTCGCTACTCACAGAATCCTCTTGGAGTCCCAACGAGACGGAAGTGTGGAAGTGGGTCAGGAAGATTTATCTCGGAAAGCTATCTTTATACATAACGGTCCACTACACCTGCGGCTCTGAGATTTTCAAGTCATATACTTCGAAGCTCTGGTGGCTATTTTCGGAAGTTTCCATGTTATCCGCATGCTAGACTATTCCGGCGGACCATTGGATTAAACCCCCAGGGGGACACCCCGGGTAAGGATGAGGGTGGTTGGTCTTTTTCTTATACGCTGTTGGCGGGTTCTCCTAAGCAGGAGCGAAGAAATGGCGGTAGCCATTGACAGGCTCTGCTTCTATTTGAATCCTAAGGTGCTCGCTCCACTCCCTTCTTCTTCCTCTTGGGTCTCATTTTTTTCATCGATTCCGACTCCTTGTTGTTTTTACTTTGATGAGACCCCTCAGTCTTCGGGCAGCAGGCCAATCGCAACTGCGGGTTTTAGGATGTTTTTGTTATCTGCTATCCATCCCGAATGGATCATGGATCAATATCTGTTCGTGATAATGGGTAACAGAAGATTGAGATAATTTCTCCTCTTTTTTAGCAGGTTTTCCGAGTTTTCGCCGTGGTCCTCTTAAGATTATGTTTCCACTCGTCAGTTCCCCATGAATGTTTGGGTAACGCAGTTGGATACTCGCTTTGGAACGACTAAGAGAAAAAAACACAGAATGAGGCTCGTAGCTTGTAGCAAGACGCCACGCCCACGCCCTTCGATGTGCATCATCATGAGCGTACTACATTACGTTTACTGATAATTCTTATGCTGCATTGACCCGTGAATGGTCGTACGATCGTTTTCTCATGTTGGCGGGTAAAGCTTAAAATTTAGTTCACGTGTACATATAATTTTTTGTCTTCTAGTTCCTGGAAAAAAGAAACCCCCGTTTCATGACTTAACCGTTAAGAAAATTATTTCTGGTTATCCCGAGTGATGAACACTTGATAAGAAAATTCCTTTATGTCTACATTCGGAAACCTTTTGTTGGGCATATAGATGCTTCTTTAAGGAATTTACTATTTTCCATGAGTGGTGGTCGATTTCGATCTTTTGACGACTTCTTGACGTGTGTTTGATCCAGTGGCTTCATTTTGTTGAGAAGGAAAATTCCTATTATGCTTTACTTTGATGCATATATTAGTATTCAATGTAAGTATCTGAATTATCCTTCCTGTTCATTTTTTTCTAGACATTATGTGGATTGAGAGTCTCGTGCCATGCAGGTAATGAATTTCAGAAAGAGCACCCAGACTAGTAGTCATGAACAGAAGTTGCGCTTTCGGGTCAGAAGCGTGTACTCCCAGGGTGTAAGGTTATCTGTGTTCAGAAGAAATGATCCTCTGGAGTTTTCAAAGAGGTGAGATTATACACCGAATCATGCTATAATGATAAGAATTAAGAATCACTGTTTCTATTTCATCATGGAGAAAATCGAACAGGCTGTTTCAAATTTCTCACAGCACGTAAAGAAATGAGTCTGTCACATGAATCTGCAAGATAAGCTGTTAAAGCTTTATTCATCATGGGGTCGCCAGCATTGAAATCCTAAAAGGTGCCCAGCATAGTTTGCTTCTGCTGGCAACCCTGTACTGGGCGGTGCTGCTTAGTCCTACGCCAATGGAGCTTTCCCCCGTGGGATTATAGATTTCCTGGAGGCTTTATCTGGGGCAATCTAATCTATAATTTTTTAATTATCGGTTTTACCTTCCTGCAGTTCCTGTACCAGAATATCTACTGAACCCGGGTTGCTATCTCCCGGTAAATCATCATGATTTTGTTTCGTTATCCTTCTTTATCTTCGATTATGTCTTTTATTTTTGTTTCCAGATCTGCATGAAGTTGCTTCTTCTTCATCGTCGTTTGAGGGCTTCACTGTAATTGCTAGGATCAGTGCCAATGGGGATGTTAAGGTATAAAATCCTGGAAAATAAGCAGCTTTCTCTTATAAGATGTGGTTGATTCCTCTAGAATGTCTGTAAACCCGAAGAATTGCTCATGTAATCATGTGAAACAGCTGAAGATAGATGTCTCTGGTTCAAAGACCCAAGTCATCTTCGACGACGTCTTCTCGAGGCTTGTTGCAGCTGCACAGCCCATTCCAGGCTTCAGAAGACTCAAAGGAGGTCAGTTCTAGCCATGAGATCCGTACTGTCCCCAACGGCTCATTTCTAGCCTTGAGGATTCATGCTGCTCTGGGAATAAGTTTACCCGAGAATGCTTGCTAACACTTGCTATCCCCCTAATTTAGCTCCATTCTTAGATTAATGATAACCTGATTTGTTCAAGAATTGATAAGCACCCACCCTCTGATCAGCTGCTGTTATTATAACATGCTCAATTTTACGAGATATCATATAGTTCTGTTTACTACCACGTTCTCTGAAAAAATATAGAAAATTTGATGTAATTCCTTTTAACCTGTGGCGTGTGTGATTCATGTGCCTTCGTTCATATTCATACCATAGATATATATATATATATATATATATATATGTGGATAGATATATATGTACTTATTTATTTATTTAAAGTAGGTTTAAGAGGAAATTTTCTGACTATTTTCCTTTCCATCTGCATAAACTATGATGGGCAAATATGGATCCCGCAGGAAAAACGCCAGATGTAAGTGCTTTTATTATCAAATAATATTCCTATTTTCATTTTTTTGGTTCCCTTTGTTTGCATTGTAAACGAAGAAAAAATATTTGCATAAAAATCTCCTATTTTTCGTCTGTATCAAAGTTTTTCCTTCTTGACAGATTCCCAAAGATATCTTGATGCATCTCCTTGGGCCCTCCAAAGTCAACAAGCAATCAATCCAGAAAATAATTAACACCACAGTCGCTGAGTATGTTGAGAAGGTGAAATACATCCACTGGCGTTCACTTAAATATTTGTCTTTTTTTCATCATTTTGCTTCTCACCCAAGTCAACGCCATCCATGCTCTCGCTCCCTAAATTACAATATTTATTTATTTATTAAGATTTATTTACTCCTATAAATGAAAACTATTTGCCATTGCAGGAAGGCCTGAAGGTTACCAGGGATTTGAAGGTAGACGAGACCTTTGAGGAGCTCGAAGCTGTGTTCAAGCCAGGAGAGGCGTTCGCCTTCAATGCCACCATTCGGCTATTAGAGACGGACAAGAAAAAACCTTGAAGAGAATCTCTCACTAACCTCAATTTTTTGGCATCAGTTTATTTGTGACAGTCGGGAGTCTTCTTTCAGAGTTTAGTTTTTCTCCCGATTCTGAGGATCCTCTCTCTCTCTCTCTCTCTCTCTCTGACTAAAATTTTGAAGATCTCGGTAGATGCGGATGGCGAGTTTAACTTAAAATTTTGAAGCTTAAAATCTCATCCAAACGGATTCCCCAGAGAGTTGAACTTGCCTTATTCTGGGATTCCACCTTCGCCAGTTTGGTGGGCCAGGACGGGATTTCTCCAGTCCAATAATGCTCTATATAAGAGACGGCGAAGCGTCCTTCAAAGCTTAACGTCGCCTCCCGCTTTAGTACACGCAGAGCAGGGGAGAGCGTCGAGAGGTCGAGTTCGGGGGCGTCCGATCGCACAGCTTCCTTCTGGTAATATCCATTCGTCGAAATTCTCTCTTTCTACCGCGTTACTCATCGAATCAATTTTCTGCGTTCTTTTTTGTTGAATTGGATGAGGATCTGGGGTCTCCATGAGATTCCACTGAAAAAGGCCTTGTCAATCTGTGTATTGGACGCATGTTCCCACTCATGGCTTTGAATCGGACTTCTCGTGCCGTAAGCGTGAAGCAATCTGCGTGGGGCTGCAATTTCTTCCTGCCGCATCTGTTACTCTTTCCATCAGCATTTTTTTCTCCAGGATTGTCTTTTTAGATGGCCTGAATTTTCTATTATTGACGATTTTTTATTGTTTAACAATTAGGTTACTCGTTACTGCTGGATACCGTCTAATTCATCCACAGAATGCCTAAGTCGTACTAATCGCATACTAATAAGTATTCCCTCGCCAATTGATCAGGGGCTCGTCCAACGGGATCCATTCCTCATTTAACTCGCGAGAGTATATGAATGAACATAGCAGGGCGAAGGCATCCATCTCGGTCAACCTCGAGAGCTGTAATGATCATTTATCGACAGTTTTTTGTTTTCGACTATCGTTATCCAGCATATACTAAATCCTGTGTTTTCTGATGCAAACAAAATCAACACCTGTTAAAAAGAAAATAAAGTATCTAATCCTAGTTTTTAATTCGGTAAAACGTCTGGATGTCTCAGCAGATCTAATCTGCAACCCGGAAGATTACCAGCTTTCTGCCAAGGATCACCCCAAGGTTTCAAGCTTCTTACGCAACTCTTTTCATGGCACGCATTCACCCTTAGAAGGGGAGAGAGAGAGAGAGAGAGAGAGAGGATTGCGAGAGAACTGAAGGGGGAGAAGACAGATGAGTCAAAGAAGCCAACTCATTACATTGAGGTTTGAAGGAAGAAAAACTTTCATCCATTGTTGATACTGCATCATATAATTATCTGAGTTTTTTCTTCCCTTAATGGGCAAATTTTGTGTTGTTTTTCATGATCCCTTTGTTATCTAATAAGTTTTAACAATAAGTTCAATCTTTGATACTGAACTGTCAAGTGGGAGACGAGACGGCTGGATATTCTGACAAACCCTCCACCTCCTTCCTCTTGATCTTCTCGGAGAGCCTTTCCCAGGCACTCATGGTTCTTCTCAATCTTCGACTTGGCCTGCCCCCCATCAGGTACTTGATGTAGTCGCTGGAAAGCCGGTTAATCTCCTCCCGTCTGATCAAGTAGATGTACTGAGAAGCCATAAATTTACAAACGGATGAGCATCTCCCATCGTCCGGACAAACTGAGGTGAAAAACTCATCATCGACATTGAACAAAGTTTAGTGAAAAACTTTGCTTTAGAGATATTTTTTTTCAAAAAATCTTGACTTGATCGAAATCAATCAGTGTTAAATCCTGCTAGATGTTTAGAAAGGACCAGATAGAACTTGTTGGAGAAGTAAAGGCGGATTACCACGAGCATGAAGGAGAAGGTGGCCAGAAAAATCTGCAGAAGCTCATTCCAGTCCACACTGAAACCTCCATTCTCACCACCAGATCCACCACCACTGCTGCCGCCGCCGCCGCCACCGCCGCCGCCGCCGCCGAGTCTCTCAGAACCGCCTCCGCCTTCAAGCTCTCCCGTAATCTGCTTCCACAGCAAATCATGCACCGACGGTCCTTTTCCCAGACAGTCCATGGCTTCGTCTGTGCCATTCCATGGAGTCGCCTGAGAAGGAGATACACCAACTAAATGGAAAAGAGGAGGTGGAGAAGAAATGGTGCGACATTCGAAGTAGTGTACCTGAATGGACCTGTCTACCTTTTTCCCACTCTCAAATCTGCCCCGGTTTCCAGCGGCGCATTTGGGAGTTCCTCGCCGGCGGCTGCTCCTGTGAACCAGCCTTAGCAGCGCCTTGGCACGGTGGGAAGCTCGGATAGGAAGGGAACGTGAACATGAACATGAAGAACGCAGAAGGTACGGGGTCTGAGACAAGGTTCTGTGCTCCTGAAGAGGACAGGTAGCTTTGATTGCCCCGCAGCACATCATCTGACCTCACTCCGTATCTCGTTCCTCTGTCTCTTTTGATCTCTGCCTTTGTGGTTTGATCTACAGAGTTAGAGAGAGAATGATTGATCTTTTGAAAGCAGTAGAACTAAGAAAATATTCTGGGGGGAGAGAGAGAGAATGAACACTGTGTATGAGCGGAGAGAGATCAAAGGCGACGCGCATGATCCCACCGTTCCTCAATGGACCACAGTTACTGGTCGTTCTCCCTCCTCTCTCTCTATCGCTCTGTCCCGCTGATGCAGCTGCTTGCCAAGAGAAGACGCTTGCTCAGGTGGCGCCTTCGTCCTCCGCCTTCGGAGCCGTCGGCAGACAGTCCCTTTCTTGATCAGTACGTCTCCAAATAAAAAGGAAAGTTGATTATTTCGAAGATCCCACTTCGCAGTCGCAATTTTTCTCCCCATGCATATGAAATCAAGAATCGAATATCTCGCATAGATTAAAATTTTCTCATAAGTAGAGTTGACTATAATTTTTCCTGGGGATTATTTCGTTTTGTAAATCTAAGTCCATCTTGATTTCTTGATCCTATGATGTTGACCTGTGTGAACGTCTGACTTTGCTCTCACAGATAGCGCATCGGGCTAAGGATTACCCGCCATGGCGCTCGCCCCAAAGCCCAGAGGAGATAATATATAAAGAAGAGAGAGCCCTCTGGCCTACGTCTGGTGCCCGGCCGCTCTCGTCTTCTCCCTTCTCCCGGCGGGGGAACGGATCCTACTGTCGCCCGATGGATTTCGCTTCGCGTTACGAGATCAGCACGACAGCCGAGTTCGTCCGCAGCCGGGGCTACAAGCGCGTCGCCTTGCAGGTCCGCCGTAGGACCCTTCCTTACGAAGCTGAGCTTTCTTATGCGACCCGAGTTTCGAACCTGCGTTTGTGATGTGTAACAAATCGAGAATGGTTGTTTCTGTAGTTCCCCGACGAGCTCCTGGACGATGCAACGAGGGTGGCGAAGGCACTCCGGGCGGAGCTTGGGAAGGGCGTGGCTCTCTACGTGATGGCCGACACGGCCTACGGGAGCTGCTGTGTCGACGAGGTGGCGGCCTCCCACGTAGATGCAGATTGCGTCGTGCATTATGGTCACGCCTGCTGTAGCCCGTGAGCTCCTCTACCTATCTGAAATTCGCCTCTTTCAAGAACTTGGGTTAGAGGCAGGAATATTGGACGTCGGTTTCAGAAGATAGAGGGAGGGCCTAGATGGGTTGGTTGTACACGTCTTCCTGCCCTTGGGTTGCGCGTCCCCTGTGGAGGTTCCCGTGGCGTATTGTTTCGTGTTGTGTCATTCGTGGAGTTGCAGGGCTTAGGGTTTTACACCTTTTCCGGGCCTTTTTTAATTATTCGTGGCGTCGAATGGACTAATAACGGAGAGTTTCAAATGTCAACGGTGTCCGGTCGACTGAGGCCACGGGCCAAATGTCGAGTCTGGTTTTCAAGTTTTGGAGGCTTAATGTTGCTTGGAGTTCGGTTTCCTAGTTTTGAGTCAAGGTTACTATGGTAGTTGTGATGTACAGGGAGAAAGTTGTGCTACGACACAGCAGTGGCTTTCGTTTTGGAGGATCAGGGTTCTGAGTTTTGGGGGATTGTTCTTCAATATCTCTAATCTGTTGCGTTGTAGGAATGTTGATTTTTTATTCACCATCCGTAGTTAGCAAATCCACCATTATTTGATGTTTAAATTATTTCTTATCCATTTTTTGCATTTTTGAGTATTGACGAGTCCTTAATGTTTTCCTTTACACAGCTTTGGCTAATCTTCTCAGGTCTTTTTCGTTATAATTCATTTAGTGAAATTTCTTTTACGCTGCAGGACGTCAACTTTGCCAGCTTTATTTGTTTTCGGAAAAATGCCCATCAATGTAAATATCTGTGCTGAGTCCCTATACAATTGCTTATCCACCAGTGAGAAGCCTGTTCTGGTATGAAGAGAACATCTCTCTCTCTCTCTCTCTCTCTCTCTCTCTCTCTCCCCACCCCCGTCCCCAGCCAGCTTTATAATTTTGAACGCACATTTCGCATTCATTTTGTCCGGATAATTTTTATTACTGAACATTGTCAGTCCACTTGTTGATGTAATCAGGGCTGTGCGGGTTTCCTCATGAATATGTTACATCTATTACTGCTGTCGGTTATATCTCAATTTCGAGTAGGATTTACTTTATACAACTGATTTTAGATTTAAGATTCCGATTTTTTTATTGTTATGTGCACTTGAGATAGATCTCTAAGTTCCTGGTCTGATCGTATTCTCTGCTATGAGTAGGATTTTTCAGCCTCTTTTAAGTTGACTCAGTTAAGCTTTTGAGTAATATCTTTTGGTAGTATCAACCTTTGATATAAGCCGAGGAAGAAATAGATTTAGGTTGCCTTTTCTTCTGGGCTACCGTTGCATTAGATTATGAAACTAGGGCAATTAGCAGGTCTATATATTTCAGTAATTATCTGTCAATCTAGTTCTGAATCGGTGCAACCTTTCTGATTTTGGCTTTTTCTCAACTTTGTAAAATGCAGGTCCTCTTTGGTCTCGAATTCGCACATGTTTTAGACTCTATTAAAAGAGAAATAGCGAATAAATTATCAGAGTCTGGTGTTACTCTTCCAGAACCCATTTTTGCAGATGTGTCATGTTTCAGCATAGATCCTACTAAGATGTATATAACCGAAGAGAGAGACACGAACGCTGAATCCGATGATCGGAATAAATCTAATGCCAGTAGCTCCTACACCCTTGGAGGACTGACATGGGGTATACCAGCAGACCATAGAATAGAGCAATATTTGCTCTTCTGGATTGGTTCTGACAATCCAGCATTTACAAACGTCATGCTTATGTTCAACAGCTGCGAAACAGGTGGGGTGATTTTCATCATCTTCTTGTTCTTTAAGTATTTTGTGCATATTCATTTGTGATAGAGGCAGCTGTCCTCATTGTTAGTTGAAATCTGGTATCATCATTTGCACGTGGTTTTTTTGGATGTATACGTTCTGTAGTCGTTTATCTCGTCTTGTGCACGTGGTTTAAGCAGCTAATTCCAGCTGGAACAGAAATAGATATTGCTACTCTCTTTTCATCTCCTGAAATTTTGTTGTACATACAATTGGTTCTTTGACTTTGGCAAATTATTTCTCTCAATATTGCTACTATCTGTTCATCTCCTGCAATTATCTCGTCTGCTGTCAACATTGACCTCTCTCTAGGACCTTGGTCTTTAATCGTCTGTCTTAAGCAAGCCATGATTTAGAAATTGATTACCTTCATGGATTTCAAGTCAGGACCCTTCAGACCAATCCGAGATCAAACCAGCTGAGCTGAATGTACACTGTCTGAGGCGAGACAATAAGTTTTGGTGTAAGATGATGTTAGGTAGTTCTTATATGGCAGTGATGTTCCCTTTAAATCTTGTATGCACTTCTTTATCTAGGCTATTCTGCCTCACACTCGTTTCATTCGTTTTTATCAACGACCACGATTATTGATAGTGATTTTTTGTTTTGGATATGATTTGAAAACTTATAGTGGCGCGTATAGACGGACCTGGTCACAGCTCCTTTCTTTGTATCTGCTATCTCTTTGAAGGCCCTCATTTAGTCATTTTTAACTTTAATATTAAGATTACGTGGCAAGTATGATGAATTTGACATAAAGGAAAGTTTCTCGGAAAGAAAATGAGCACTCTTTATGGTACGCACTTTACCTAGGTGGTAGAGGGATTGGGGACCAATATGAGCATTCTGACGGCTTTGAATTCGATCAGTTATGATAGTTGGCTTTTCTGAAAAGTTCAGACAATTCGTCAGCTTATTGTAGACTTAACACTAAAGTTTATAAGCTTCTTACTTGTCTGCATGTGTTATGTATGACAAGATAACAATCATCAACTTGTAACATGATGTTCTCATGCAATGATACCGTTTTAATTTTTCAAAATTTTAACGAGACGTCGTGTCTTTACACTAAATTCTTTAAAGAGAAAATACATTTATAATGAAAATGTTGCAATGTTGAGCACCATATTACCTGAAATACTTGGTGCTTTTATTTTACGAAGCCGCGCTCCATTTGGGAAGATAATTAATTATACTTTATTTTCATAGTTCATTTGATGTATCTTGACCATTAATGATAAGCTCACCATCTCGTCAATAGAATACCTTTAATTTTTTTTCCTGTTTTTGGTTTTTACTGTTGAGGTTTTCTTTCAGTCAGGTATGATGCCAAGGAAAATTGCTTAGTGAAGGACAGAAATCTTCATAGAAAGATTCTTAACCGTAGGTATTATATTTTCTCTGCGTTTGTGTTTAATCTAATAGGAACGTTATAATAAACTCTCAAATGGTTCATCTTGTCTTTGTAGATACTATCTTGTGGAGAAAGCAAAGGATGCTAATATTGTTGGCATTTTGGTGGGTACCTTGGGTATAGGTATGCTCCGCGTAAATTATAGTCATTTTTTTGTTAAATCTAGAAGTTAGTGTCCTCAGTCATACGAGAAAAAGGTACACTAGTTCCATGAGCGTAGAGGTTTTCTCTCTTTTATTTAGCCTTTATTATATGTTTATTTTGGCTGGAGGAAAGTTTTATGATCCGAAAAACCGTTCATTTTTTCTATCTTATGTTGCATAATGGCTGTTATTTATGTTATTTAGCACCTTAGCCGCTATTTGTTTCTGTTATATTTTTTTATGGGCATATTGGATCTCATTGATGGCGAGAAGAGACTATCTTTAAATTTACTCTGATTCTACTCGTATACACGGTTTTTCTTTGGAAATGTCGTGATTTCATTTTGTTGTGTTCCCGATTTAAAACGCGTAAAATTTGTTCATGACTTGGAATTCAAACTTAAATCCATAGATGCCAGTGGGATAATTCTATCTGGCTCTTTATCATTTTTGGGCTGATGCTACGAAATGTTATTTCTTTGTCACAGCTGGATATCTTAATATGGTTCAGCAAATGAAAAAATTGATCGAGAAAGCTGGAAAAAAGTCCTACACTCTTGTAATGGGCAGACCAAGCGCAGCTAAGCTTGCAAATTTCCCTGAAGTAATATGTAACCTCAATTTTTTGTTCTTCTTGGTTATGGTACTATATTCCGCTGATTATTTCACTTTCCTCTTTGGATAGTGTGATGTCTTTGTTTATGTCTCCTGTGCACAAACTGCCCTTCTGGATAGCAAAGAATTCCTGGCCCCAGTCATTACCCCTTTTGAGGCTATGCTGGCTTTCCAAAGGTAGCAGAACACTATGGAAATACTGTTTGTTACTTGAGTGTTGGTATAAATATATGCGTGTTTTGCTTCATTGGACCATTTTTCTGTTTGAACCTGGTTCTCAATTTTTTGTACAATATGCGGTTATCATTTTTCATTATTCAAGGATATGTTGAAGAGCCTATTTTTTGCTCTCTCGTGCTTGAATAGTCATCTTTCTTTTTTATTAGATTTACGATTATCTTATCGTGCAGCTGTAGACAATGTCATCTTGGCCAATTTTTTCTCTTTCATAGAAACATATCAAGAAACCAATTAGGTCGAGTCTTCTTTGCTTTTTCATCCCAAAGTAAATGTCAGGGAAAATACAGATGAGTTCTTTTAGTCTTATTAGAAGGGAACAAACAACCTTTGTGAATGGGCGGCAAATGGCCGCCTTCTATCCCTTTGACTTTTTTTTCTTGGTTCCTCTGCACATGTTCTGTCGTTAGCTGTTATCTGCATTGCTTCTGTTTATAGAACTTCTGGTTCATAATGACTCTCCAAAATAAGCATCGGTGTTCTTATTAAACGATTTTTTAGCATTAGGATTGTGCGTTAGAAAAATTCATAAATGTGTCTATCTATCTACATATGTGGCCCACGTTTAGTGGAAAATAAAGAAAACATGCCAATTCAAATTAGGTAAAGAAATAGTTAATGAACGTGGATAATGAACCATAGCGCTAAGTCATTAGATCCATAGCCTGGTTATTCGCAAGTTTCTGTCAACAGTTGAAACCTCTGTTCTTAATCAACTCTCACTATTTTCATAACTATCTTCTTTGGCCTTTATCTTCTTCACGTTCCATCTGGATGGGTGCATGCTTCTCTACAGAATGTTAAGATCTTTTGTTTCTGCTTTAGATGCCTAAACTGTCAAACCTCGATTTCTTGTTTTTGCTTTGGTCATCACCGTGAAAGTAGTTTTTGATATCTCCATTTCTTAACCGTCCGTCATTCAATTTCGTCTTGCTTATTTATACTTCCACGAATACATATATGGTATTCATATTTCTCAGTAGAACACAAATGCCAAGAGCTTGCAGCATTACTGATCTCATGTCCGTCGACAGTGAACTTTGCCATTGATTGTACTGCATCACTCAAACTTACAACTAATGATTTCACTGTTTCTCTTCATACGGAAATATTCTTGCATTTTCAGAAATCATTTAAAAAAACCACTTAATGGGCGATTATTCCACGATTCCATTGATCAAGAGGAAACTCTTGTGTAAAAGAGTAGCCCTTCGCATTAAAGAGTTACATTAAGGAGTTCCTCAGTGTCAGAAGAGTCATATAGCGATGCTTTTTTGCTTTTTTTTCCTTCAATCTTGACTCCTTTCCGGTACAGTTTTTCTCCATTGCTGCAATTTATTTTGTCTTGGAGAGACTCTGTTGTTTATAATGTCACAACGTGCAAATGTCACTGGACTGAAACAAAAATATATAGACTCTGTTTTCCGAAGTTAGCTATTTAATTTTCTTCCCAGGGGAAGTCAGTGGACTGGGGAATACGTGATTGAGTTCCGAAATTTGATGCAAATCTCTGAACGTGAGGTTCGTGAAGGCAAAGAAGAAGAAGAAGAAGAAGAAGCTCGGTTTTCTTTCCTTCAGGGTGGCTATGTGGAAGATGTCAGGCATGAAGGTAATCTTTCCTTGAAAGTCTATTGCTTCGATGGTATTTTTTGTGTTTAAAATCATTGAATTTTAGAGGCGGTGATTTTATCTATCAAAATCGTATATATATATATATATATATACACACACACATACACGCATATGTATTTTAGCGCTTTCATGAGTCAAGAGTCCATAATATCAGGTGTTCTGTTTGAACGAAAGAAAACCTGGAGTTTTACACCCTCATGGTCAAAGGGAATAAGTCAAATACACATGGTTACGCGAGGTGAATGAAGAGCACTAGGTGCATGGTTGGGTACTGGGATATTATATTTCATTGGTGGATGGTTGCAGATGATCTCTCGGAATTTATTTTTTTCTTTTGCTTGGCTATTTGTTCATTTAATATTTTATTTTATTTTTGCTTCGAGCGACTCAATCTTACATCGACTTGAGTCATCAAAACATTGCTGATGATAGTCATTTAATTTATTTAATCGTTTGATCAGCATATTTCAACTTGGTGGGTGCAGTGGACGGAGATGAACACGAGGAAAGATCCGTGGTCTTGGCAGAGTTAACACAGAAGGCTTTGAGTCTGAAGAAGGAACAGGCAGATTCAATACTGTTCAAGGGGACAGCCAAGTCGGGGGCGGAGTTCTTGGCTGCTCGGTCATACACCGGGCTAAACATGCAGCACGACGACTCGCTGCCCCAAGCTTTCGTCATCGGCAGAACAGGAAGGGCCGCCGGATACAACGACGAGAAGTAGAGCAGGAAAGAAGAAGAACTCCCGATCCCTCCTCCGCCATCAGAGCTCCTCGTAGCTCAATCGATCGCCCAACAACTCGACCAGGGAGGGAAGCTTGTAGCTTTATAATCTTCATGTTATTTATATGTGAAACCAGCGAACTCATCTGTATAAGCGAGGCAACTCATGAACACGGTCGTTGTCTGATTTTGGCGACTCTTCCGACCGTCCGACAAAGGAGACACGGTGGGTTCTCTCCGATCTCCGCCGCCGGCTCGCCGTCTTTCATTGCGCGGGTGAGGCGACGGCGCCGGCCCAGCCGCCTTCAATATCTGCACCTGCTTCGAGGGCACGGCCGTAGACGGCGCTCCCCGGCCGGCGAGAGACTAAAAACCCATTGAAGGTTTTGAGTTCGACGTGTTTCTCTTAGTCAAAAGGTAAGAAGATCTTGGGACAGCCGGGGTCGGTGGATACTTGGACCGGACTTCCTAATTCTCCCTGCTGTGCACAAGTCTCCTTGTCTGAAAATAGTATTCGGAGAAAAAATCGGCTCGACCGGTGGATTTTCTCATTAATAGATGCATCTTACCTTTAAATAATTGAGATTTGTTCTGATAAATGTAGATCCCATGAGTGACGTCATCAGTTCTTTCTCTCTGACTGGTTCTGGGTCAAGCCCATCGAGTGTTCTTCGAGAGTGGCCACCTAACCACCTTCCCCCGGAGATAAGAAAAGTCCGGTTCCTGGGGACGACTTTAGATGCATTGGGTTGACTCGAGCTCCAGATCTTCAGGTCGCGTAAACACGTCTGGATAATTATGGTTGAAGGCATTGCGTTTGGATCACGAGAGTCGGCGTGATCTTGTTTTAGATTTTGCTCAAATTATTGAATTATTCTGACCGAATTAAAGACCTAGCTTGCGCCTCTCTCACCTGTCCAGAGTAGGCTCGGTGAGGTGAGACTGGAGAGATCTTGAAGATGGAGCCGGCTATGCCGGCTAATCAAGAGCTGCAGGAATACCAACGACGGCGGTCTGACTTTCAAAAGCCGAACTAGACTGACCCAGTAAACCCCATCTAAAAAAGGATGGGACAGTGACACTGTTCACCATTATGGGAGGTCAAATCCACGGCGCTGACTTCAGTTTATTACCCAGTCCGACGGCGTGTTGGACTCGTCACGCGGTAGGTCTCCGGCGAGATTGCGACGAGTCAGCGACTGCTCGACCACCGAAAAAAAGAAAATAAGCAGCGAGGAGCTGATGTTTCTGTGCCAGCTATGGACAGTACAGAGGAATAATCGTATTGAATGGGTTCATCTCCCGTAAATAAATGTATGAGAGGAAGCTATCCTATCTATCTACATGTTCATCATGTACAGTCTTCCCGGAAAAACTTGAGGGTCGGAGGCAGCGCCACCGCCGGCTGTTGCTAGTGGCCGGGGCCCCTGGGGCTCGGCCCTGAGGGGAGCTTCTGCATCATGCTCTCTATGGCGGATTTGGCCCTCTCGTAGACGGATGGGTACGTGAGGAAGCTCTCCCCATCGAACTGCCCCGGCGGCGGCCTCGCCGCCTGGGCCGTGCCCGCCATGCTCAGCACGGCGACGACGACTACGGCGAGGAGCAGGAAGGCTGAGACTCTCCTGGAATCCATCAGACGCAGGCAGCAGCGGTGGACGAAGAGATCTGCGGAGGAAGAAAAGCCGAGGGAAGAGGCTGGCGACGGCAGAAGAAGGAAGCTCCCGGTAGTAGTCGAGGGTGGAGGAAGGTTGCTCTCCGACATGGGTATTTAAAAGGCTGGCCGGAGGGCCAGGCGAGGTGCCGGTCTTCTGCTTTGACCGCGACCTCTGAACAGGTCGTAACACGGAAGTCAACCTCTCGCGTGGTCCGCGTCCATCCCGGAAAAATACGGATCAGGAGGCGTCTCCGACGCCCCATCAGCCAATGGGGAGCTCCCCCCTCAATCAGAATCTGTGCCGCCGCAGCCGCCGCCGCCGCCGTCCCGTCAGCCGGTGGAGGGTGAAGCCGCCGGTGAACGGCCGCCGTCAAAGCCGTACGCGGGCAGCAGCTGGTCGTGGCTTCGGACAAACCACGCGGTCGGTATTCAAAGCCCGCCTCCGACTGCGTCGGATTCTACCGCCGCTGGTCGTGGAGGGAGCCGCTGGGCCCGGACGGCTCTACCGGTTGGGCCTACTTTTGGAACACGGGGGAGATCAGAAAACTGGGCGATTTCAAAGAACGATGTCCCATTTTCCCTTGACCCCCGCGCGAATGTTCCCAAGAACAACCCCCCACGCGCCCGTGGTGAACAAAACCGCACGCCTTTGAGGGGGTCCAAGTCAACCCTTTTTTTTCTACACCCGTAGGTCAAACCCTCTAAAACCCCACTGAAATTGTAATACTGTGTGATAATTTCTTTATGTCACGTCTTTTAACGGCATATTCATGAATTATTTTATTTTTATCTAGTGGAGAATGAGGCTCATTTCTGTTTCTGGGATCTGCTTTTTAATCCAATAATTCCATATTTTTATTTTAATTAAATATGGCCTCGTACACTTTAAAAAAAAACTAAAAACGTCTGCTCGAGGAAATACTTCCCTAATAATCTGAGGGTTTATGGGGTCAGATTTTTTTCTTAATTAAATATATTAATGGGTACTTAAAAAAAACCCTCAAACGACCTCTGAAGAACAGGAGAACGAGAGAGATTATTTTCTGATAACTCGAGGTTCCTAGAACTTAACTTTTTTAATCAGACGAACTTAGGGTTTATAGTATAATTCCATATATTACTGGGTACTTAGACTAAATAATCCTTGAAAATGCACGCTCGGACTAGTTTCGAAAAGTCCGCTATTTAGGTACTTTTCGAACTCCCAGGTCAACGCAAACATTTGACATTTTGGTTTGGTAGGCGTTGACTGTGGGACTTTTCCACGTGGACACCCGACTTTCTGGAGAAAAAAAGGAGTTTAATTGGATATTTTCCTTGTTAAGATAAATATTTATTTAATACGCTGTGGACAGCGCCGCACTCTGGGGCACTCGAGAAAAGACCGAAGAAGAAAGAAACCCAATCCCCCAAAACCCGGCGCTCTCTCTCCGGCGGCGGAAGGCGATGGCGACGCTCTCCCTGCTCCGCTTCACGCCGCTACCTCCACTTTCAACTCCGACGAGGTCTCGCCCTCCGCCGGCCGTCCAAATGCGGCTTCCCCTCCGTTACGCCGCCGCCGGGAAGCCCTCCGCCCTCTGCAGGCCCCGCCGCGCCGCCGCCACGATGTCGTACCAGGGTCCCGTCCCTGCGTCGGAGCGGCTGTTCTCTGCCCTGGCTTACGCCCTCCCGTTCTTCAATTCTCTCCATTACGGTCGCTTCCTGTTCGCCCGATTCCCGTCCCTGGGCGTCGCCATTGAGCCTCTGCTCCCCTTGCTGGCGGCCTACAGGGCCGTCCCCTACGCCAGCTTCGTCGCCTTCTTCGCCCTCTACCTCGGAGTCGTGCGCAACCCCATCTTCGGTCGGTACGTGAGGTTCAACGCGATGCAAGCGGTGGTTCTGGACGTCTTCCTGGCCCTCCCGACGCTGGTTCAGAGGATATTCGGGACGCCGGCGAGCGGCATCGGTTTCCGGGTGCTCGAGTGGGGGTACAACGGCGTCTTCGCCTTCGCCGTTGCGTCTTTCTTGTACGGGGTCGTTGCTTGCGTCCTCGGTAAGACGCCATACCTACCGATCGTGGCATCGGCGGCGGATCGGCAGCTCTGAGTCCGGGGTTCCCATTCTAGGGTTCGCCTCTCCATGGCTTCTGCATCACCCGAGACAGGCACTCATCCGGTTTCCTCGTTCATTTTGGGCTCTTCTGGAACAAAACCCCAGAACGCAGAACCCACCCCTCTTTTCTGGAAATCCTCTGTGGTCTCTCTTATGTTTAACCGGGAGTTTTGTGAATTCTTTGCGCGAGTCATCCTAGAATTCTCCCATCTCTCTCATTTTAGGGGCGCGATGATGTGTATGGAGATGAGTCTACAATGGCGAATCCTCATATCGGTAGCAGTCGATCGCTCTTTCTGCTCGAAGGAATTCTTGTCCCCGACTGTTGATCTTGTCTTCCCTGCCGGAAACTGAACACAGCTGTGAAATCGAATCGAGTTCTTCGTGGCGCCTTTGTCTGTTCTTCGTGGCGCCTTTGTCTGTTCTTCGTGATGATTCCAACAAGAAGCCTCGCGTTCTCCATGAAAGGGGAATCGGGTCACAGTGGGCATCAAATGCTCGGAGCGACGGCCAATCTTCTCCGGCAGTTCCTCCTGTTCTTCGTCACCTACTGCCCAGCCTGTTCCTCCTCTCGCTGCCATCGTAGACTGGTTTATGAATCGGACGTCGTCGGTGCTCGACAAGGCAACGGATTATGCCCACTCTCAGGGTTGAGACCGCTCGCGAGGGTGGTCGAACCCGCCTGCGATTATCCCTAAATAATCTAGATAAACTGAAGATTTGATAAGCAATTGGTTATCTGGGTCGCGAGCTAAAATTCTGTAAAAGAGGAAGCTTGGCGTCTGAAACCTACCTTCAAGATCCCTTAGGCTAATGGCGCCTTCTACCCTAAACTATCGGACGCCATTGTCTTATACTCCGAACACCTCCGATAATTTCCAGGTCAGCCACCCTTTGACATATTTTTTTTTTTTGGGTAGGGGTGGTCCAGTGGGGGGGCTATCTTGGAAATGTGGAAATCTATGGGGATATAGTAGTACGGTCACGGATAACCCGCTCTATCCTCGCGAACACGCTCGTCTCTGGCGTACATGGAGGGCATGGCCTCTGCAACTGCTTCGGCTTATCTTCCCTGTTTAGGTGTGTGAACCATCCGAAAACGCCCCACAAATGCATACGTACGTGGAAGATTTTACGCTCATCTTCTACAATCTGGTTCGTGCGTCTGTTAATCATAGGCTTTCGCCGGTGCGTGCCGCATTAGATTTTTCCTTCTTTTTTTTATCTATTTTCCAGTGGCAGTGGAAGATTAGGGCGACGATTTCTGTTCCTATTAGACCCTTGTAGATCGCTGCTTGCATCTGTTCTCTTTGGAATCGCGTCGTATGCATGATCCTCTCTCGTGCATGATTCTTTTCCATCGAATGCAGTGACGGTAGGGATCGGAAATTCAAGGATTCACCCGTGTAGATTCTGGATTTTATGTCAAAACTGATATATCCAGTTCATCCATTCGTCCGCGACGTAACTGATATATCCAGAGAATTCGTCCGTGTAGGTTCTGGATTTGCAAGGCGTTCATCCGGTAAACATGGCGTATACTTCCGCGACAAGATCCAGAGACCTCTTATGCAGTGCTCGGCATCAGGTCACGGGGCAATGGTCGCCAGCTCGCAGGAGTCAGAAGGCTTTACTCCTATGGGTCGGAGGAGTCTGATTGGGGCTTCTGTGCTCTCGAGTTTGAGTCTAAGCATCTCTGATGCCAGAGGAGCCGGCCTCCCGCCCGAGGAGAAGCCCAAGCTGTGCAACGACGAATGCGAGAAAGAGCTTGAAAATGTACGCTGAGACCACGCACCCTCATCTGCTTGGTGTCTTACCGCCGAAACCCATTTCTATCATGCCAGTTCTTTGCTTCTCTGATAGATCTCACTCAGGTTTTCCTCGCAATTCTCTGTTTCCAATTCCTCAGATCCATAAGAACTTGGGATGCCTCCTTACCGTCTCTGGGTCTACATGGCATTAATTTATTTTTTTTGCCCACTGTAGCTTGGCTTGTTCATGGCTTTACATTTTAGGGCTCCGGGGATGATCATACATCTCCTTTTAGTAAGCTTCAGATGGAAATAATGCTGGGCTTCCAGCTTTACCTGTGTTTCAGCTTGTTCTTCATATGGGTCACCAAGATCATCTGATTGGCTTTGATGATCGTCGCTGCATCAAAGCAGCATCGTTTTTTGCTTAATTTATCTTCTAACTATTCCCCAATTTTCCCTGCTGAAGATTTGGTAGCAACAAACTGTGCAGGTCCCGATCATAACTACGGAGTCCGGTTTGCAGTACAAGGATATAAAGGTCGGCCAAGGCCCCAACCCACCCGTTGGTTTTCAGGTGCTTCTCATGCTCTTTTCATTTCTGGGCAAATATCATCCTACTTAATCACCAGCTTGCCAAACACCAGCTTGTAGTCACAGACTTGGTCTTATTCATCAGATGCTGATTAGAAACCGATTTGGTTATCGTTTCAGGTGGTGGCGAATTATGTCGCCATGGTGCCATCCGGGCAGATATTTGATAGGTACTTGGCTGATTGAAGTGTCAGGCCAGATTTTTACCTCGTTATTTCAGAATCCAAGGGGTTTTTCTATATGGGTTCGTCTAGATTCAGCTCAGCTTACTATGCTTTCTCGTGGGTTGCAGCTCCTTGGAGAAAGGGCTACCTTATACTTTCCGCGTCGGCTCTGGCCAGGTACTTGAAAGGGTTGCCGCAATTCTTTCCAAGAAAATCTTCCACATTTCATAATCGACATGGAATTCATGAAAGCGAATTCGATGGCTATAAAAGCCTAAGTTTACTGGCGGATATGTTCTTGCGTCAATATATGTTTCTGAACCCAGCAGGTGATCAAGGGCCTCGACGAGGGGATACTAAGCATGAAGGTCGGGGGAAGGCGTAGACTGTACATTCCTGGTTCTGTGAGTTCTCCCGCCATCTCTAAGATTAGACCCGTCTCTCTGGTATCGGCTTTGAGGGATTCTTCCGTCTTGTGCAGTTGGCGTTCCCCAAGGGCCTCACGTCGGCGCCGGGGAGGCCGAGAGTGAACGCCAACAGCCCGGTGGTTTTTGACGTGAGCTTGGAGTACATCCCGGGACTGGAGTACGAGGAGGAGTAGGGGCAGAGATCGATCGCCGGTCTCCTCCGCAGTTCTTCAGTTGCTGTAAAGATTTGGCACGAAGAGGACGAACCCCTCGGGCCTTCCTGCTTAGAACACGCTCATCACTCTTCCTTGATTGTTCTTCACTGTTTTTGAGTGAAGGGATCCGAGAATTTCGAACAAAGACAGTTCTTTGGCCGCATACAGTGAGGAATAGAGAGGAGGGTTTTCAGGTCAAGCTGGCATAGACGGCGGCCGCGATGCCGACGGCGTAGACCCCCATCACCCTCCCCACCACCTCCCTCCCCGTCCGCGCCACCAGCCCGAACCCGGCGATTCCGGCCATGCCCACCGGCGCCCACCGGAGGAGAGTCCCCCCCGCGTTGGAGAGGACCGCCACGCGGAACAGCTCCACCGCGAAGGCCTTGAACTCTGGGCGGCTCAGGCAGCCGCCGGCGGGGCGGTGGTCGCCGACGGCGTGGCGGAGGGCCGAGTCCACCTCGGCCTGGCCCGGCGGCGAGGGCACCCACCGGCGGACGAGTGGGAGGGAGTCGGAGAGGACGGCGTGGAGACGGGCGGCGGCGTCGAGGAGCTGGTACGGCCGCACCCCGGGGAAAGCGTGTTGGGTGAGTGCCAGGCAGTCGTCGTAGACGGCGTCGCAGGCTGCGTCGAGCTCTGGGGACGAGGAGAGCGTCTTCTCCACCCGCTTGGACGCGTTTATCCCCATCTCTCTCTTCTCCGCTACGCCTTTGGCTTCAGTCGCTGTTCTGCGGGAAGACACCGGGATGAGCTTCTTCTGTCTCATTCGGTCGCCGGGGTGAAGGCGGAGAAGCTGTAATGCGATAGCGGTAAGTTCACCGCATCGGAATTGTTCGAGAGCAATTTTACAGAAGACGTGCTCTCAATGGGAAGTGGTGACACTAGCCGTGGGAATATCATCACTCGAATTCTCTTGGGTTCTCACGGACGGCGGCGCCGCCTGTTGTCGCCGGGAGAGATTTCCATGGAATCTGTTCGTATGGGCTCGCTGGAGTTTCATTTCTCTCGAGTGGGCCTCATCGAGAAGGGGCAAAGCTGCGGACTTCTCGCGAAGGGGAGCTTCCGGATTCCCGTCAGAGTGCGGTGCGGTCTACGGGACGCTGGGCCGAGGGGGCAGCTCTGGAGGAGTAGGGTGCTGTCCTCGGAGGCTATCCAGGCGGTCCAGGCGCTTAAGCTCGCCAAATCCTCCAGTCCGTCGTCACTGTCGCAGCCGCCGTCGTCTCGTAAATTGGAAGATGTCTTCAACAGCAGGATCAGGCGGTTGCTGAAGGCGGATTTGCTCTCTGTGCTAACGGAACTGCAAAGGCAGAATGAATGGGAGTTAGCCGTACAGGTATTGTCTTGTTCGCACGAGCCGCCTGTTGCGTTCTTTCGATGAGCGTCTTCCCCGCTATCTGTTTGCTAATTTTCTTGTTCGAGATGAGCCGCTTTGGCGATGGTCGCCGAAGCATTTTAGCTTTCATGCCTCCGCGGCTCGAATTAATTATTTTCAGTTGGTTTTTCTCTGTTACAAGGATGGTAAGATGGAGTAGCTCATGCTTCTAGTCCTCCATTTATTTGAAAGCTTGGATTACCTTGCTGTTAGTCGACGCTTAAAGGACTGGAGATACACGATGCTTGAGGGAACTTCCTATGATTTTTATTTTATTTTTTATTTAGATGTGGTCCATCGATATATATATATATATAAAGCAACGCATCGTGAATGGGTATGATATTTAGGAACTTAAATGTCCAAAAGTCTTCGGTTCTTGAAGAAGATGGAACCTGCATTTATTCCCTTTATTACTTATGGAAATATCGCTCCTCTCCTGTGCAATGTATCGCTTTCCTGGTTCACGTATTTCCAAAATCTGTTTCATCTCATAATTTTCTGCTGTTTATCTATGCCTCTGAGATTTTCTTTTACTATTCTTTAGGTTTTTCGGTTTATCCGCGAGGAGGTATGGTATAAACCAGATTTACGTCTTTACAGTGACATGATCTTCATGGCGGGCAAGAACAAGCTCATCGAGATAGCTGAAGATCTCTTCTCAGAGATAAAAGCGCAGGGACTGCAACCAGACACCAGGGCCTATACCGAGATGATAGGAGCATTCTTGCATGTTGATATGGTGGAGAAGGCAATGGAGATGTACAAGCTGATGAAAGAATCTGGCGTAACCCCGAGTGAGTTGACATTTACCATCATGATTAGGAACCTGGAGAAGGCAGAGAAAGAGGAGCTCGCATCTATTGTTAGAAAAGACTGTGCAGAATTTTTGGATTACCCCGAGAGGTTTCTGAAGGAGGTCGAGAAGAAATACGTAAGTAAATATTCTTCTATTTCTTTCTTGTCTTTCATTTCTAGCACCATTCACTGCTGAAGTTCTTTCAGACTGGGAAAGAAAATGGGAATTTACCAAAAGTGTTAGATATGAGGGAACCCAGTCAGAGCAAGAGCTGAAGTTTTTAATACTAAATGTGCGTTTGAATTCAATACTAATCGTGCATCATATCCGTAGAGAGAAAAGAACCTAGAAGTTATCTCTGTGGCATCACTTAGAATTATGTGAACCTTTAGGGCTGTAAGTTCTGGAGAGCACTGCGCATTGATCTTGAGAGAAATTATTGTGTCACCATCGACTACAAGATACTGTAAAGAACAAAAACAGATGGATCCTACTCAAGTGGGTGAACAAATTTGTGACCAATGTATTCGAGTGTTATTCTCTGAATTGAGGACTACAAGTGAAAAAAGGACGTATGAGGTTTAGTCTCATATTGGTGATCAGATACCAATATAGAAATATGAATTCGATTATAGCTCAAGTGTCAACGTCTGAGTTTCTTCAAAATTTCATGATGCTTAGGACTTGTAGACCTTGAGAAAACCCAGAAATTATATGGATGCAGATGAAGAATAAATTATGTCATACTTAGCTTTCATGCAGTGAAAAGGTAAGGTAGATACTGGTTTGACTTTCGACAGAGGAGGGATGTACTTACTGTATTTTATTTTGCAACCACATCATTTTATAACAATCTTTCTGCTTCCTCTGCAGCCCAAGAGAAAGTCGATTAAACTTGTTTGAGGAACAAAGCATGCTGAGTTTGTAACTGTTGCATCTTGCATCTTGAAAGCATTGCCCAAGGGAGTAGTTGGTGATTTGTAAAAACAAGGCGCATCAAGTGAATAAAGCATCTTCTGTTCATCAGCCTACTTACTCTGATGTAGAAATATAAATTTACTTTGTGAGTTTTTTGGCATTTGATAGTTCAATCTTGTCACGAGAATTGTGATCAAAAGGAAGCAGAGAGCAGAAATATGTGCGTTGTAAATATGTTAAGTAAACCATAGGTGGATGCTCATTGAATCAAGCATGTTTATGTAAGAATCTGACACGTGAACAGACTCGTTGACATTATGATAGAACACCAATCCGACGAAGAACAAGAGCAGAAATAGGTTGAATCGCAGCAAGAATGATGGAATTCAGAAGCGGAAGAAGAACTGGGTTTTGGTCGAAACCCTAGCTGTTTGACGATCGTCTGAGAGGGCCACTGTTCTTCAATTAACCCAAACGATTCAATATCCATCCCCTCCTCTCGTCCCCCCTTATTTTCTCCTATGTCTATTGGAATAATTATTTAAACCCTGTTACAATAGTTATGTTGTCATTTTAGGTTTCTGATTGACTTAGGGGATATTTTGAATGAGCTCAGTGCAAAGAGAACACACCTATAGAGAACACCTCTTGAAACATGCATTTCTTGTTAATAATATACATACATGGAAGGATCTATCTGAATCGTTAGTGCTGAAAGTAAAATTATGAGTGCAGCATGAAAACATGCACCACATGGTGCAAAAGTAAATTTTTTTTATAATTGTTCCATTAATCTCATATATACTTCTATCTTTAGACTTTTTATTAAGATTTTTTACTATATTTTTTGTAAAACATATATTTATCGAGTTGACTTTCTCGATATACTGACCAAACCTTTTCAATCTCACTTAATAGCAAGCTTGTTTTTAACCTAACATATTCTATAAGTGATGACTTTGGTGATGAACTTTATATCTTTACTTGAAAGCATGTGACAGCTCTATGAGCTTAAGCACAAGTAGTTTTAAATTCTCAACCTAAAATTATTGAAAACCTTTTAAATCTTTCATCTTTGTCATTTATATCATGACATTCTTAAATATCATTGCAAAAAGATAGCCGTCCAGTGGGTAGCTTTTCTATTTTCATTCACATTTTGTTTTCACTGAAGTAGTTGTTATAAATTTGTGGGTTTAAACTCTTAAGAATAAGAGTGGGAAGAGAAGAGAGCAATAGGGTTCGAGGAGGAGAGGGAAGCCACTGAGAAGGGAGGAAAGGAGCCAATTATCTACACTAGATGTGCCTTAGTCTATGTAATATATGATATGGGTAGTGGGCCAATTAAAGATAAGTCATAGTGGGCCTTAGTGGGCCAAACACTCTGCACTCTCTTTCAACCTCTTGGTGAGTGAAACATCAAGGGTTTGTCTAAAAGAAAATTAAGATAAGATCCAATATGAGTCTTGGTAAATAAGTCAGTCAGCTGCAAAAGATGATTGAACTGCACTTTTGTTGTCGCAACAAAGAGGAGTTTGAGCAAATTGTGATACTCTTTTGTTGTCAATAAGTCCATATAGCTAAATATTTTTTGTTCTAGTAGAAGTCATAGCTCTATATTTATTTGTGGTAAATAAAGTAATAATGTTTCTTATTCTTGCATGAAATGAGAGAATCATCAACAAGAATACACCCACAAGTGATAGATTTGTGATAAGTAATTTCATCATCTCGATCGCCATTAATAACAATACGAAAATTTAATCCAGAATTTGAAGGAAATATCTAAGTTTAATAATTGAAATTCAATTTTTAAATCGTTCACTAATTCAAAGTTAATAATGTAGTTAATGGTTAATTTTGACCTGTATTTTTTAGTCAAAGTCTTTAAATCCATATACCACAAAGATGTCAACGAATCTAGAACACAATTGCCCAGTGACTGGAACAAAGAGTTGACATAATTTAACTAACAATATATACTGCAAATTGAATATTTAGACAAGTGAATGAATGTTCAATAAACAAGCGATCCAACAATCTCTCTACAGTAAAATAGATATTCTAGAAGAGTTACATCATCACGAGAGAGTTTAAAATCCAATTCAAAGGGGGTGTGAATTCTATGTACGTGAAAAATGCCTACTTGATCCAACAAATCAAATGTATATCTGGACTGACAAAGAATATATCATACAGGCGAAGAAGCGACTGACGTACTCAAGAAGATGACCAAAATATATCATATCAAATAGAGTATGAAGTTTGTTTGAAAAGGAGGAGAGGAAAGCCGTCGAGAGAGAAAAAGTGGGCGAATCGTCTGCACCGAATGTGCCCCTAGTCTATGCACTACACAATTTGGTAGTGGGCTCTAGTGGGCCCAACATTCTAACAACTTACACCTTTTTGCAGGTGTTGCCACTTATTTACGAGAGTTGACTTTTTTCTAATGTGTTAATGACTGAGCACAAATCATAACTTTAGAAGCCTTAAATATGTGATCAACATATTTATTCCCACACCAAATATAATTAATTGGATTACTTTTAGAGTTTAATACTTTTTAGGCTTTAGTAATTGGTTGGCAATTTCATAACTAGAGACTTTTCACAAGGTGCCTTTCACTTCTTTATTTTAAATATTCTTTTAAACTATATTGAGTGAATCACACGTGTTGGATTGGGGTTTGGACACGTTGGGTTGAGTTGCAACATTATGTCAACACACTGAATGATAATTAATGATGGACATAAGATTATAATGCTTTGGCCTTCACTCACTTACTAAGGTTCTTACTTTATTTTTCACTATTCTTCGCTATGAATGATGGATGATATCAATGAGATCATTGAATCTGCTTATATGGTAGATTTCATAAGTCAATGTCTTGTATTAGAGATCGTGGAACTAACTTACCCTTTATTTTTCCCCCTTTGTTACTAATACTTCTCAAAGTGATTTCATATACAAATAATAGCAAGTTTCTTTGATCTTGTAAGCATTTGAAAACTCGAGGAAACATTTTTTTTTAGATATATGTTAAAAGCTCTTAAGATGGGCTTTTTATAGAGCCCGACAACTTATTCATTATTCGAGTATGTCATCTGATGATTAATCTTTCAGATATGGTTTACGTCGATACATTTTACACGTAGTGTATTAATTACTCATGTTAAAGAAAATGGCTGAGTAGGGCCATTCCTGAGAGCTCCAAACACTCGCCTGAATAAGATCGCGGCTCCGACTGGGGCAGATGTAGGCCTACCGACCGTCGACGAGCTTCACGCCAGCGGCAACTCGCCCGTCAGGTGGCCGCTGTGATACCCGTCACCTGTGTGATAAGATGCCGGAGAGGGTGGGGAGGAATACGTCGTATTCCATCGAAGCGAATTTCAAGCACATCATCGTCTCTCCCCGATTGCCGCCGAAACTCCCCTCGTCTCTGGAGTGGGACGCCTCTTAAGGCTTCCAGCGGTCGTCGTCGCGAAGACTCCCCCCCGCGCCATCGCTCTCCCTCTTCATATTTGATGGCCACTATCCCCTCCCTCCCTTTTGGCGACGTCAGATCAGCGTCACCCAGTTCCTTCCTTCCCCTTCCGTTGTGCTGTTCGTCCCTACGCCGGGGCCCACCAAGAAGTTCGTCTCCGAGTTCGTATGTCCCTTAACCGCGTCCACTCGTCTCTCTCTCTCTCTCTCTCCCTCCCTCTCTACGTTCCTTTCCCTTCCCTAATCTCTCTTTCGTTTCTTCTTTCTTGCTGTCGCCCTCCTCCAGAGGCAGTGGATGGGCACCCCACCTGCCGACGTGGGTTTCTCACTCATCCCTTTCGTTACAGCAACGCAGCCCTCTCTCTCTCTCTCTCTCTCGATGGTTCTTCACACGGGTGTGAGCAGAGGATCGGTGGACCTAAAGGATCCATTGAAACGGACGGTCAGAAGGAGATCCTGCTGGTCGTGGACAGAGGGAACAGAACGACGATGGGGGCATTATTGTAGTTTATGGAAAGGGCAAGGTTGTTCTGGGAACTTCAGGGGCAATCATACGAAGCGGAATAAATTCTGGTTTGGAGTCCGCAGTGGGAGAAGAGAGTGGAGAGTGGAAAAGTGGGCGGAGAGCGGTGGGGACTGGTCTGGGGAGTGGAAAAAGGCGAGCACAAAGGAAAGGAGGGAAGCGGAGGAGGCCAGGAAAGGCGTGGGCAAAGCAGGATAGATTCGGAATCCGTCCTCCACGAAGCTCGATCCGCCGGGGGAAGCCTGCGAGAACGCTTTTACTTTCGTCGCGCTTCACACTGAGGTACCAGCTCCAGAAAGACAAGGATGGCCGGATTTTCTTCATTCCTTTTTTCCCCCGAATTTTTGGCGGAATGGTGGGAGGGGAGAAGCCGCTATGTTGCTTCGTTGCTGTCGACCTCTTCATTTTATTAAGTGCATTTTGCAACTTTGGCGATGGTAGCCCCTTTCTTGAACCTCTGACGCCGATTTCGTCCTCTGAGGTTTCAGTTGTTTGAAGAGACTGCAACAATGGAGTTCTATTATCAGGCGTTTGATTCTGATGGATGATGACGGACGCCTTACCTAGTGTTGCTATTGGAACGATTGTGTAAGTTGTTGGTGGGATTGGCTAGTTCATCTTTTTCACTCGTGTTGTAGCCGGAGAAAGATCTGTGATGCACGCCATAGCTTAGTTCCTTTTCTCTATCCTTCGGGTGAATGTTATTCTTCTATGGCGATATCCTTTGCGAGATTGTCCAATGGAATTTAGTCATCTAAAACTAGGCAACCAGGAGGTTGCCCTCTGCAGTTTCATGGCAAAATGACATCATCCAAAACGTATAAATTTGTTGAACTACACATAAAAGGTTCCATTATTTTTGAAACTTGACGTCTCTCTTCTTCATGCCATTAGTTTCGATTTTAATGATGGCTGAGGTTATTAGGGACTTTTGATTCGTTTGAGGGTGTGGCCGAGATTGGTAATGTACCTGTCTTTTACATTTGGAAATAATAAAATTTTGTGGTAGACGACCAAAGGAAAGCCTGATATAGCAATATCTTGCCATAGTTTGAGATTAGACGTACGATATTTTCTGGTTTCTATGATGGATGAAAGGGGCGCATAGTGCACTATGTAAATTATTGATGACCATCTGGTTGTTTCGTATCATTTTCTCTCCTCTCTGTTTGAATATTTTTCTACGCGGAGTCCCTTATCTTTTTGTGCTTTCTCTAGTTCTGGCAAAAGATTTCCGTTAACAGCTGCATCATTCCTATATTTCCACAAATAACGCTATATTGGATATTGCGCCCGTACTAAATGGTCATTTTATTTCATTGGCGAATTGTAAAACTTGTTGTGAGATATTTATCATAAAATTTACTTATCATTTATAAATGTATTATTTTATTTTTTTGATAGAATTATAATCAATAATAATGTTTGATTGTGTACCAAAGTGGTTCTGTGTGAAGACATTCCCATCCACTTTCTTCGTCAAGCTTAAACTGGATTTTTATGAAAGTTAAAAAGCATGTGGTTCAACTATTATTTAATTTTTTGTGTAAACACATGAACTAGTGTGTTCTGTCTTTGCTTGTGGTATTCTGCATCTTTCTTATGAATTAAATAGAAAATGCCCATTAAATTGAAGTGACTGTTTCCTTGTCTCTTTTTCTTGCAGTTATTCCTTCCGGAGTCAATGTGGCATAAGTCTTACATTTCTGCATGACGCTATGAATATTGTACTCTAGATGTTTGGGCATCTCAGGATTAATTTTTCAGTGGGTATCTATGTCCTCAGACGGTTAGAAAAACTATGGAGCATTATTGGGGTGCCCCCACTTCTCTGAGTAAGTTGTCAGAAACTTTTAAATTAAAATCATCGAGCGTGACATAATTTGGTGCTGTTTTGGACTTATATTTTTATGTCAGTAATTATCTTATGTGTTAATAAAAATGTAAATACAAAATTTGGCTACTACTCAGGATAATTTTAGGAGAAGGCTTCTGGTCAGAAAATGCAAATGTAAGGTGGTGAAAGAATGAAATGCTCTTGATAATCAAATGCAAAAGTAGGATACCGTTCGCATGCACTTGATGATCAGATTCTTCTGATTTTTCTTTGGGGATTATGTGATTATTCTTTCTTGTGATGATTGCTTCATTTTTCTGATGGTCTTTGAAATTGTTTATTTGGGGAAATATGTGGAGATATTTTTCGTGAATATGTGGTGAAGAGTTAGAAGTCTAAATTACTTATCTAAATTTTATGAGCATTTATAACGAGGGTACAAAGTCTCCATGTTTTTCCCGTGTATTTCTTTACACAACTGAAGATGGTGGTGCTTACATTGCTTTATTACTCTTGTAGAAAACGAACCTACAATAACTTTTTCTGATAGATGAACTTGTGGCAGCTCTTATTTGTTACTTAGCTAATTAATAAAAAATGATTCTATCTAAAATCAAAAAGTCCAAATCAAAAAAATCTAATTGATGGCATATTTTCAACAGGTCCTTTATCCTGTTGAAAATGAGTAAATCTATGTCATGAAATGCTTTGATTTAAAGTATAAGAGAACTTTTTTGTTTACATTTATTGACTTTAAACCTCCTAAAATACAGTTAGATCGTAAACTACCTTGATATCGGCTCTTCTTCAAGAAACATCCAGAACATCGAGTTTTAAATATCCACTCTTCTTTTCATTGGTTACTTGAATCGTTGATTCTGTAGAAAACTGAGACCATTTTTTTGATTGCAGGTTCACGTTACAATTGGTTGATGATATTTATCATCTCATTTTGTAGTTTTCGAGATGTTTTGCCGCAGGAAACGACACTAAGTACTAATTCTCGTGCGAATTTCAAAGTTAACGCATCTCCACCGCTTAAAGGACTATTTGATCCCATAGATATCTCACCTGCTGTCGTTCCACGCAATCCATATCCCTTGGAGGCTCTATCTCCGATGTACCCTTCCTTTCCAAGCACATACGAGCCGATATTGACTGGGAGATGCCCATTAAATTTCTCTGATATCTCAAACATTATAGACAAAACGGCATCAGATTGTTCTGCACCATTAGCATCTCTGGTTGGGAACGTTATTTGTTGTCCTCAGGTTAATAGTTTAATGCACATTTTCCAAGGTACTTACAGCAAGAACTCTGAGAGGCTAGTGTTGCACGAGGCATCAGCTGCAGATTGTTTTTCAGATATTATCAGTATATTAGCCAGCAGAGGGGCTAATAACACGGTACCTACCATTTGCTCAGTGAATTCGACGAATATGACTGGTGGTTCTTGTCCTGTGAAAGATGCAGCAACTTTCGAGAAAATAGTTAATACGAGTAAGTTGCTAGATTCATGCAGCACTGTTGACCCTCTTAAGGAATGTTGCAGACCCGTCTGTCAACCAGCCATTATGGAAGCCGCACTTCACATTTCTCTGAGGGAGTCAAGTCCTCTGGGTGGTGCTAAAATACCTGGAAATACCATAGGGGTTGATGCTATTAGTGACTGTAAAGGTGTGGTTTATTCATGGCTCTCCAGAAAACTGTCGTCAGAAGATGCCAACACTGCTTTTCGGATGTTATCTAGTTGCAAGGTTAACAAAGGTAAAACTGGCTCACGTTGCTGGGTGTAGTATATGTCATGTTTGGCTGGCTGATTTTACCAACTTAGAGGATGATTGTATATATTGCCTTTATATGCAATAGTCTATCTTAACGCTGTTTTGATAAATTTCAAATTTTCATGTTGTGATAATGTATGTGATCACTGGTTTATTAGTTTGACGTCGTAGTCTGTCGGAATTACCTTGCTATTCAAACAATTAAATTGGCAATTTCGTAAAGAAATGTGAAGAAATATGTCTCACTTGAAGAACAATCACGAGAAATCCTGTAGCACCATTCATGAATGGATTTTACGGCATTCTTTCATCAAATCTTTGGGCGTTTCTATTCCCTTCATCTCAAATTTCTTGCATTCCTTTTGCGGCTGGGTTAGGAGGGTAGATCATGTCTCCTTTTCTTCAACCCCGGAGAAGTCATTGTGTGGTTGATTGTGGGAGTAGGACCTTGGTTAGCTTTTCATGTGCTATGATATAGTTTTTGGCTTTTGCTTGATATAGTACGCTTCTTTTTTGGTGTTAGATCTTGTCATTTGTTACCCTCAAATGGATAAATGTATGGTTTGTCATGTAGAGATTGCTCAGTTGACAATAATCCATGTTCTCAGTTGCTGGTTGAATCATTTGTCTGTCTTTTACGAAACTCCTTTTAAAATGATCTGCCATTTGTCAGGCGTAGTAGTTCATCGGTCTGAAAATATTGTGCAAACGATAGAAAATTAGGATGTGGGAGATTAATTGGGAAAGATCCAATGAGTTTTGTTAAATTCTTGGATTTTGGCACATATCTGTCTTTTTTGTTGAGCTGCCTGAAATTCATTATGTAGTTTATTACCATGGGTAAGGTAGATGTGGGTTTCCATTTGTTTCTGATATGGATTTTGGTGTTGACTTGTTATATTGGTACTTCGAATCAATCATATTTGGACATATGGTGTTGGTTGGACTGCTTTTTAGTAATTTTCATTGGTATTATAAAAAAATTCTTGTAAACCACTCAATTCAGCACCCGTTTATTGGTGGATACAGTCTACATTTGTCTAGCTTGCATGTGCGGCGTTTCACCATCCAGTGAAGTAACTTTGTATGGTTACTTGACGGAGGAAGCTGTGCCCCTGAGAAGAATTTTCTACATGCGCACACTCTCTGATTGTTGCCAACATGTTTTCCTTCAATGCTACTCGTGGAATGATAGTGTTGTTAATGTGATGGGGTTCTTGGTATTGAACAGCACAGGCAATACGACTCTTTATATTTCTACTGCGTAGGCATACAAATTCTTTCGTAGAACATTGATACAACTCTTTAATTTTCATTTGTAGTGATTTGTCAGCATATCCAGTGAAATAACTGATTAAATGTTAAAACTTCCTAATTAATGCCGGAATATACATTACAATTTTACCAATGAACTTGCTGCGACGATGAGCTCTATACGTACTTATTAGAAATGGTGCTAAGACAAAACCCCATGCAATGCCTTTGTCTCATTGAGTTTGGTCCATTGTTTGATTGGCTAGATACTGTTTTTATGCCAGGTACATTATTTCTATGTACCTTGGTGTATCTCTTTTTCTTTTTTCTGGGTTCTGGTAGTAGATATTTCCGTGCCATCCATCAGATGGACTCATTACCAGGGATATGCGGTTGTACCTCAACTTTTCATGGGGAATCAATCTAAAATTTATAGTTGGTCCCTCTTTTTGGGATTGCTTCATTATGTTTAATTTAGCATTTGGTTTCATAAAGTTTTGATGGCTTGTGGTTGCCTGTATGAGGATTCATGGCTTCTGCTCTTCGTCGTCATTGGCAGACTCCAGAAAACTTATATGCCTTATTTGATGTCTTTTATGCAGTGTGCCCTTTGCAGTTTAAGGAGCCTTCAGCTGTCATCAAAGCATGCCGTGATTTGGCTTCTCCAAATCCTTCTTGTTGTAATTCTTTAAATGTCTATATTTCTGACGTACAAAAGCAGATGCTAATAACAAATAGGCAAGCCATAAACTGCGCCACATTGTTTGGGTCCCTTTTACAGAAAGGTGGTGTTATGACTAATGTATACGAACTTTGCGATGTTGACCTAAAGGACTTCAGTTTACAGGGTATAGCTGCTACTCTTAATTTTTCACTTTTCACATCTTTTGAGCTCAACGCGCTTATCTTTCATCTTCCTATCTGACTTGTTTTCCCCGCTGTTATGCATTCTCCTCATCTTTGAACTGGAGTAGCTTATCGGCAGCAAGGTTTGTCAGAGGACTTTTTTTTTTCTTTTGAACTAATCAATATTCCTTTCAAATCCGAACCGTTTTTCTTTCAGAAAATAATAAATTATCTGGCTGCAGGTTGCTTGCTTCGGAGCTTGCCGGCAGATGTCCTATATGATAATTATACTGGTTACAGTTTTACCTGTGACCTGAGTGATAACATAGGTGCTCCATGGCCTTCATCGTCTTCGCTTTCCTCTCTCTCCCTGTGTGCCCCAGGTACCCTGTTGGGATTTCTTTATTTATTTTTTTCATCTACGAGTTGAAGTTTTGAAAGATGTTGCCCTGATATGTGCATCTGAAACGTGTTTCTAATCCCTGTGTTACCCTGTAAGCACAGCAATAATGAGCCTGTGTTTTACTAAGAAAGTGACGAAGAATTCTACTTGGGTGTACTAAAAGGGGATGCCTGTTTAGACATGCTTTCTTATTACTGTAATTGGAACTCTTGCATGAGTTTGGGCTTCCTTGTCTTGCAGAGATGTCATTGCCTGCATTGCCGGTTTCCCAGACGTCTGGAACTCCTGGTATGCTTTTTATTTGATGACATGAAATTTATTCTTGTTTATATTAATCGTACATTTTCTTACTGCTCGTTAGAAAAGGGGCTTTCCTCTGAAAGAGGATTCCAAGAAGGTTCTATGAAGTCCACTTCAGATTTGTTCGAGATCCACGTGGTATTTTCCGTGTTGTATTTTTGCCGTGTTTATATGCGCGCGAGTTCTGCATGCGTCGTACTTTTTGCTTGTTGACCGGTAGTCTGGAAAAAAATACGTCAACTCATTTAAATTGAATGGTTGTCTAACTCCCATACATGTTCACGATGGTCTTGTGGAGGAGCGCGAGAAAACGATTGAAATGTTCCCACGTTGCGGTTGAGCTTGTGACACCGATGGAAAACTGTAGAAAATGGCAAAGAAATTGATCTGTGTGGGAATAGAGTAATGATGAGCATGATTCATGGTTTTTAAGAGAATTCTTTCTTCTACCCTTTTATGGCCATTATAAAAATAGTTTTGTTGCGACTGTCATCATTTGTTTCAACCTTTTCACAATGCTAGCGATACCGATGGCAGTAATTATCTTTCCCCGCGTGTCCTGTGGTCTCACGTGTTTGGCATTTGTGACGTAGTTGCCTATAACGAAGGCATGGGGATGCGACCCTGTCCGTTTCAAGCGACTGCGATTAGATTGCAGCGTCTCTCTCTCGGTAGTCTCCTCTGCAGTTAGTTGTCTTCGATTTTGACGTGTACAACCCCTCCTGTGACGGCTCCTTCGTGGTCTTGTTGGGCCTTTTTATTATGGCCTTCCTCGGATTTTCATAAAATCCGTGTAGGACATGTCTATTTGTGCTACAATGTTTGGTTTGAGAGGCATCCCCGTTTTCGTCGTCAGTGTCATGCATTGCTGGGCTGACGAATGTTCCTGTCATAAATTCACAGGTAGCAGAGAATTCGAATTCGGGGTTGCTCTTTTGCTGATGCTTTTGTCATTGTGTTACAAACACGGCGCCGTGGAGTAGGCCAGCGGGGCTCATTTAAACACGCCGCCGCCGAAGAATTCGCCCCGCTCGGCCCCTCCGCACGCCCTCGTTACGGCTGTATACTCGAGGTAGAAGTTCATGCTCTTTTGTACAGAGGTTCCCTACCTGTTATGTTTGGACATACTGCATTTTTTTGGATCTCGTGCTGGTGGGGGACGGGGAAAGAGGAATCGGGGAGGCTTGCAGTGATCGTGTTCAGGCGGACTTGCTGAAGGGAGAACGGCCGCCTGTTGCCCGCTCGTTCAGCTCTACGGCGCCCGGATGCCTCCAAGAAGTATCCTCCCGCCGAAGGAGCGAGGGGCAGCAGAAGCAGCAGCACCTCATCAGCACCCACGCCAAGCTGCGCAACAACAGACGGCGCGCGCGCGCTGTGCGTGAGGAAGAGGAGAAAGCCGTGCCCCATCTTCTGCTGCCGAGATCCGGGGGAGCTGGGTTTGGGGCTTGGGGGGAGCTGACTTTTGACTCACCAGTCCTTGAGAGACCAGCTCGGCGGAGAGGATGGAGCCTCCTCCTCCTGCCAGAAGAGGGCCTCGAGATGCAGTGCAGCGGGCGGCGGCGATTGAGGGTCCGTCTGGGTTCTGTATAAGAGGGGTGTGGTCTCCGGGGAAGAGGGCTGGGAGGGAGGGGAGAAGGGCGGGGACGGCGAGGGGGACGGCGAGAGCATGTACCTGCGGCGCCCCGGGCCGACGCTGACGGGAAGGAGGGGGGAGGAAGGAGTCGGAGGAGAAGAGCAACGAGATGTGCATTCGTCGCTGCTCATTGGACTACCTCACTTCGCGCCCCCTCGCCTGTTTCACCTTCCAACCCTTTCTCCTCGGAGGAGATCACCGATCAAACCTTGTGCTCTTGCTTCCCGCTTCCACGGTCCTCCTCTCTCTCGCGCAGGTGGAGGTTTTGATTTGCAGATGGGGACCTAACGGTCACTCCCGACAGTCAGCCGCCTGGGAACATAACACCCACGTGCCTACCCGTTTCACCTGTCGACGATGATGTTCGTTATTCTCTGCGGTACCACTTCCGTTTGACTTGTTAATCTTCATCTTCACCGTATCTTCTTCATAAGGCGACATGTCCGTTGAACTCTCTAAACTCTCTGTCCAAGCGTCGCGAATGGATAAAGCTTCAGCAGAGAAGATTGAAAATAGCGAGCACAGACATTTTCCTCGTGCCTAACAGGGTCGGATCAAAAAGAAACTCATAAATTCAAATACAGAGGTGAAAACCATCCAAAATTCTCTAGAGTTTTCAAATAATGAGAGTATCATCGAGCTTTCCTCCGGTCAAATGTCAACACGACCATTAGGGCTTCCAACGGGGGTTAGTCAACTGTTCTACCTTCGATTTTTCCTCATTTTCATAATTTTTTTTATATAGTTTTGGAAATCGGTGCGAGCTATTCATGTTTGGTTCGCTCATTCTACAGGACTTAAAAAATAAAATAGTCTAGCGATTTATAACTTTATTATTTATTTTGAAGGTTCTTCTCTTATGAAGGACCGACAACGAAGGAAGTGCAGGGTGGGGCCCGCCATGAGGATGAGCGGACTCGGCGCCGCCAGCCCCTCGTCTCACTTTCAGCTGAGTCACAGTAGGCGCGTGGGCGGCACACCCAGCACGGATGACGGATGACAGGCAAAGCGTAGTCAACGCGTTTGAGTTCGAAGAAAATGGGCATCGAGAAGGTCGGGACTCTGCTGTCGTCGATCGCTCTCGCGTGGCATGTCGGAGAAAAGAGGTGGGGTCAGCGCGGATGAACTCTTCCAGATGAGATGCACCTGCGCCATGGATGGAGGTTGAGGGAAACCTTAAAATACTCCATCCGGCACCTTCCCCGGATGGACCTTTCTTCGCCTTCAAGATCTCTCGTAACCAAGGATCCCTTGCAGTCTCTATATAGACGCCGTACGGGGTCATCTATTCCCTCAGGAGAACGCAGAGGGCACGGAGGAAGAGATGGAGATGAGAGTTTCTTTCGTTGCCATCTTCTTCTGTGGCCTGCTGCTGGGATCCTCCTCGGTGAATGGAGACGACGATGACAACGGCGGGTCCTCTCCCTTGAGTCCCTCCTCGTCTGTTCCTTGCTCTTTGCCTCTCGACGTCAGCAGCAAGCTTCTCCCTTTCAACACCTCCTCCCTCATCTGCAGCAGCGTGTGGAGTTCCCAGGGCTTCACGCTGATGGTAGATCCTTCTCTTTCCTTGCGTCATCCGCACCGCTTCATGTCATTCTGATCCCCGAGGGTGCTCCTTCGCAGTTCAAGCAGAGCGGGGCGAGCCTGTGGAGCTTCGTCCTCTCGGCGCCTGATGACAGCGCGTACATCGCCGTGGGCTTCTCACCCAGCGGCAGGATGATCGGCGCCAGCGCCGTCGTCGGTTGGGTCACCAGCTCCGGCGCTGGGATCGTGAAGCAGTATTATCTTGGGGGCTACCGCTCAGGGGACTGTCCGCCGGACAAGGGGAGCCTGAAGCTTATGCCCGGTAGCTCGACCATCGTATCGCAGTCCTCGAAGCTGTACCTCGCGTTCCAGCTGAACATCGCTGCGCCCGAATCGAACCTGGTCCTCGCCGTCGGGCCTCGGGGGACGTTGCCCGGGTCGGACAATTACTTGCCGCAGCACCGGACCATGGTGCGTGTCTCCGTTAACTACGTCTCCGGTGAGCCACTGTTCCCTCGAACCCACCTCTCATACTTCCCGCGCCGGATTCTCCGTAAAGCTGTTTTAACGCCGTCGTCGTCGCAGGTCAGGGCAGCTCCCCCGACACCACGTCGGTGACTTCCCCTTCGACTCCATCCTCGTCAGTGTCAGCTTGCTCCGCCAACCTCAACATCAACGCCAGCCTCATTCTCTTCGATACGTCGTCTCTCAAGTGCTACACAGCGTGGAGATCGCGGGACTTCACCCTGCTGGTACCCGCGTCGTCGTCTTATTCAAACACTGGCGGCGATGCCGCCGCCTACCACAGACTCTGACTGATGACGCGATGTCTTGCCCTTCTTCCTGATCAGTACAAGCAGAGCGGGCCGAGCCTCTGGAGCTTCGTCCTCACGGCGCCGGACAACAATGTCTACATCGCGATTGGGTTCTCCTCAAAGGGGCGGATGATTGGGTCCGACGCCGTCGCCGGCTGGGTCCCCAGCTCCGGCGCCGGCGTTGTGAAGCGGTACACGTTGGGAGGTTATAGCCCCGGGGCGTGCCCCCCGGACCAGGGGAACCTGCGGCTCGTGGATGGCAAGTCTCAGATCATCTCCCAGTCGTCGCGCCTGTACCTCGCCTTCCAGCTGAACACTTCCCAGCCTGAATCTAATCTCATCTACGCCATCGGCCCCAGCGGCCAGCTCCCGTCGTCGGACTCCCTCCTGCCGGCTCACGTGGCCTCCACGAGCACCAGCCTCAACTACGCCACTGGTAATATTCCCTCCTCTCGTTCCCCCGAGGATTTTAAACGATCGAGATCACGAAGGAATAACTTGAATTCGGCACTTTTTTGCTTAATTAATTGCAGGTGAGAGTTCCTCAGTAGTAGCGAGTTCTAATCTGCAGCGATTTCACGGGGTTGCGGGTATGCTGGGGTGGGGAGTCCTCCTGCTCATTGGAGTCGCCATTGCTCGCTTCTGCAAGCGATGGGATCCGTTCTGGTTCTACGGCCACCTCTCCCTGCAGTTATCCGGGTTCGCCTTGGGAATAGCCTGCGTCATCTCCGGATTCAGCCTCGAGGACAAGGTCGGCGTCGACGTCGACGTCCACAAGAGCCTGGGGGTCTTGATACTGGTGCTCGGTTGCCTCCAGGTCGGCTGAAATCAAACTCGGCGGAACACTAACCGATTAAAACCATACATTCTGTGACGATCTTTGACATGATTCCTCCGGTTATCAGGTGACAGCGTTGCTGGCCCGCCCTGACAAGGGGTCGAAGATGAGGAGATACTGGAACTGGTTCCACCACTACGTCGGAAGGGCCGCCATAGCCTTCGCCATCGGGAACATATTCTACGGCTTCTCCTTGTCGAATGAGGCCGTCTCGTGGAGCATCGGGTACGGGGCCTTCCTGGGCATCTTGCTTGCCGTCTGCTTGGTGCTGGAGGTCTGTGCGATTTTGAGGAACCGTGAGAGTTCCCACTCAGTATAGGCAGGGATCATCGCAGGTTGTACTGCATACGACGTCAGTTTTTCTGGATCTTATGTGTTTTACCCATTCTGAGAGGGGGACTCGATGTCATCTCTCGAGTCCACCAGTGCGCACGATCATTTCTCCCTGTACTCGTGTAGATTCACCATATCGATCAGTGTAGTTCTTCATTATTTTGCTATGTATAATAAATTATCTATGTATAATAAATTATCTACTATGTATTTTCCCTGTCTGTACATCTTGTTACCCGGGTTTGACCAGATGCATTTATCGATTTGAGAGAGACAGAGAGAGAGAGCAGGTTGGAAATTTTCGTTCTGGGTTTGACTCGGAGGCATAAATCTGTGGGCATTGTGAGACGTAGGAAGATTGAGGCTCTACCTCTCTCTTCAGTGCTGACTTCTGAGACAGGCACGGTGGATAAGTAGACGTTGTCTTGACGCAGGAATCCATGTGGTCTACGGAGGCAGTATGAGATATCCGTGGGCTTGCTCCCTGGCAAAACAGGGGGCGACTTCTCCCCCCGTAGGAGAGAGAGAGAGAGAGAGAGAGAGAGAGAAGGTGGCAATGGGCCATGCTCGTCTGCTCCAGGGAATGACGAAAGGGGAAGGACGAAGGATAGATAGCCTACCGATGCCGCCTTCGTCATCTCTGATCTCATCTTCCTCTCTTCCAAGAAGACACCGCGTCTCTCACCGATAACGACAGCTCGGCGTTCCTCCACCGATAGGTTATTCCGTCGTTAAGGGGTGACCATCGTCGCCTCCGTGGAAGCCTTCCGATCGCTGATTGGTCTCCGAGTTTGCTTCGGAGGAGCGCTGCCATGTCCCCAACGCAGGCCAACGTCTGCAGTGACGATCGCGTATCATTTAAGCATCCTTCCAACTCTCATAATCAGTTTTTTTTTTCTGTTTTTTTATTTTGGGGAGGTGGTTCTTATCCCCGCCCCTGAATGTCGGCATGAACCTTGATGCTCCTAAGAACAAATTCTATATATTTTCCTTGGTAAGCTCCTCAGGTTGAAATATTTAGATAGTGAGATTTTGAAAACCTTTCTAAGCTCTTTTAGAAACCCAGATATAAAATAGATTGACGTAGCTCGCGAACCGAAATAGCTGCTAAGTACCCAGAAAAAATTGTTCGGCTGCATGGGGACCCCTCCAAACTGACAAGATCTTTACATGGATAAAAGACCGTGAGAAATGGGGCCATGAACATAAGACGAAGATAACCATAATCATCTTCGTTAAGGAACGAGATCCCAAAACACCGGCTCTTGAATTTTTGTGGGACTTTAAAAAAATAAAATAAAATCTGTACCGCGGTCAACTCGATTTGGGCGGAGAGCCCTTCTGAGTTTAATGCTCACTTTGCATCTGGCATCAAAACATTGGACAAAGGGGGAAATTATCCAAAGTCAAAAAATGGCGACCATTGACTACACTGGACGCGGGAAATTTATAGAACTAAATGTAAATATATTTATGGAAGTACCCATGAAATTATTTGAGCTGTTATGGCCAAGCTGTGGATGTTCCCACAAGGCATAACGGGTGAAAGGACGGGGATTCCATCCAACAGATGCTTGAGTTCATCTCTGGTATTCCAAATCAGTTGCTTGCAGGCGAACGCGAGCAAAAAAGAATCATTACTTGATCTCTCCAGCAGGACAGGAAGCCGCATCAAGTCTCTAAAATCTCTGCAAGAGAAAATTTTAAATTTATTTTCTGCATAAAAAAGGGTAAAATAATCTATAAAAAGTTGACGAAAGCAACTCGGATGAAAAATGAAGAAGAAATAAACTTGCTTATTCACTGAACCTGCATGTCTTTGCTGTCTGATGTGCTGTCCCGATGATTCTGTTTCTGGTTGGGAGAAGAAGTCAAAGGCACCTTAGCTTTGTTTTCAGGGCCTGGTTGCTGCGGCTGAGGATGACTGTGTTGATTCGGGTGCAACTGCTGCTGGCGCTGAGAATGAAGCTGAAGCTGCTGAAGCTGTTGAGCTGCTAAGAGTGACTGCACGGAGTGATGGTTGTGGGAATAGAATTGCTGAGTCCCACCATATGAGGACCCAAGATTCATCATCTGAGAACCGTTTGGCATTGCCTGGCCTGTGACCAACTTCAGACGCTGAACTTCCTCTCTCAGTGTGTCATTCAATGCTGTCGCAGGAGACATTGAAAGAAGATGTGTTCATTGAAACATTCTGTGAAAGTAGGCAAGTTCTAACAGTCATGAAAGATGACGCCGATAAAACAATGTGAGCCCGCATATGTTCGACAGCTTCTTGTTTGGGTAGTGGCTATTAGTGGAACCAAGCAACACATTGAAGTTGATGATAACGATCTAATTCACAAGGCAGCTGGTATATTTCTTTTTCTTTTTCTTCATATGGATAGAAGACTCAGAAGAGTCGCTTCCTTCCGCATAAGGATTAAGCTCGATGCAAGTCATTGGAGTCAGTGAAAATAATTCGTGCAGGAAAACGCTGATCCTGAAAGCTGGAACGAAAATTCATTCCAAAACATATTGCCTTAGCACTGATATGTGATGGGACTGTACCGTCTTGTAGGTGTACTTGTTGCTCCATGGTCTGCAAACGTAGCTTCAGTTCATTGTTTTCAGCATTCAGACCACTATTATCCCTCTGACATTATGAAGGGAAAAAAAATAATCAATTAACGAGAAGGTGATTATAGAACAAAATAGCTAAAAATGAGCAGGATAAATCGGGCAACAAAAAGATAACTCAGAGAAACATATCACAACACCATTCAAAATAGTACAGGAAATTCAAAGTAGACATAACATCTGCAAAGGAGCTCACGTATCAAGGAGTTCGGGATTTGATTAACAGACCTGTAGCATGGTCAATTGGGCAGATAGTGTTGTGGCTTCTGTTTGAAGAGTTTGCACTTTTCGCTCAAGTTCAGCTATGTAGCGCATTTTCCTTTCTTTTGACCTGGCAGCTGACTGTCGATTTGCCCAAATCCTGCCATATTTAAGTGCTAATCAGTTCAAAAGTACAGAACATATCAGCAACTCGAATTAAAATTAGGCATAGAAAATCAAAGAACAGCGTCAGCTTGTTTAGCATGTCTATATTTTAGAGGATGAATGCATCACGCTTCCTCCTCTTTTTGGGATTAGTTAACCAGACAAACCATGCAATACACCTGATTACTTTCAGAACCAGGAAAAACTGGGTAAAATCCTCACACATACCAAGAAACTGTTGCCCTCCACTTTCACATGATTTCCTCACTGTTTTAGTTTCTTCTTCAGTATCCCTAGATTCTTAACTCACACTGACTCATGTTGCTTCACATCAGGGCGAACAACTTGTCAAAAGAAGTAGTCTGGCTAATAGCCGTACTCTGTGGCACGAGTGATCCAAACCTTATAGTTGGAGAACAGATACTAATAAAAACAATGTGCGCAAGAAACTATTCAACAGTTCGTGATATACCAGCAATAACTCATACAGAAATTTGAGACATTCTACGCAGTAGAAATCTCCAACAAATTAGAGGGAAAATATGAGGCAACTTTAGTTTCCAAGGTTGGCACTCTTTTGCATGGCCCACTTTGATCATTCCTTCCTACAGATGGTTTTAGCTTGATAGATCCGAATTTCAACATTTCCACACATTTTCCCCCTCAATTCTCTTTGCCTTGGCCGTTGCTTGGTTACGGTGAAAGATGATGCCTACCTCAAGGTCGCCCTTGCTGGACCACCTGTTGGCAGCCGAGCTTTTCCCCTCTCCATTCGTAATTTTCTTCCTACATCCCCCATTTATTCATTTTATCCAATTTGCAGCTGTCTACAGCAAAAATCTCCCCAGAATGATAAGCGAGCGTTAAAAGGGTCTTGGCCAATTGAAAGTTTAAATGTGCAAATTGCATGAGCCAAACTGATACAATACCAGTCAGCCAACCATGACTTAACAATTTGTTTTGAAAAAAAAAAAAACAAACCATTCCCAATTATTTTCTCTCATCCCCAAAGGGGCCAGGGCAGCAGTTTTGGTGTTGTAACATAAGCCACACACACCTGGTTCGACTTATTGGTTGCATGTAGCCACTACAGGGAAAACAACCCTGGATGGCATTGCCAACAGCACCCTCTTCTACATGATACAGAAGACAAGAAAAAAGCCTTCATCAGGCTAATACCAGGGCAAATGAGAAACTGTTCCAGAAGAAATGGAACGTTAATAATGCCCAGTGGCTGTAAGTTTTGCAAAAGGGGACCGTGCCATGGTGCAGCTGCAGTTGTCAATGCTGATAAGCCCAACACTCGAGCCAGGTTCATAACCCAATGAATTGAGAAACAGCACATTCACCAGTTATGACTACTGTACCCACTTTCCTTGCTCCCATCACCATGGATCCCCTTTGCCTCATTTGCCAACAGCCACTATAATACTAATGTTAATGACAACGGAACTGTCAGACAAGCTAGGATCTCGTTATTGTAGTGTCTCTCTTCTATTTGGGCCCTTAAGTGAGTCAGTTATGGACTACTTAATGGGCTCTCCCTTTCTTTCTTCAAAATAAGAGGGCTTGGCCAACTACCGGTGTAGAGGTTAACTGAAGATGACTTTTCGAGAATCTACTCTAATGGGATTTTCTAGGCGGCTCCAGTGAGAAGGGAGGGTGAAGACCTGATCAAGAATATCAAGATCCTGGTTTGACAGGAACGATGGATTTTCTATGAGACATTAAGTCTAGTTCTGTAATATGCATTTTTCAGCAAGAACTATCCAGAAGAAGCCTTTACAGGAGTTGAAAAAATGCCGAAAGTTTCTTTACATACATGCTCTTCTTTCAGTGGTTACCTAAAAGAATTCGCCACTGTGAGATCAACCTCTTAGCAATTGGCAATCCCGTAAAAAAAAAATGTTAAGTGCTCCACTGTTCCTCAGATGTTCCTCTCCATGGCCCTATTTTCGTGAACACTGCAATCTTCAAAGCAAGTAATTGAAATCGGTCCGGCAAATGTATCAGACCTCTGCAATAGGATTAACGACAAAATGAATTTAGTGCAAAGGTACTCAATTTTTTTATTTTTACTTGTATAGAGAAGAAAGCTCACACAAAATTAAGAGAAAACAAGAGGCAACCTCCTTCCTCATTGATCTCTTTATTTTCTCATTAATTCTCTTTTACTCAGAACCCGATTGGCAGCAGACGAGGTGAAAAAAATGTATTGAAAGTTTTGTCTGTACCCTTGAAAGATCGAGGGGATGCATGTAATCCTCTGGGAATATGAGTGAAAAGTTTGGGGCCAACGTGAAGTTTATTACTACCTTCAAAACATCTCCTACGTGTCATGCCACCCTAACGGCTGCCACAATGGTGGTGCATCCGGCAAATGACTTCAGATATTTCCCAACTCGTTCCAACATGTGATGACCACAACAAATCAGATCAACAATCAAGATTCTTGAGTCAGCCACTCAGCTCTCTTGTCAAGCCAGGGATGATCACATGCGAATAAGATTCACTGGAATCAGCCAGCCGAATTCACACCAGACTTATGCCGTATGATGCATCACACAAGTAGCTAAGATCTAAATCTGCCAACACGGTTAACAGTATAAAACCTAGTATATTAAAGGGATTGAGAATAAGTAAACGAGTATTGTCTTTTGCAAAGACGTATGAAGGTGCAACTTTTCTACTAAACATTTGAACAAATAAAATTTTAACACCCCTCAACATGATGCCTCCCAACCTGTGTCACATGCCAATCTCAAGGCAGTTCTGGCCTCCTACTACCGCTGCAATCGCTCACATAAGATGTGGCTTCGTTTCCACCATCGAATGTTTATATCCCCTTTTCGTCCATTTCTTTTGAAGTCCCCTCAATGTCAACATTTCACCACATAGGTACTCTAAAGATGCTCAGAGATATTTTAAAAAGCCCAATGAAGACCCTAAAAAACAAAACTTTCATGCATATCTCAATCTGACCTGCTCATGTCGCGTGAGTGGGACTAACATGATCCAAGGTAAGCAAGATGACAGTTTTTCAGGTAAACAAGGCCAAGACCAAGCTTGAGTGAGTCAACCATAACAAACGTCGCTCCGTGACTCCATAGTATGCAATCTGACATGTCCCAAGTATAGGCATGGTCCGTATATTTCTCGTGCTGGTTCTTTCACAAATCCACTCTGATTTGTCCATAAATTCAAGGAATATAAAGCAAATGAGTTCCAAAATTCATGGTTTTATATGCTCTTCATCCTCGAGTCTAACAGATTAACCATAAATTTTAAATTATATTACCAAAAATCCTACAATATTGTAGCAATCTTGTTTATTTTATTAAAAATCACAATAACTGTGTTTTTTTCCTAGGAAACAAGCAGGGATGATTAAAAAATGTAGTTTCTTCACGCTTTCTTGTTGGCCCATAGATAAAGAAAACTAATCAAAACCCATATTTAGCAAAATGTCACATAGTCTAGCAAGTTGTAGAAGCCGGCCATAAAATAGGGATAGGCAGCAGAAAAAAAAAATCAGACAGCGAGAAACCAAAAAAAACTATATAACTTACAAAAGAAAGAAATCCAGGGCAAATAAAAACAATTCTATGAGAAAAGAAAATAAACATATGTTCCGGGAACATGAATAATTGCAGCTCAATTATCGAATGACCAGATAATAATGAAACAATTTTGTATAAATAGCTCAAAGCTAACGTATTCCTAAAGAATATTAAGGAGTATTAACCTTTTTGCACGCTTTGGATCAATAAGTGCAAGATCAGCAAGTTTTGCTGCTGACATAGCTTTCTTTGCTTCTGCTGATGCATACCCTTCTGCGCCAGCAGCAAGCAGCTCCGGATTGATTGAAGTCGTACCATCCATAGACTGGCTGTGCTGGTGCCGAATCCTCGGTCGGTCATTTGTGCCAGATGTCAAATTATCAGGCTGAAGAGGAGCAGACATAGCTGCATCTGGCGCCGTCCCTGAAGATTCACCGAGCTGTAAAGCCATCGACCCAGACAACTCCGATGATGAGCTGAACTTCTCCATGTCGATGTACATAGACAATAGGTCCTCCTCTGTTTCATCCGACATTGATGGACCCTCAACAGAACCGACGACCCCGAGGTCGCTGTCAAAGCTTATATCATCGGGCAGACTGAGAATCTCGGAGTGGGCCCGCCGATGGCCGACGTTCCTTGGAGGAAAATCCGACATCCTGCTGATATCATTGCTGAAGCGGCCAGAATCGAGCTGGCCGAAGTGGGCTGTCTCTACAGACGATCCGGGAGAAGGGGACGAGGAAGGCGAGGCCTCTGACTTCACAGGAAAGCCACTGCTCGACGGAGAAGCGGCGAAAGAGGGGTATCGGGACGACGGAGGCGGAAGACCACCCCCGGGACCGTGCGCTGGTAATTTTTCCTTCTCCATGGAGCAATTAGCTCCGAAGCTCGCAGCGGGTTCAATTAGATAGGCCGACAGGGAACTCTACCGGCTGGACACAGGACCTGCGAGGAGAACAACTTCCGATAAACGAACGGAGAGTCCAACCACGAAATGCAAGAGACGAAAAATGCACCTCTGGTGTATGCAGGACAGTCACTCTACAATGCGCAGATCTGAGCCTGCTGATTCCGGACGAGAAGCCCCCTCCGAGTTGCGTGACAGGAGCTCTCCTCCCACCACCTCGGGAAACCCTAGAAATTGTGAAGAACTCAGCGAACGTTTTCGGCAAGAGGGCGAGGAACGCGCACAGCGAGAGAGAGAGAGAGAGAGAGAGAGAGAGAGAAGAGGAAGAGCATTCGTCGGAACGGGAGATTTTGCTGATGCTAATAAAACACAATAATTGATGGAAAGCGTTGCCCATACTGGGCCCACCTAATTGATGGAAATCATTGCCCATTCTAAGCCCATACTGGTCCGTATGGGCTGTTAGGGATGTGGCCTCCCCCTCCCCGTGCGATAGGCCTAGTAGGCCCACTTACACGTATCCGTTGCGGTTCTACAACCCAGCAAAGGTGTCAGTCACCGCCGTGTACCCCTTGGCGCCGCCTGCTTCGCACGGCAACGGTCGCTGAACTCCGCAACCGGAAACCGCCGCCCACCATCAGCTTCGTCTCAGGGTGGCAGCTCACGGGTTCTATAAGCTTCTTCACCGGAGAAGGTTCAGAACTGGGCAACCCATCGGCTCCCCGTTGAAAACCCTAGAGTAGTCTTCCGAGCTACCCGACGCTTGACCCGAGAAGGAGTGGCTTCTTCCGACCAGATGGACGGTGGCGGTGGCGAAACGATTGTGGAAGTTGGAAAAGCCGCGGAGACAGTGTCCGAAGAAGGCGAGACCTCGTCCTTCCTGTACGCGACGGAAAGCCTCTGCATGCGGTGCGGAGAGAATGTAATGGCGTCTCCCCAGAAGAACAGAAAAAAATTATCTTCAAATTCTGTTTTTTTTCTCTCCCTGATTCTTTCAGTTTGCTGACTCTGCGACAGGGCACAACCAGGTTCCTTGCAACCAGGATTCCACATTTTAGGGAGGTATGTTTTACCCCTTGCTTCTCTCATTTTTTTCTTCTTCTTCGCCATTGTGATTTTTACCCATCTTTAATCTCTTTTCCTGCTAATTTAGGTTATACTGATGGCCTTCGAGTGCCCCCACTGCAACGAAAGGTCCTCAGTCTGAACTAATTCAGAATGCCGTCCATGCTGTTAGACTTTATATGTCATCCAAAAATGTACTTGCGCCACTAAATACCATCTTTGACTTTCTAACAATGGTCATGACTTGTGTTTCATTCTTCAGAAATAATGAAGTGCAGTTTGCTGGTGCTATCCAGCCCCGAGGCTGTCTTTACAGTTTGAAAGTTCCATCTGGTGATGTTCAGGTAAATACAGATTTTTGTTGAAATTTCTTTTCTGGGGTTTGATACGCATTTGTGTCGTGTACGTCGTAAGTCACTTCCTTCTCCTTAACCTATTAATTATTATCCACTGGGAACCTTCACTGCTGTACTTACCTGTTTAAGTAGGAACGCTGTGCCCTCTATATGACGTGTTAGCCATTTCATTGAGTTCTGGTTTATATTTTTCCATCAATTATGAAATCGATAATTTCGTGCTAGATTTTTGCTCTAATTTCCCTATCTGGACTCCAGATGGATATGAATCCCATGGACGTGTAAATTGAGGCAGGGATCAAATAAGCCTATCTTAAGACAAAATATAGAGCGTAATTTGTTAGATTAGTGATAATTTGTCTGTTATCTATTGGTTTCAAAGGATAAGCAGATTGATTGATATTCTTGGCTATGGGCAGATGAGAAATTCGTTGCTTTCAAGACTTGACGCATTGTGGGAATTTTAGACGAAATTTTCTAGATTATTGAGCTTGGAACTGCTTATCTAGAACGGAACTTGAGATGAATGCTGCCCAGTATATTCATAAATGGCTGACTTGGAGGAAATAACTACTAGTATTTCACATTTTTGTTAAATTTAGTGTGAAGTGACTGAAGATGGAACAGTCAAGCTGTGTATTTTAGATTTATCGTTTCAGCAGCAATGCTTAGAAATAGTAGTCATAACCAAAGGTGCCTATGAAGTTAGGTGAATGTGTGCATAATATTCATACAGGGTCTTACTGTTTGCTTGCTATGTTGAGATATTCTTCGTGCATTGGTTAATAAAGCGGCCTGTGGCGAATTGAAATTTGATTGTTGTAAATAGTCTCCGGTTAAACTTTATCTGTAAACCAGATGCAATGCTATAATCACCAAGGGAAATAAGTAGAATTCTAAATTTTCGGTAGTCCGATCCTTCTTTCCCTCTTCACTCACATCATTATGTATTATTTTTTTTTCTTTCCATCTTTCCCTCTTCACATGGGAATAATATGGTAGAATGAGAAGTTGAAACCAAAGTTCAAGTGTTGTAATTGTCAAGAACATACGTTTTTTGTTGATTTTCGTAAGGGTACAAGTATTTCACTTAGATCGTGGCGAAAAGGTTTGTTGCTTTCTCATTCACAATCCTACCCGTGTGTGACTACGTAGAGGACAAAAATGTTTGTCTGTCTTTGTAATAATACCAGTTGTCAAAGGGAATTGCCTTCTTGGAAGAGAGTGTAGTAGATCCCCTGCTGCGTCTTAATATTGCTGATGTCAGTACCTGTTAGTTTGATGATAACTTACAATGAACCGTACATCAACGGTCTCTTGTCCAGTTTAGGAACCCCTTTGATACTCTATGAACAATTGAAAAAACTGTGCTTAGGGCATGATATCAAGTTATAGGGAAGATTTTGCATCCTGTGTAATAGAATGCAAAATCCTGGGTTACATCTATGTCGTACTAATTATATTCCTTTTTTGCAGATTCTTAACCGCCAAGTGGTAAAATCTGATTCGGCTTCCATCAAGGTGTGGTTCGTGTGCTGAATGTGTATTTTTCAAATTCATTTTTCCTTGAAATGGTGGTGCTTGAGTTTTAAAGAAAATACCCCCCCACCTCTTCTAGTCATATTTTCATGTTCGTACTTCGGTTGATTATCATTTCTTGTCCATGACATCCAGCTCTCTCTGTAAATGTTTCGAAGGGTTTAATGAATATGCACTTGCATTTAGGAAGAGGTTTAAGAAATACAAGTCAAAAAGGCCTGCTAGGGGCCAGAACACGAATCAACATACCTCTCGACATTAACATTCTAGCATGTTGCCTATAGGTTGTTCTAAAGCCTACTTATTGTATGTGCTTTAAGCATCAATCTGTTTTTCTTCTACATTGTTATGGCTCGTTTGATATTTTATTTGAAGAAACCGAATTAAAGTCATTGCAACATACTTTACTGAACTTCTTTTTCATCCATTTATTGTCAATTGGTGTTCTTTCGTCATAGTTTATGGCAATTTTCGTCATAGTTACGAATCAGCATACTCTATATGATGTTTCTTCTGTCCTTTTGTTCTTAGGGACTGTACCATATATTACTGTGAGAAATGAAGTGATCTCCCTTCGACACCCACTTGCTTCTAAATATAAGATACCACCGAGAGAAACATGCAGCTGCTTGATGGCAGAAAAACATATAAAGGAGTGATTCCACAGAAAATTGCCCATCATGGTTAGACTTCTATAGAGTGTTTGTTAAGAATGAAAAATATGTCTTACCTCTATTGTGTTCCAAGTTTCCTTTTTATTGGATGGGCTATACCAAGCTTTGTAAAAATACTTAGCCTTTGCCATTTTTTCGATGTCAAGCATATGAATATCTGTGGAATAATTGCTCAGTATTGAATCCTGCTTCAGTTTTCCAAATTTTTTTCTATAATTCTCTTATTCGGTTTTCAAGGACCAATCTCTGTGACTTTATTAATATGTAGTGAAAAAAGAATTGTTCTCTCAGTGTTTAGTTCTCATATAGAAATATCTAGAGCCTGGTGAGAAAGGAACGACTCATTTCTTGTCTCAATTCAGGACATGTATCCCACTCTTGGATATGTTTCATTGTCTGATAATTTGTTTTCCACCAAATCGCATCTCCTGCCAAGATTTTGCTGTATCATTTTGGGAGGAAGCTGGTATTTCATATGTTCCATAACTATGTGATGTGTGTACAATGGTATGAGTTGTTTTGAACTATTGGCTTGGTCCTTGACACCATTTCCCCAAGACGACACTTTCTTTTTTTTAAGGAACGTTGTCCTAATGGCTAGAACATCATTTCACCCAAGGCACTGCTGCATGAAATTGATGTCATATTTTTTCAAGTGTAAACACTTTTTTTCGCGTGTAGGTGAAATTGACGAACCTCTTGTGTGGTCATCTGCACAAAAGTGATGGCTTTGATTTATCTGCGTTTCCCTGTGTTCCGATTGATAATTGCTGTTTATCTATCTCATTGACCTTCTCCTTGTTACATTTCCTTTCAGATACCGGAGTTGGAATTTGAGATTCCTCCTGAAGCTCAACGTGGAACTCTTTCTACTGTATGCCAACCGTTCTTTTAGATATGTGATTCTATTGAATTGGAAGTAACCATAACGGATGTTGATATGAACTCATAGTCAGAAGCTTAGCATCGCTCTATATTCCTATACTAGTATTTTGGTGTCAGATCCATTCTCTATTTTTTGCATGTCCATGAAGTATGCTCCCGGTTTGTAGAGAATTACCTGTAACTGGCGGTGACCTTTTTGGCGCCTTACCTGCTTGGTAATATGCTTAATAATATTCATATACACTTTTAATATTTATAAGCACTTGGTATTATTGGGAAACAGGAGACTGAAGAAACATAAGACATGTCAGCTATCTTAGCGTAGACTTCGAATATCTTCTTCTAGTGCATAAACGGTGCACGTTCTGTTGTGATTTTTTTACCTTGTAGGTGGAAGGTGTGCTATTGCGAGCTTCTGAGGAGTTAGAGGCCCTTCAAGAGGAGCGTAAGGTATGCTGCTGTGGAGCATTTTTTTACTAGATTATTACCATATATTTTAATTTGTCAAGCATTACTCTTTTTTCCTTTTGCAGAAAGTGGCTCCTGACACAGCTGAAGCCATCAACGCATTTTTGAAAAAGCTGAGATCATTTGCGGCAGGAGATGCTTCCTTTACATTTGTTCTCAACGATCCAGCTGGAAATAGCTTTATTGAGAACCCGTAAGTTCTTGGAAACCAGGTCCAGGTCCCAGTTCAGCGAAATGTACTGTCATTCCAGATTCAGTTTGCATTCTCCTTTTTTTTTTAATTGGTTGGTAATGATGTTTTTCAAATCATCGTGGTTAGAATCCCCAGGCACTTAAAATAATTAATGACATATACTCTTTACCATACTTTTAGATGATGTTGGGGTCAGCAGTACACCTTTCTACTCCGGACATTGGACCAACACTGAAATGTCTCAACAACTGTAGTCTCATTGATGCACCTTCTGGCCTCATTTTTATTACGTTTTCCCCATTTATGTCAAATAAAGCTTTCACCCCTATGGTCAGGGAGTGAATTGTATTTTCATTTTACACTGGTGTGTCAATTCTGCCCGTGGTTATTCAACTAAAGTAGATTACGTGCATCTGGACAGGTTATGTCACTCTCATGTCTTGGGTTGTATGAAGGAATCTGGGTCTCAATTTCACAATCTCCTCTCGATCATATTCCATTTTAGGAACTAGGAAGCTACAGATCGTTCTCATTTTACATTGGATTTAATGGTGTGAAGTTATCATTAAATAGTGAAATGAGACTATAGTCTTGGTCCATCAAACGGGAGGGATGTTACCTCCTTTGCTGGTGTATTTTCAATCATTTTCCCTTCTCATCACTGCTTATTATCCTCTTTGATGTTTTCCTATTTCTTGCTTTTGCTTATTAAAAAAGATTTTGATGATGACTTGCTTCTTGAATCCTCTTTCTCTTAAATTGGCTTTCTAAGGTTTTGAACTACAAACTTCTTTTTTTTGTTTAGTGACTGGATTGACAATATGTAGCATGTATATTATTATTAATTCATTAAGGTCCTCTGTCTCTCCCTCACTCTCTGACTCTGAATGTTCGCCTCTTTTTTTATTTCATAGTTCTTTGATTCTCACTACTGATTACATTGTCTTTTCATCTTGTCAAGATCGAAATTATTGATTTCTTGATGTATTATGATTTTGTTTTTTGATCATTCTTTGCAATAATATAGGTATGCGCCATCTCCGGATCCATCACTATCAATCAGCTTTTATGAACGTTCAAGAGAACAACAAGCATCCTTAGGGTTTCTATCTGAGCCATTTCAGGCTGGAGATTCCGAAATAAATTCTGGAGATGCATCATCGGTAAGCCCACAAAGGGAAGCGCATGGTTCAATTGGAGCAGTTGGCAATCGTCGGACAATTGCTCAGGCTGACAGTGAAGAAGTTGCTGCTGCATTATGCAGGTACACGGCACCAGAAGAGGTGGGTGTTGCAGGTTGGCAAAGAATTCGACATTCTTTAATTTCTCAGGCTAATGCTAATCTTTCCTTGCTCAGGTTCTAACCATGCCATCTACATGTGGAGCTTGTGGGGTCAGCTGTGTCACTCGTTTTTTTGCGACTAGTATCCTTCTTCCTTCCATTCTGTGCCCTACGCTAATTGGGTACAAATGATTTTACTGGGTATGCCAAAAAATCGTGCAGGGTACTGAATATTTTAATGCACTTTCCTCAGAAAATTATTTCAAAGTTGAATATGCTCTTGTTTGGCACTAACTAGATTACAGAGATTCCTTACTTTCGGGAGGTAATCGTAATGGCGACTACTTGTGACCAGTGTGGTTACCGCAGCTCTGAGGTTTGTTAATACCGCAGAAGCATATGATCTTAGATTCATCTTTAATGCTCATACCTGTGTATGGCATTACCTTGCTGCAAACATTTTATCTCATGCTCTCTCCCAGTTTCATTTACTTTCTTTGAACAAAACAGTTGAAGCCTGGTGGTGAGATTCCAGCAAAAGGTCGGAGGATTATTTTGCATGTTCAGAACTCTGCAGATCTCAGCCGTGATGTGATAAAGGTTCGTCCTTTATGTCATAGGCTTCAGATATTAAATCACCGAACTAAACTTTTTTAATGGAATAGACTAAATCAATTCATTATATTCAAAACTTTTAATTTATTATTTTATTCTAATTAAATTAAAGTTTACAAGAAGATACATATTGGGCTAGGTCCTGGGTATTTTGTCAATTGATAAATACCTTGATGCACGCATCGCAGAATACTTTCTTCATTTAGCATTGTGGATTATTTATATGAATTTTCTTGCTCCTGAATTCCTATCCTCAGTTTGACTTGCTGATTCTTGCTACTCCGGAGCAGCTTTTTCTTTGTTTTCAAACGATCCTAGGCCCATTGGGCTCAAAATACCACGGACACACTATGTTGTCCTAATTAATTTTTTCATTTCCTATCTCCTTTTTTAATCCTTTCTTTGGTTTCTGTACGGAAACATCTCTTCTAGTTTTTTTTTGGAAAATATTTTATGGATCTGCAGATGGGCCATAGATTTTCATTGTGTACCCGCTTGATATGAGGCACCCGGGTCATCTGAGTCCCTTCTGTCCTCTGATGTTTCTGCTTTCTTCTTTTAACAGTCGGATAATGCAAGTGTGTCAGTTCCTGAGCTTGAACTAGATCTCACAAGTGGGACATTGGGTGGGCTTGTTACAACAGTTGAAGGATTGATTACCAAAATTAGCGAAAGTAAGCTCCGTATCCAGTATAATTAACTTCCATTTTTTTGTATTGTGCTTCAGTTTACTAGTTCGTTTCCGAATGTGGATTCCAAGCCCAAACTAATCGATGCAAGTTTCTTTCTTCATTGCACTTTTAGGGTTGTGATCTTCGTTTAGAGATTTACTGGTAACTACAACATTGAATTAGTCGATTCTTCTAAGACACCCAGGTGCTGTCATCATTCGTAACGGCTTAGAGGGGGGGACCGATTAACACTGAATAGGTTTTTTTTTTTTTTTTTTTTTTTGTATTAAACAATGCAGGACAATTGTCATGTGGATAATGACATTTAAGCACAGCTTAAGAATAACTATTAGCGCTTTGGTGCCCATCTTAATTTCATCGAGTGGAATGTGCCCTTCTTTATAACCACAGATCTTATGATGCTTATGATGGCATGACCTCCAGTGTTTATTCCGAATATTGGTCATATTGCATAGAATTATACTGCAAAAATAACTCTTCGAACATTAGTATGACGGTCATAAATAAATATTTTTCATCATTAAATTTATTCCACTCTGGACAATAGAAACATTATGATTTTTTTTCAGACCTTCAACGAGTTCATGGATTTACTTTTGGCGATAGTCTTGATGATGGTAGAAGAAAGAAGTGGCTGGACTTCAAGGAAAGGCTTGCTAAGGTATGCTCTAGAATATTACACACAGGGTATTTTCTTTCTAGTTCCCCTGCTGCTAATATGCCTGCTTCTTTCTTGCCTTCAACTGTTGCAGCTGCTGAACATGGAGCAACCATGGACTTTAATTATTGATGATGCATTATCAAGTTCATTTGTTTCACCAGCCACTGATGCAATCGAAGATGACCATCAGCTCATCAGTATGTTCTGGATGTCAATTTGCCTCGTTTTATATATAACCTATTGCATTTCTTGCAGACAGATTGGTTAATTTCTTTGAACCTTCACCACGTTTGCAGTGGAGGAATACGAGAGAACATGGGAGCAGAATGAGGAGCTGGGCTTGAATGATATGGACACATCTTCAGCTGACGCAGCTTACAGCAATCCTGCAGAAAATTGATAGAGATCTCTGCAGTGGGTCGTCAGAATATTCCCTCTTTTAGCCTAAACCTGATCTTCTGGTTTCTTGGGTTCCTGAATATAGTCTTTGTTTTCTTTCATTGTATATTGTTTGAACCATATGCGGTCAGTTCTGCCGCTAGATCCCACTGAGACCATTGAATCCACCATCCTTCATCAATTCATCAAATTCTCCACCCATATGGCAACAAGAAGCTGAAGGACCACAAGGCAGCAACAGTCTCATAATACAGTTAAGAACCAGTATATGACTGTCATGGAGGGAGCGGAAGAGAAGACATGGGAAAGCTGCTTCAATCAATCAGAAGATGTAGCTTGGAACTTGAAGGGAAAATCGTGCGACTTCCACCTCAAATTGCCTGCCTTTTTGATCTGTCAATCTGAGGGGAATTGATAGCCAGAGGTTACAGAAAGTTTATGACACAAACCACCGAAGATCTGATGCTAATGTCGATTACCTTCCGGGGATAAATGTGAATGATCCTTCGATGGAACCCGGAGTCCTGGGCAGTGAAGCGCAACTCTCATATACAAATTCTTCCTCATCTGGAAACAATAGGGGGAACTGCAGGAAGAAAAAAAAATCGTAATTGCACCCAGCCCACTAGATTATTTCCTCCAGCAATAGATTATTTCTCGCAGAATGATGTCGAAAAAACTGATGAACACCTATGTTTATGACAGCAAATCATAAACATGTGAGGCCCACTGGAATGACCCTTGTAGGATCATCAAAACCTTGAGAAATGATAGGTTTCATATTCTTCAAGATTTTCATCAAGGATAAGCGAAATCAGTGAAACTGGGGTGTTTCTGATGAATTCTGGTGAAGAGCTGCCTTGGGTGAGTAATAAAGATTAAGTACCTTTCCTATTACAGCCTCTCCACGCACATCTGATACGACATTCTCCTGTGCACGGATGATCCAGTGTCGTGAATAAAGCTGGCAGGAGTTATGGAGTACCCCATCCAGCATGCATCCCTCAGGTGATAGAGACAAACGTATAGAATAGGCAAACCAGTACTTATCGCCCCCTTCATCATTTAGGTCGCACAGCTCTGGAACAAGGATGGAAGAAGCACGAACCTGAAATAAATAAACAAATGTATACACGCATATCAGAAATATGAAACGTGTACGAACACCAACCAACTTTATACATATATATGATGAAACTTGTTAATAAACACACATACATACATAGATATCAGAGATATGATGAAACTTGTCGCTATGAGAAACAATCAGTTTAAGAACCGGAGGACTGGTTGTGTTCCAGTACTTAAAGTTGATGGGCCATAGTCTAAAGAAAAGTCTGCAATATTTAATCTTCCACAGTTTGTTCACTTCGCACAGTTCATTTACCACTAATATAATAATTTATATTCAATAATTTCCCCTTTTCTTAGGTTAGTCACTCTTCCCCTTCCAGACGAAATAAATCTAGAGAAAAGCCTGAACATTCATCAGTCTGCATTTTTTTTTCATCGGTTAAATTATGGTCATTCAGCAAGACAAAGGACTGCCAAAAAAACAGTAGGAATTATATCTTCTCCTTTATTGATACATTGAACCTTGCAATTCTTCCCAGCGAATCTACAAAGCATTGGAGAGAAAAGAATTTTTGAAACATAAAAAACTCGTTCATGACCCCGAAGTATGATCCTACGATTTTTCATTTCAATCTCTCATAAGAATATGATGAATTTAAAAAATTTCAGAAAATAAACATTCAACAGGCGAATTTCATTTCAACCATTAAATTTATTTTTTTAATGCAGTCCACGAGTATATCAGAAAACAAAATGGCTACGGAGGCAACAGAGTCGTAAGATCTGATTCATGAATTGCTAGTACCTTTACGCCATTTGTTATTGCAACAGTGCATGATGGAGGTGCTTCTGGGAACAAGCAGATCATTTTCCTTTTATGGAACTCACGAAGTTGGAACAGACCACTTTGTAAGCACCTGGTATGTTCCTCCAGCCATAGCAGCATTGCATCCTGCAACACGCCGTTGCTATCACCTGGCGGTGGTCTGATCGAAGCTTGAGGAACGCATGGAAGCATCTCCCCATCCGTAAGATTCTTGGTTCCGACAAAAAGCTGGCCGTCGCCACAGTTGAGGAAAAAAAACTTCTCAACAAAGTATGAAACTGCCACAACGATGAGCTTCGACCTGGTGGAAAAACCCAGCTGTCTTCTACACTGTCTCGTTTCTTCCAAAATCTTCGTCAGAGGTAGCAAATGCACGTTCACCAGATGGTCATAAAAGCAGTAACCTCCAATGGCGCCCAACAGAGAAACCCGCTCGCGCACAGATACGTCCCCGTTCATTGTGTCCTGCCCGTTGCAAAACCTGTACAATAGCCTGGTAGGCAGGGGAAGTTTCACCCCGAGATTCTTCTCGACCTCCTCTATCTCAGATTCCGAAGCACCCTTCTGGAGAGTCCCGTGCGCCTCTGCAAAATTGCCCGCCATCCAGTCCTTCATATTGCTCCAGCACCTCTTGGTTCTCATCACTAGCTGCCACGGGTACTTGATGAACGATTCCCTCCATATTTGATAAGCAAGCTGCCGAAGCAATCAGTACAAATGATCATCCCGCAATCCTCGAGCTACCGACGAGAATATTGACCTAGAAAGATCACAAGATCTGGGGAAGGGGAGAGGAGAGCGAGTACCTTGAAGGAAGCACAGCGGTTGCCGTCCGGGTCCACAGGACCAGAGAGATCGAGATCCTGGGAGCAGAAGGCACGCCACAGAGTTTCGTCGGCAGCAAAGGACCGGAGACGGTTGCTGACGCAGGCAACGACGGCAACGCTCCTGGGTCCGAGCTTGGAGAGGATGCTCTCCAGAACCAGACCCTCCAACGTCTCCAGAGCCGCCATCTCCCCCTCCCCTGCTTACCCTGTCCTTCTCCGTCCTACGGCAGGCTCCCCGTTTTCGCCCTCACCATCATCCTTTTTCCCTCTGCCTAGCGGCCTCCCTGTAAAAGCTCCGTCTGCCCTCGCCCGCCTTCCCAGGGGATGAAGGGGAGCGGTCGTGGCCAACTGCGCGCTTAAACGTAGAAGCTCGGTGTGCAGCGATGCGTACCATGATAAGGAGCGTCAAGGGGAGGGCGGCTCCAGAGGACAGTTTGCTCAAGGGCAGGGAAGGACACGTGCACACCCTCGACCCATTATTTATTTCAACACATTTAAAAAAATATATAAGTAAAGATCTCTCTTTTAGACTCTGGGTAGGATACGTAAAAGTCAACTCCTGCTGGGTTTCATCAGAGGACTCCACCCGTGACGATAAAACAGTACAGCGGGGGGCTACCAGTTATCCTTCGCACGACGGATGACCCCCAAGGCTTCTGCATCTGACGCGTCCGCGGGGATGCTGAGGGTCTGGCGGATCTCTGCACTGAAGGTCCTCAAGAACGGGTTGCAGATCTTCTCTCTTCCCAGAGTCGTGGGCACCTGCGGTATCAAGAAAGACAGAACTGAGATGCTTTATCCCGCGTTGACTTATCAAAAAAGGATATCAGAGATTATTTCCACCGTGGGCAGGTTCTTGGTCCGAAGATCCGCCACTTGGGTAGCATAAGCCTTCAGAGCTTCATTCGTCGGCTCTACAGATAAGGCGAACTTCGAATTGCTCTGTCCAATGAAGAAACTTGGCTAAGTCGGAAAAATATTGCCTAAATGGGCAAGAACGCAGGGAAGAGTACCAGCGTGTATTCGTGACCGCAGTATATGTCTGTGTCATCCGGCAAGGACATGATTCTTTGAAGCGAAGCCAGCATCTGTGCATGAGGACAGGATGATTGCAGAATCCTTAAACGAAGCTCTGAATGAGACAGAAAAAAATTGAGAAACTGCCTCCATATTACATAGCAGAGCAGCTCTCTCTATCTTCTTATGAATGAACACCGCCAGCCGTCGGCCATCTCGTGGCAAGCTAATGATACCTGTTCAGGAGTTCCTTCAAAAAGCTTGCCACAAGATAAGCTAAACAAGGTATCCCCAGTGAAGAGAGCCCCGGACCCAGGAAAGTAGTAGGTTACATGACCTGTTCAAGATTACAGTGAAAGGAACGTTCAAATCATTGTAGATATCAAATATTTTGATCCAAAAAAGACTATTTCCTCAATGAAGAATATCCAAATCAAGCAGAGATGGCAAGCACATCTCCTCTCTAGAAAAGTAATAAATAGAACCTCGTGTATGCCCAGGTGTTTCAAGCACAAACACCTCATGATCTGCAAACATCCATTTCTCTTGGTCAGAGAGTGCTATGTCAATCCCAGGAATTCTCTCTCTGTCAGCATGAGGGCCGATTACCTGCACTCAGAACATCAGAAGATAGATCCTGATGTCGGGGAAGGGAATGGAAAAAATAAAAGAAGACAAATGTGACATAAATAGTAATCGGATATCTAAAATAGCTCCAGACAGTCAATTGATGGCAAGATAGGCATCTGCTCTTGTTTTAAATGGTGTTATCTGCTGGGATCAGATGGAGGCCCGGGAGTGCGATGGATCATCGTTTCTGATTAGCTGAAGTATTATAAATCTGCTGACAGGTGAGGGAACAGCTTTGTCCAACTATCCAGATTTAGACATCTCGAGGTTGTCTGAAGCAGTTTTACCCAGAGAATCCCCTTGAAGTATAAACGTAATAAGATGAACTAAATATGAGTTACCCTCCAAGATCCGACAAATAATTTACTAAAAAAAAAAAAGCTGACAGGAATCCAAGCACTTTGCACAGCACTACTATATTGGATTTGTATGTATTGCTTAACGTGAGAACATCAAGGAACATGGAAAAAAAAAAGAAAAAAAAGAGGAAAATATAGACCCTAGTAAATAGAGTATGCATGTAATAAACCGTACCTTTGCACCATACATTTCTTTCAATTCAATATTTCCTCCAGTATGGTCATAATGATGGTGGGTGTTAAGTATATATGTCAAGTTTTGATTCTTCCTATTTAGTGCATTTATAACGGGATTAGCTTCGGAAGGGTCCACAACTCCTACTGTACCCGTATCTACATCGTGCAAAAGATAAGCATAATTATCCCTGAGGCATGGCACCTGCGATCATAAAGTAATTTATCAATGAATACAACTCATAATTAAAAGTTTTCTTCAATAAGATAAAATTAGAAACATGTAAAATTTTAGCTCTTAAATAAAGAACAACTAATGTGGACCAAGCTTTGTAAAGCTGCTAAAAAAGGGACAACACCCTATAAGGGTTTGGTGTCACTGAGGTTCTTTCTCCGATGTGTAAATATTCTAAAGTAAAAAGCTAATAATCCAACATGCATTTCCGTATCCATATTCTTGAATGTTCATCTGTATCGGCTAAAAGATCCACACACACACACACACACACACATATGAATCGTTGAAAGGCTATCACAACTAGGTTAAAAAAAAAAACTGACTTGGATTCCCAAAAGAAATCTCACCAGTTCAATCTGTAAAGAGGATGTGTTGGAAACACTGCATAAAAAACGGGAACCCCCATATGCATGTCCCCTTTTCAATGCTTTGAGAGGATGCATAGCGAAAGTCCCAAAAGAGTAAAAGAAACGCTTTTTAAGCCATTGATGCCTCGTGCTAGTCCACATATAAGGCCCATGTTTCACCTGTCCATAGAAGATAAAGCCTTTAGACTTCAAACCCACAACAGCAATAAGCTTCAGCCAATGTTAAGCAACATCGAATTCAATGATCAAAGCATATTATGAGGTTTTTCATATTTTTAAAATTTTCTAAATTCAAAAAACAAAGCCCACCAAAGTGATTACAATGCATGAGTATTCATTCATTCACTGAGCACAGCTTCTAGAATATTAGCAATGCGTAAGTACATAAGTAATTCTCCGAATTGCTGTTTTCCTGTGGAGCTATATGCAAATGTACCTATAAAACTCAGTCTACCAGATATCGGACTCACATTCTTGACATAAATGCACGTTAAGTGATCTAACATATAGGAAATTAGTCATTATTCCATGCTAAAGATAGGATGAATGACGCACTATGCTCAATCTCAACAGTGAATTGTGGAATCAAGACCACAGGGTATATAGTATACAGCTCATGGTACAGAATCTTGAAAACTCCAATCCGAGTAAAACCGAAATTAAAGAAGAAAACGTATATCAATTAATCAAACTTTATCTACAATGGACACTAATTGATGTTTGGCGGTATCGTTAGAGGTTGGAAGAATAATTTAAGCCTGGTTGTCGATCTAAATGGGCGACAGGCCGTTCTCCCATTCCTCTAGGAACACATCATCCGTCAGGCCCATAAAATTATCACTTGGATGTAGTGTTCTGGCTAGACCCATACACACAGCCCCACTGTTCCCAGATATTAAGGATGATCAGATTCTCCAGGCGCCTAACTGATCACCTGGATGTAGTGTTCTGGCTAGACCCATACACACAACCCCACTGTCCCCGGATATTAAGGATGATCAGATTCTCCAGGCGCCTAACATGTGTTTTCTATGTTCACATGCGAGATCTGAGACAATCCATTTTTCATTGTCAACTCATGTCCAAATAGTTGCTAGACTCATGTCTGAACTTCTCAAGCTAGGACGAAATTCAACTCATATCAACTCATATCAACTCAGTCCGGCCTCTCAGGCCCTTTGATTGATTCAGCATCGACTCCCACGATTTTATGTCCAAACTTTCTTTCATGCGCATCCATCCATTGAAAAACGTTACCTGTGTAAACCATCTAATCTTAGCCTATACCAGGCACAAAAGTTTGGATTTAGTCTTCTTAGACCAGACAGAAAATGCTTGCGTCCCTGAAAGCAACACTTCGATTTTGAGGTAGAAACTGATATCTGCCCAAACTGAGAACCGTGGGAGCGGAGCGGAGACAGCCCTAGTCCTAGGGGTGGAGGACTTTGACCGGGGGGGGTGGGGGGTGGTGGTGGTAAGGTTCTGTCCCTTCTAAGAATTAAGAGAACAAGTCTTGAGTAGGAATTTTGGGATTTTGAGGACCCAGAAGATACCCGACTACTGCTGTAGAATCTACTCCAGTTAGTCTCTTACTGTCGACAAAAGAGTGCCACTACTAGCTAAGAAGGAAGCACAGGAGAAGCTGTGATCTTGTCTCCTTCGGGAGGCGCAACCACTCACTGCCCTACCGGGCAGTCGTGGTGAACCAGACGTATCACATCAATTAAAAGTGTTTTCCCAGCTCGTTTAGTGGTTCCCTCCAGGAGCGGGGCTCCTGCAACTTCCATTTTTGGCAAAGTTTACGACCAGCTTTCGGATTTGTAGCTGCAGTCCGACCCACCACACGCAAATTCTTCACGAGTATGATCAAGCAACTCAAAGCATCTGTCTATGGACTCCGAATGCAGCTACACTCTATAAATGGTCCAAGCGACAAACCCAGATGGACTACGCTCAGACGACCCGAAGTTGCCCGTGCCCAGAAGGAGCAATAAACAGCTCCTAGCGCCGAAGGATTGACCTCCTGTCGTGAGCATGGCCTGAGACTCTAGATTAAAAAGGACCTTAATCGCCAGAAGGCGCTCGACTGGCCTAAACCCAGAGGAAGAGCGCGTCTTCTGACAATCATCCACGACGTAGCATCAACAGTGAGCAAGAGCCACGGCCACCCAATCCTAGGAAGAACGCGCGGGGCAGGGGACGAACCATAGAACACGGCAAGGAAAGCTGGGCGAGGAACGAAGCTCTGGCGAACATCTTCCCTGCGGGAACCCTCCACCGGATGGAGAGAGGAGGAGGCTCCCAGCTTTATCAGACCGAATGAAGGCCCTCGAGTTCGATTGCTACCGCCGAGCCCTCGAAACCGTTGCTCCTCCGTCGATCCGACGGCTGGGAAATCGCAAGCCGGGTGATCGATCACTCCTCTTTACTTTTATTAATTCACGCGCTAGAAAACCCCCGCAATTTCTCGTCTTTTAGCGGCAGAGTTTTTGGTACTGCGAAGATTTAGGCGGTTACTGGAACAAACAAGAGGTACCGACCGAGAACACTAGTCTATGGAGAGACCGACTGCGAGCAAGAACCGCACGCCGAGGAGCGGCGGCGGAGCGCCACAACGTCGTTTCCCCGTGGGTGAAGGAAGACGAGAATGCCGGCGGAGGACGGACGCGTCTCATCTCATAGTTCGTCCTGCAGTCCGATCACGAGAGAAAGTCATGAGAAATGCGCAGAGAAAGAGGGCCGCCGGCATCGAAATTAGTCGTGGAGGAGGGAGACTCACATGATCGTAGTCCGAGTAATCCCTCTGAAAATGAATAATTTCGAGTCAGTAGCCAATTCAGGACTTTGCAGAGGATTTTTAAAATGTGTTTGTAGATCTTCGAGAAGCATTCATTCGATAATTGGATTGTGGGTTCTGAGAGGAGGATGGAGGATACCTTTCTGTACTTGTCTCTGTATCGCTCCCTCTCGCCATAGCGACGGTCGCGTTTTCTCTCCGCCCTTCTCCTTTCACCGTCTTCCCTCGCCCGCTTGGATTCCTGCCAAACGTCACCCAAAAGTTAAGCAGAAAGACCCGAGTACAAAGAGGCCCCGAAAATGGGTTCTGGGCAGGATACTCTACGAGAGAGAGCGAGAGAGAGAGCGAGAGAGAGAGCGAGCGAGAGAGAGAGAGAGATAACTAAAAGGGGAAGGGGAAGAATCCTCTCTTTACCTCTTCTTCTTTTGCGAGCCTCACTTTCTCAGCTTCATCAAAAGCTTCTTTCTCAGCCTAAACATGCGACGAAATAGAAGGTAGGAAACAAAATCAAGAAACGTTTTTCTTTCAATCCCAAGAACTGACACTAAATAAAATCTTAGATTTTCTATGCCGGCCCACCTCCTTGTTTCTAGATATTATGTCCGCTACAACCTCTTTCGCATATTCGGGATCGTCACAGATAAGAATATTGTCATAGACTGATCCTGCCTTCACCTGTTCAGAATCGTTCAGTCCAAGCATCAGGATCATTCAATTCAGTATCCAACACGCGCCCACGTAATCAGGAAAGTATTGTGACCTACCTGCCATACTTCGATCCCAACATATTTTACTGGTTTCAGCACATAAAGATCGGGATCGTCTTCAAATTCTGCCAAAAAAATGCAACAATAACGTGATAAAGATAAACTGCCTGTTCTTAAACAAACAAAGAATGAATCTCGATCTTGTAATATGGAATCTTAATCTGGGTTTGTTGTCGGTGAAAAGATCAGTTCAGGGCTAATCATAAGGCGTAAACTTACAGTCTAACTCTATTTGAGATGCGGGTTGTAAAAGAGATTCCCTTGAGGCTCTTACCTGGATTATCAATCCATGGGGTCCTCCATTTCCCCTTATAGTTTGGATTCTTGATCCTCTGTAATTTAAGCATTTAATGATTAGCATGATAGAGGATTAATAATAAAACTTACAGTTGAACAAGCCAAACATACCCTGCGCTTCCATGGCCCCTTGTAGTCTGGGTTTGGGACCTTGGGTGGTTTCCAAGTGCCATCTTCATCTTCATCCCATGTACTGGGCTGATGAAAGGAGGAAAGAAGATAATATATTCATACCGAATAGAGATGTATGATCCTCGGCCATGTCAGCCCCCAGGACAGCCAACGATGGCATTCCAACTTGTTCTTTTAGTTAATTTTGTATGAAATAATAAAATATAAAGAAACATGCAGGCAGGCATCGCAAATGTATGATTGCTGAAGTACCTTCTTAGCCTTAGGATCTGGGATTTCAGCAGGAATTGAATCATAACCCTGCAGTACAGATGCATCAAAGTAAGAACAGGGAAGTTTCACCTATTTATTTAAAGTAGAATTATAAAATGGAAATCGCATTATGACGACATACCTCTGGTTTGACGTCATCAGGGTCGTCTATGTACTCCCTTTCATCCCAATCTTTGGGCTGCAGAAAACAAAGATGACACAGAACCGGGCGAGTCAGAAAACGAATCACAGAAGCCCTGTTTCGCATCAGAAGCAATCATCCAATGCAATGGGATCCCAGACTCCCACCTTCTTTGCTTTAACGTCTTTAATCTTCCGAGGAGGAAGAATATCCCAGTCTGTGTACAAGCTTCCAGATTCTCTCTCCCGATTATCGACCAGGACACTGTACGATGCATCGGGCCTCAGAATAAATGTGTAAAAATGTGTTAGCTTGTCTGTCTCACATTTTAGATCCTTTTTGGTAGGGTAGTTCTGCCCCTGGTAAGAGAGTATGACGTGGAGCTTCTTTGTCTGGGTGCCACATATATCTGGACCAAACATTAAACTGCAAAGATAAAATCACCAACAACAGAAATCAGGCAACATTACAAGTATCGACTCAAATAATTCCAGCAACAGCCATATAGAGTGTCAGGCATAGATATCATGAAAGATTTTGGCAGCCCTATAAAAAAATACTTTTTCACTTCAATCAATGTGAAAGTAGATTCCAGGGCCAGATTATCAACCTCCAAAGACAGAAACCCAAATATTTTTACGTATTTAGAAGGAGGGAGTTGAACAGGGCGGCTCAAGATCTCGAGAATGAGGTGAATTTCTCAAAATATAGGCAATATATTTCCTAATTTTATAATGTGTAACCTGTAATATGACCATAAGGAGAGCTGGCCGGAAAAAATGAGTCAATAATCGTACCTTTATGATTAATAAATCATCAGGCCGTAAAAACTAAAAAGGAAATAATTTATAAAGAAAGGAAGAAGAGGAGAATTAAGTCTAAATATATGCAGCAGAGACCTGTACGGAGTATCGCCACCAAACTTCTTCTGATTGACATATCCAGAAAGAAGCTTAATATAGCCACCGCCACATTCAATATCCTGCTCAAACTTTATAGAGTACTGGACTACAAGCGTTCTGTTCTTGTTAGTAAACTCAGGCAGCTTTGCAGATATAGCAAAATGTCTGGCATCTGTATGCGTCTGAATACCTGCATGTCAACCAAAAGTCATAAGAGCCAAATAACCAAAAGGGTGAGGCGTACATGTAGTACCAGAAAAGTATTACTAGATGGCGGACCCACGAGGAGAGACCTTGAAACAACACCTAGAGAGGAATCTACTGACAGTTGTTCAAGTATGTATGGTAAAGAAGACAGATACTTGCCTCTGTCATCCGGGTCTCCCGACCACCTTCCTGCTGTATGCTTAAAGGATCCAGCCTTTCCCTCGCTTCTTTTCCAGTCGGATTTTACCCACCGGCTCTCCCAATCATCTTTTGGTTCCAGTAAACAAAGTAAGTAACCAGGTCGGGGTTAATACATTTCAACAGAAAGAACAGAGGATCCTAAAATTGGATTGTTTCTGAAAAGAAGGGAGGATATTGGCCGAACAGGAAAATCACAAAAGCCATTTCGAACCATTTCGGTCAATTTAGCCATTCAACTTAGGTCTCACTCATTGTAATCTTAGATGAAAGATATCTATGAGGTCCGGGTCCATTGTAATACTGAACCACTGAACAATTATTCTCAAATGGTGAAGGATCGACAAAAAAAAAACGCTTCGACTGTATAGTATGTCAGTCCAGGTATCATTCAAAACGTTGCATTAAGCATTAATAACTTTTCAGTTGTCCCCATTGCAAAAGAGTGAATCATGAAACAAGGACTCTTCCCGTTCGTTTTCAACTCTTCCATGGGTATGAAAAAAATAGCCTTCAGTACCTAGGCATCTACTTTTCAGACTAATTTACGAGGGAAAAAAAAAAATATATATATATATATATATATATATCTACTTCTTCATGTCAAGGTAGAATCCATCCGAAACGGCTAATGAGACCTTGCAAATGAGATGATACCCTTTGATGGACAAGATAACGAGGGAATCCCAAGAGTCTTGAAGAATTCCCGCCATGAATTGGATCACGGAATTTGCGAAATTCCATTATTCCAGAAATATCTAGAAACCGGCAAAAAGGACAAGTATATACGACAGTCACAATCAATCAATCGTCCCTTCCCCATCCAGCAGAAATTTTCAACAGTACGTATCCCCTGGAACGTTCTAATCAGATGACCTCCGATCATTCACAGAAAGTTTCGAGTCAGAAATACGGAACAATGTCAGCATCGGTACTGAACAAAAATCAGGCCTCCACAACATTCCAATCGGAGAGCAACAGTACCCTGGTGACTTGTCATAGGGACAAGCCAAATTTTCTTCAAAACCAGGGGGCAGAGAGAGGAAAATCCAAAGAAAACATCGGAAGAAGGGACTCTCCGTTGCAAAGATACATAGACTGATCCGAGAGTCGGAGGAAAACCGGAAAGTCGGAACATTCGAGGTTGGACTTCAATCCATCTTCTTCCATTACCATCGAATCTCTCCTCGAAGATGACCTCTGAGCTACATGCGTGAAGGTGGAGTGAGAGGATCACCAGCAGAAGCAGCAGCGTCAGACGACTCAGCGCTCTTCCTGCCATGCCCTCTCGCCTCTCCACTCCCCTGACTCTTTGCTGGCTGTTTTAAAGCTGTCCCATACCATAAATACCCCTGTACATTCCTCATAAATGCAAACCGGACCTGACTTGGAGTTAAGGCCACCCAAAAAGATACTCTCTACCATCTCAACCATATGGCATTTTAGTTTTATTTTAAATGAGGGTATATGTGTACTTTTCCATTAGGAAAGACCAGACTCCGGTCGCTTGAGTGAGCCTCGTTGGAGGAGACTGCCGAAGTCGCCGAGACCGGGAGTTCAAGACTTCCAAGGGGCTGTCGTGAGTTCGTATGACGTGTTCTGGCCAAGTACAGCCAGTCATAGAGTGACAACTGTCTCGATGCACTGATCCCATCGGGCCCACCATGCTCAGCAACGTCAACTATACGGCAGTTTCTTAATATTCCCTTTTTTCCTTCAAAAAAAGGAAAAAAAAAAACATTCCACTTCTCGCATTTATTATTCGCCGCGCAATTAATATCTTTGTTAAAATAAAACATTTAAACGGGCCGAGTTTGATAGATATGTGAAACAACGTGCTGGGAGCTTCGCGAGGCCCAAAAATCCGGCCCATGAGAGATGCCCATTAACACGGGCCCACGCTGGTCAACTGTGGTAGCTGTCGTCATCAGTTCAACACCCCTTCCGCCAACGGTACCTGTCGGAACCATGACACAGAGAGAGAGAGAGAGAGAGAGAGAGGGAGAGGGAGAGGATTGGTCACTTAAACGCGTGGGGTTGGCTTCCAGACTGCCGGGAAGAGGCCAGGGCCGGATGCTTCGGAGGCAGTGAGATGGAGTTGGCGGTGGTGCTGCTTCTGATCGTCCTCGCGGCTGTCGCACGCTTCTTCCAGAAGATCGCCACGCGCATTAAAAAAGAAGAGAGAAAGTTTTCCTTGTTCCTCCTGCTATGTTTTTCCTGTGACTTGGTGGTGATCTCGCCGGCGACGTCTTAACTGCCGTCGTCTCTCTGGCGAGTTTCTGACAAGTGGTATCAGAGCTCCCAGGTTGCGGGCCGGGACTCGATCGCGGCAAGGTACAGCCGTTGGAATCGAGAACGCGCAATCGAGACGCGCTATGGCAGGAGGAAAGGACGGCGTGGTCCAGAGGGTGATTCGTGAGGTGAGCGCCGGGACCGGGGTCCCAATGCTCACCAAGACCAACTACTCCGACTGGGCGCTGCTCATGAAGGTCAAGCTCAGAGCCCGGTTGCTCTGGACCGCCATTGAGAAAGGGGGCGTCGAACCCCATGAAGACATGCAGGCGCTCGACGCGCTCTGCAGCGCCGTGCCGCCGGAAATGTGGCCGGTGATCGCGGACAAGGAGACGGCCAAGGAGGCCTGGGAGGCTATCGCCACCATGCGGATCGGCGATGACCGCGTAAAGAAGACGTCGGCTCAGAACTTGCGGCGGCAATTCGACTCGGCGACGTTCAAGGAGGGAGAGTTTGTTGAGGACTACGCGCTGCGTCTCAACAGCATGGCGTCGACTCTCACCACCCTCGGCGACTAGGTCGAAGAGACGCAGGTAGTGGAGAAGATAATCCGCAGTGTTCCCCAGCGTTTCAGGCAGATCGTGGTCGCGATCACGATGCTACTCGACGTGTCGACGCTCACCGTCGCGGATTTGACGGGTCGGCTCAAGGCAGCGGAGGATGCCTTCGAGAAACCGCCATCGGCTATGCACCACGACAGCAAGCTGTACCTGACCGAGGAAGAGTGGGACGCACGGCGGAGGAAGCGTGATGCTAAGAAAACTGGTGATGGAGGTAGCAGCAGCGTGACGCACCGTGGCGGACATGGGCGCGGGCGCGGGCGCGGGCGCGGGCGCGGGCGCGGCCGTGCCAGCGACAAGGGTTCGTCATCAGGCGACAAGGGCTCTCTTCCAGCGGTGATGAGTGCAGGAGATGCGGGAAGCTGGGCCACTGGGCCCGCGAGTGCCGCTCCAAGCCCAAGAAAGAGCAGGCCCACGTCCTCCAGGATGAGGAGGAGGCCTCGCTCCTTCTCGTGAAGTCAACGACGGCCATATCGACGGCGCCGCCACCAACCTCCACTCCACCACGTTTTGCTGCGACTCCGCAGGCAGAGGATCGGTTCCGGCGTGCAAGCCCACTGCCGCCGGGAGCAAAAGGGGTCCCCGTCAATGGAGGGGCCGCCAAAGAAGAGAAGAAGCCAGGCGCCCAGACCCAGATCCATCTGCGGGAAGAGAAGGTGTTCGCCCACCTTGAAGAGGAGCTGCTGCGTGATGAGGAGGTGTGGGTCGTGGACACAGGCGCCACGAACCACATGTCGGGTTCCCGTACGGCTTTCACCGAGCTGGACACGGCGGTGCTTGGGACGGTGCGGTTCGGCGACGACTCGGTGGCGCAGATAGAAGGCCGGGGGGCAATCGTGTTCCTGTGCGGGGGTGTATTACATTCCCCGACTGATGACGAACATCGTCAGCGTCGGCCAACTCGATGAGGCCGGGTGCCATATCGACATCGAGAAGGGGGCGATGAAGGTCCATGAGCCAGGCGGACGGCTCCTGGCGAAGATGATGCGCGGAGAGAACCGGCTGTACATTCTCCACGCCAAGCTGGTTCGGCCAGTGTGCCTGGAGGCGCGGGGAGTCGAAGAAGCTTGGAAATGGCACGCGCGCCTCGGCCATGTCAACATGACCGCGCTGCGGAAGATGGCTCGGGAGGAGCTGGTGCACGGGTTGCCGGCAGTTGGTCAGGTGGACCAGCTGTGTGAGGCGTGTCTCGCTGGCAAGCAGAAGCGGTCGCCGTTCCCCGAGCAGGGAGAGTACCGGGCGCGGCGTGTTCTGGAGCTGGTGCACAAGGACCTCTGTGGTCCGATTGCGCCGGAAACGCCAAACGGCAGCAAGTATTTCCTGCTGCTCGTGGATGATCGAAGCCGGTACATGTGGGTGGCCATGCTGCCTTCAAAGGACCGTGCTGCGGTGGCCATCAAGGAGATCAAGGCTCGGGCAGAAGGCGAGTCAGGACTGAAGCTGGGAGCGCTCCGTACTGATCGGGGCGGCGAATTCACCTCACATGAGTTCGCGGAGTACTGCGCGGGAGAAGGTATTCATCGTCAACACACAGCGCCATACAGCCCGCAGCAGAATGGCATCGTCGAGCGCAGGAACGGCATGGTGGTAGCAACCGCGAGGAGCATGCTCAAGGCAAAGGGGTTGCCGGGTTGGTTTTGGGGTGAGGCAGTGGCAATTGCTGTATACATCCTGAACCGGTGTCCGACGAAGAGCGTGGACGGCATAACGCCTTTCGAGGTATTGCACGGGAAGAAGCCGGCGGTGCACCATCTGAAGGTGTTTGGATGCATCGCCTACGTCCTAAACACGACACCGCATCTCAAGAAGCTGGAGGACCGTGGCCGCAAGATGATCTTCATCGGCTACGAGTGCGGATCAAAGGCCTACCGTGCCTACGATCCCACCACGAGGCGTGTCCATGTGACACGGGACGTGGTGTTCGACGAAAATGCCCAGTGGGACTGGGGCAGCGGCGCGGAGCAAGGGGATGCGGGCAGCCACGACGACATGTTCACATTGGAGTATACCGTTGGGAACCAGGTACCTCCGGAGCTCGATGGCGCCATCGAGGTACTTGATGATGATGCGCCGGGACCGGAGCCGATGTCGCCGTCCGTGCACTCCAGTGGGGGAGCGGTGCCGATTGATGCGCCACTCCGGTTCCGCAAGATCGACGATATCGTTGGGCTGGCCTCGCCGCGTGGTCTCGTGTCGTGGGCGTTAATTGCAGAGGAGCTGCACGCTGTAAGTTCTGATGAGCCGGTCTCTTTTGCTGAAGCAGAGGGCCACCTAAGCTGGAGGAAGGCTATGGAGGAGGAGATGGCGTCGATCGAGGAGAACCGCACATGGTCCCTGGTTGACCTCCCACACGGTCGTCGGGCGATCAGGTTGAAGTGGGTGTACAAGGTGAAGCGGGATGAAAACGAAGCCGTGACGAAGTACAAGGCGTGCCTAGTGGTGAAGAGCTATGCGCAACGCCAAGGGATCGACTACGACGAGGTGTTCGCACCTGTGGCGTGGTTGGACACGGTGCGCCTTCTCATCGCTCTCGCGGCGCATGAGGGGTGAGAGGTGCACCACATGGATGTCAAGTCGGCATTCTTGAATGGCGATCTCAAGGAGGTGTACGTGGAGCAGCCGGCCGGTTTCATCAGCACGGGCAATGAGCACAAGGTGTTCAAGCTGAAGAAGGCACTCTACGGCTTGCATCAGGCGCCTAGGGCCTGGAACGCGAAGCTGGACGACACGTTGCTGTAATTCAAATTTAGGAGTCCCTCGGAGCACGCCATCTACACAAGGTGGAACGGGGAGGCGTAGCTGGTGGTCAGGGTGTACGTCGACGACTTGTTGATCATCGGCGCCAGCTGCGACGACATCAAGCAGTTCAATAAAGAGATCGCTGATGCATTCAGGATGAGCGACCTCAGTCTGCTTCGTTACTATCTCGGCATTGAAGTCAGGTAGAGCGCGAAGGGCACCTCGATCAGCCAAGGATCCTACGCCGCTAAGATTCTGGAGAGGAGCAGTATGACAGGGTGTAATCCCTATCAAGTCCCAATGACAACGCGTCTGAAACTGAGCAAGAGGAGCATAGAGCCGCTGGTGGATGCAACAGCATATAGAAGCATCATGGGGAGTCTCAGGTACCTGGTCAATACTCGTCCAGACCTGGCATTTGCTGTTGGTTATGTGAGTCATTTTCTAGAAGAGCCACGAAAGGATTAATTAGCCGCTGTGAAGCAAATTCTCCGCTATGTGGTGGGAACCAAGAGCTGGGGTCTCAGGTATGAAAGAAAGGAGGAGCAGGTCCAATTGACGGGGTTCAGCGATAGTGACTTCGCTGGTGATGTTGATGCTCAGAAGAGCAAGAGCACGACTGGAGTCATTTTCTTCTTGGCCAACAGCCTAATTACTTGGCAGTCGATGAAACAGAAGGTGATGGCTTAATCTAGCTGCGAGGCATAGTACATTGCGGCCGCCAATACTGCCTATTAGGGTGTGTGGCTCGCTCGGGTGCTAGCAGAGGTGCATGGCTCAGCACCAAGTGAAGTATCATCTTGTCCGGGAATCCGCAGAAAAGGATTAAATCAACGTGGAGTTCATTAGGAATGAAGAACAGTTATGAGACGTTCTGACGAAGCCACTCAAAAAAGTAAAGTTCCATGAGTTTCGTGCCAAGATTGGCCTCGTTGATGTTTGTGGTGAGCACAGCAAGGCTCAGGATGAGATTGTCAACGAGAGCCTTGCACATGGATATGCTTCATGTAATATGCAACGGGGCTCTGAGCTTGACCTTCATGAGCAGCTCCCAGTCGGAATAGTTGGTCTTGGTGAGCATTGGGAACCCAGTCCCGGCGCTCACCTCACGAATCACCCTCTGGACCACGCCGTCCTTTCCTCCTGCAATAGCGCGTCTCGATTGCGCGTTCTCAATTCCAACGGCTGTACCTTGTCGCGATCGAGTCCCGGCCCGCAACCTGGGAGCTCTGATACCACTTGTCAGAAACTCGCCGGAGAGACGACGGCCGTTAAGATGTCGCCGGCGAGATCACCACCGAGTCACAGGAAAAACACAGCAGGAGAAACAGATTTTCGATTTCCTCATCGATCTTCCCTCCCTCCCTATCGTGCAGGTGATTTCACCTTGATGTCCAGAGGGCCTGCGAAGCGAGAACTGGTCGAAGACAAGGTTTATCCTATCCTCGGAATCATTTTGCCGACATCTTCCTCTCTTTGTTCGCATTTTTGGATCTTTTTTTTTGGAGGAAATCCAGGTTTCCCGGTCTGTTCTGACTGACGATCATTTCTGGTTCTTCACCTCGTCTGGTTCTCGCTAGGTCGTCTGGATCACCGGTGCCAGTCGTGGGATAGGTATTTCGATCATAATTCGTATTTCTCAAATCCACATCACCTCTTTCTGTCACTTGTATCACTAGATTCTGCGGCATATCAAGACACCGCGACAGTGGAATCACCGTCTTCTTCCTTCTTGCCATGGCTCGATTAATTGCCCCATATCGGTGGAATCGCAGGGGAGGTTCTCGCGAAGCAGTTCGCCGCTTTGGGAGCCAAACTGATACTCTCTGCGCGCAACGTCGCCGAGTTGGGGAGAGTCAGATCCGAGCTCGTTGGTAAACATTCTTCCCGCCGATCGCCGAGACGAAAGCCGTTCCGGATTTCTCTCCATCGTGAAGCATTTCCCTCTGTCCTCCCCTCGTCCCGTCCCCACGGTTCACGGTAGGGAAACACGCGCCGGCAGGAGTGGAAATCCTGCCTCTGGATTTGGTCTCTGGCGAGAGATACCTCAAGGCCGCGGTTGACAAGGCAGAGGCATTCTTCTCTGGCGCTGGTGTCGACTACATGATCCACAATGCAGCATACGAGCACCCCGTATGATTCCCTTCCTGTATCTCTTCTTCCCTCCCACAGATATATCTTCCTTCTCCAGTCTCTCGCACATCAACCTCGCCGTCTCTTCCACTGATTACGTTATATTGAATTGCATTCGTGAACAGAAATCTTCCCGTCTCGTCGTCACTGAAGCGGAGCTCCAGGTAATCAAAACCTTTCCCGCTAGAGAAGAGGAGGTCGTCATTTCTCGTCCCAGTTCCCTCTCTCACTTTCTGCTGGGAGACAGGCCACTCTCAACACCGACGTCCTGGGGACGGCCATCCTCACCAAGCTTCTCGTACCACACATGCTGAGGAGAGGCAAGGGCCATTTTGTCGTGGTAGGTGAAGAATCTCCACGTTTCGTCCTTTCAGTTCACCTCCTCATCCTCCAAGAATGATCCACAGGCCGCCTGCGTTCTTCCCTGAGGAATCAGGTCACGATCCTGCTTCCCTCTCCTCTTGTTCTTTGCCTAAACGCGATCCTCTCGCAGATGAGCACGGGGCTGGGAAGGTCCCTGCGCGAGGGCAGGCGATATACTCCTCTTCAAAGCGTCACAATGATCTCGTGCTAAGTGACGCAGAAGTAACGCAGAAAATAAACAAGATATGGGTTTGAATCCACAAAGCTCCGATCTTGGGGAAGAAACTTACCTTCGAATTCACAGATTCGGAGTTTTCAAATCTACAAGGGAGTGTCTGAATCCACAAGCAAGAGGGAAGAGGGAGAGTTTTTAACTCTTAAATGACTTAAAATAGACTTTTATATTGAGATCTTAGACAAATCTTCTTAAAATACTTTGACATGACCTAAAGTAGACTATGACAGTGAAAGACACTGAGTAGATATGATTGAATCATATTAAAGTCTCTTCTAGAAGGAATAAGACATGAAATACTTTCTAAAAGTGAAAGGACATAAAGTGGGCCCAAATTTAGACCTCCAATTCATTGGTGACATATGTAGGCTCTTTTTTCTTATACTTTTTACTGTATAACCTAAATTCAAAATAAGTGAGCCTAAATTCAAAGTTGACTATCACCCTCAAGTAGTGAGGACATAGAACTATCAGCACATGTTGACATCTGCTCACTTTTGAACTATAAGTCTATAGCACATCAGACCTGCCAAACTAGTTGTGAATCGCCAACCTAGCACCTCTCTCAAGATCTCATTAGTACCATCAGTCAGCTTGAACCCATGAGAAGGAAATGATCTATATCCATAGGATCGACCCTCTCTCTTCTCTCTCTTTCTCGATTCTCTATTTCTTTCTCCCTCCCTTTCTCTCTTTTTAAAAAAGAAAAAAAAAAGAAAAAAAAAAAGAGAGAGACAGCCTCCTTCTTTTCCCGGAATCACTAGCCCATCATAGACAATTAGTGGAGGGTGAGGGAAAGGGCCCTCAAAAAAAAAAAAAAAAAAAAAATCAAAGTTGACACTTTAACTTGTGTCTTGGGCTACATCACTAAGCCTGTTGATTTTCTCCATAATGACAATTTCATAGGAAAAGGATCAAAGTCGCAATTTTCTGTCCAGGACCAATCAGCACTTTGAATTACTCTAGATCGACCACACCAAAGTAGGATCTAGAGGCAGAGATTAGGGATCTTCTCTTTATTGCCAATTTAATCCCCGGTTATTTATTTGTCCCTCGTAGGCTTCATTGTCTCTTTACTGCCAACTCTTCAGAGCCACGTATCGGCAGAGAGGTGTGCGGAGCTGACAATCGTTGCAGCAACTCATGGACTAAAGGAAGCATGGATCTCTCATCAAGTGCGGATTTTGTCAAATCAGAGAGCCAGTACCGATAAATTTTCAGTAAAATTCTTCTCATTGGATGGATCACCACCGGGAATCAAATTCTTTTAATTAAACGAATTAAAAATGTTCTTCGTTTCTTTTTTTCATCAAAGGTTCGATAATCTCTGATAACCTTTTTTCTGGACGAGATTGAAAGAACAATCAAAGGGCCGTGCCCTCAATTGCCCTGTTTCTAGTCTACTTCATCTCTTTCGGTCAGAGTCTCAGTGACGCCCCCGCTGTGTTGCAGCCTGTTCTGCTCATGATGTACGCGGCTCGGTACATGCCCGCCTTCACTTACTGGTTTATGGACAAGGTAATGGCTTTGACATTCCCCTGGAGGCGACGATCGTTGACATTTATTCGAGAGAGATATCTCCCCGCGATCTCGCCTGCTAAGCCCCACAGTTGACCAATTTCGACGCTTTTCTCGTCTTATCTTCCTCGTCTGTGTGCTGACTTGACTGATTATGGTTATCTGCGCTGTGATCAAAATCAAAAGATCGGCGAAAGAAGAATGGAAGCTATTTCTAACAAAGGCAAGGTCTTCAGCTGGAGCTTGCTCTTCGGTGAGAAGAAGAAGGCCAGTTGACTGCCTGCGCGTCCTCTGGAAGCAGAGTCATGGAGGGTTCGAGTCAACTCTCCACAGCAGCCCCACATCTTTCCTCTCGCTATCTCTCTCTATGTCCATCTCTCTCGTGGTGGAGACGAGGACGTTCTGACTTGTGATCGATGACGTCATGTAGTTGAAGTATCCTGGAATCCTAAAATGTATCTCGTATCATTTTAATGCCGTTTATTAGGCTTCCGTTTCATGTTTTCCGTGTTTACATAGGCCGTATTTATCGCTTTCTCAAATTGTGGGCCCTCCCTCCCTACGAGATTAAGATGGAGAGAGAGGTAGCTAGAGAGATGTATATATATATTATATATAGATAGAGAGAGAGAGAGAGGGAGATCATATTATTTTAATACCTTTTATTAGACTTTATCATTTATTTGGTATTTATCTGGGCTGTATTTATGACTCGGACCGTGGGCCCTCCCTCCCTTGAGATCAGCACACAGCGAGAGAGAGAGAGAGAGAGAGAGAGAAGAGGAGGAAAAAGGTTGGGGGGGGAGTCTGGGGACTACGTCACGAGCCTCCTCTCGTATTGTAATAGGCTGGGAATTTCCTCCGGAAACTTGCTGCCCGGCGGAGGGAACGCAGAGATGTTGGGGGTGACGCTGGTCTTCGTCCTCCTCGCTGCCGGTGTGTTCCTCTTAGTGAAGTTTGCCAAGGCCGATGGTACTATTCCGTGGCACCCTTGCATTCTCTCCTACTTCCCGAAGATCGCAAGATCCTGTCTGTAGCTTGCAAATCGCTACTGTTTTCCTTCTGTCTTACCCCTGGATGTGGATCTTATGGAAGGGGATTTCACGTTGCTGTCAAAAGGCCCACCTAAACGCGAAGAGGTTGAAGATAAGGTAGGAGGAAGCTCTCAGTGCTTCCTACGTTAACTTATTTATTGCATCACTTTTCATTCATCAGCTCTTTTTCGTTTTTCTTTTCATTGCTTCGGTTGGCCCTTTTTCTTTTAGGTTGTGTGGATCACCGGAGCAAGCCGCGGAATTGGTAACTATGCGATTCCTTCTCATGTGTTCGTTTTCATTTAAATTCTCGTTGAGCTTCTATTTCTTTCTATTTGGCGCATAAAATTTTCATTCACGAGAGGATTCAAATAATTGGACGACTATCAGTCCAACCGTCCCTGAGATTTGATGGAGGTAGGAAAGTAACCATGGTACACGTGAATCATGTCATGAAAATTCATCAAAGGATTTGGTGCGCTACGAAGAAGATCATGTTCATAGAACAACTATTTTCATCATATACCTTTCTTTCGAGTGGAATTGAATGTTTGCACCATATTTTCTGGAATCAAAGAGTGAAACTTGCCTTACTTTGTCTCCATATCTTTGCAACTGAATTCTTTCTTTGACAAATTTCTAGGAGAGGATCTCGCGAAACAATTTGCAAATCTAGGAGCTAGGTTAATTCTCTCTGCCCGAAACGTAGCTGAGCTTGAACGTGTCAAAAGAGAGCTGGCCGGTAAAAGTTCTTCAGATAGAGACAGCGTCATTCTGGTTTTGAGTTCAATTTACGTGTAGCCAGATATTTGGAACCCTCATGCTTTATCATATTCAATTCTATGATATTTTCTTACCTCAGGTAAACATGCACCAGATGGAGTAGAAATCTTGCCTCTAGATCTAGGGTCTAGCGAAGATTCCCTTGCAGAAGCTGTGAAGAAAGCAGAGTCATTTTTTTCTGGAGCAGGTGTTGATTATATGATCCACAATGCAGCCTGTGAACGCCCCGTAATTATCTACCTTGGTGAAACACTTTAGTTTGGCCCATATGTTTCAGACTTTATTTAGACCATTTTTCCCGAATGGCCTTTGTATGAAAGCTAGGTTTCCACTTATGTCTGCAGAAAGGCAGAGCTTTGGACGTAACAACAGAAGGCCTTCGGGTAACCATGTACCCACTTCTTCTACATTATCTACGTGAAAGTATAGAGTTTCCTTTGCTTTACCTGGAAGATATTGTTTCATACACCGTTGTTCAATTACCAGGCTACTTTCCAAGTTAATGTCCTGGGAACAATAACTCTGACTCGGCTTCTTGCTCCTTTCATGTTGGAAAGAGGAAGGGGTCATTTTGTTGTGGTAGGTTGAGATATGGAAACTGACGCCAGCATTATCAATGTTTTTCTATCTGACGTGGCCTTCTTACATGGTGGCCTTTATTTTCACTTTTTGGATGCAGATGAGTAGTGCTGCAGGAAAGACTCCTTCCCCAGGTCAGGCTGTGTACTCTGCTTCTAAGTTTGCTCTTAATGGCTATTTTCATTCTTTACGGTCTGAGGTATGCTATCATTTTTTATAATTTTTTATTTCTGTCAATGTTTGTTTTTTCTTTCATTGTGTGCATATGTCAATGGGTTTTCACACTCCAGTTTGAGTGATAGTCTATACCTTTTAATAAAGAGTCTGAGGAGCATAGGTCTGCAATCTTTCTATCACGGGGTACTGCGTACATATTTTCATTTTTCTGCCCTAATTTTTACATTTTTCCGACTTAATCAATAATTCCAGTTAACATTTGGGTTCAAATATTTTGTCCATGGTTAGGTCGTGGTTGAGGTTTTACCTGTGCCTGCTATCTAACCTTTTTTTTCTCTTCTGTGCAGCTATGTCAAAAAGGCATTAAAGTTACAGTTATTTATCCCGGCCCAATAGACACGTCTAAAGTATCTGGAGCTACAGAACCAGGGCAAAGTGGGTTTCCAGAGGTATATCTCTGGCCAAGAAGCCCTGTGCATTTAACCCCCCTCTTCTTCTGTACATTCAAAACGTCCTCGGATAACAGTCTTTCCGACGATGACATTATAATAATTCTTCTTTAAAAACTGATCTCGACTAGGTCCAACAATTTTTTTGTGTAATGAGAGTATTTTGATGCGATTTTATTTTTGATTTGTTCATTGAAAAGTGTGTCTAAACGCTCTTTTTCTATTTTTTTACGGCTTGGAGATTGGCCTATCTGAAATTTTCTGACCATTGTATTTCGACCCACAAAATCCTTAATTATATAGGTGCAGGTTTCGACATAATTCTCACATACCCTCACCATCCATTTTCATCAGATCAACTTAAACTCGATTGAACTCGATAATTCACCATATTTTTCGGTGAAAGATCAATGCCTTTTTACCCTATGATTTGAGTGTAAGAAATGCAGAAGGCTTTTAATATGATGGACTCATGCAAATTTATCTAGGTTCACTTATTGCAGTGGCCTGCAGTTCAAGATCAAGAGATAAATAGCTAGAAGTTAAGATTTTCAGATGTATGCGATCACCTTTCATGAGGAGCGATTTTCTTCTTTATCCATTAATCTGTGGTGGGAAACTGATGTATGATGAGGATGGCCTGAATGAGTGGAGTGTTGGGTGATTGAAAGCCATGTATATCTGGACCCAATTGAATTCGTCCTGATTTACTATTATAGTCTGCTAATACTCTACGCTGATATTCCCATCAGGATGCTAATACTGTTCTTGTGCTTTGTTTCTAGTCTTCCGACCGATTGAGGTAAATGCAGATATTCGATGATGAGTTGTCTTCCTTTACTTTCCAGGGGGGTCAGTTGGGGTTTCATGCGCTTGATCTTTAGTCCTTTTCACCATCTCGTTTGTGAGAGACTAGTACTAATATTTAATTTGACATCACTCCTGAAAATAGGCTTAGTCATCAGCACAGTAAAACATAGATTAGTCGATTATCAGTTCATCAACCCCACTGCATCACCCTTATGCCTTGTTAAAGTGAGTTTTTGGTTGACTCACCCATAAGGTGTTGACATAAGGCATCTGATCTCCTGGCTGACGGAAAGATGAGGGAGACACAAGAATAGGTGGGACAGTCTTTGTCAGAAGCCCCTGGTTGATTCAACAAAAGCTGAAACCCTCAAAGTATCTTGCTTTTGGTTGTCTTTTTTTTATAATTATTATACCACCTCTCCGATTCAGGTGAAGTAGGCTGATCACTCAAGATGTCATTTATGAAGCTAAATGCCTTCAAATGCTTGTTGGTTTGCATCAGATTTGGAATTGTGTGCCAATTATATACGTCTGTTTCTCTTGATCTCAATCTTAAACCAGCTCTAAATCCCATGAATAATTTAGCATTAATATTTTAATGAATAATTATTTCCCTGTATTAAGCTTGTGATACTTGCTCACATCTTCTGGTTCCTTTAAATTGTTTTTCTTCCCTACAGAAGCGAGTATCATCAGAAAGATGTGCGCAGCTAAGTATCATTGCTACAACTCATGGATTGAAGGAAGCTTGGATATCTAATCAGGTAGCGTTAATTCTGAGACCACTTATGTTTTAGCCTAATCGGACTTTATCGGAAGGGGATCGAATTGGGAACCATTTTTTCTTTATGGGTTTTACTGAGAGAAGACAAGAAAATATTTTTTTCTTTAATCACTGTGTTCTTTTTTAAGCCTGCGTATTAGGGACGCCAACCGGCTGGGTTCAGGCATCCTAAGGTGTGCTCAAAGCCATGTCTTTCATGGGGCCTGGATATAGCTTAAGAGTGGGTGACGGGCTAGACCCAATAAAGCCTTGGCTTACATAGGTCTTGCCCAGTTCTCACCAGGTAGAGAGAGAGAGGGAGAGAGAGAGAGAGAGAGAGAGAGAACCTGAGTTGGGCTGAGCCCACCTCTAGGCTTACGCGGCTGAGGGTGTCAGAGGGTAGTTGCCTAAGTTTCTCTTTGATTCGACCCTTCAGCTCTCATATTTTAGGCCGTACCAATTAAATTCGCTCACTTCTGCTTCATCTTCTTTGCAGCCGGTGCTGCTTGTGATGTACTTGGTACAGTATGCGCCTTCAATCGGTTTCTGGTTCGTGGACAAGGTAATCTTCTCTCTTTCCATCACCGTCATTAACCAAATCCCCTGGTAATTAGGATCGTGAGAGAGAGAGGGGGAGGGATGGTCTCAGGCGTGATGTATTATCTCCCGTTGTCTTCTTCTGATGCAGATCGGCGCCAGGAGGTTAGAGGCTGCGGCAAACAAGCAGAGCGCATACAGCTGGAACCTGTTATTCGGAAAGAGCAAGTCATCTTGAACTTCCCTGTTCTTGGTCGCCCATGGGGGTTTCCACTCGCTCCGCTCCCTGGTGATCTCTTCCACGCCTTGCTAGAACACATGAATCTGCCGTGGTTGGCGTTCCCTCTTCGTTAAGATGAAAAATTTCCCTTCCTTTTTTCGAATAATTATAAATGAATACAGTGAGTGCTCACAGGAATCTGGGTTTTTTCGCCACGTGGCATCTCTCTCTCTCTCTCTCTCTCTCTCTCCCCCCCTCCGGGGCCGCCAAGCCTGGAGCCCGCCCAGTCAGGGGATCCCTCTGGGTTTTGCCACGTGGCATATATATATGTATCTATATATATATATATTTCCCCCTCTCTCTCTAACTCTTCCTCTCCCTCTCTCTCTGTCTCAATCCTAATTTGTGGAGCAACTGTGTGAATGATGCAGATATTATCTTCAGCCTGGGCTCTTGTAAATGGGCCCAACGGGCCCAAGTTTTAAATAATTTTGGGAACTTTTGTTTCTAATCGATCCTTGGTTGGCTGGGTCACGTGAAATTCCCTATTTTTATTTTATTTAAATCTATAATTAATAATTTGAAGAGCTTAAGAACACATTTTTTTCTCCACCGCCAATTTTCGAAATATAAAATATTTTCATGATACTTCCACGGGGCGATCCGAAAACTGGGCCGCCTCCTGGCTTTTCGGATTTCCAATCGGGGGAGACCCTTTGATGGCGGGGACATGGACGGCTGAGATTGGTTCTCTTAGCCGGAGGGTGAATCCGGCTGCGGATCCAGATCAAGCCTCCCCGATCGTGGCTTATCAGTTACAGAGGCGTTCGACCGCCTTTCGGTTTCCCGCCGCGTGCCCGACGAAACCCTAGGCCTCATCCCGCACCGGGATAAGCTTTCGACCCGAATCTCTGTTCTTGGGAGTCCAGTCAAGCGTTCCTCTACAGTCCACGGAGTTTGTTTTTGGCGGGAGTGTGGAACTAATCAAAGCAAGGTTCGTACCAGAGTGGGTCTTGACTCGTCCGGGTTGTTCTTCCTGCCCTCGTATGTTTTTTTCCATTTGCTGAGAGATTGCAGGCTCGGTTGTGTTTTCACCGCTTGTGCCTTTTGATTTCCTCTTTTAGTTTATCCTCTTCGTGGTGTGGGCATCTCCGTCTGTTCCGTTCCGTGAGTCCTTCAATTCTTCCTTATGCGTACTATGGCGACGAGATGGCCCCTCCCGCTCTCTCGGAAGGTTTTCCTTCCCAGGTTATTTGATCAACGACGCGTTTGGTTCTAGATGAGCAGGAAAGAGATTCGCGGTTCAGTTCTGAGAGACACTCGGAACACTGGGTGATCGGTCATGATGAGCGTGCCTTGTTGTGGGTTTAATTGTAGCCGAGCCAGTTTTCCCTTGTGGTAATTTCCAGAGGTGCTCCTTTTTTCATTCCTTGGGTTTCTTCGTGCGTGCTTTTGCCGTATTCTTTCAGAGGGATCTGTAGTCTAAATGCTAGCTTTAATGGAGATGGCCTCTACGTCAGCTTCCCTGTTTCCAAGTCATTTTACTCATATTTGTTACTTCGGTTTGGCGAAATTTGATGCAACATCAGTTTGTGGGATGGACGCCGAAAATAGATTGTGTAGTCTCTATTGAAGGAAGCGTAGTTTCTTTAAAAGAAGTCAGGTCCGGCGATTCCTCCGATGAACTGGAAGGCACTGTCGAGAGGCAATCTAGTAGGAGGTTTGCCCGCTTTTCCCTAGCAGGAATGGTATCGTTGATGGAATGGATGAGTGCATGGCACTGTGTTCTCTACACGTGTGGTGCCTTTTGCATTTTCAACTAGTATCGATATCAACCTTTTATTTCTTCCTTTATCGCTGATGCTCTTATTGCGACTTCTTTGGAAAAAAAATTCTCTATAGGACGTGATGGTTCTCATTTGAAACTTTAATCGTCATGTATGCTTTATTCAAATTATGTGTTATTCTTCAATGGTGAGGATTCCTGCTCTGGTCAGCCTTGTATTTCCGGTAGTTTCCACCCATACCCATACTTTTACCATTAGGAAAATTTGGGGCAATATCCACGCAAGAGTTCTCTTAACTGAACTGTGAGTCAGTATCTGGGCCCTGGATTATAACATAGGCCCCTATAACCCTGGTAATTTTTTTATTTTTTTGGGGATTTTCCTAAAAAAATAATATGATTAACATTCTCGATTACCGATAGCATCAATTTTTTGGATCAATTCCTTGGTTTCCTTTTTTTGGACATGCGTTCTCCTTATTGATTATATTCAATTGGCTTTCTGGTGGCAGATATCACGTTCTTTGTATAGTTGGGGATTTAGGTTTGTTGTGTCCGTGGTCGATCTTTATGTCTTTGTTGTGCATTAATTGGCATGCTCTGGGTTATATTTCGCTTCATACCGTGGATATTCTGCCAAAGACTCCTATATTAATTTTATGATTGTTGAACTCGTTTATTTGTTGATGGATTCAATTTTGAACTCCGTTGCTTCACTTATTTCGATATATTCTGCCCATTTACGTCCTTGCAAGTATTCGTCATATATCAGGTATCCTATTTATATCAAGTATCAGAAATTTGACAATTTTGTGTCTTTTGAGACTTTATTTTGGAACCCAATGATGGTTGCAATTGAGTGTATTTTGGAGCCTGATTGTATCAGTCAGCAATGTACTCTCCATCCTACACTGAATTAATGACCTATTAAAATTAATACTATTTAATTTGTGAGCTTCTATCGTCCACTGTTCTGAAGAGTTTGTTCGCTTTAACAGATGTAATATCTTTCTTGCTTCTTGCAAGAATTATCCTTCTATTTTCTTTATTGCCGCATAGTTACACGTCCTTTTTTTCTGTCACCTTTCTTTCAGCCAGGATGTCTGAACCCACTGTCAAAGCTGAGGACGATGGTAATCCACAGATTTCTCATGTAACCCCCCGGCAAAGAAAATTGAGATCGGTTGTGTGGAATGATTTTACCAAAGAACTGAAGGAAGATGGCAGTGATATAGCCACATGCAATCACTGTAAGAGAAAATTTACAGGAGCTAGTAGGAGTGGAACGACACACCTGAGAAATCACCTGCGATTTTGTGCATCTTACGAGAGGGCAAAGAGAAAGAAGTTGGATATAGTGCGGGCTCAGCCTTTGCAATTGGATGATAAAAGTGCCAGTTCCATTGTAGTTCATGGAGATGACAGCAATGCTCTTCTTCAAGTGGAAGATGATAATTCACAGATTCATGAGGACGGCAATGCCATGGAATTTGACGATGAGGCAGGCAATGCACAGTTGTCAAACGTGACTCCTATTCTTCGATGCAGGAAGCTGAGGTCCCTGGTTTGGAATGATTTCTCGAAAGAGCAGAGAGAAGACGGAAGTTTGGTTGCCATATGTAATCACTGCAAGAAACAAATGGCTGGAGGCAGCAGGAGTGGAACCACACATCTCAAGAAACATCTAGGGAAGTGTATTCTCTATCAAAGAATTAACAGGAGAAAAGGGGAGATGGGGCCGATACAACCTAAGTGGGGTGACGCTGAAATAGGTGAAAATGCGGATCTTGATAACTCGTTGCTTGATCAGGAGTTGGTCCAGCAGGATCTTGCCCACATGATTATTTTACACGAATACCCTTTTTCAATCGTCAATCATGTTGGATTCCGAGCCTTTGTGAGAGATCTCCAGCCACAATTCAGGCTGATGTCATCTGATGCTCTTCAGGAGAACTGCTCGAAGGTCTACGAGGAGAGAAGGCTGGTGTTGTGCGAAGAACTGCGCAAGCTCTGTTGCCGAGTGAATCTCACTGCAGATGTCTGGAGTTCAGGCTCAAACATGGGCTACCTGCATCTGCGCTGCCATTTTATTGACGACGATTGGAGACTACACCACAAAGTGATCAACTTTTGGCACATTGACTCTCCTCATGAGAGTGGAATCGCCAAGCTGATATTGGAAAAATTGTGCGAATGGAGCATCGATGGGAGAGTGTTCAGCACGGTCTTGGAGAACTCTACGACCAGTGACAAAGTTGTCGACGAGCTTCTTCAGCTGCTTCGTCCCAAGCAAGCTCTCCTCCTGGATGGTGCTCTCTTTCATGTCCATTCTTGTTCGCACATCCTGAATCTCATCGTACAAGATGGCCTGGAAATGATAGCCGAGGTCACCAACAAGGTGCGTTACAGCGTAAACTTTGTGAGGTCCTCTCAAGCAAGATTGGAAGCATTTCAGGCAGCCATTAAGGCGGTGGGAGCTCCCCAAAAATCTCTGCTCATCGATGATCCGTCACGGTGGCACACCACGTACTTGATGATAACCACTGCATGCGAGTTCCAAGATGCGTTCATCAGCTTGGCGGAGGGTGACAGCGAGTTCATACACGTGCCGTCTTTGGAAGACTGGGAGAACATCAAGGCCATCAACGAGTGCCTGGGGGCCTTCTATCTGATGACCGAGAAAGCCTCCCCGGGTAAGTCTCCGACGGTCAATCTCTGTTTCAACAGCATATGTGGAATCCATCTTTCTCTGAAGACTTGGAGCGGTGGCTCCCATCCGCTGGTCTCTTCCATGGCCTCCAAGATGCTCGAGCAGTTTGAAAAATATTGCGGAGTGACCAGCATTATACTCGCTGCCGCGTCCGTACTCGATCCTCGGTACAAGATGAAGTCGATTGAGTATTTCTTTCGGTTGATATACACTAATGGATCAGAGGCCGAGCTCAAGATCGAGAACGTCCTCCAGGACTTCAAGAGCCTCTACGACGCATACGCCGTCAAGTCGGGCAGAGCGTCGGGTGGCCACGGCTTCTCTTGCAAGCTCGTCGTCGGCGGCGACGACGACGACGACGACGACGACGACGACGGCACCGGTGTCGGCATCGACTGCGGAAATAATGGCATGTCCAAGGCTTCTTCTCAGAACCCAATGGCCGATCTGAGGTTTGGGCTCGACCAGTATCTGCAAGAGACTTCCTCGAGCCAGCCCATCAAGTCGGATTTGGATCTCTACTTGGAGGAAGCAGTTCATCCGTCACTGAAGGGGCTGGACGACGATTTCGACATCCTAGCATGGTGGAAGAGTAATGCACCCAAATATCCCATCCTCTCAGAGATGGCTCGCGATATCCTGTCGATTCCGGTGTCCATTGCCTCCCCAGAGTCTGGCTTCCGAACAAAGGTGCTCCATCACTACCACAGTTCAATGGATCCAGTCACCTTGCAGGGACTGATCTGTGCCCAGGACTGGCTGAGATCCGAAATCGATGGTATATATGTCCATGCAAAGCTAGTTCCTTTTTTCTTCCATCCCATTCATTCTACTAACTTGTTCTTATGTTTTTTTTTTCCAGAGACATCGTTACACGGGTTAGCCGATGGCCTTTCGACAATTTTTACTCTCGATCGGTGGTGCTGAATGGCGGCGGCCGCCATGGTCGGGAGGCTTGTTGCCGCCATGCCCTTCCAATGTTTCTTTTTCAAGTTTTTTATTCCTTCTTGGCTACGACCCTTCAGTGGGCTCGTCCTGCCTGCCTAAAAATCGAGTTCTTGGAAGGAAACGGAGAACTGCGCGTCGCATCGCCTGCCACCCGGCTGGCTGCTTCAGGAAGGCCGGCCTGCTCTTCTTATGACGTGCGGCAGAGAGAGAGAGAGAGAGAGAGAGAGCGTTGACCGGGCGCTGTGTGGGTGAGCCACCTACCGGTGCATCATGCCCCCAATGGGCGTTGAATTCTTTTGTGTTTCCCGGGTGATGTCATGCGAAACCTCGCCCTCACGTGAAAACCCTCCTCCGGCGGCGAGTCAATTCGGACGGTATATTTACAGTGACCGGTGAAGTCTCTCCATGGGGGAGAGGAGGAAGCGCGGGGGAGAGAGAGAGCTGGGGAGATGGGGCGGATTCCTTGCTGCGAGAGGGACAACGTGAAGAGGGGCCAGTGGACCCCCGAGGAGGACAACAAGCTCGCCGCCTACATCGCCCAGCACGGCACCCGCAACTGGCGCCTCATCCCCAAGAACGCCGGTAATGCAGCCCTCCTCTCTCTCTCTCTACATCTCTCTCTCTCTGTGCCCGTTTTCTTGACATCCTAGGGGATGGGCACCGTCGTCCTCAGGTTTACAGAGATGCGGGAAGAGCTGTCGGCTCCGGTGGACGAACTACCTCCGCCCCGACCTCAAGCATGGGGAGTTCTCTGAAGAGGAGGAGCAGACCATCGTCAAACTCCATTCTGTCCTCGGCAACAGGCAAATCTTTCTTTCTCCCCTCTCTTCTCTCTCTCTTCTCGCTCCCTCTCTAACTGGGAGATCCTTGTTGCAGGTGGTCTGTGATAGCAGCCCAGCTGCCTGGACGAACAGACAATGACGTGAAGAACCACTGGAACACGAAGCTGAAGAAGAAGCTCTCGGGGATGGGCATCGATCCCGTCACCCACAAGACCTTCTCCCATCTCATCGCGGAGATCACCTCTACGCTAGCGCCGCCGCAGATGACCCACCTGGCCGAGGCGGCGCTCGGCTGCTTCAAGGACGAGGTCCTCCACCTCCTCACCCGCAAGCGCGCGGACCCCGGCGGCGCCGCCGGTGAGGCCCTCGCCGGCCTCTACCCTGCCGCCGCCTCGAGGCCCGCCGATGGCTTCGGCTACGGCGCGTCGTCCTTCTGCGACGACGCGGAGAGATTAGCTTGGAGCCAGAGCGTGTGCACGAGCGCCACCTGCGAGGGCGGCGGCGGCGGCGGTCCCGCGGGGACGCGAGGCGGAGGCTCTGCATGCGTTAAAGGAGAGGACGAGGCCGGCGAGGAGATGAGGAGCGGTGGGGTGGCGGAGGGAGAAGGCGGCAACGCCGGCATGTTTGGTGCAGACTGCATCATGTGGGACCTATCCGACGATCTGATGGACGCCATTGTTTGAAGGTCGGAGGGGGAGACGTATAGTCGCCAGCCAGGAAGTCAACCAATAAAGAACTCTGCATGGCGCAATCTGTTCATCTTTCTACACATCTTCTACTCCCTCTTCGCTTCGGGAACGTCAGTCAGCGCATGGGTGCGATCAGCATCAAAATGCAAAACACTCAGAAATAGCTGTTCAAATGTAATGAAAAAAAAATATTTTCTCTTCGGGCTTTCGGGGGGGGGTTAATCTATAGCAGTTTCGTGATTAGGGTTCATGGATCCTCTCGTTACTTGTGAGCACGAGCACAGATGGAAACGAACAATATTTTGTAAATCCGGTGTAGAAGTACCTGAAACAATCTCCCCTCCCCAATCTTGCCATCCCAAAAAACCTTTCTTCCTCGTATTGTTACTGGTTCTTCCCCGATACAGAAACAGACCAGAAGATCCACTGTTCTGAGAGCCGCATTATCTCCACAAACAGCGTTCAATGGACTAAGGTTAGGAGAAAATGTATGACGTCTTACCTCAGCTCGCACCGATGCTTCCAACTCAGATCTCCTCCTGAGGTGGTGCAAGGTGGGAGGAATCGACGGTTGCGACTCATTGGAGCAAGACGAGCTATTCTCTTTCCGGAAACTCCGAATGGCTGGAGCTCTCCTCGTCGCACGGAGAGCCGAGCATAGAGAACGAGATCCGCCACAACTCCTCGCAAATCCATCCCTCAGGAACACCCTAGATCGTTACCACCTGATGATGGCTGACGGGAGGAAGAAGAAACATCGTACTAGGGTAATTTGAGATATTGTTCGTCTTCTATGGACTTTATTATAAAATTTATCGCCATTTTGGTCCTGACACGGGTGATTGAATCTTCAGTTGGTGACACTGGAATCATTTGGATCTGATGTTCTTGATGGAGCAGCCTTCGTCGTCCCCCTCGTCTCCGGCGAAGTACGCATACGGAATCCGCCTGCTGGACTGCGTCGAGGAGCTCGTGCTATCCACTCTCTCGTCTTCTCTCGACGGAACGCTTGGAGCGGACCTTGGGCTCTCCAGTGATTACTGCGCCCGCCTCCTCCAGGACGCGGACCCGCTCGCCGATCCCTGCCTCATCAACCTTCCGGCACGAAGTGAAGTCTGTGCCTTCCTCTTCCAGTTTTTGCTCCCTAGAAAAACGACCGTGTCCACTTTATTGCAAACGCGAAGTTTTTGAAAGTGGACTACTCGATGATCCTGCTGGAAAAAAACCAAGGGGATTATCGTCCCCTCTCCGTCAAAAAGATGAAAATGCTCTGAGAAAAATTGGCGTGAATTGGCTGCGAATTCACTTTTATACGCTTCATTTTCCTGGCAGAATGTTTCTGACGCTTTCAGAGGTGTCCCGGCGTACCCATTGTACAAGCGCTTGGCCCTGGCTTTGGAACGGTGCGTTCGTCACGGCTCTTTCTTGAGAACCTCGGAACCGATAAAAGAGATACCGGAAGTCGACTTGAAGGAGGAGTGTGATTGGAATGACTTGATTATAAGTTCAGAACTGGCAAGCGTAAGCTGAGACTTTTGGAAAGTGATCTTTATGTTTAGCTCCGTTTACTACCTTCTCTTACGTACTTGGTTATTCTTTCGCACGAAATTCACAGTTGTACAGCTCAGTGGAGTTTGAAATACATGTTCAAGAACCTTTCTTCTCTCAGCTTAGAGGTAAATCCGTTCCCTCTGTCCATAACCTCTATAGATTAAATTTCTGCTTCGATCAAGAGGCTGGAGATAGTCCTAGAACTGATTTTTTGTGTCAATCGGGGAAGATGAAATGTAGACCGACCCATCATAACGCGTTAGTCAGAGGAAATCATGTCAAACTAGTACAGTAGTTAGCATGATCTCGGGATGATGCAACATGTACTGACTGTAGTCTAGACATTTACTTATGGTAACGAACTAATCTATGGCAGCGAACAATATGGTTCTACATTTTAAGGGTTCAATAACTATGTTAAATGTCAATTTTATTGTCACAGCTGGAGTGAAGACTGTCGAAGGAAGGTGTGCTCTTGGAAACTATAATCAGTAAGATAAAAAATTCTATAATTTCTCCTTTTGTTTCGATTAATTTTTTTCCCCATTACTTTTTTGCCATTACATTAGCTGACGATATTTTACTGATAATTGTGGTTTAGAATTAATTATGTATTTACGCAATGAATGACTACAAAGTGTACTATTGTCTACATATCCTATTCGTATCCTATCAACTTCCTTTGGCCACTGGTTCTTATGTCTTATTACCCTTATATCTATTTGTTTGATTCAGAATTACTCCAGGGGCTTTGCTTCTTGTCAACAAACATTTTCTGCTTCGAGTTGAGGTTGTACCTTATTGCACTTTCTTGTCATCATTCCATAAATTAGACTCTGTGCCTTGAGGCAGCAGCTTCATTTCTGTCTGTTTCCAATTTGCAATGCAAGTTTTTGATGGTGATTCTTTTTCATGATGAAATAAACATGTCAAAATTGCACAGATTGGAACGTTCTTTGAATAGATGATGTAACATACTAAATGAAGTCATGATAAATGTCACTCTGTTTCACTTCGCTCCTGAGCATGTAAATCATTTCTTCTCCAAACAAGTTAAGGATTACGAAATGCTTGTTTTGATGTGCACAGAAAGCTCTTTTTATGGTAATGAGGAGCTACGCATTTACTCATGGAAGTTCGTAATTTACTCTATGCCTTGTGTTTCTGCGTAAAATATAACATAGTTCCCAGATAATGATAATTGTGATGGTAAAAGGATGGATTAATGGGAGAGGACTAGAATGAATGGAGGGGTAATATACGATAACTGAGCGACAACTTATTTGGATAAATTTTCCACATCCTATTAGATTCCAGTGGATTAAAGGATGGATGCGTTAGTGGCTTACAGAGATGATGTCAAATGGCATGCAACTGTAGACACTGTCTATTTTGATCTTTCCTTGGAAAGGTTTTTTTTTGGTATAGAAATTATGGACATTGTTGTCCGACATCATTCACCATTATATAACTAAGGTCCATTGTCTCTTCACACAGTCTCCATCAAAGCAAAGAATGCAGTTTTCTTATCTCTTTTGCTCTTTTATTTAATGTTATCTCCTTTTAAGCCACATGAGATGGCTTGATATTTATTTTATATTTCATGCCACGATATTTCTTGGCTATTAATTTTTATTTTATATTCTTGTTCAGCATGTCAAGCACTACTCTTCGTTCTTGGAGATGCTGGAAGCAGAGACTCTCGAAAGTGTTCTTCCGGGCGTTAAAACAATTGAAGAAGGTAATATTGGAGTGTGCTGATAAATTTTTTGGTATAACTATTGACATATTATTTCTTAGATAATCGAATAAGTTTCATGCTACCACAAAGTTACTGCCCGGTTCATTAACACGGTTTGATTCTTCTGGATTCGTGAAGGGCCTGAACTTTGATTCCTTCTGCTTCCAATATTTAATTCGGCATTTCTGGAAAACCTCCAACATTGCGTAGATCACTTAGGTATAACGAATTATGGGCTTCTCCATGTAGGGGCAGCAAAAACTTGGAGTTAATATTCATGTTTTTTACCATTTCTGCCTTCGATTATTTATCTAGTGCCATAAATGATTGATCTCGGGTTTAAAACATGTTGCGGCGTTGATGGTGTCAGGGGTGAAAATATACAGAAAATTTTATTCAGAAGAGAAAGAGAACTCCAATGGCGTTCTTGCTATTTCCGTTTCAAGAGCAGCTTCTCAGCCATGCATCTCTATGAGTGCTTTACTTTCTGTATGGTTTTCCCATCTTCTTACGAAAATTTTCATTTCCCTAAAACTTACTGATTATACCGATTAAACCAACTCTCAAACCAAGTTGATTTTTCTTTCAGGGGCTAAGTTATGAGGGCATTAATTGCCTTCTTGGTATGGCGCATACTGTGGGAACGATTCCAGATGCACTTCCTCCACCGAGATCAGCTCTCCTATCATCCTTCATCTTATCTCGTGGACCAGATGTAAGTTTCGAAATCCATGATGGTTTGTGAGGAGTTTTGGGTCTCTTATTTAGTCACAGTACAAGAATTTCTCGCCTGATATCTATCAAAGTTTCAAACAAGCCTCTGAAGAAAAACCTGGCCAAGAAGCTGTGTTAAATCGTGCCACAAAAAAATAAACTACGTTATGCCTGGAAAGGTGTAATTTTGTTCGGTCTGCTTCGTCCATTTAGCATCCCATGCAACCAAGCACAAAGTAGTAGTTCGTAAACACCCACATGATTTGCTATTTTTTAAGGACGCTTATATTTTGCGTTCCGGTGTTCAGGATAGTATGAAGTGAGGAGTTAGAACACCTGGGCTTTTCAGATCATTTTCTCTATCCATCATATGCTTTTTGACCACTCCGTTGTCGACTGGTTGATCAGATTCGTGGAAATCTTGTGATTCCCGATGAATGTAGAGTCAATATTTCCACGATCTCTCCATTCCATTTTGTTGCCTTTTTTTTGACCCCAGGTTAAAGGCAGTTCGTTGACTGAAGGCGCGAGGGCATTGACAAAACATGTCTGCCGGAGCAGTAGCGGCTGGTGGGGCAATCTTACTGGAAATGGTAAGCAGATCTCCAGCAGAGTTGCCACCTTGCTACCATCCCGCTTGATGTTTGATGGTGGCCTTCTTTGTTTCAGACACCGACAAGAACCAATTTTCCCTCTCAGTGATCGATCGTCTGCTGAACGGCTGCTCTTGGATGAATACCCATGCAACTCAATCCCTCGAGCACGTCTTTGAAATACGCGTCGAGGAAGGCTATGGCGCTCGATGGTCTCGAGATGGTTCAAAGGTCTTCTCAGCCCCACTCTTACGCTCCTCCTTGTCGTTGAAGCTCGTCGCCTGTATCTGAGTGCCCTTTCTTCTGCTGTAGTTTATTGGCTTTCTCGAGCCCTACATGGAGGAAGGCCATGGACGGAGATGGCGACACTAGAACTTCCAGGACGCTCAACGTACTGATGCCTCCGGGGTCTAGAACCTGATGACTGTATTTTTTTTCAATGTGTTTCGTCATCGAAGTTTGTCCTTCTTCATATTAGCTCTTGCGGATGAACCCTAGACGATGGGAGCTGTGATGGGTATAAATGTCAACTTGTGCTTAATGCGACGGTGCATGGAAGGAACTCTTTTGATCTACATGGCGGTCGATGTGAGATGTAGGAGGAATCGGCTGCGCTGGTAATTGATGCCCTTGATCTGCATCTCCCGGCCGACGCCGACGACCGCCGCTGGGACCCTTCGGCTGCTGCAATCCTGGGTGAGCTCCCTCTCCGCTCCGGCAGCGTGCTTCGCCTCTCTTCTGCAGGAATGCAGGTCCCTCCGCCGTGCCCGGAGCATTCACCAGCAGCTCCTCTCTGGCGGCGCCGCCGTCCCCCCCGCACCGCCGCGCCTGGCTGTCCCGCTCGTGGCCGCCTACGCCGCCTGCGGCGCCCTCGCAGACGCCCTCAGGACCCTGGAGAGCCTCTGTCCTCAGTCGACCTTCTGCTGGAACCTGCTCATCAAGCATGAGGCCTGCCGGGGGCTGCCCTTCCGCGCCTTCTCCCTCTGCGCCCGCATGCGCCGGCACGGCACTCCCCCCGACGGCTTCACCTTTCCCTACATCCTCAAGGCCTGCAGCGAGCTCCGTTCCCTCCTTCGGGGAGCCTCCGTCCACGCCGTCGTGTGCAGAGAAGGCTTCGTGTCGAACGTCTTCGCCTGCAACGCCCTGGTCGCCATGTACGGTCGATGCGGCGCCCCGGAGAACGCCCGCCGCATGTTCGACGAAATGCTCCAGCTGGGAATCGAAGACGTGGTGTCTTGGAATTCCATGGTGGCGAGCCACACGCAGAACGGGGAGCTCGCCCTCGCCCTGGAGACCTTCGGGCAGATGAGATCTTCTCTGGCCAGACCGTGCTCCCCCGACGAGGTCAGCCTCGTCAACATCCTACCGGCTTGCGCTTCCATGGGGGCATCCTCTCAGGGCAAGCAGGTACATGGATTCGCCTACCGAAGGGGTCTTTTCTCTGATCTGTTCGTAGGCAACGCCATCGTAGATCTGTACGCCAAGTGTGGGATGATGAGGGACGCCCTCGGGGTGTTCGAGCGCATGGAGGTCAAGGACGTCGTATCCTGGAACGCCATGGTCACCGGGTACTCGCAGAACGGGGACTTCGACGGCGCTCTCAGGCTGTTCGAGGAGATGAACCGGGAGAAGGTCACCCTGAACGTGGTGACATGGAGCGCCGTGATCGCGGGGTACGCACAGAGGGGCCACGGCCACGAGGCGCTCGGAGTCTTCCGCCGGATGCAGGCGTCTGGTTCGGAGCCGAACGCGATCACCATCATCTCCATCCTCTCCGCCTGCGCCTCTGTTGGAGCTCTGGCCCAGGGCATGGAGCTCCACGCCCACGCCCTCAGGAGATGCCTCATGACGTGGGGCAGCGTCGGCGGCGGCGCCGAGGAGGATCTCATGGTGCTGAACGCCCTCGCTGACATGTACTGCAAATGCAAGAGCTTCGACCGCGCCCGTGCCATGTTCGATCAGGTGCCAGCGAGGGAGAGGAACGTGGTCACCTGGACTGTGATGATCGGCGGCTACGCTCAGCACGGAGATGCCAACGCCGCTCTCGAGCTCTTCTCCCAGATGGTTCGTCAGGAGAAGCCCGTCTCCCCCAACGCCTTCACCATCTCCTGCGTGCTCATGGCCTCCGCCCGTCTAGCAGCTCTCCACGTCGGGATGCAAGTCCACGCCTACGTCGTCCGCCGCAGGTTCGAGGCCACGATGTTGCACGTAGCCAACTGCCTCATCGACATGTACTCCAAGTGCGGCGACGTCGACGCCGCGCACGGCGTGTTCGGCGAAATGCCGGAGAGAAACGGCGTGTCGTGGGCCTCCTTGATGTCCGGCTACGGCGCACACGGCCGAGGCGGAGACGTACTCCGCATCTTTGCCCAGATGCTGGAAGCAGGTTTGGAACCCGACGGCGTCGTCTTCCTCATCCTCCTTTATGCCTGCAGCCACTCGGGGATGGTCGAGCAGGGGCTGGCGTACTTCCGCGGGATGGCCGGCGAGTTCGGCGTGGCCGCCGGGCCGGAGCACTACGCCTGCATGGTCGACATCCTGGGCCGCGCCGGCCGCCTGGATGACGCCGAGAAGCTGATCGACGAAATGCCGATGAAGCCCACGCCGGTGGTGTGGGTGGCCCTGCTCAGCGCCTGCCGGCTCCACGCCGACCTGCGACTCGCCGAGCGCGCCTCCGGCGAACTATCCCAGCTCGGCTTCGACTACGACGGGTCGTACACCCTCCTCTCCAACATCTATGCCAAGGCCGGGCGATGGCAGGACGTCGCCAGGGTCCGAGGCCTGATGCGGAAGATGGGCGTCAAGAAGAGGCCGGGTTGCAGCTGGGTACAGGGGAGGAAAGGCGCCACCACCTTCTACGTCGGCGACCGCACGCACCCGCAGTCTGCTCAGATCTACGCGCTACTATCCTCGCTCATCCAGCGGATCAAGGTCCTCGGGTACACGCCTCAGACGGGCTTCGCCTTGCACGACGTGGACGAGGAGGAGAAGACCTCCCTGCTCATGGAGCACAGCGAGAAGCTGGCCCTCGCCTTCGGCATCCTCACCTCGCTGCCGGGGGCGCCCATACGCATCACCAAGAACCTGCGCGTCTGCGGGGACTGCCACAGCGCGATGGGCTTCATCTCCCGGGTCGTCGAGCACGAGATCATACTGAGGGATTCCAGCCGCTTCCATCGCTTCAAGGACGGTTCCTGCTCCTGCGGGGGCTACTGGTGACGCCTCCAAGGGAATTGTCGATTCAAAATGAATTTATTTTCCCTTATATACATTACTTTTATTCCGTGTTAATACGAAATTTGGTTATGGTTAAAAAATTTCTTCTTTTTGCAATATAAGTTTGTTTAAAAAGATAAAAAATAAAGAATACCCAGAATGAGAGGAGGTTCCCACTAGAATGCATTCCAAGAATGAGTTGATAATGGTTTACATCCTGGTTGACAAAAATGGGTTCGTACATGCAGTCATGGGCCTTTTGGGCCGAGATAAATGGGCCACGTATCGACTGTCCAGCGTACATCTGCGTGGGGAGGGATTGGCCCCCAAGACGGGGGATTGTGTGGGTTGGCTTGGGTCCGATGTGAGATCGACGAAACTTGTGACGGACGGCCCATTAAAGGGTATTTTTGTATTTCATTCGATAAACAGGGCTAGAGTTTTATGATGTGAGCCAGGAGAGTGCTGTATATTGACTGTTGCCCATCGGCGGCTAGGGTTTCTTGTAGTGCCTGCGCATCTACGACGGACGGGCGCCTCCACCCGCCGAAGATGGTACGCATTGTCCGCCTCCTCGACGGGCTATTTATCTGCACATGCTTTCGATTCGTCACCGTGCTTCTAGTCCATGCGGTGTTGTCTATTCGGTGATTGTTTTTGATATTTAGAAATCCGTGTGGGATGCTGATGCGGTGGTATAGATTTGATTCCCTCCCCCCTCGTTTTGCTTCAGATGTGAACCTCCTCGTATGTGGGACAGAAATAGGTTCTGTCCTTCTGAGTAGAATCTGAAGGCTCTAAGAATTGGCCCCGCTATTTTGATAATTGAGTTGCTGCACTATGCTTGGACTATTCTCATTTGATTGGTTCTCATTTTGACAATCGTGGGATATGTGCCGAGTTTCAATTATCCATCATTGGAAATTATTTTTTCTGGAAAATTTAAACCTACGGCTGGTTTGATTCAACAAGCTATGTGGGAACGCTGTCCGTGGGTTTTAAAAACCATTTTTTTAATTTTTATTACATCAACTGAAAGTGGATTCTTCACCCTACGATTTGATGAAATTTTCTGTCGACGTTGTGTAAACATGCGACACAATATGAAGACGATTTTAGTTGAATCTCACTGATAAGAAGATGAGCCTGAAATGAACACTTTATATCTATTTGCCTCCAGATTTATAATTTTTTGTCCTCTCTGATCGATGCAGCCGAAGCAGATACACGAGATTAAGGATTTCCTTCTTACTGCGAGAAGGAAAGATGCACGGTCTGTGAAGATCAAGAGGAGCAAGGATGTGGTCAAGTTCAAAGTCAGATGCTCCAAGTATCTTTACACACTTTGTGTGTTTGACTCCGAGAAAGCTGATAAGTTGAAGCAGTCTCTGCCTCCAGGTCACACAGACATTTCTTTTCTTTGTTTCTTTGTCCGTCTCAATATGCTTCACGCGGCATTCTCTTTCTCTCTCGCCCATAAAACCGTCACCAAAGAGCTTGGTCCAAGCGACAATGGCCGTCAGACGCTGCTGAGTAATTAACAAGATTACCATAAAAAAAGTTTCTGACGCCATTGTTCTCCTATTGTTTGGGCAATAACCAAGGCGCAGTTGCTTAGTTTGGTTTCTTATAATGAATGCTTCAAAGCACCCGTTAGCGAATGCAGAAGAAGGGGAAAATTGATCCTTGCCACAATAATTCTCTTACTGTCTAATCGTTTTACTGTATCATGACAGTCTTTCTTATCATGCTGCTTTCTGCGATTGTTCGAAAGTGTATGCTTTCCATACACTATTTGTTGATCTTCTCTCAGATTGCTGTTGTTGGAAGTTAGTATATTAGATTCGTCTTAAACGGAATTCCTTCTTCCACATTATTTATATCTGAAATGAAACTTACTTACTTAGTAGAGTTTCTGATTCTTTTTCTATGTTGATCGATCGAGTTTTCTCATGATCTTCTGTGGGTTCTTGCAGGTTTGAGCGTCCAGGAGATCTGAAGGATTCTGATCGCCCGCCGGAGAATGCTTCATTTTCGCTATTTTTGACTATTAGAAGACTGTTTTCGTTTCTTGGACTGCAGAGGAATGCTGCTGTAAGACGTTTCTATTTATATATGCCAAGCCGGATAATTCTTCTAAGAATCGACTCTCTCTGGTTGGCTCTCTTTCTGATTGTTTCAGCCATTTTACTTCATAATTTTTGTAGGGAATCTATAATATCCAACGTCGCTCTGTTGTTTCTATCAGCCGATGTTCATCATTACCCAATCGAGATCCCACCAACGATAAGGAATTATCTGATGAATATTTGTGTATATTGGTGAAAAATTCTCCGTCTACATTCTCTCCTGACTCATGCCGGGCTCTGAGCTGGAGAACCCATCTCCTGCCTCTGGCAATGGTTGCTTACGTTGGAGGTGTGGTGTTTACAGTCTTGGCTGGCGGCCGTCGCCCATGCCAGGACCAGGAAGACCATGGTGGTCGCCAGCGCCGCTATGCCCGCCAAGGCCATGCGCGAAGACCTTCCGAGTGGCCCGCAGTGGCCGGACACGACGCCGGCGAACGCCTCCCTCACCGGCCTGCAACTCGCCAGCTCCTCCAATGTTGGGAACAAGCTGAGCAGGCTCTGAGCTGCGGCGGCATAGGTGAGAATTCCGCAGGCCCTGTCGTCGCCGATTGAACAGGCGTGTCCGCCGAGTATCTTCGGGGAAGAAGGAGCCGAATTAGGGTTAGGGTTCACGGCGGGTGAGAGTTCATCGAGAGCTTTAATGGCTGTACCTGGGGAATGTCTTCCGGCCGGATCTCCCCTTCGGAGCAGTTCTCCGGCCGGTAGCTGTACTCCGGCGGCGGCGAGAATGGGTTGCAGACGAAAGACCTCGGGGGAAGAAGAGCTGCCGCCGGTGACCTGTGTCTCCTCTTCGATAGATTTGCATTAACCTGCGAGTGTTTGTGAGGGCATTGTCTTCTTTAGCTAGCTGTCCGTGGAAAATAAAGAACCGAGGCCAGTTCTTCCGGCAGCAGAAAGAGATCTTGATACCTTGTCGATGAAGTCATGGATTCTTGCTCTGCTCTCGCGCATGGCTGATCTCGCCGAGACCTGGCGGTTGCATGGGATGATTTCGCCCAAGCTGCTGTTGCCGGGGTCGCGCAGGTACTGGTCGAACGCTACGCAGGTGTCGCCGGCGAACCTGAGGAGCAGGCGGCGCCGCCGCCGCTGGTTCAGAGAAGGTGAGCGCTTCTTCGGAGGATGCACGACGGGGGAGAAGAGAGTCTGATAGTCAGTGGCCTCTACCTGTCCACGAACAAGCACAGTCCGAAGCATATCCAGAACAGAACTGTGAGCAGCCATGAGAGGACCAAGAGCCTGCAGGGACGAGATCCTGTTAGGGTTTCGTTTCTCCTTGTTGAACTACCCGGAAGAGGTTTCTGGTTACTTACGGGCAGAGAAGTCTCCCGAGCTTCAGGAGCCCTGAAGCTGAGCCGATTACAGGAAGATGATCCACACCATGTTTAATCTCTCAAAGACTTCGAGAAATCACAGAGGTAGATAGAGAGAGAGAGTAATAGAATCAGAATTCCGCCTACCTGACAGGAGAATGATCACCAAAAGATTCACAGAAACAGTCGCGACGGTGGCGGCTTGCCTGCGAAGAAGGATTCAGATTAGTAGGGCGTCCATGGCGGCGCCGGAAGTCGTCGGAAAGCAAGGGCTCACAGCATCTCGAGGTTCCGGCCGATCAGCCCGAAGATATCCTCCGCCTTCTTCTCCATCATCGCCGCCTCGAAGGTCAGATTGTTGGTGGCGGAGGCCAAGCGAGCTGCCCCCTTGAGGTCGCCGTAGAGAACCGTGCCCCTCTGCAGGGAGCCCATTGCTCGGGTCACGTTGTGGATGGTGCCGGCGGCCATCTCCGCCGTGCCGGCGATGATAGCGTTGACGGCGTTGGCTCTAGAATGGAACTCGCAGCTCCCTGCGAGCGCCACCACCGACGCGACTCTGCAGATTGCACCGGCGTTCAAAGCTTTTCCCGGAGATTACCAGGCTGAGATGATTATGATAGTTCTTACATTGCTAGAAGAGTGAGGAGGATCCCAATGACCACGGCCCAGAGGCGGCGGCGGCAGCATGGGCGGTGGCCGGTGCAGGGAGTATGAAGCTCCTTCCTCTTCCCTTCTCTTGCGTAACACAGAGCAACAGAGCAAAGCGCGCCCCCCATGAGCCATACCAGAGCTATGCCGTAGCCGGCGAAGCCTGTGAATATGGTGGACTGTAGAAAGCCATTAGATTCTTGCTAGCATCATATGCTAGCTTCGGGGAAGATCGGAGGGAGGAGCTTACGCTCCAGTAATGGTCGTCCGTAACGTTGAAGCCTCCTCTGTATTTCTTGAATCCATCCAGGGGATCGATCCTCTGCGTCCTTATCGTCGTCTTCAAGCGGTGCAGGTCCTGCGGTTCCGGCGAGCTCCTCCTCCCTAATACGAGAAAGATGAGTAAAGAGGTGGAGAACGAGTGGAGACTGTTCTTCAATGGCGACGGGTGGCTCCAACGAGAGAGCGACTCCATTGGAGGAACAACTGAGAGCTCCTCACCTGTTTCCAGATGAGAACTGGAGGCATCGGCCTGCCCCACGGCGCAGGATAAGGTCGCCGCCAGAAGGCCGACCAGGATGAATCCTCCGCTGAATTCGCTGGAGATCATCTGGGTAACCTGGGGAAGAGGAAGATGGGAGATCATCAGAATTCCTTCTATGGGATCAATTCCGCGATAACAAACAGGAGTTTGCGTTCTTTCGTTCGCCATGAGTAAACTCAGAGAAAGTTTATGGTAGGAATTCTGATGTTCATGGGGATGAATATGACCTCCAACGTTTCAACCCAGAAGAGAGAGATTCATGCACTTGGGATTTCCGGCTCCCGGTGCTCCCGATTTTCCTGTCGTATGGATCTTCCAAGCTTCATACCTCTCTCTCTCTCTCCCCCTCTCCCTGGACCTCAAAGCTCCTGCCGGTGGTGCAGACAGAGAAGAGGGTGTTATAATAGCTGGGCATAAACCGACCCTGTGAAGAAATCCCCCGGTGGCCTCTCTCCTTTGAATCGTCCGCGGGATACAGAGGGAGAAGACGACAGTCACCGCAGCTTATCTAGCTCCAGGCTAATGGCCTCCTCTTTCTGTCTCTCTCTCGCTAACCCCACCTACACGGATAACATAAACTACTAACCTGTTTCCTGGGCAACCCGCCACTGAAGGAAAGCTCCGGATACCTCTCTCTCTCTCTTTCTCACCTCTCGTATTTATGCTCTCTCAGAAAGTCGTAGGAAACATCTTCGGGTTCGGCCGTGGAGGCGCTGAAAAGGAAGATGCCTTCTTCTCCCCGGCAAGCATGCCCAGGAAGAAGAAGAAGAAGAAGAGGATGCGGAGAGGGCAACGTTCCTCGTTCCCATTCGCCGCCAACCGCCACCCGCAGGAATCACGGGTACAAGTCAACGGGCCCAGATAGAGAAACCATTAAAGGGGAGATCTTTTTAACTGTTCAGTCTGCTCACCAGCGCTCTCCCATTCGCCGTCTCGGTTTTTCTCCCCTTCCGTGAGGGAAAATCCCAGGTTTCACACATACATACGACGGCTTTCTCGTCCCGTTTTCCGGCGGCTCTCTCTCTCTCTCTCTCTCTCCCTCCATTTGTACTTCTTAGTCACGAGTAGTGGGCCCAGTTCTGAGTCTGGTTTGACTGAGAAACTTTAAATCAGTTGCTATAAATAACAGCGAATACTTCCGAACTTACTCGACGTTGACACGCGCGTTGACCCAATATTTCATACCTCCCGATTTGGAGGCACCGAGGTGGAGACTGGTTTCCTGTTGACCTGTTAAACGGCGGTAGCGCATCTCCATCCTACGTTTCTCTCTCTACTATACAATTAGCCTCGGAAGCCGTCTTAATTACATGAGGCGTCCTGGTTCCAAGTTTTTCATAAATCGATTCAATCCTTTTTTTTTCTTTTTTTTACTAGGCTTTTTGGGTCTCACAAATTATATAAAAACCTTTGCTCATCTAATTTCTCCGTTAGTTTCTCATTAACCCTGATAAGTATTCACATAATTTATTATTTTTATTACCATTTGAATACTCGTGCATATTTTTATCTAAAGTCAGCGACACGTGCTCTTTGTAGATACCCTGAGGCTGCCGCCTTCGCTAATCGCAAGAGAAGGGAAAAGTGATGAAAGGGTATCCATTGAAGGAACGTTGACTTTTGGTACAAGGGTTGATCTAGATAAATATCAAACCACTTGCTAGAAGCCAAGTGATGGGTCAACACTTGAGAGCCCTATTAGAAACATGTGGAATTACCAAAAAATCCCTTATTTGGAAAAACATTAAAAAATATTATGATCAAAGATATATCAGAACATGTTTGGCTTCCGCCAGTTCATGACGATCCACCTACAAGCCATCACTAGAAAGGTTATCTCTTCGACATGCAAAGATCAACATAACCATGAGAGAATCCTCAACAGAGTTGACTTGTTTGCCGGAAGAACCTCGGACTATCAGCCCCGACCAAAAATCTCTCAGACTTGAGGAAGAACCCTCAAGCTAAATCGGGCAAGAGATTGCCTTGAAGAAAAGAGTAGATGTGGGTTCTGAGAGAAAGTAGGATCCTGGTGATATCCAGTGTCTGGGTTCCATGCACAACACATCATAAATGTATTGGATGAACGTAGGATACATGAATATCTCCAAATTTTCAGAGAGATTAAAGAGGAGTTGACTTGTGCTTGCATCTAATAACTCGACATGGAGGGATAGTTAGCTGGAACAGCGGGGATCCCTTTATTTCATCTAAGCTCTAGGAATGAACAGGGATCAGATCTTCGATCTACAGGTTTATCTTGACTTGGGCCGCTCTCAAGAAACCACAACAACAGAGGGTGGATGGTCCTACGACAATGGTCAGTAGTGAACATCATGATTGCATGGAAGTTGAGGTCCGGTGCGGCAAGACAGAGTTAGCAAGCTCGTCGTTCACCTTCACAGGAAGCGGCGGCATTTGCTTCATCTCACCAGGGATCTCATTTGTTCTGCAACAAGGAGGAGACTCCGTCACCTCAAACGCATACAAAAATATGCAGCAAAATATGGGCTATATACGTTTCACAGAGCGACATTTTATAGCATGAAATATGTACGAGAGTAGCCTCGTAAAGAAGAAAAATCCTTGGAAATAATAAGCTACGAGAGATCAGCCCAGCCACACGCTCTTATCATACGTCAATGTAGTCCAGGGCTGCTCATACAGCTGAAATCGTCAAATTTCCGAGATTGAGAAAAAAAAAAGAAGGAATTATTGTATATATTTAATGCGCACTGACCACCTCTAACTGGTTAATAATGAAAAAATAATGAAATCAAGAATCACATGGTACCCGAGTATAAGAATCACGCCCATTCAATTATAAGAAAAAATAATGAAAAAAAAAAAGTAACATGAAATCAAGTACATACTCGTTCAGGAGGGTAAGAATATTGTCCCATATCTGGCAGAAGAGATTAATATTTTCCTTTATCTGCAGCACAGTAAAATATGTTACATTCATGCGCAACGTATTATTGGTCTCTAAACTTACAAGGACTGTTTCACATCATGACGAGTGTAATCAGGCACCCACGAGGGCCCGATTCCACCGACTAGGTGCTTAAAGAAGGATACATGAAGAAAATAATAACAAAGATGGCAACAACATTAGGTTACCTGATAAGATGCAAGGTTAGCAGAAATTTGATTGAAGTTCTGAGCATTCTGCTCAAGAAGCTGTCCTGTTGCACCACCGATTGCTGCAAAAATCATAGAATAAATAGTTCGTCAGAGACGAACTCAGGAGAAAACAAGGGATATAAATTTTATAGTGTCTTATCACAATTTATCGTCATAGAGACGTCCAGTGCATCTGGAAACCAGTGCTGTCTATAGAATGAACTAAGAATCAACCAAATGTTTTGGAGATGCTAAAGGCCCAAGAGTAATTTAGAACAATAAGAGACGGTGGTTCCTGCATCATTAATGCCCATTCGAGAAATAACTACTCTAACGGTGATAGGAGGGCTTCCTCGCTCAAAAAATATTTATTTTGTACAGTGAATCAGCTTCTTTAAGAACATCAGGTTCCATCTCGCAGACCCTTTTGCGAGATCCAAATCAAAGCGTTTGTTAGATCCAAATCAATTCAAGAAATGGTACCATTTGGTACTATCTCACACCACATAAATCCATGCAATAAGTTACCCTCTGCAATGATTAAAGACAGAAGCTTAAAATCAAACGCAATCTGAAAAAGTCATACAGGTACGGGGGATAGAATAAAGGAAAGGCCAGCAGAATGTTCTCGTCTACATCTCTTTCTTTCTTTATATATATATATATATATATATTCGCGGGCACCAAACATGGCTGGTATAAATCTTCTCAGAAGACAGAGGTCAACACGTTAAATCATCCACATAACTCAAAACTAAAGCCTATTTGATAATGGTTCCACTGAAATAACTACTCTAACGGTGATAGGAGGGCTTTTTCGCACAAAAAATATGTATTTTGTACCGTGAAGCAGCTTGTTTAAGAACATCAGGTTCCATCTCGCAGACCCTTTTGCTCATTAGAGAAAGTTCTGTTCACGTAACAACTGTCGTTTCCCACCATGTCAACTTTGATGTATGCATAATTAACAGGAACTTACTTACAACCCTGAATAACCTTGTCGTGACTGGGTAATCTCTAAATTATGTAGAGAGAGTTAGCAATTAATTTATCAATTTCTGATTCGGGACCATATTAGAAGCTTAATTGAAGTAAACACACTCAGGAAATGAGTAAGCATTTTGGACTCCAAAAACATAAGCAAAAGTTCGCTCACACACAGGTTATTCATACCATCGACGATTCCGTAAAAAATAACAAAGAAAATACTAAAATAAATCTGACCCCAAAATAGGGAAGTCAGAGATAGCACAAAGGAAATGACCGCACTAAAATTTTAAATTGCGTACAACAATCATGCTATAAACATGGAAGCACCTTTTCGTTCCAATTTCATACAGCCTAGCCGTTTCCAGCAAATTGTGCTTTCAGATAAATCATCAAAAATATGAGTTTCAGGTAATAGATTAAGGCTTTGAAATATCTCTTGGTTCACCAGGTCGTGATTTTGCACAAACAGTCTGTACTTGGAGATTTTTTAGTATGATAAATAAAGCTCTGCCACTAACATAGTCCATGGAGAGAATTTGCAATGCATCAAACAAAGGAAAACTTCACAAAGAAGCAAATTCATGGATCAATCACTTTTTTCTTCTTTGTTGTTTAATAAGAAAGAAAGTGGCAACATAAACGGCATACATTTGTATGAAACTTCGTCATCATTGTCAATAGATGGAGTAGGCAGCGGATATTGAGGTACACTAGGCCGCGCCGCTAACTGAACTGGTGCTTTTGCTGAAGGATCTGAAACACCCTGAAAATTATACAGCACTGGTCTCATCAACATAGAAATCAAGCAATACGATGTTAAAAACTCAAGAAACTTAACTAATAAAGGAATGAAATATAGTACTGAAAGAAAAAGAAAGCACGACTGCTAAATTATTTAAAACAACTACAGAAGAATATGCATTTTGGCTTTTCAACCAGAAAAGTTAGCAACAGCAATATCACTATTTGCTAATGCAAGTCAAACCACACGATTCTTTCTTTTTGGATAGGATTTCTAAAGAAACTGAAAAAATCCTATTAAAAAAATGATTGGTCTCACCTTCTTACTGCTTTTTTTTGAAAGACTATGATCGTCTTTCCTTTTCTTGCCACTTTCTTTTTTCTGAAACAAGAAAATGAATCATAAGACGGTTTTCCGTATGAGAAAGAACCTAAGTGTTTCATGCATTTCAAACATTTTCACTAGTACAAGCATATTCCGCTTTAGTCAGGAATTGGATGTGCAGATAAAGAGTTCAAGAAAAATATTGGAAAAAATGATAGACAGAGGAAGATATAGGTGAGGAAAAATTTTCATAATATATATATATATATATATATATATATTTTCCACTCCAGATCACTCCCAGTTTTCATCGATATGATAGAACTCCAAAGGGGAGTGATGTGTGCATTGAGCCCAGGTACATCATAAAGCGCAGCCTTCATCTGCACTAGGTCTACTCCTCATTATGTTACCTGTTTTCACCATACGGTCCTTCAGGGTTACCTTTTTATCCCCGACAAATTATCCACTTGTTGTAAACGTCACCCTTACAGGATCATTGAGCAGGCATTTCAAAGGGAAGAGGCCAGACAACAAAGTAAATCTACATAGCTAAAAAAGACCCTAAAAAATTGGAACCAACAAAAAAAATCGACAAAGCGTCTCTGCAACAAGGAGAAGGAACCGAAGTGTGCATGTGCCACACAGGTGCAAGAAAATTTCCTTGTAGTTTGTAAACCAACCTAAGAAAACATGATTTATATTCGCAATGGTAGTTACAGCCAAGAAATAAATCAATGAATAAAAAAGATGCCTACACACAGTCAACAAAGACAGAAAACCTCTTCTTCTATTTCACCTGAGAAGGTGACACCAGCACCGTAAATGGAATACTTATGGCGAACTTACATTCATCCATCTGCACCGCAAAGCCACATCCCGGACTGTCTTCTCATGCAGTTGCATAGCAATCTTTGCGTAACGAACCATGCTCGGCTCAGATGAATATCTACAAGCAATCGTATCACAAAATGAATGCTGATTTACTTTAACAGAAACGTAAGTTTTTTATCCAAATTATATAAAGCTTTCTTATTAAATTATAGAAAAACTTCCTTCTACAATAACCAAGTTTTCTACCTACATTTACAGAGTCTGAAATTAGAGAAGAAATATATTCTTTTCCTAATAACGGAATTTTAGATAGAGGATAATCCTAAAGCATCAGGAGCAGACAGACAAAAGAAAATATCATGACACCATTAGCCACTATTAAAATCGAGAGAACATTCAACCCTACATATATATACTTCATAACACATTCAAGTCTTTCTGTTTTCCACTCCAGGAGGAGGGAGCAGCTGGTACCAAATACAGGAAAACAGATACTGCGGTCGAAAAAAGTTACAAGAGTTCATAAACAATTAACAGTAATTGACACTATGAAAATACTTTTAATGAGCATAATAAATAATTTGTCGTAAGCTATTTCCAAGTTTTACTTCTATTGTTAAAATATTAGCTGGGATAGAAAGTATCTAACGGGTTTTAACGGTAGTTTGGCCAAACCAATCAGAATCTTTCAGAGAGGCAAGTGACGCAGGGAACAAGAAGCCATTCAGAAAAAGACGAAGAATGAAAGTGGTTGGGGAAGGGGAATAACAAAATGAAAAGCGGTGAAAACGACGGGCCTGAGATCTACATAAAAGAGTTATCACCAACGCAAAGTTCTCCTGAACACCGGAAAAAGGTAATAAAAAGTAGTCAGCAAACCCGACGTTATATTGGCTTCCCTCAACACAACTCAAAAGAAAATCGACGGAACGGTGACGCAAAATGAATGATTGAATAGGAGAAGGAAATCCAAAGAAGAAAAATCGAATCAATCGAACACCAAAAACTACCAAAAAACTATTAAGTGGAGATGAACCTTGTTATCGGAGAGCAGGATTCGGAATTGTGAAGTTTCAAATAGCGGACAATGAGAAGGGAATCAAATTGCTTACTTAGCGAGTCCTTCTTCCAAGATGGACTGCTCCTCCGGGGTCCACTCCGTTGCCAAACCCGGGTTGTGCTTCAACGCCTGGGTCGACGGCGAATTGTCGGGAACGGGAGTTACGGAACTCCCATTGCTAGGGTTTCCCACCGCAGCGGCACTGCTGGCTCCGGGTAGAGAGGAGGAAGCATGAGCCGCATCCTGATTTCCCGTTGGATTCGCACTTGCACCCATCCTGGATTGTAGGGATTGCCGAACAGCCCAACTTCTCCCCCCCTCGATGTTCAGAAGCCTCCGTTGCTTCCTTCGATAAGGGGTTCCCCCGCCATGGAGGGAAGGCGGACTAGGGCGGGCGAGGAAAAAAAAATCTAGGAGGAAAAAAGCTGGGGAGCGAGAAGCGGGATGAGATAGAGGGAGCGACGGAGTGTGTGTGTGTGTGAGAGAGAGAGAGAGAGAGAGAGAGAGCTCTGGCCGTGACCTTAGTGAAGCAAGCCTAACTTTGGGGACGGACCTTGGAATTCTCCAGATTACGAGCAGATGAATGAACGAAGAGAAAATAAATGCAGGAACGGGGAATAGGCGACGGAGTTATAGAAGAGACTGTTTTTCCTCATTACTGTAACCACTCCTTCAAACCCCCCCCCCTCTCTCTCTCTCTCCCGCTGAATTCGTCCTAGTGTTCCTGTCTCTCTACGTTTTCGCCTTGCGGCTTTCAAGGAATGACGTCATCTACCCGATTTAGCTCTCTCTCTGTCTCTCTGTGGGTGACGGGAACAAAGAATCAGTGACGCTCACGAGTACAGAGTACCCTTTTAGGAAACGATCAACCAGAGACACGACGATGGGAACTGCTGACGGCTGGGCAAGAAAAAAAAAATAAAATCATTTCCTTTATAACGCCGAGAAAATTACAACTGCGCCATTATTTACACGCTGTAAGTGAACACGGGTTGACCCGATCCTCATCCAGCATTCCAACCATCAAGAGAGATCTTTTACCCCCCCAAAAAAAAAAATCATTTGACTCTGTGCTGCTAAATTTCGGCGGCATGGCCCTGGTCAACATCGTACCAAAGTCAGAAGAGTCAACTGGAATCCTTCCTCAGGTGAGAGGACCCGAGAGTGTTAATAGCTGTTGACCATGTAATTCCCCTCTCTGTTTCCCTGTTGTGGGAAGTGAGACCCGATCTGGACAGGGGGGCTGGTTCTAGAGATGAGGGTTGACTACTCGCAACTTCTATCCGCATAACACAGAAGAAGAAAGAAAATGCACGCAAGGGGAGGAAGCCCATTCACCTCGCCCGGGGGTGACTCAGGAAAGATCAGGTTTGGCTCGATCTGCGCCGAAAACTCATGGAGAAGTTGGCCATGCGTCTTCCTCTTGGGGCAGTAAATAAGGGGGAGGTTAGAACTGGTCAACATCGGTTCATCCTCATTGATCGGAGGTCCCCATGCTCGTCTGCTTGGTCAGCTGATGGAAAATGTTTCAAAGTCGCATCCCCCCGTTGACCATCAAAGAAATAAAATGAGCATCTCCATTAGAACACCTTACCTTGTAGAAATACCTCTTCCGTAGTTTGATGGCCAAACGGATGCACCTCTTCACGTTGATCTTCAGCAGTTTGTCATTGAATATCTGCAGGGAAAGAAGATTTTGGGTCAACGCTTCGCCCTTGACTAACCAAGAAAAGTCAGTAAACTGGTCACATCATTCAATTCAAGGAGGTTTCTTAATCTCCTGAGCCAAATAGATTGAGATTCATGGCTCTCCCGGGAAATATTCTGGCAACTCATATTTATCAGAGATTTTTCTTCCCAGAATACAGGAACAAGAGTGATTTGATGTCTAATAAACGGTATTAACTCGGTGCATGCAGAGAATCAAAGATTCATATGCTTAACTTCAGACAAATCCGCTTGACTTCATCTCCAATGCGCATATAAATGACAGTGATGAAGAAGATATGGAGGGGAGCTGGTAAAATATACGTCCACCTTTATCATGTCGTCACTCGACTGGGTCTCTCTTGTGATCTTGAGGCGGTTGATGATGAGAATCGCTGCTACACAGAAGACGGGCAGCTCATCGCATCCGATTTTTGTTCCTGTAGTAGAAGCGGTGCAGATCTCTCCCATGTGGTCGTGCCTCGCCCAAAAGCTCGCCCTCGCCAACCCACAAAATGAATTCCTCGAAACTGATCTCTCCTCATTATCTTGCGGTGGAGAATTCCCATCACTGCCATGTTCAGGCAGATTCTTCCGGCCACCTTCTCTAGCCTCCGTTCCTGCTCCATCTGGATCACTTGAAAGCTGTAATGTCAAGGGTTGAAGACCGTTCTCGTTCAACGCCAGAGCACCAGCCTCATCAAAATCAGCAGCCCACATCATCTGAAATGAGAAATTGGAGTCCAAGAATTTTGACGTGTTGTCCACATCAAAAAAATTGTATGAAATTGACCGCTGATGAAGGAGAGAATCTATCAAATGCTTTTAAGCAACAGAGAAGCGCAATCCATGTTCACAGCTAGGAGCAAGTGGGGAACTTTGAAAAAAAAAAAAAAAGCTTTCCACATCATTCAAGTTTTTTAGGTAAAAAAACTCTTTGCATCCTATGGTTAGAATTTTTAATGGCAAGAATATGCAATGCGTTTCCTGAAAAATTCTTGCAGCTGAGGGTCCAAATTAGGGTTCCTTTCTGATCTAATTTCTCATATCTACCATTAGCAAAATACGTTTCCTCAATGATTCGAACTATGTCTTGAAAATCCATCTTGGGTTTCCTTTCAATTCAGAGATGCATTGCAGCCATATTGAGAATATTAAAAAAAATCTTCAAAACACTTTCTCACAAACTAATGCATGATCACAAGAAAATGTTAAAGAAATAGAAAGATGAATGGACCGCTCTGATGATACATCAATAGCATTTTCTGGCACAGGAATTACAGCCAACATGAAAATGAGTAAGATAGAAGTAACCAGGGCAACTATGAAAATGAGTAAGATAGAAGTAACAACAGTGGAGTGTAGCCAACTAAGTAATTGAAGAATATCTGATTTAAAAAAATGCAACATGAAGGTTGTGAAAAAAACTCACCCAAAAATGAGCTTGAGTCAATACGGCAAGGTCAACTATGTAATGTTGAATCTCTAGCGCTGCATAGCTATTATGAACCATACTAAATAAAAAGTAACCTCGTGCACTGCCAGTTTGTTTTTTTAAACATAGATGGGTGTTCATTCCTTTCACCCATTAAAAAGATGAATGGATGATTTGCAATGTAGTATATGCTAGGGCCTATACAAATACATTAGTGACTACATGAAGCTGGGATCTATGGGAAAAACAAGGGCACTTATTATGGCCTCCAGTGTGCTTTTGACAAGTAAATAGGAGCTAGAGAGTGACAGACAGCTGAGATCTCGCTCTCTCTCTCTCTCTCTCTCTCTCTCTCTCTCTCTCTCTCTCTCTCTCTCTGGTCGTTGAGCTTCCTTGATTCTAAGCCAAGCTCCATAAAGATAGTGCAAGTTTTAGTTTTATGATGAATCTTCCAAATAATATTTTGGAGACCCTAACTGGCATCTCATCATATCTCCTTTTCTGAAAAATGAGTGATTCTAAAACGTCACTATTTCACTTTTACACAAGTCTAAATGACAAAATAATTGCGAATCTAACGTAATATTACTGTGTAACCATTGCAACATAAACTATAGAGTACAAACCTCCCACATGCAAAGTGCCTCATTAAAAGATATTTCCCGACGAAAAAGCACCAGCAACATCCGGAAAGCAAAATGAAGGCTTTCAGCACCTATAAGTGACAAATGTGCAAATATTTCGGCATCTGTTAATTCCAAAATCTTCCACAGTGCTTGCAACTGCTTCATCACACCAGTTGGACCTTCCATCAGGAAATTTTCACGCTGAAAAATGTACAACGATTTAATAGGGATACTTGAAATCTCTGTCAAATAATCTTTCATCAAAGATGATGCAGATTTGAGAAACATTACCATCCGTCTTAAAAGCATTTCAAAGCACCAAAACGCATCAGCATTATCCTCATAGAGAACGACAAAAGGAGAAAGCAGATCACTCATACCTGCAATTAGACCCCAGTGATGTGAGACTTCAAACACAGCATAAATATGAGGTGTCACACAATATACACCAGATAGAATATCATTTCAGTTTGGCAAGTGCACATCAGAGTTAGATGGGGAAGGTCAAAGGAAAACCTTGGCAGTAACCAGTAGCAGGATCAATCCATGCATAAACAGCAAGAATATCTGACATTCTAGCCATATTTTTTGAATCCTCGTAAAACTCAAGATGACCATCTGTCCTTACCACATCAACAACTGAAAAAATATGGCTAACGTCAGATTTAAAAACTAAGATGAATTGGTCATTTGCTACTCAGAGTCAGAAAATGGGATAAAACTTTCGGAAGAGAAATATTGTTTACCAATTCGATGAAGCGTCCATAGCCATTCTGAGACTCTGTTGTCGCTTGCAGGCACTCCATTGGAAGCGGATCCATCCGACCTTCTAGTTTCTTGTGTATCTGATACTCTCAATCTGGTCACCACGACACTGTTGCATCCCACATTTTCGAATCCTCTAACCTTAGTCTGGATATTTTGATCAAATCCCCCAGTATCGGAGTTACTAGGATGAAGAGGCGTATTATTTGACTCCATAACAAGGTCAACGTTATTGTTAATTTTAAAACTATGCATGACTTCACCCTCCAATCTAAAACTATGCTCTGATACATCTAGCGCCTCACAACTCTTCTTCTCACTATCACTATTTTTAAATAAATCAGTAACTGGTAGAGGAGGAAAATCAAAAAAGTTCTCAGATGCATATTGGTCTTCATAAACTCTGTTATCAGGCTTCACAGGAAAACAATTATGTGAACTAGATTCATCTAAAGCGGAAGAGGTATCGAAGGCTATGCTATCCTTGCTCTCAGTAAGGCTGAAAAAATCAGCAGAATCGCTAGAACTTTCTCTTTTCTGTACTTGTGATGTATCTTTATGATAGTTATTAAAATCGTATGTTTCTTGCTGGTTAATTCTGCTGCAATGATCTTTGCTGCTCTCTTCTTCTTCCCTAGTAACAGTGTCCTTGGGTGGTGTCCTTACATCCATCACCTTGGACCCAACAACATACGCAAGCATACCAGTACCTACGCTCGAGTGCATCATTTGACATTCCCTTATTAAGTCATCATACCGCTCCCTGAAACAAAACATGCTGTGAAGCACTTCTGTAGATACAACTTTAAAAAAGCCAACAAGTCATAAACATAAAAATCCGTTGAAAAAAAATCCATCTTCGTTTTGAAAGTCAAAAGACTGAATCATAAAAATGTCAACGAAACAGGAGCATAAATGGTTGGACTGTAATTATGGCTCCATTTTATGCAGAAAAATAGTCAACAGGGGTCCGCAGCAAATGATGTATGCTAAATGGTTAAGAATACAAACCTCCGAGCAATCCTTAGTTGTTTCCGGTACTCTGAAGTGCTGCCCAAAGCATAACAACCTAGAAGAAATTCCCAGACTTCCGCCCTTATTTCTGGATCAACACCCTGATCTTGTGCCCAAGGAAATGCAGCAAAAATAAGAATCAGTTGGCTCCAAAAAGTGAACTTCTTTAGGGAAAAAATCACTTTTGAGGAAATACAACTGTTGAAGCTCAGTATGAGCTGACTAACTCAATGAAAACGATTTTTTTTGGTTTCACAGAAATATTTAGTATTAAATTAAGGAAATAAAGCAAATTCTGATCACCAGCTATTAACTTGAAGCTTGGGCGATTATTCCATTTTCATTAAATTAAATACCGTCAAAACATTGGGAACTCTATGAAGTTGTACAGAAAAGCAATTTGACAGCCCTAGATGCGTTGACTTCAAAGATGTAATGACATTTTAAATCAATAATAAAGCCGCGGGGAATGAAACGATTTGATTGAGCTGAAAGTGTGTGCATAAAAAAGTTGGTCTTGAAAAGCAACAGAAAATCCGTGTAGCAACTAAAATTCTCTATGCACTTTTTGTGGAGATATCAAAGATTCAAAAAGAGAGGTAAAAATAAAAGACTCATACCGAGTGATATGAAGCATTATTAAAGTGGATCTTACAAAACTTAACCCATTATAACTGATCGTATGAAAAGAGACAGGAGAAATATTTACCCCTAGTATGATAGATCTAAGGGCCTTTCGAAAGGCAATGACTCTTCCATCACTGTCAAAAATCGAATGCCACTTTTCTGGGCTGAGCATTTTGCTTCGCTGTTCCATTACAACAGAAAAAGGACGATATGATACTATGAGAAAAAGACCAGTGGAATAAATTGAAATTTGGAAGAATTTATATGAATCAAAATAGTTGTTGTTAAATTGATGGCATTAACTCCTCAAGTTTTTTGTAACCGTCCTATTTGAAAAAACCATTTTAAAGTCTCTGAAGATTATATTTTTACCAGTAAAGCCACACTTATTTTACTCATTCCCTTTTAAATCAAAATTCGTTCAATTACCCAAATGACTCAGATGCCCCAACCTAAAATCTGGCCTCTCTTTCCACCATCTTAACCCATAAATCAAATCATATTCCACAGTATCCTATTTTAAAAAATCTAACTTCCCGTGTAGGCTTTGATTGCACATGCCTAATGGTCAATAGTTTTCAAGGCTCACAACATCTTGTCTTCCATATCATGGTCTTTTCAGTCCCCACCGTTCCATGTCATGCTTTCTTAGTGAGTGATAACACCCCTGCTTATTTAAGTGTCTTTTTGACCTAACACCATCCTTCGAACAGATATCCTTGACATGACTGATATCAAGTTTACTGCGCCAAGTCTCAACCAAGGTAGGAACCAAGGACCTTCTTGTCTATAAGTTATTTTCAGAAAGCTACCCAACATTATTTTTTAAAAATTATAGGAACCTCTACATTCTACATTTACCATTATCTCTCTGTAACAGCAAATATTATAGAAGGCAATATTCGACATTGCGATACAAATTAAGACAGTTCAAGGGCCAATAGCTAACAATATCAAGTGGTTCCTGACGGTTTTTCTGGGGCAGGAATCCCGATAACAGAAAGTGTTTTGGATCCACTGGATCCATAAAGCGCCAACAAATGGGTAACCAAATATATGAAATAAAAAATAGCTATTTACATAACTGCATATTCATTACACAGAGGAAAAAGGAATAGAAAGCATTCATTGAGAAGGCAGAAAAAAAAAGAGATTGGGAGGTAAAAATAAGTAAAGTACAAAAAATGTTCACATTAAATACCTCCCTATACATTGTATCTTTTACTACAGAGGTTGCAAGAATATCTCACTGTCACTTATTGACATTAAACAGACGAAGGTGTGCTTGAACCAACTAAGAATGAAAATGTAACTCAAATTTTCATATTAGGTTATACAGGGTGGCATGAGACAATGAGAAGGTATCACACGAACTGGAATAAATGAAAGGATCCAACCTGAGAGAGCAGGGATTTGACACAATCTAGGATCCAAGTTCAGATGGTCGTGCCCACTCTTGTCCCCCTATCCTATTCTCATTAAGAATTATCAACGTGGGTCGCAATGTACCATATTGATCAAGTAGTGTCAGACATAATTCTTTACCTCTGCATCTGAACTTCATTACTATCTCAAAGTATTTTCTAACGCAATTTTGTCCACGTAAAGATAAAGCCTTAGCTACAGAATGAGAAATAAGTTACAAAGAAAACAGAGGAGTACGAGAAAAGAAAAATAAACCAATTCAGTTTTTGTTCACTACTAGTGTATTAAGATATGGCAATGATGGTTGCCTGTCTAAATTGAATTTTAATAGTAAACATGATCATCAAAATAACCTGGGGACCATAGAGACAAAGTGTATTCTCAAGAAAATACAACGGAATATCAAACTCCTGACAGAAGGAGTTAGATTCGTAGGTAAGTTTTGAAAGGATGCTCTTTGTTCAAATTAAAATTATAATTTTTAAAAAAATAAAAAGTGAATAATGAGACAGTCGCTTAGAGCGGCACAACAGATAGTCTGCGCCCATGAAATTGCCAATGCATTTGTGTGATTTCGTTGCTGGAGCATCAGCATGCGAAAAGTCAGAGTTAGTTGTCCGAATTGAAGTTTCAGCTCCAACGATGATCATCCAGAGGGACATGATAATTGACCTCGAGCTGCAGATAGGGATGGATTTTGTCCAGCTCAAATCAACAAAAGTTAGTAATAAGTCAACGTCGCATTGGAATGGATCATTTTGAATCCATATGATGCACTGAAGCACTCTAGATTGGGGAACAGTGGGTTTGTGCGCTAACGATAATAACAGATCTTGCAATGGTGGACGTCCAAGTTCGAGCATGCAAGGAAGCCATCCAATCTAGAATAACATTCTTACATTTCATTCATTTAAAATAATAAATCAATTCTCTCAAGTCTGGATTCAACAATTAGGCTTACTGCAGCATTTATGACACTTCTCGGCCCTACAATTATCTTTTTTAATTGGTTATAGTTAACGCCAGTGTACTGTCATAGTTACCTCATGTTACTCCACTTACTGAAGATAACAGTTAATATTATAATATTTTCAGGTCTCCTTCATTCAAGATAAGACGGTGGAGAATTTTGGAATAAGAGGAATTCCGGCACAATTACCTGCACTTTTGACTCGTGTTAACGAAGATATATTCCATTAAATTACGCCAGAATGTCAAACATAGGATTCCCAACATTAACCAAACTAGGTCCGTATTGTCACCAGCCATTTGACCCAATAAACTAGCTGCTAGACGGTGTAAGCCACAAACTACACCTAACATGGTCTTACACACGGGTTCATTATGTGTTAGTCTTACACACGCACAAAATAAAAAAGATTTCATTTTGCCAATGCCTAAAACAAGGGAGCATCACTCCACCACCCTTGCGTGATGCCAAAAAAAAGAATGCACAAGCCGAACCAACCTTGCCAGGTGAATGATGAAGACAAGGCTCTCGAATATCTCTGACGATGGAACTGACGCGGTGCAGATTCACTCCACCACCCCTGCCACAAATCCATCTTCTTTCGTCCCCGTCAAACGACATTAGATGTTTCTTCTTCACTCCGTGCGGCTCTTACTATCTGAACGAATTTTTTTATAAAAAATAAAATTTTAAATCAAATTACATAATTAAAATTCCACAAGGGTTAGCCCACAGGAAACACAATGAAACACCGGTTGTAATATTATTAGGAATAACACAACCAGTGAAGCACTATTTCAACTAATCAAAATAACTAATTTCAAAGAAAAGAGACATTAATATCTAAAGTAAAAAAAAATACAAGTATTAATAAGCGAATATTAAATCGAGTAAACTGAAACGAAAAACCGCAGTTGAATCCACACCCGAGGTAACCCATGGAGAGAATTCCGTGATAAACCGGCGCGTACATTGAGTAAAATATTAGACAAGCATGACACATTTTCCCCCACGAAAAATCCGGAAATCTGGTAAACGTCGCTTAGAAGTCCCCATTCAGACGGATGGCCCTCCATGGCTACAGATATGCATGAGGAGCAAGTACCTGCGGGTGGAGAGGATCCGAGTGCACCACAGCCGGGCAGAGGAAGGGGCGCGCTCCATCGACGCACCAGATCCTAGCCTCTTCTCTTCTCCTCTCGTTCTCCCTCGGTGCCTGGTATCGTAGCTACGAAAATGGGGGGTGGGGGAGGAGGAGGGGGGTTGAAATATTCCTTTTCTGAGACCAACAAGAAGAAGAAATGTCAGTTAGGAGTGGAACTGGTGGTGACACTACAGAAGCCGCCTCCCCCCCCCCCCACTACCGATAGCGCCGATCATGGGCTTCAGATCCACCCTCCAAAGCCATCACTACCGTTCATTCGGTGAGACCTGCGTCGATTGACGAGAGTCTCTCGATTGACACCGATGATCCCTCTTCCGACGGCACCACGTCCGTTAGATTCAAAGTCCTTCCCATGGACCTCAAGTCAGAAATAACGTCTCGAAAAATTAAACAAAAGCATACCTTTTTATGGTAATCTGTGCCGATCGGAAATTACTCTGTTTCCACGTGGCAGATAGATCAACGTCCCCGGGATTGTTTTCTCACAACGTCTAGTCCTGACGTCACCAAGGTAACCGTTGCCGACACCCCGCCCCCATATGGGCTCAAATGGGCCGGCCCAAACTTCATATTCGGTCTCGGTCGTTGGAAATGCAGCTTCTGTTACCGGGTCGTTCTGGTACCGACCCGTTTGATCGAGAGGAAAGTTGACGATTAGAAGACGTGTGAATCGTCGCCGCTCCGCCACCACTCCGTCGGAGCGGCGGGCTCCCGCCTGTTCCCCCGGCGGCGCACGCAGGGAAAGAAACCCTGAACGAGTTCAAGAAGAGAGAGGTGGGGGCGGAGAAGTGCAGAGAAGAAGAGGACTTAGATTCTGTGCCTTACGATGGAGGCTTGGGCTTCTTCTGCCTTGGAGAGGGCCGAGGCTTGGGCGAAATCGTGCCGGGAAAGCCTTAGGTGCGGTTTGGCGGAGTGCGGCGTCGGCGGCACCGGCGATGAGGCCCTCCAGCGCGATAATCCCGTAAGCGACTTGGCAGACCCCTCCACCCTCTTTTTCTCTCTCTCTCTCTCTCTACTCTCTCTCTCTCTCTCTCTCTCTCTCTCCTGTCCGTTCTTCTTATCCGGTCACATCGTGGAGAAATTCGTCGGGCAGTCCTGCCGTATGAGACGTGCGCATTGCATCTTTCTTTATTTAATATGATTCGAACTAACTTCGTAATGTTATTTTTTAATTTGGTAAAAATCTAATCATGGAAATGCTTGATCCAGGAAGGCCTTTAGTTTTACTGTTGATTTTTTTATAAAAAAAATATATTTTATTTTTAAGGGTTCGAGCTCAGCTCTTGCATTTTATTAGAACAATATTGCAAGAATAACATGGTTTAAGATGAGATTAGAACTGTCTTGAGCTGCTTCAGACGCAGCATCATTGTAAATCAGAATCACATTGAACTGTGCTGGGCTCGTGGTGTTATGAAATTGGACTAAACGTGTCTAACGGACTAATCAAGCTTTCGAAAAACGCTTCTGAGCTTTCCATTCCTCGTAGATGTTTGTGTAAATTGGTGCAAAGACCGCCCATGCGCAGGTATCTGCCAGGTCAGTCCATATCCCATGTCACATCAGAGCTCGACTGTTTTTGCTCTTTTTCTTCTTGACTCAGATCAATATCCTCAAACGCCTGCAACGGGAAGCATTCTGTGAGTTGATGAAACTGCGGGACCGGCAGGAGAAGGTCGAGCGGGCCCTTGCCTTCTATAAGACCGGTAAAGGAAGCCCATTTCAGGAGACTGGTGGTACCCGCATGAGGGGGGTAGTCTCTGTGGCTGGGGCATTGCCATTTTCGGGGAGTGATGATCAAGAGAGCCCCTCCCTTCTAAATATGGCTGGAATCAGGACTGGCGTTGACTCAAGATTCATCTTCGAGACTGTCACCAGACAGAGGGATACTTTAGTTGCAGAGTTTGTGGCCAGGCAAGACGGCCCGTCTGCCCAAGTCAGTAATGTTCCTGGAAGCCAACTGACGTTATCCAAGGTGTCTTATTTGGCCAATATAAATGACTGGCTATCCTTGGTATCGGTTCCTTTTGGTGCTCGATGCCAAGACTTCAGTTTTGGCTCTTACCCATCGCAGGTGACTTCATCAATTTTTATTTTTTTATTTTTTTAATTTGGTCTTCACATTCCCATATTCTTGTCCTAAAATCATTCATTTCTACCATATATGTGTGTGTTTATTTATTATAAATAGCAGGGTTTGATGGAGCCTTCTTCATTTGATCCACCATTACTGAATCGATATCTGGGTTGTGCCGCTGGCTTGAGGCTCAAATGCTCGAACATCACTGCCACTGCTTCTCAGTCTGTGTCAAGGCATCTCGGCGCCTTCGGGCAGTTTGACTTCCAACTCCTCGAGGGAGCAAGGGTTTCCGCAATGGGTCTCTGGCAGGTGTCTGGATCGCCACCTCAGCGGAGCCAGGCCATCCAAATGAGCCCATTGGAGCCGCTTCCAAGCTCCCAAGCGGAGGACGAACAGCCTTCAGGGAGGAGGCCCGGAGCAGGCGATTCATCTTCTGGGTCTGCTGCCGTGGTGCTGGAGTCAGAGTTGGATGACAGCAGTAGAATCAGAGGCTGGGTTGAATGGGTGAAGCCCGATCTGAGAAGCTCAGAGCAGAGTCTTCAGTGGGGCCTCTCTCTATCGGATACACCCGAGGAAGAGGTGGGATGGGGCCTAGCCGTCGGAGGGGGGACAAGCAGCAGTCAAAGGCGGGTTCAGTTCGAGGGCTTCCTGAATTTCTGCATAGGGAAGAGGTTGACTTTGCAGCCTGGCCTGGTGTACACTGTGGATGGGAAAACCCAGTTTCCGGCCCTTGTGGTCAGCTCCAGATGGGCTCTGTGATCTCCTCTACATTCTTCAACGTGGGAAACTGCTCATCACGGCGTTGGTCAACCCACCTTTGATTCACTGCGAGTGGTTGACCTCTTGCTTTCCTCCTCTCTTCAATTGCTCTCCTGACCGCAGAAATACCCTTTTTGGCAGTTTTTAGAGCTTGTCCCGGGGAAAAATGGGCAAGAACAAGAGGGGTTGACCCCTCTCTCTCTCTCTCTCTCGATTTATATACAAACACGTATATATCTTCGTTTTATAATCTTGTTGCATCCATATAGTTTTTTTTTCAAATTATTATGAATGAATGCAAGGGTTTTTTTTCATTTTATGTTATTGAACGGCTGGGCCCCACATAAATAATGGCATCCGCTTCCGTGAACCCGGGATGGCGCCTCCTCGTTGGCGTACTATCTCCCCTCGGATCGTTGATCTTCCGTGATCCTTTTTATTTTTCTGAAGTTAATATGTTCCGAACTACGTGGCGATCATCCAGTGGCTAGGTAAGCGGAAAGTGTTTTTTCTGGGGACTACACGATGCAGATTGAATGTTCCGGTCATGTCGGAGACATAGAAGGTTTCTCCACCGCCAGGAGCGCGCCAAAGCTCCGGCTGCGACGGTGAGGCAGGCAGTCCTAAGGGGGAAGAAAGGGAGCAGAAGGAGAGGAGAGCACCGGCTGCGATGGTACACTCTGCGTACGATTCGGTGCAGGTGGTGCGGGGATGCCCCGCCAAGGTCGAGGTCGCCGGAGTTCACGGCTCGAAGATACTGACTGGATGCTCCGACTGCTCTCTACGGATCTACGCTCCGGCGTCCCCCTCGTCGACGGCGTCGGACACGTCGGGCCGATCGGCACCGTGTGAGAAGGAGTTGCAGAGGGAGCCGTACGTCCTGGAGAGGACGGTGTCGGCGTTCTGGAAGAAGAACCCTGTGGCCATGGAGGTTTCCAGGTCTAGAGACCTCCTGCTTAGTCTCTCGGAGTGGATCGCCTTCCACCGGCTCCCCAACCTCGAGACTGTTGCCGCCATTGGGAAGACCAAAGGCGCCAACGTGTATAGTTGGGATGATCAGAGGGGGTTTCTTTGCGTGGGAAGGCAGAAGAAGGTTGGCATTTTCCGATTTGACGGTAAATTTTACTTCTTCATTCTAGTTGAATTTATGGGGATCTTTCTTTCGTTGGCATATGAGACGAACTTCCGGAGCCCACATTAGTGTGTGCCCTATTGTAAATTTGGCAGGCCGTGGAATGCATTTTAAGGTCCCCTGGGAGGTTTTCTCTTTCAAGATGGATCCTTTTTTTTAGGGGGGTGGGATATGGCTCAGCGTTTACAATTATAAAAAATCTGAGTGCGTTGTCAGCGTTGTGCTGACAATATTCGAAGTCCTTTTCTTTTTTATGGCGGATAAATGGCTACCGTGAATTGTCTCGGTCATTCTTTATAATCTGACCGAAAAAATGGGCGATATAATTCTCACAAAGCAATAGTTCTTAAGCTTTTGTTCAGGATCCTGACTATTTAGTGATATATGGTGCACCTGCAGCGAAGCTTATGTTCAATTTTCCTATGGAATGTCTAGGGGTGATATTATGCAGTTTTTCTCTGATCCCCTCTCTATAAAGAGCATAGTTATTTTATGGCATTGGGGAAACATAGTCTTCAACAAATTTCAGTAATTTTGTCTGGCATTTTTGCAGTATGAACGTTTTTGCATTACACTCTGGGTAATTTTCTTTTGTTCTTTTTTTCCTCTCAAGACGGATCCATGTCTAATTTCTGTTTTTCCAATTCTTCGAATGACTTCTGCGAGATTGTATGGTAGGAGGTCGAGAATTTGTGGAAGTGAAGGAATTTGGTGTTCCTGACGTGGTGAAATCCATGGCTTGGTGTGGTGAAAACATATGTCTTGGTATTAAGAGGGAGTACATGATACTGAACAGCTCGACCGGAGCTCTATCTGAGGTGTTCCCATCTGGAAGGATTGCTCCTCCTCTAGTTACCCCTCTTGCTTTGGGGGATCTTCTTCTTGGAAAGGTAAGTTCTGCGTTTCTCAAGCAACCCGCCTTCTGATGAGTAAGATCGTCCTGTTCGCATGTGCTAAGTCATTATCATCATGATGAATGTAATTGCAAGTTTATCTTAAAAATTTTAAATTGTAGGGACCAATCCCCCAAAAAATAGGGTACCTTTTGGAGGAAAAGCAATTGGGTACCTTTTTTGACAGTATGCTGACAAAGTATGATCGTCTCTTGAAAACAATGGTGATCCTTCTGACAGAAAAGAATCGAATACCCCACTAATATAGTCTTTTTGTGTAAGCATTTTAAATTTCGGATCCCATATGCCAACCAATAGAGGTAATTGGTATGATGGAATAAATGTTCTTCAGAAGGAAAAAAATATGAACCCATGTGTTTGTTAAAAACGCTGGATACTGGCACCACTGGAGTGCTTTCTCTAAGGCATTATGAATAAAACAAAATAATAATTGGGTAATCACTGTCAAGAAATAAACTATAATGCGCTACGTATCCTTTGTACAGGATGCGCTTAAAGGCTTTGTGATTTCGGGGATTCGATGATAATGATTTTTTTATATATTCATTGATGGGGATATCGTCAAATACTCCAGCTTCTTAACCTCATTATTCGTTGCTATGTTGTGTTCTATAAATTGACATTTGACATAAACACCATCTTGGTTATTCGTAAAAGCTGGACGCATCTATAAACTTAATGCATCACCTATTAGATTATTTCTGGATAAAAAAGACAAAATATGAACCCTGGGTCTCTAGGCACCGGCTTTCCCCTCCCACTCTCAGCCTGGCCACGTTTCCCTCTCATGACTCCCTCTTTCCCTCATTGGACCTGCCAGTCTACTTTCTTTGTAAATCTTTTATGAGCATTCAAACTATCAAGGTTTATAAAGTTGCACATGAGATTAGCACCAGCTTATCCATCTTTTGATGCTATTTCTCCAATTGATTGAAGGTGACCAATACTGGTATTCTCACACGTAATTATGATATAGTGTCTCATTGCATTCACTCTAGCTATTGATTTTTAGCTTTTTGGGAGGAGTTAGTCCCAAGGAAGGAGGTCCAATTGTTAATTTTATGGCATTTAAAAATTTTACGTAGGATAATATTGGAGTATTTGTGGATCAAAATGGAAAGCTTTTGCAAGATGGTAGAATTTGTTGGTCTGAGGCCCCCACATCTGTCATCATCAACAGGCCATATGCAATTGCTCGTTTACCAAAATATGTTGAGGTACAAAGTTTATCTTGATAATAATGGAAGTGAAACTTATTTCTATTTTCCGTTTTGATACATAATGTTTACGGTCGTCTAATTATAATTATTTTCTTTTCTTGCGCGTTTCAACTGCAGATACGATCTCTAAGAGCTCCTTATCCTCTAGTTCAGACAGTTTACCTCCGAGATGTTCATATCCTCCTTCAAAGCAATGGCTGTGTCATTGCTACATCTGGAAACTCTGTGTATGGACTACTGCCCGTTCCTATTGATGTACAGGTACATCTTGACGATATCAATGCATGTGAACCCAATTTTTAATCTTTAATCGATGCCACCAATACTGATAGGTAACAGAACATCTAAACTTTCAATTTTAAAGAATATACAGTCTCTGATATTTTTATCATCTTATATTTATCGGATTGTTTTTTGAAATTGTGTATATCTTTCCTGCTTGGTGTAAATGAAACTTTTTCTTACGTGATATTTAGAATGTATTTGTGAATATTTTCAGATCTTTCCATTGGGCTCATTGATTGTTTTCTTTTTCTGACTTGCAGATAGTCCAACTAACTGCATCCGGAGACTTTGAGGAGGCTTTGGCTTTGTGTAAATTGCTTCCACCTGAGGATTCAGCCCTCAGAGCAGCTAAGGAAGGCTCTATCCACATCCGGTGATTATCAGTTGCCTTTCATTAACGGCCAATTTTCACATCAATAACCTTATACTGTCTACTGCATTCATTCTATACCCGTTTGTGCAGTATGTAAAAACTTGGTATTTGACAGACACACTGTTGATGTATATCCATTCCATCCCTCCACAACACACACTCCCTTTGAAAATAGCCTACTTGGTTGTTTAACTTCTATGTATTGTTTGCAAATGTATTGCATACATAGCTTATCAGCATGAAACATACGCCAAAGTTCTGGAAACCGTGTCTCGTTGTTGCATATTTATGCATATTGGAATGAACTTTTTTCTCGTGTACTGAATTGCTTCATGTTTCAGCTATGGCCACTCTTTGTTTGACAATGGAAACTATGAAGAGGCTGTGGAGCAGTTTATAGCATCCCAAGTGGACATCACTTATGTACTATCACTGTATCCATCTATCATCCTTCCCAAGGCCATGGCAATTCTGGAGCCTGATAAGCTACCAGATTTATCAGATAGTTCATTTCTATCTAGGGCCTCGTCTGATGCTTCTGATGAACTGGATCCCTCATCTCCTTCCCAGTTTGTGGATTCTGATGAGAAATCAATGCTCAAGGAGAAGAAAATGAACCACAATGCTTTCATGGGACTCACGAAGTATTTACAAAAGAAGAGATATGGCATAATTGAGAGGGCTATTGCTGAGGTGACAGAGGAGGTTGTGATGGGTGCCGTTCAGGGCAGTTCACGTAAACCAAATAATTTAAGCAAGGTAGTTCAACGATTGACTCGACTACTGTTGTCTTTTGTCGACACAAGACAGAAAAGATGCCTAGTGCAAATATTTATCCATAAATTGTTCTCTTTTTTACCACGTTTTACATTTAAGTATGCAGATATTTTCTGTGCTCAGTACTTTCTGATGAATTGATTTTATTTTTTCGAATTGGTTTTTGTGCTGAGTAGTTTTTTTTCACGTTGATTATGCGACCATTTTAAACATTCTTAGAGAAGAATCATATTTTGAAAAATGATTGGACTATTTGTTTGTTCAGTTTTTATTTCTTTTGTTATTTGAGAAAAGGTCTTTCAGACATTACTGTTATCCTGGAATCTTCTAGGTAGTGTGAAGGCTTAATACTGCAGCGGAGCTGGTGGAACGTAAAATGTGATAGACATTTTGACCGCTTTTCATGAAGTCCGGCTTTTCTCTAATCTGTGATGTTGGAAGTTACGTCAGGAAGGGGCTATTTTGTCTATAATCACGATAAGGTTTAATGAGTATGCTGATTTCATACCTGTACATTCCAATTTTCTTGGTCTTAACGAATAGGCAGTACTATAAGTTCACTGTTAATTGTACACTTCCCTCTTTACAAGTCCTTGGAGCGTTTTCATTGATTTAACACGATAATATATTTTCCAAAAACGTCTTAATGCTAAATAAATTAACTACCCGCTTTCTGGTTCAGGCACGTGGATCACACCACATTAGCTCAGTTGCCAGGGAAAGGGCGTCTATACTAGATACTGCACTTCTCCAAGCTATGCTTCTAACTGGACAATCAACAGGTGCATTGGAATTTTTGAAAGCTCCCAATTACTGTGATCTAAAGATCTGTGAAGAGTTCCTACTGGAAAAGAAACATCACGCCATTCTCTTGGAGCTATACAAGGGAAATGAAATGCATCGTGATGCTCTGAAACTACTTATTCAGTTAGTTGAAGAATCCAATTCAAATTCATCGGATCCTATGGACCACCAGAAGTTCATGCCAGACATGGTTATTGAGTATCTCAAGGTTCTGTCACTCTTTCTCAAGGAAAACAAGGACTTTTGTCCAACATTTGCACTATCTAGTATTATTTTTAGTATTATGATGCCATGCAATCGAGGTGCTTAAATTAACATCGACTTTTATGATATTGTTCTTGTGAGTAGCATTTACAAGGATTAAACATGATTTCCACATGATGTATGCTTTGTCGTTTACATTAAAGTTCAGATTTATATGGGTCTATATTCTCAAGGGTTGCCATCCATGTAAAACTTTGGTTTTCTGTTCTAAATAATGGGTGCCAAATTTATGATATACTTTTGTAAACTTATTATTAGCACTCGATTGTTCTGGGTTGTAGAGATGATGCGTCTCTTGACATTGATATTCGTGATTAATGAGAAAAAAAATTCAAAGTTAATAATGACTTTCACATTCCAGTCGTTGTCAACGGTTCTTCCTCATAAATTTTGCGAGCATTTGACTAGAGTTTGTTCAGTATTTTTGTGCAGTTTGAATTTCTTCAGAGCAATAAGAGTATAGATTATTATTATTTCCTCTGAAGTTGACTTGGTTGCTTTTGCTTTTGCAGCCTATTTGTGGGTCTGATCCTATTCTTGTTCTGGAGTTCTCGATGCATGTCCTTGAAAGCTGCCCAACACAGACTATTGAGCTTTTTTTGTCAGGCAATATACCGGCAGACTTGGTCAATTCATACCTAAAACAGCATGCGCCAAATATGCAATCAAAGTATTTGGAGCTTATGCTTTCAATGAACGACTCTGGTGTCACACCAAATTTGCAGAACGAACTAGTACTGTTTCTCTTTTGTCCTTGTACCTACATATTTCTGTGTGTACTCCTTTTTTGTGTAAAGCAGTAAAAAAAAATGCGTGCATAAATATCCATGATCAAAAATCATGTACATGCAATCATCCCTAGTAACAGCAAAGGAAAAACAGCGTTTGTGTCATGCTGTAGTAGCAGTGACAACGACATTTGGTCATCACCAGCAGAATTTTATGGTTTCCAGAAGTTGCTGCAGCTTTAGTACTCTACGTAGGATATTAAGGAATTGGGGAGAGGGGTTTCCTAAATGAGCATAGATTTGATCTTTTGATTAGTTATCATAATGCCCACAATTCGTCAAGAGCATAGAATGTTAAGGGTCCCATCCGATTTGAATGCACTATGGAGTTAGTTTACACTCCATGTTTTTATGTCATCCATCAGTTTTCTTGAAAAAGGATCTATTTTTTGCCTAAATCATTCCCTTTCCAGGTACAAATTTATCTTTCTGAAGTGCTTGATTGGTTTAAGGATCTTAAAGATCAACAGAAGTGGGATGAGAAAGTGTATTCTTCGACACGGAAGAAGTTATTGTCCGCCTTGGAAGGCATTTTAGAGAACAGTGCTGAATCCCTGTTGAAACGCCTCCCCCCTGATGCCCTTTATGAGGAGCATGCTGTCTTACTTGGGAGAATGAACCAGCACCAACTTGCGTTGTCTTTGTACGTTCACAAGGTACTGTTCATTTGTTTGAATAATCTGCGAGTCTAACAAAATTTTAATCTAATCGTTTCTCGTCATGGTACATTCAGCTTCATTTACCAAACCTTGCATTGACCTACTGTGATCGTGTATATGAGGCTGAACTACACCGGGCTTCTTCAAGGGGAAATTCCAATATCTACTTGACTCTTCTGCAAATATATCTTAATCCTCGGAGTTCAACCAAGGAATTTGAACAAAAAACTAGGAATATGTTACCTCCCCAGAGCCATGGTAACCAAAGAGTCGTTCTGATGAAAGCTAAAGTTGGACGTGTATCCAAGAAAATTGCTGCTATTGAGGGTGCAGAAGACATGCGCAGTAGTCCCAGCAGCACTGATAGTGGACGCAGTGACTGTGATGGGGATGAGGTGGTCGAGGAAGGTGACCCTATAATGTTAAATAATGCATTGGATTTGTTGAGCCAAAGGTGGGACAGAATCAATGGTGCTCAAGCCCTACGGCTGTTACCGAGAAAAACTAAGCTCCTGGTAAGACTTGATTTATAGAGTTTTCTATTTTGTCAAGTACGTCAAATATTAATCTCGTATGTCAAATGACCAAAACGTCAAATATCAGCAGCACTGATATGCATATTTTTGCATAATATCATCTGTTTCAAAATCAGAAAATGGCAACAAGATCATCTTCACCTGCATTAATTGAGGTTATAATTATAATATTCAATAGATGATGATTCTGCGTGTTAGTGGGAGTATGAAGCTGGAAAACGTGGCATCCTAGAAATTGTTCTCTATTTTGCCCATTCTCAGTTTGACCGCCATTAGGATTGGTATACCATAATAGTGGAGAATCACTTTTGTTATTAGTCCCTGTAAAAGGATCCTCTCTTGATGGAACCCATTTTGTCGATTCTGGAAAAAAGAAAATAAATTATGGTTAGATCATACAATGGATCATAATTAATAGTTGATACGGATCATTTTTCTTGAACGTAGAGCATTTACTTGTCTGGTTATTAATGAAGGGCAGGGATTCTGATTAAGGATCTGCACGGATGAACTAACATTGCAAGGCACTGGCAGTTTCTTATTTTATATCTACGATTTCTACCTAACATCGATTTTCTTTTTTTTTCTTTTTTTCTTTTTTTTTCCTCTCGTGTCATTACCTAACATGCCATGTTCTTTGCAGAATTTGCTTCCCTTTCTCGAACCTCTTTTGAAGAAATCTAGTGAAGGCCGTCGAAACTATTCAATCATCAGGAATCTGAGATACAGTGAAAATCTCCAGGTACGATTTGAATGATGTCTACATGCTCTTTACAAAAATTGCTCGGGAAAGCTCTGGTTTTGGTTGTAAACTGTAATGGAAATTTGGATATCTCTCGAAAAAGAAAGAATTTTTCTGTCGGAATACTAAGAAGGAATTAATACCGGAATCATGAGACAGTTAAGATTATAGTGTGCCCACACCGTCAAAAGATTGTCCGCATTTCATTGATTTTTTACCCACCTTGCTGTCGTTTTTAATGCAATGAGTAGCGTTTTTATTTTCTGAGAAGTCCTCAGACCTGGGAGTCATTTCCACCTGCTGACGCTCCTGCTTGGAGTAATTTTCTCAGCTTTACATCCTGTTTAACTGGCATATCATTTGAAATATCAGGTGAAAGAAGAGCTTCTTAGTCAACAGAAACAAGGTTTGAAAATCGATGGAGACAGCATGTGCTCTCTCTGCCGCAAGAAGATAGGAAGCAGCGTCTTCGTGGTCTATCCCAACAGGAAGACTCTTGTTCACTTTGTTTGCTTCAGAGACTCTCAGAGGCTAAGATACTAAGAGCTCCCTAGTTCCTGGTAAGAAATCCTGAATCATCCTGGTTATCCATCTACCCCCACCTTCTCTTAGAACGGTCGTTCGGTGCTAGTCGCTCGTTAATTATTTGACTTTGGCCATGCATCACCTGCCTAAGGTGATGCATTTCTTTGACCCACACCGCAGCAAAATAAATAAATAAATAAATATATATATATATATAGAGAGAGAGAGAGAGAGAGAGAGAGAGAGAGAGAGAGCACAATCGCCTGATTTGATTGGTTTCAAACCGTTCCTGATATAATGGAAGGCCTTTGCTGTTCTGCGAGCACTCGACGTCCCTGTCTGTCTGTCTCTCTCTCTCTCTCTCTCTCTGACCGAGTCCAGACCAAGTTTATCGAGGGAGAGAGGGGGGGGGGGTGTGGGAGGGGTGGATGACTTATTTATTAAAGGATAATCCCCGAATGGGTCCTACCATTCATCAAGATGCCCCCTTGACGCCATCGTACTCTTTTAGTGGTACAATAATAATGACATGTGGAAATAAAAAAATAAGCCGTTGCGTCGACCGCCGACCTTCGTGTCTTGCCTCGGCTCCATTGTAATCATATCAAAGACAACGGGCAAATCATGTGTGAAGTCAACGCCAAACGACCCCCACCCGCGTTCCCATCCTCCCGGTATCTCTCTCCCTCCCCTCAGACAGATAAATAAGGCCTTCTGTTTCGGGCAGCGGGTCAGAGGGTAAGAAGTTATTCTTGTCGGGGCTGACTTTGAGGTCAAAAAGTCAAGAACAATGACCGGGTCGAACCCCGAGCCTCGAGTGAGCCCGGTCAAGAGAAGATACGGTTCGGAGATGGGTTCACACGCATCCGATTACATTTCCAGAAGAAGAAGAAAAAAACTTTAATGACGTTTTTTTAACAATTTCTAACACAATAAAAACCCTTTTTTCAACAACAAAGTCCCATGTTTCTGAGAACATGCATGTTTACAAACGGATGGAAGGAGGGGCTGGCGAACGATCACACATCGGATAGAGTTCCTCATCGGCAGGACATGGTGGTTTCTAGCATCAATCCTTAGAGAGTGAGAGAGAGAGAGAGCAAGCAGGTGGAGGGCTTCAGATGGCGGAGTACAAGATGGGGGTGCACCATTTGAAGAACCTCCCCGTGGGAAGCTTGGCGGCGGGGAGGAGGACGAGGGTGGCGGCGACGTCGGCGGCCTCCTCCGCCGTGCGCTCGCCGCGGCCACGCGTCATGTCGGTCCTCGTGAATCCCGGACAGAAGCAGTTCACGCTGATCCGGGCTCCCTCGAGCTTCCTCGCCAGCAACCTCGTGTACGCGTTGAGGGCGAGCTTCGACACCGAGTAGTCCGTCCACAGTCTCGGCCACCCGCGCTGCCGCCACGTCCCCTCCTTCACGTCCCCCAGGAAAGCCGCCACCATGTCCTCGATCGCCGCCTCCGACAGCCCCTCCTCGTCCTTGAGCATTGCCCTCAGCCCCTCGTTCTTCACCTCCTGCAAAGACATTCTCACACACCCTCTGAGATCACACAAAAATATACATGTCAATCTATCTATCTCTCCGGGTTATGAGAGAGGAGCAGGGTCGGGTGTGGTGTGGAGTGCTTACGCTGAGAAGTCCAAGCTGAGAGCTGATGTTGAGGATGCGGCTGTGGGAGGAGAAGCGCCGGAAGAGGGGGAGGAGGGCCTCGGTGAGGCGCTTGGGGCCGTGGAAGTTGGTGCGGATTACCGCCTCGGCGTGCGCCACCGAGTTCTCGCCGATGTCGTTGAAGGAGACTGCGGCGTTGTTCACCTGCGCCGGTGGGGGGACAGGGAATCTGAGTTCTGTCGTTTGGAAAAAACCAGGCCCCGCCGTGGGGGAAGCCGAGGTCTGTGGTGCTGTATTCTTAGTAGGAGTGATGATGATGAGTATTGTCACTCCTTTTCTGTGAACTCATCTCTCTCTCTCTTTCTCTCTCTCTCTCTCTCTCTCTCGCTCTCTAGGGAAATATCAGGCGCAGAGATAGACATGAAAAATAAGATAGATTGACAGAGAGAAAGATCGAGAGGGAGAGGGGGGGAGAGAGAGAGAGAGTAGGGGTTGCGTAATGATCGAGATAGAGATCGAGAGAGAGAGAGTAGGGGTTGCATGATGATCGAGATAGAGAGAGTAGGGGTTGCATGATGATCGAGATAGAGATCGAGAGAGAGAGAGAGAGAGTAGGGGTTGCATGATGATCGAGGTAGAGATCGAGAGAGCGAAACAGTAGGGGTTGCATGATGATCAAGATAGAGATCGAGAGAGAGAGAGAGTAGGGGTTGCATGATGATCGAGATAGAGATCGAGGGAGAGAGAGAGAGAGTAGGGGTTGCATGATGATCAAGATACAGATCGAGAGAGAGAGAGAGAGTAGGGGTTGCATGATGATCGAGATAGAGATCGAGAGAGAGAGAGTAAGTGGAAGCATACGAGGATGTCCAATGCGTGGAACGTCTGGCGGAGCCAGGACGCGAATTCCTGGATGGAGGCCTCATCTGAGACGTCCAGCTGGCGGAAGGCCACCCGCAGGCCTCCAGCTCTGAGCTCCTCGACAGCGGCCATCCCCTTTCCTACATCCCTAGAAGTCAACACCACAGTCAGCCCCAGCTCCGCCAGCCTCCTCACCATTACCCTCCCGATTCCCTTGTTTGCTCCCGTCACCACCGCCACCGTCTCCTCCGTCCACCACCTGCAACTCACCACCACCCCACACTGTCTGTATACATAAACGTACTTCTTTCTGTGAGTTTGAGATAGATGGAGAGAGAGATAGAGAGAGACAGAGAGAGACAGTGGACCTCGTTGGAGTGGGAGCAGGCTTCGTCTCTACTGAGTCCATGTTCATCGGGGAGGGGGGGGAGAGAGAGAGAGAGGGAGGGAGGGAGGGAGGGTGTGTGAGAGAGAGAGAGGAGGGAGGGAGAGAGATGTGGGGGGAAACTGATAAAGAGGGGGGTCCCTCTATAAAGGCAGGGCCGACGGGGGGAAAGGATGAGTCGCCATTAAAAAAGGCAACGTCGTCTGCTGGCGGAGCTCAACTGAACTGCCTTCCCTTTCTTATTCTAGGAGGACGTCGGCTACGAAAACGAGGGCGTCCTCTCTCTCTCTCCCTAGCTCACGGCCCTCGCCGCCCACCGACCCTGGCGCGTTTTCATTGTGTTCCTGAATACATTGGTGCATCCACGACGACCCACCTCATCTTCAGTCATCTAGAAAGAGAAACAAAGCCAAAGAAACCAACCCACAAAGTTATCATCTCTCTCTCTCTCCGTCTCTGATTGATGATTTGATAATAAAGAAAAATCGCGGCCGAAATCCCGATTCGGCCGAGGCCATCTCTGGAAGGATGGCGTGATCCACGTGCTTAAGCCGCAATGAGACTTGAGTCAGCCTCGTTGATTAAACTACTGCGCCGCAATTTTGCCGTGGCCGCTCCGCGGGATGGGCCGTGTGGGGCCACCTCGTTACAGCAAGTCAACCCTTTCCCACGAAACGAAGGCGACTCTCAACCCCACCGTGCTGACGATTCTCTCTCTCTCTCTCTACTCTATCTTCTGTGCGGGCCAGGGATTAGACGTGGGGGGGCGAATATAACGTTGAAAGGAGGCGGCGTAACGGCTAGTGGACAAGGATTCGGGATCCATTTGTTCGGTCGGCGGCCAACAGTCCATCTATCTAGAAGTTTGATGACCACTGAACTTAAAAAGAATCAAACAATAATTGGGAAATTACAACATCTGAATCTTCTGATTCACAGAAAACAGCAAGGAATATATAGATACACAATATCGCCCCGAGAGAGAGAGAGAGAGAGAGAGAGAGAGATAGCGCCGTCATGTCTCTGGGGTTTTCTCTGTTCTCCGCTTTAACCTACACCTGGAAGGGCCATGGCCAGTTGTTCATGTCGTCCTGCTGGACCTTGGCGGAGCTCCTCCTGCCGCCGTCGACGTAGGAGTAGTATCTGAGGACGAAGGCCAGGCCGAGGACAACCCACTCGAGGCAGAAGATGGCGATGCAGAGGCCGCCCGCCATGCGGAGGATCACCGAGCCGTCCTCCTCCCTGACGTAGGACTTGAGCTCGCCCAGAAAGTCCGGGGTGCGGCTGTAGATGAGCACCGCCACGGCTCCCTGGAAGATGGCGGTCAGGACGGTGGAGACCATGTGGGCGGCGTACCAGCGGTCGGAGCCGGAGCCGGAGGCGGTGGCGCAGCCGGAGACGGCGCCGACGATGGTGAAGACGTGCAGGAGGATGAGGAAGAAGCCGCAGAGGGAGGGGATCAGGCGCAGGGACAGCGTCAGGAAGATGCAGCTCGACGCCGCCCCCAGCAGGATGTAGTTGCAGAGCAGGAAGGCCTTGTGCGCGTGGTAGTGCGGCGGCGACACCTCGGAGCCCCCCTGCGGCGGCGGATTGAGCGACAGCCCCATTGATGGGTTGGATGGATGGATGCCTTTTTCTGGATTGAGCGCGGAGGGAGAAGAGTGGGCTGAACCGGGTGTACGACGATGGGGAGAGAAGCCGCAGAGCAAGCTGGAGAGCGAATGTGGTGGTGATGGACTCTGAAGGGCGACCGACACATGTATATATGTAGTGTTTTGAGACGTCCTGTCAGCTCTGGGAGGAGCGGGATATGACCGTTGGGGCGGAGAGACGTTTGGGGTGCGGGTGTGTTGACCGGCACAGGTGTCTAACGGCTAGTTTCGCTGCCTTCACCACGTGGCTTAAAAACTGTGGCGGTCGCAATGAGAAATCTCATCAATACCCTCGTCGGCTAAGCCCCTCTCTCTCTCCCTTTCTCTCTCGACACATCCGATTCGCAACCTCAAAGCTCTCTCTCTATCTTGTTCTCGTGTTGGACCGGCAGTTCAAAGACGGGTCAGAAAGGACAAGTGTTGTATGAGAAGGATTGAGAGAGAGGAGAGAGAGGAGAGAGAGAGAGAGAGAGAGAGAGAGAGAGAGAGAGAGAGAGCAAGAGATGCCCGCATGTATAAATATGATATTAAAAAAAAAAAAAAACTCCTGCGAGTCGAGAAACATCGAGGGGCGATCCAGACCTTTCATCCTCCCATCACGCCTCCGAGAGATCCAGACCGTCGGTCGCCGCGCTGGCGGATTCGACCGGGGGAACCTGGGCCGCCTCTTCGGCCTCGGTCGGCTGAGACTCGTGCTTCGCGGCGGCCTGCAAGACGCGATCTTGAACAGCCGTCGACGACGGTGACGTCGGCAGCCCGATCTTGGCCGGATCCGAGTTCCCGGCCGCCCGGGAGAGCACCTGGGCCCCCAGTGCGACCGGGGTCAGCAGCAGCCTGGAACAGACCCAAGGTCAAAACCAGAGACCTTTCTAGAGGCTTGGAGAGAGTGAGATCACTACCTTACATCCGCCTTCAGGTCCTCCGAGCTCTCATAGGATGAAACCCTCCGATATAGGGACTACCCAACCAAGAGAAAAAGTACCATTAATATTATATATATATATATATACATATATTTATCTGGAGGATTCGAATCGATGAGATGCGTTCTGTACCTGTCCGAGGCCGATTACCCCAATGAGCTGCAAGGTCTTCTCCCATTCTGCGGAGAATCAGACGAGGTTAGTCGAAGGCGAGCTGCTACTCTCTCAGAATAAGATTCTGCGAGTTCGTCATCAGGCCTGTGCGAGGTGGCATCGAAAACAAGTAGAAAGCTACCCTTTTCTTCTTTTTTCTTTCCAGGAGATTAGGTTCATGTAGCTATTGATAAGCCTCAAAAGACTTCATACATTTGATCAATAAATAGGCTAGTTGCAGGAAAAGAGCCAGGTTTTATGCAGTAATACGTGAATTTACCCGGGGTTCTATCTTTTTCTCAATGAATTGATGCAAAGGCAGGTAAGTATTTTTGGGCATGTATTCACGTTGACTTTGTTTCCCCAATGTAGAACTATGTACCGTTGACTGGATACCAGATTTTGGAGCTGTGTAATTCTCTCAACTATTCGAAGGGCATACGTGAATTCACCTGGGGTTATATCTTTTTTTCAATTAATTGATTCAAAGGCAGGTCAGTATTTTTGGGCATGTATTCATGTTGACTTTGTTTCTCCAATGTAGAACTATATACCGTTGACTGGACACCAGATTTTGGAGCAGTGTAACTTTGTACTAGAATTCAAGGGGATGCAGGCGGTCAAAGATTCGAGTCACAGGAAAGAGTAATCACCTAGAAGAGCATACAGAGTCGCCGCAGCGCCCTGTAGAAAAGCACTTAGAATTAGTCAACCCACGCGGTTACCTTGAAGGAAAAGGAGTGGGAACGTGAGAAAGCTGTTTCCTCCATTCCCCCATCCCTCTGTACGTTCTTTTACACATGAAAGGAAACTGGATGACACAACAAGTAGAAGACTGGGAAATCAACTCACCAAACCATAGCCAAAGACTGATCCTGGAGTTGGTCTGATCTCCTGAATGATTTCCGCAGCGTCCTGCGCTCATGTGCATGCGTTATTTGTTAGCACCTCATTACAAGCATGGATACATTTTCTATAACAAGTATGCACAAGTGATAAGACCGAGTTCTACCGGACAATCAGAAATATTGGCAGAACATTACATTGACTGGAACGTTTCCGGACCATTTCTCCTCAATAAATGAAAATATCATAAAAAACGGACATCCAAGATGAAATCGCGTGATTTAGAATATTTTTATGAGATTTCTTTCATTCACGGAATCAAGAAAAGCTTGCAAGATCTCAACACTGCGTGAAATCTCATCCAGCCATTCTATACTTGGTTTGATATTAACATGCATCGGTGAGTGGGTCATCCTGAGATTAGTGCTTTCACTTTACCTAAAACACTGCTAACTGCGGTTGTGAGTCTAATGATACTTGGTTTAGATTAGTGCCTCTATAAATGTAATATATTTTCCCAAAGTATTTATTTTGTGTGTTTATATATCTTGTCCTTATCCACCGACACCTTTTATGTTATGCTACAATCATGAAAGCAATTGTTTGTTGGAAGGACGGCTACCCCACTCAGGGACGACGGATTCCTAGCTGACGCCATTTGGTTGATGGTGGAAGAAGCTTTGCTGCTGGAAGAAAGAAGGAAAAACAGAAAAGTTCATGTTCTAATCTAACCCTGATTGTGAATTAAAACTTCAATCAGAAGATGTAACACGACCAAGAGGTAACGAAAGATGATAGATTTGGAAAGAAAGTAAAGAAGACAGCTTGATGGGAATGCCTCGCTGCATTATTTCTTTTCGGGCAAAAACAAAGAAGGAATATCCTTTTTTTACCAGGGAACAAAAACAAGTTGTTGGCGAAGAGTTAGTGAGGAGAAGAGAATCTCTGAGAGAAGACTTTCAAAACTGTAAAAGTCAAATCAACGACTTCTCTCATTGGTCCAGCTGAACATTTTAAGTGAGAAGGAAGAACTCCGAGAGACTCTTTCAGAGTTGCCCAGTCAGGAACAAGATTTCGACGCATGGAGGGGCAGGGCCCATATATTTATATAAAATATTTGGCTCAGCCATGTCGATAAATAGAATTGAGGTCCACAATTCATGGGGATGAATATCAACTCTGACACCAAAGAGAAAATTGGCAATTAGACCCGTGTCTTTTATCCCCCGTTTTTAATTTTATCTCGTGAGATTAAGATCCCAGATAATACGTGGAATCTCAGGTAGCCACTTCTTTACTTGAAAGTCATCGAAAAAAGCATACCTCATTTATTATATCCAGCGCTGTCTCAGGTTTAAGTTCCTTGATACGAAGGCCACTTTTGACCCAAGAACGAAAGCCCCCTTGAACCAAATAAGGTTTCTGCCATCAAAACATGAAAGTTTAATTAACATCTAAGAATTATGATACCATAAGTAGTAGGTGGTATATATGGACCCAAAAGTATGCGCATATCACACTTGCCTGGACACCAAGTTTTCTTAGAGATCTTGCTATACCTTTAGACTGATCGCCACTGGCATCCAAAAGTATCACCTTTGATCCATCCTACAAATAAAACATAAATAAATAAATGAAATCAACGTTAGTATCAAGTTATGAATCTAAAAGTAAATTAGACGATTTATTGCAAATCAGAACCACACACTTTCACAATCTTCAAGTTGCGAATGATTAATGCAGTTAAAGCATCATTAACTTCTCCCACACTCCTGAGTAACGTCCTTAACGAGCCATCAACCTGACGAAAATAAAATAACATAAAAGCAGAGAAACACATCAAAATTGAAAATAATAAATCTCAGATAAAATGATTTTTTTTAAAAAAGGGAGGAACCCTTTTCCTGTGATAAACCTCCATGGTCAAAAAGTCAATTTGGTGAGAAGGAGAATATTTTAACGTATCAGGCATTTCTAAGAGTTCAATGGCCATCATGCTGTTTATTCAGAACCGTAGTACAAGGAGCTCTTCTGACGGTTGAATCACCAATGATAAACTATTATAATTGGTCAAGTCTTCTAAATAACAGAATCAATGGAGATGTTTGCGTGAATTCATTTCACCACAAGAAAAAAAATACAGAAAAATAAAGAGAGAGCATCATAACACCATAATGTAGTGTTTGTGTACCATTATTAGGTAGTTTTAAAGAAAAAAACACTAAAGGATCGACCAACCTCTGGAGGGTTGACACTTGCATATTTAGACCGTGCTCTTCTCCGCAGATCAGGAACCCCATCTCTCTCCCTCACATCCTTCATAAATAAACGCAAATTTCCAGAAACAATGTAGGAAAACAGGAAACATACAGGAACTGAAGATTGATCACATGATCAAGGAGCCATATAATGGAAATGTTATCAAAAGAAAAAGGCAGATGAAATTACAGTCTCTTGCCTCAGGCCGGATATCAACAAGTACAACATTTTCATCTTTACTTAGTAGCTCGAATGTTAATTCCGGGGACAGGTCTCCAGAATAACCACCATACAAAATAAGCCAGTAAGAAACCCTGAAAATGAGACAAAATGAGACATGGTCCCTATGGGAACGAGTTTGCGTGTGTTGAACTGACGAGTATTCCACAGAAGACAGAGTGTAAGCAAATTACCCAAAAGTGGCTGAACCAGCAAGGATAAGTGTAAATTGGACTAGTGGATCATTAGGATCAATGCCAAGAGTTCTCTCCAGCCCTTCAATCACAAGGTAAACCTGTTTAAACGCATTAACAAGCGATTAGCATAAAGCCCAAGACATGAACATTATAAACAACTACGGAAAATTATTGTATTCTGACATCTATCAGCATACCTTCTGCAAAGCAGTGCCGATGGGGATCAAGATTTTTAAAAGTTTTCCTTCAGCTGTACTTATGGTGTCCCGAAGTTCTGGTGGAAGGAATGGCTTGGATGACTCGTATGAATAAACAATAAATGTTCCCGCATCTGATAAGAAACTTTCAAATGATATGATGGCTTTCCTTAACATTTCAGCAGCTACACCACCAGCTTCATAAAAGTTTCCTCTCATATTGCTGGATATTACAGTCAATTTATTGTCTGCCTGTTCCTTGGATTTATCAAAAGCAGAAAGGAAATTGCTTATGGCATTCTCGATTGAATGGGCTTGGTTATCAACCGTTTTCATGACTGATGAAACAAGTGCATCATATCTGTTTTCAACAGCACTCTGTGCATTGGATAAGGAAGCAGTAGTTGAATCCCGAATTCCAGCCAACAGATGCTCAACATTTTCCTTCAGGTTGGAAACGTCATCTTTGTGTACCTCGAACGTTTTAGAAACAGCATCTGCATTCTCTGGGATAATATTCACAGTGGAGTCAGAAATTGAAAGAGATCCCGAAATTGCAGGTTCAGAAAGCGCATTTGAAGTTTCACTGTAAGAGTCTCCAAGGTTTAGAAGCACATCTCCACTTGGAGGTGCTGCAGGTAGAACCTCTACATTTTGGGGAATTAGCGGCTCTGCTGTAATGGTTTCACTCCCCCGTTCAGCTGTCACATTACCACCGTTACTGGATAGAAAGTCAACTGAATCAAGCTGTAAACCTCTTTCTGTACGATTCAGATCAGCATCCAAGGAATATGGCGTACTTATTTCTTTTGTCGAACAACTCCATTTGTCAGGTAGACTGTCGGAGTTTTCATTTGAAAAACCACGTACAATATCATCATAATAATTTGGATATGGAGAAAAGATGGAAGAGTCAGTAGAACTGGGACACTCAGGTGATTCCATGACAAGAAAATGCGAATATCTAGTACCATGCGGTTTGAAGAATATTTCATGTTTATGAATCCCATCTTGAGTACCGAGAAAGCCCCTGCCTTCCACAATGCTCTTCTCTTCACCTCTCCATAATAAGGAGATCTTTCTTGAACCTATAGGAAAAGAAATCTATAGGAGCACAGTTTAGACGTGAATGTATAAAAATAAATTATTGAATTTAAAATAAGACAATACAAGATGGCAGGATCACATCATTATCATCAGGAATTTTTCAGATTAAGACGACTCTCAAATCCAAATTTTCCGCTTTCTATCAACGTCCTACATTGGAAGCAGCCAACATGTCATCAATGTCGTTTTTAGGATAGGAGGATAGAAATACTAAGTCGATGATATAAGGAGTTGAAATAAGGAGTTGATATACTAAGTAAATCTTGGAGGCACCTGTCAAGCACACCCAAGTCGATGATATAAGGAGTTGAAATAAGGGAAGAACATCTGTACCAATTTTGAATCCAAAAAATGGTGAATTGATACTCTTATACCATTTTCAAATGAAGCACTAAAATTAGAAAAATGTGGTGCTCCACTTATAGTTCGTTGAAGGAATTTAAATCATTTTTGGAGTCTAACCATTATCAATGAGTCGTCTCCTAATCCACTGACAATGTGAAAGAGATCAGCACGGCAAAGCAAAACTAATATCACACTACATGTATTTCCTACATTGCGGAATAAGCAGATATCAATCGCCTCGAGCCATGCAGTTGTGACGAATTCAACTAAGAGATGAACCAAGGACACGCAATAGCCTGGCGAGGATTTGTATTGCATATCGAACTCACCGGAAACTGCGAGGAACAGCTCAGCGAGGCGGAACAGACAAATGGCAGCATCTTAATCGACACCTGGCGAAGGCTACGCGGCCATGGCCTACCGAAGAGAGCACAGTATGACAAGACCCAAATTCGCCAAAAACCCTGCCAAAGGCCGTCCCCCTCCTCGCTCTTCAACTACGACTAGCCGTAGTGTGAGGAGCAAAGCTCGTGATCGGCCCTTGTTGGGATGAAATTGAAGGCAAGGAAGCCGCCATTGTTTGGCGGGGAATCATCCAATGAGAGCCGCAGGTGGACGAGATCGGATATGGATCTGGATGATCGTGTGGCTAGTCGATGACACTCGCCTCCTCCTCCTCGGCCCCTCCTCACCACTCGTTTCCATCTTCTCCGCCTTCTTTTTCAGAACTCCCTTTCACGGCAGTACGAAGTAAATGCTCTGGGCCCCCTCATCGCCACGTGTCGACCATCCACCGCCAATACCCACCGTGGACCCACACTATGGCTTCGCCATGGCTACGGCCCAATTGGGAATTAGCTCGAGTCGGGCTGCGGCCCAACTGTTGACGTAGCTGAGTAAACTAATCTCCACCGTTGCTTTAGGCGTATCCTGTCCGTTCGATCCATCACCCGACGTTAGGGCTGCTTTACATATAAAATGCGACCGTCTCCAGCCCGAGGGCCTCGCGTGCTTGCTGCGGCCTCTTCGTAGCTGCCTGCAGGCGTTGGAGAGGCGAGGCGAAGCAGATCCAAAATGGTACTGTGGTCTTTGGCCGTAGCTCTATTTTCAGAGGTTCTTCGTGCATCGATAACGCTCTCCGTTGCGTCGTGACAATCACATTTTTGTCCATGTCAAGTGTATGAACTTTGGGTGAATTGTTTTTTGTATTTCTCTATACCGAGCTTTTGGTACGGAGCATTTTCTGTCATTGGCTCTCCTGCCGGCGTATGTGCTGTCTTTTGATATATTCTAGTCGTTTGCTAATGAATTTTGACGTTATGTAACCTCGTGCTATCGAGTACATGCTTTACGGACACCGTCTTCATCATTACAGGATAGTTGTTTGTTCATGTGAGATTTATAATGCTCAATGCCATCGAACATTTGCATTCTACGTCGTTAAAGAAGGGGCAAATCTGTTCCCGCGGTCATGTCATTGGCACGTCATTTCGGCTCCTTTTTTAATGCATTTCTTGTTTATTCCTCATAAGTAATTTGAACTTGGCAATCGGTTGAGGTTGTATGATTGTTTTCGAATGGCACGATTATCTCGTATCCTGATACTGGGCATTTATAGGCGTTCTTATTCTTCTTCTGAGGGTTTTCTCGGGTGTGTAAAATCATTTTGGTACATGCACTATTTGTATCCCTTTCTGCTTCTGTCTGATATTTTTGTAGATAATTTTTTTATCTGGCAGAACCGTCAGATAAGTTGTCATTCTTGTTTTCCCCTTCGCTGATTTTTTTGGTTTTCAGGAAGATAAGAATTCTCATGAAATTCTTTGCGCTGTATGAGGCCATAACTTTTCATTTTTAGTAACTAAGGATATATATAGTGTTATTATCCCTTTTACGCCTCTCTTTTCTTGTTTTTACTGATTTACAGATGTTGGTTTTTCCATCCGTTTCATAAAATCCTTCAGTGACACTCGTGTGTTCTCTAGGTAGATTGCTTGTTAATTTAGCGAGTATTTTACCCATATTTAATATTTTTATCAATCTGTAATTCCTTTAGTGTTCATTGTTTCCATTTTATTTTATTTTTGCGTTTTTCTTCTAGTTCCTGCGATTAATTCCTGGCCAATTGAAGCACCCATTCGTGGATCTTCTATTTGAACTCTTATAATGATTCTCTTTCATGATCATTTTATACTTTTCAAAAAGGTTCGGTCGGTTCTTGTTTTCGTAATTTGATCGTTGGTATCAATATCTGGAGATCAGAGCCTGTTATTCTTTATTTATTCATTTACAGAGATATTTGTAACAGATATTTTTGTAATCTGAAGAGATAGTTGCCCCTGTTTAACATGAACTAGTATTGTTGCTTGCATTACAGGCTTTTGTGAAGGCTCTGAAGACGAGGGCATACTTCAAGCGTTTTCAAGTAAAATTCAAGAGAAGGAGAGGTCAGAGTTTGCTATTTTATTTTAGTTTCGTTCTAATTACCAGGATTTATATTGATATTTTTATTTTATTCGTACAGAGGGGAAAACTGATTACAGAGCTAGGATCCGATTGATCAACCAGGACAAGAACAAGTACAACACACCGAAATATCGGTTTGTTGTACGATTTGTATCCTTATCATGTGCAGCCATAGTTCATTATTTTGAATATAATGCAGCTGAATGTCTTAACTGTTATAGCCTTAATAACATTGATAGACGAACAAGGATATTGTGGCGCAAATTATTTCTGCTCGTATTGCTGGCGATTTAGTCCTTGCTTCGGCTTACTCTCACGAGCTACCCAAGTATGGCCTGGAAGTTGGTCTCACCAATTATGCTGCCGGTATTTTTATCTACTTCAGCTTTTCATGCTATTTATTGTACGTATCCTGGAGCATCATAATTCTAAGTAGTTTGATTTCAGCTTATTGCACCGGCCTGCTCTTGGCCCGCCGTGTGCTCAAGTTGCTTAACATGGATGCGGAATATGAGGGTAATGTAGAGGTATGCTATCATAGCTAAACTTCCATAGATGCCCATGACATTGTCGCCTAAGAGATTTTCTGTCCGCTGACTTCGGCAGGCCACAGGGGAAGACTTTTCTGTTGAACCCGTCGAGAGCAGGCGGCCGTTTCGTGCCTTCCTTGATGTCGGCCTCATCAGGACAACAACGGGCAATCGGGTCTTCGGTGCTCTCAAGGTGAAGTTCTCCGCACCCATGGCTGTAAATAAAATTCTGCATGTGGGTTTTTAGTTTTGTTCACGTCGGTCATCTATATCCTTTGACTTTTATAAATAAAATATTGATATATTTAATTTTCTGTAAAATGGATTATGACGTCCGAGTACAGAGATCAATTCCACCGTGGTGAAATTAGTCAATTCCCCTTTACATGCTTGACGTGGTCTTCTGTTGACTTTTCTAGGGCGCCCTGGACGGGGGTCTCGATATTCCCCACAGTGAGAAGAGATTCGCCGGGTTTAAGAAGGACGAGAAGCAGCTGGACGCCGAGCTCCACCGCAAGTACATCTACGGCGGCCATGTCGCCGCCTACATGGCGGTGAGAACTCCGAGGAGCCCCAGAGTTCGCTTCCTCTGCTCTTGTTTTATTTTTTCACTGAAAATGGATCGATCGGCAGTCCCTGATGGAGGACGAGCCGGAGAAGTACAACTCCCACTTCAGAGAATACATCAAGAGGGACATCAGCGCTGAAGACGTGGAGGAGCTCTACAAGAAGGTCCACGCCGCGATCCGCGCCGATCCCTTGCCAGCCAAGTCCACGAAGGAAAGCCCCAAGGAGCATAAGAGGTCAACCCCTCCCTCTCTCTCTCTCTCTATATATATATATATTTCCATCTCTCTCTCTCTTTCTCTCTCTAGAATGGCGTCTGACGGCCACCTTTTCTCCGGCCGCAGGTACAACCTCAAGAAGCTGACCTACGAGCAGAGGAAGGCCGCCCTCATCGACCGGTTGAATACCCTGAACGCGGCCGGCGGCGACGGTGGTGACTCTGACGAGGACGAGGATTGAACCTCCGGCCGGAACCGCCGGCAATCCAGAAGTTGAATTTTCCCTCTCCCTCTCCCTCTCTCTCTCTGTATCTCTCTCTCTCTCTCTTTCTCTCTCTCCAGCCTCTACAGCTCTTTTTTCCTCCCTCAAAAGTTCTTTTGCCAGCGACTTCTGAGCTTTGCCTTGGGAAATTGTTTTATTGTTGCGTTAGAAGTAATCCGGGCCGTCTCCAGCATTCTGGTAAAAATCCTCTCTTGGCTTTGTTATTCTGTTGACACTTGGCACGGGATCCTCAGGGTGACGTGGGTGCCAGATTTGCCGTCCGATCTGACGCCCGGACGGATCGGACGTTGGAGGGTGGTAGGGGGTGATCTCTCGGCGGGATTTGCACGTGGGATGCTGACGTAGCTATATATTCGTTCACGTGCCATGAGCACGGGGTGCCTACGGTTCTCCCCTGTCGCTCCCTCTCTCTCTCTCTCTCTCTCTCTCTCGCTCGCCCTTCGTCGACCCGATGTTTCTACTTGAAACCATCAGGCGAGAGAAGTCGACGCTCTGGTCCGGCCGAGTTGCTTCAGACGGCTCTCCGACTGGCGCCCATCTGCTCCCTCTCTTGGACGTTGTTCTCCGGCGGCGCCTCGTTTTTTCTACTTTCTGGTTTCTCTTGATTCGTTCCCCTTGTATATTTTTTTCCCGAGTTTGGGCGCCGTGCGGTTTATGCCGGCCGGCATTTTCGGCGTCCTCATTTCTTTGATAAACGATTGAACTTCCCTAAGGTTTCAGTTGCGATTTCCGGAGCGTTGTCGCGCTCTGTGAATTGCTTAGGTTTTCGGACTTTGTTTTGTTGCTTCGGCGGAAAGTCTGAGGATAGGGGTGGGGAGAGATGGTCAATTTGTTCTTGTCCAAGCCTCCCGCAGGCGGCAGTGAGGGTGATACAGCAAGGGAGAGGATATTGCTTCTTCAGAGCCTGGAATCTATTATCTGGTCGGTGGTAACTTCTGGAGGTCGCTATGAGCCTCGTCTGTGGCTCTGTAATACCATATCGCGCATTCGTTACATTGATCCCCCGGACCAGCGGAAGCTATTCGTCGGGCTTTTGGAATCTAAGCCGTCAAAGCGGGACGTAGCTGCCCAGCTCCTGCGGATGATATTTGACAAGAGGCCCGGAAAGGCGGGGGCTATCTTAGCAAGAAAGGGTTACATACTTGAGAAATTCTTCAAAGGCCAGTACGCTGTCTGACTAAATTTCTTCATTTTATCAGATGCTTCAGCTGTACACTAACTTCAAGATTTTGATGCGCCAGCCTTCCTTCTAAACGTTTATCTATGTTTCTATCACTGGATTACTGGCCTATACCATGACTGACTGTGGAAGAGCTTACCATTTTGTTCATCTTTCTTTAATTTTTTTGTGAGTTTTCAAGAATATCTGATTCAAACTCGATTCTTTTGGAATGTTGGTTCAATTCCACTCTTCCATGTTTGTCACTGTTTATGTTCGATTGCCACGTCAGAGCATACTTTGATTGGATCTGTATATAATGCTCGTTATTTTGCATTATTTAAGCTCCCAAACAGAGGAAGTTTTTGCTTTCCGAATTTTTTGCTCGTATATTTTATTGATATGACTTAAGGTTCTAACATTTCCATTTTTTGCTTTGCAGGGCACCCATGGCGCGTATTGCAATGGTTTGATCATTTTGCTAGTACTGGTGATTTCGGGCATAAGAAAGGAGCAAGGGCAATGTCTCAATTTGCTTTCGTTAACCGAGACATCTGTTGGGAAGAGCTTGAGTGGAAAGGAAGACATGGGCAATCACCGGCGGTTGTTGCTACAAAGCCTCATTACTTCCACGATTTGAATGTCCTGCAAACGGTGGAGAATTTTCTGGAACATGTGCCAGAATTTTGGTCGTCAGATGAGCTGGCAGAGTCTGTAAAAGATGGTGACATCCTACACATAGATACACAGTTTTTTGTGGATCAGTTTATCCACCTTATGTACGAGGAGAATATGGGAGACATATGGGCAATGATAGATGATTTCGTAGTTGAAGAGCAGTTTGCCAGCTTATGTCAGCGTATTCTTATTTTACTTGGTGAGCATGAACTTTTTGGTTTCTTAGCCTCGATTTGTAAGATTCGAAGAACGAGATGGACTTCTGAAGATTTTGGGCACCCATCTTCGTGGGTTGAGAATGTTTTATCATCGAACATAGATGATATGACCCTGAATGATTTTCTTCTGGTAAATGCTGTCATAAATGAGGGTCGCCAGATCCTACGCCTTCTTGGGGATGAAGAACATGAGCCAGAGTCGAGTAAAATTGAAGAGCTCTTGAAAAGCAGCTCATGTTATAGTGATGTTAGCCATTGGAGCCTCATGATGGAATGCAGAAAAGTAGAGTTGTTTACGGCTATTAGATGGGTTAGTCTTGAGTCTTGGATTATTCACTATACCTTGTCTAAGGAATGCAAAAACAAAGAACATTATGAAGCACTGTTTATTAAGAACGGAATAGGTTTCAGAAAATCTGGTGATCATTCCTGGATACACTCCAGTGGGCTTACAGAAGGAAGCAGATCTAACAGTGATGATGAGGATTACAGAAGGAAAAGGTTTCGAAAGAAAAGAAAGAGAAGGAAACATGTCGATGAGGAAACTGACATGGATGAACTTATTGATTTTGATGCGTCAAATGAAGATTCACATTTGGGAAGAGGGAGTTGGCTACTATCCACAGATGGGTTTTCTTCCCCTTGGAACATGGTACGCTTTCATGTCCGTTGCCTCGTTTCTATTCCTATCAGTTCTTACATAACACTTAAACAGAGTATTTTGGCTGAATAATTAAAAACCTAGGCAAAGCAATGATGCAGCGCGACTGTTATTGTCGGCACTGTTTCTCTTCTTGTGTTATTATGAAGTCAGTACTGAGTCGGACTATGAAAACTGTTGACTCAACAGAGTGAAAAGCTTATTATACTGGACATCTGTGCTATTACAATAGTGTGACTATGGTGCTGCTAGTAACATCAAATAGAAAAGAAATTGATGGACCGGGGTGGGTTGTGTGTGGTGTGGGGTTGGGCTGGGTTTGAAAAATGAAAGAAAGCAAGACTTTTGACCTGGGAAGAAGGGAACAAAAATATTAAGTTAATGAATAAACTCGTGTATGGCATCCGTTTCAAGCCCTCGTGAAATATCCACAGTAAATGAAAACGTTAGAGGGAGTGATCCTGTGTTTCCAGGATTATGAGTTCTAAAAATGTTGATTGTTTTATTCTTGAGACATGAGGCATAAAATTAGTCATTGATTGATTTATGTGTTCATGTAGCATGAATACTCCTTTTCATTTTACTCGTATTAAATGAACAGTACTACTCTTTATCCAAAGTCAATCCAGACTATAGTTTTGCAAAGACGCAGATACTTCAGTTTTGAAGAAAATGAAGCTGTGTCAAACCTCCGTTTTGCAAAGAAGATCAATCTTTTTATTAAATTTCTACTTGTTTCGGGATTACACACTCTATTTTGACTTTCCATTTGGTTGTGTTTTTCAGAAAGATCTACCGGAGCATCTTTCTAGGGATTGCTTTTCTTCATGGATGAAGTGGGTTTGCTCCAAGTACGATTCATGATCTGCCAAGATCAATTACACAACCACTATCGTTGCTAGATCTGTTTGGCAAGAAGAAAAAAAACCGTCTTCTATTCGGTTCGTCCCCTGGGCTTCCTATGTTCTTCCTCGAAAGGGCATGCGACTCATATTACCCCTGGGCTCTGGCATGTGGCATACGCTTTTCATCCCCACCAACTACAACCCCTTGCATTCGGAACCATCATCGCAAGACTGTGGTGGTTACCAATCTTAGATCTATTTGGCATAGTACTTTAAAAACACTTCTCTATAGTTGCTTACACTCAGAATTGGTCGCGTTTCTGTCCCAGGATTGGAACCTCAAGAACCCTAATTGATGTGTTGGAGATGTGACGCAAGTGGGGAACGATGGAAATATCGTTCCTTTTGTACACTGAAAACAGAATTGACGAAGCCTAACCAGCTGTGAAATCATTGTACCAACATGCTACCATGGAGCGTGGATTCAGACACTGAATCAGCTCCGGTTGTGGGGCTGGAAGATGTGACTCTACTTCTTACCTAGGTGGAAGTTATTTCTTCCCTCGATATGTATGTATCCTGTGCTCATCACTCGGGGGCTTTTTTTCCCATCTTTTTGGAGGAAGCCCACATGATCTGAATAGAAAAAATATTTATCTTGTGCATCTGGGTAATTACAGTTGAAACTTTTTATTTTTTAGCATCACAGAATCGTCATGGAGCTTGTGAAGAAGGTGGGGGCTTCTCCTTCCGATTCGAGCAGGATCTGGGCTCATTCCCCATTTTTCAAAAGGGCCCAAATCATATGCATCAGTAGTTGATCTCGAAATCCTTCTATCGCTTACGATGAGAGAATTCCCAGGGTTCCATCTGCCGGTCTCCGCCTCAAGATTTCTAGCTCTTGAGTGCCTTATCCTGAGTTTCAGTCAGGTGGTTCTTCTTTGCGTATCAGTTTAGCGGGCTGATCGACTACGCCAACCTGACTGACCTAAAGTACCGATCTATGTCGCCTATTGGGACCGCGAGATTCTCGTCCCTTTTCCTCAGACTCCCTCCTGCGACGGCGTCTATTTCTGTGATGTGCTCTTGATGCGTTCCGCCGCTAAGGGAGGGGCAGCCGCTGCCCGATAAAATCGCCGGCCTCCGCGAAGTTCGTCTTCGAGAGGAGGCAGCCGATGGCGGCTTCTCCTCTACGCCCCGTTCCGGGGAAGCTCGACCCCTCTCAGTCCTTCCGGTGCTTGGACGGGATCAGGAGCCTCGCCGAGAAGGGCCACTTCAAGGTATTCTTCGAGCCTTCGTCTTCTTCCGTCTTCCATACCTTAATCTGCCTTTTGACGGAGGCACTATCATTCTGGAGCTTTGCTGGTGTGATGGCATCCCCGAAGAACGCAAATCGGACAATGTTTTCCGAGATTAATGGGGTTAGAACCGGAAATCTTTCAGAAACGAATGAATCTCTGGAACGAAAATACTCGCCCGATTTCGTATCATCCGCTGAAACCTAGTCGTATTTTTCTTGCCTGTGATGCTCTTCTGTTCTCAGGCGTGGTTTTTAGATCAGTTCGGAGTTCTCCACGACGGAAAGCGTCCCTACCCCGGTGCCGTCTCGACCTGTACGTCATCGAACCACGAAACCCGCCCCTGTTCCTGGTCGTCTGGTTCTCCTTTCAGGTGGGATGATGCGATCATCTTCTGGCTTTGAGCAGTAGAGAAGCTCGCGGGCAATGGGGCGAGAATGGTGATCATCAGCAACTCCTCCCGACGAGCTTCCACAACCATGGAGAAGGTGAACAGCCTAGGGTTCGACGCTTCCCTCTTCGTCGGGGCCATCACTAGCGGTGAACTGACACACCAGTTTCTGCGAAGGTGAGAAGTCGATTCCTTCATTCACATCCATCCAGCAGGCTTGGTGGTCGTCCACCACAGACGATTAGAAGGATATGATCCCCATGGCTTGATCAGACTCTACTGAGAATGTCTAGGGTTCCCTCTGCTCATTTGAGTGCATGTTTCACGAAGGGTGTGATAATGGGTTAGATAGCCTTTGACTAAAGATGGCGAATTTGGACTGTGGAACCATACTCTACCCCTATCTCAGAGTCTCAATTATTATGAAAACTAGGGTAGATTCGACTGATTAAGGGTGGGATATCTTGCTTGGGTTCATCGTTTTCTCTGCTTATTATGCCATTATCAGTTCCTGATATTTTTTTCTCTGCCTTGCAAATGAGCAGGAGGGATGATCCATGGTTTTCATCTCTTGGAAGATCCTGTATCCACATGACATGGGGCGATCGAGGTGCAATCTCTCTTGAGGTATGTCCTGCCTATAATTACTCTTTGACCCACAAATGGAATGGTTTTTTCCTGGATTATTCAAAAAGATCATAGACAATTTCGACTTATCTATATTCTATAGACTATACATAATAGATTTAACTAGATCAAACATTATACATGATATTCTTGTAGTATTTCTGGGATTAGTTCATATATTAGGGGGCCTAGGAGTAGTCTTATTTACCAATCCAATTTATTCTGCTTTTTCATTGGGATTGGTTCTCGTTTGATCAGCGTTCTTTTATCTTGATAAATTAGTTTGTTTATTATCTCATCCGTAATCAGATTATGATTCTCCCTGATGGGTTCAAGCTCATCATCCTTTTTATCAACACTCTGCTGCATGATCTTCTCCTGCAGGGTTTGGGTTTGGAAGTGGTGAATAACTCAGACGATGCAGACTTCATTCTGGCCCATGGAACGGAAGCAATCGGCCTTCCCTCCGGTGATGCGCTTCCCATGGATCTTCCGGATCTTGAGCGAATTCTTGAAGACTCTGCCAAAAAGGGGATTCCCATGGTCGTAGCCAATCCGGATTATGTGACGGTGGAAGCCAGAGCTCTGCGTGTCATGCCTGGTGCGCAACCATAGCATCGGATTATTCTTCTATTTACTATCCGACTTGTGTGGAGATTATCTTTTCCCAATGGGGAAAGTCAACGTTTCCATTGTTGGGAGTGAATTCTGTCTTCGGATCTTGCTCTGACCAAGATCGGAGTTGACTTGGAAAACTGTCTGGTTCGGGCACCTCTGTTCCTACTATCTTTGAGTTTAATTTCGCAGAAATTATGTGTTTCCAAGAGCCCATGAACTCCTTAATCAGGATGATTCAATCCTGGCTCCTGGCATTAAGCTCTGCTCCTCACTGACAAATTATATGCTCTGGCAGGTACATTGGGGGCCAAATACGAGAAGCTCGGCGGGGAAGTGAGGTGGATGGGAAAGCCAGACAAGCTCATCTACGAAACAGCAATGGCCATGGCCGGCGTCGGCGCCGCCGGCGACTGCATCGCCGTCGGCGACTCTCTCCACCACGACATAAAGGGCGCCAACGCCGCGGGGATGGAGTCGGTCTTCGTAACGGGTGGGATTCATGCGGACGAGCTCGGCCTGAAGGACTTCGGTGAAGCCGCTGACCCCACGGAAGTCGACGCCTTGGCGTGCAGATTCAACGCTCGCCCGTCCTTCGTCTTGCCTTCGTTTACGTGGTAGATGGGCTTCCCAGATTTGGGAAACGATTGAATTGGTGATCGTCAGCTGTTTACGTTGAAGTTTATTGGGTCATTTTTTATCAAAGGCGGTTGTATCTGTGTGGCCACTAGGGAGGAGGACGTTCGGACAAGAAGGCGGCGGGGGCGGATATTTATCCGGTTATAGAAAGGTGGCGTCTTTCTGTCTGTCGGAAATGACACTCCTTCAGGGCTTCCTACCCTTTGGTCCCGTCCCCCACCTCTGTCCATCCTGCTCCAAAGCGAACCCTAACCCTCCCCCGATCGGCCTTCCCTTCTCCGCCAGAAGAGGCTTCCACAGCGCAGCTAAGCCTCCCTCTCTGATAACTGTGGCGGCGGCTCGGAAGAACCTTAACCCTGAAGGCGGAGGCGGCGCTGAACCCAGAGAGAGGCGAGAAACAGAGCTCCCCCGCGAAGGTCCCGCCGCCGATGATGTCTTCCCATCGATTATCCCCCGGAAACCGAGGCGCGGGCGGCGGAGCGAGGCGGCGGCGGTGGAGGACTTTGTGAGGGACTCTCTGGAGCGCACCTTCGCGGAGATTCGCCGGCAGAGCTCCGAGGTCTTGGAGGGGAAGGAGGAGGTGCTGAAGGCGAGAGCGGAGGGCCCCGACGACGGCGGCGGCGGAGCGGAGGAGGGGGTGGTGGTGGAGGAGGAGGCTCCTGAGTGGCCGGCCGATGCGGAGGTGGGATGGGGGATTCGCGCGTCGGAGTACTTCGACAAGCATCCGATCAGAAATGTCGTCGCCGGCGGGGTGGAGATCGATTGGGAAGGAGACCTCGAAGAAGGCCTCGTGAAGGAGATCAACTGCCTTGAATGGGAGAGCTTCGCCTTCCACCCCAGCCCTCTGATCGTCCTCGTCTTCGAGCGCTACAACAGGTGACATCTTCATCAATTAATCCGAACTCGAGCTCGAGCTCGAGATCTTCTACCCTAATCGTTCTGAGGCTGTTTCTGAATTTAATCAGGCCGGCGGAGAACTGGAAGCTCCTGAAAGAGCTGGAAAAGGCGGCGGTGGTGTACTGGAACGCGAAAGATCGGCTGCCCCCCAGGGTCTGATGCTCCTCTCTCTCTCTCTCTCTCTCTCTCTCTCTCTCTCTGTTTTGGCCATTAAAATCCTCGTCAACGGAGCTTTAAAATATTCGCAGACGGTGAAGATCGACATGAACATCGAGACGGACCTGGCCTACGCCCTCAAAGTCAGAGAATGCCCACAGCTGCTGTTCCTCCGGGGCAATAGAATCCTGTACAGAGAGAAAGGTCAGAATCAGCTCTCCCTCTAAGCATCATCTCTCAGCAGCGGCTAGATTCTTCCAGATGGGACGTTGACTTTCGATCTCCTCTGGACCTGCAGAGATGAGGACGGCTGATGAGCTGGTGCAGATGATAGCCCACTTCTACTATAACGCGAGGAGACCGTCGTGGGTTGACCCTGCAAATGTGGCGCCAGCGCCACGCTATTAGGAATGGAGGCCATGGAGGAGGAGAAATCACTTGGCAGTAGTCTTTAGGAATCCAGCCGAATCCAGAGAAAAGAAACCACAATTTTGCTTGCATAATTAGGAAGATAATACAGACGAGGCACAACGTTTCATAATTTTTGCTTTAAGTTCAACACGAGGTCGTTGACCATGTTGCTGCCTTCTCAAGATGGATTATTTCAACGAGTGAGCTTCTCCCTGCAGTAAAGGTTTGGAGTCTCCGTCTTCCGGCGACCATTGAAGGTCAGCGCTTGCTGTGGAGTTATCCATGAGAGATGGGAAGTAGGTTAGTCCGATAAGATGGAGACCAGAGGACCATCAAATAGAAGTGGAGAGGAGATTACAGCCTTGGTGGTCTCTGTGGTCACTCACCAGGAGGGGGGGTATGCTTTGGCAATCGGATGTACTGTGGGCAAGAGTCACTTGCACTTAGATCATCTTCAATGGTGCTTGAGAGAATTCCACAATCACGAGGCTGTTTTAACACAGGAACAGTTCTAGGATAAGATTCGATGGCAATTGAATTTTGGCCATTAAAGAGAACCTTATGATCTATTTGCTAAAAATATGGGTGAGCCAGAGATTTACTAGTTTTTTTTTAAACAGAGATCTACGTTATAATCTACTTTAGGTAAAAAAAAACACATGTTTATCTCTAGAAAATGCGACCAATGAAATGAATTTGAGGGATTTGGCTGCATTGTATGCACCCTTATACGCCTATGTAAAGGATCAGTGCATCATAATCTATGCTTGGCAGTCTAATACTACGGGAACATCTCACACTGCGAATTAACTGACCGTGAAATCCTTGTGGAGACAGAGACGTAGCTCCTGAACGGTATCATGGGAACACACCAGCAACGGAGAAGCACCTGTTGAGTTCTTAATCACAGCGGATATGTCGGCTAGTTTATACTTCTCTGTGTTGCTTGCTGAAAACCCAGCACCGTTCAGCACTTTCTGCGATAAATTAGCCAGAAGATGATTTTAGAACAAGAGCAGGACACAAGCAGTATTTCTGGTCATGAAAGACACATTCAGTCAAAATAAAAGGTAATAGTGTAGATGTTTAATGTGTTTGGATGATAAACTGATTTAGTTTTGTGAGAAAAGCAACCAGTAAAAACCCATCATTCACGAGATATTGTACTTGAATGCGTTAGCACTAACCGTTATATTGTACTTGAAGTACAGGTCAAGAGTTGTCGAGAAGTAGCTGTATTCATCCTGTATTACTGGAGAGGAGCAAGTACCGTGTTTTTCTGCAGGCAAGCGAGTCAAAATGGCACAAATGTTTTTAATACAAATGGACATGACACATAAAAATCCCCGAAAAGTGTCACGGTAACTACTAGCGACGAGAAGCGGGAGTGCAAAGAGCTGAATAGGTAGGTCAGTACCCAGATAGAAAACGAAAAGAACGGTCGTGTTTAAATCAATAAATAAAAATATGATGGCTTGGCGGCTATTTTTATTCTCATTTATTTTTGCATAATCCAAATGCTAACCATAAGAATTTCTACTCCACTAAGGAAAATAATCAGCCGCAAGAAGAAGTTTGGAAGGAGATAATTTACCCCACTGCACATGAGCGTTCACGCGGATGAATGTACACCAAACAAAACAAGAGAAATGTCTGTCAGAAACCATCATAAGGCTGGTGAGACCATAAGTTATGATAAATAAATAATGAACCACCTCATGTCCCCAAAAAAGTCCTTTTCCCCCGTGACAGTTAGATGAAGAGCTACAGCTTAACGTTGGCCAATACTTCGAAAGTTTCCCAATCAAGGGTGAGACCTGTGATTGAAAACTTGAATTCAGAAGGATTTAGAGCAGTTCAATAGATGGCCATACTGAAATACAATGCGACAGAAAAAATTCCCCATGTGATTAGTGACAGGACCTTTTTCACATCAAAGCGGCTATTGCTGCAGCAACTTGGCCAGGTTCCATCATTGTAATTGGCCCACAATCCGTCTGTTACAAATACATAAGCGGAGATGAAGCATGCAAACATAAGTTTTAGGGTTTTTCCGCTTAAAATCAAATTCATAAGTGGTCAAATTAATCTGTCGACGTTTCACTTACGGATTGTGAAGTCATCTAGAGCAACAGACCTGCACAGACATTAACCAGTCAAGTTCTTCTTGCTGATTCGATTAAGTGACCGAGATAAAAAGACTAATGACGATGATATAATCAAGGCCGCGTTATTTATTAGCGTTAAATTACAAAGAAAAATTAAAATGAACAAAAAATGACTATCAGACGAGATTTTTGTATAAAATATATGACAAAAAAATGCAGGAAAATAAAAGATAAGGAAATCAAGATGGGGAAAAAATAGCATAAGAATGTCGATGCACGTACGACATCAGACGAGTAATCGATTACGAGCCGCACAAGAAGTCCTACTCACGCCTCACATTGCCTAATTTCATGGATGTTTCCTCAAAGATGAACGCCGCACAGAACATAAATGTTTGCGCGCAACTCGCCAAGAAAGGGGAAGCAATCGATAACCAAAAATGACATCGACACCTCTGCATGTAGACGGACGGACGATATTGAAGGAATGGATAGTCTTTCAATTCGATAAAATCTGTCAAATCTCTTTTATCGGATCACGACGTTATCCAGCGCAAATTCCTTGCCGTACCATCGTTTATCCCGCCTTCATCCATCTAAAGCGATCCGACGAAACAAAAGCACCAAACCAAGCAATCTAGGAGAAATTCAATCCATCGCCACGAGAAAAAGGCTAGAGAGAGGGGGGAGGGGGGGGGGGGAAGGGTGAAGAGGAAAACCTCTTGCAACAACCGTTGGAGGGGCAGCAGTGCCGAGTGTTCTGGCACAATGTGCCCGGCCACTGAAGGCTCAGGAGGAAGTAGTCGAACTCTCTCGCCCCACGAGCAGCTCCGTAGGCAGAGGAGAGAGAGGGGGAGAAGAGAGAGAAAATGACGACGACGACGACGAGGAGAGCTGCCCCGAGACTCCTCATGACGCCGCCACCGATCCCCGGCGGGCGGCGGTCGCGCTTCCGATTTATACAGTACCCCGCCGTCGTATAGGCTGCGGATCCTGACCGCCCATATAGTATACCCCTTCGGCATCAACGGTGGCCTCTTCGTGCCGTTTTTCACGCTCTGCTGCGGGGGGAGCATCACGATGTCCGTGGCGTTAAGCAACAGCATATTCACTTTGCATATATAATTTAAAAAAATAGGGAAAGTTCGATGAGGCTCAGAAGGTCGTTGTACCCGCCGAGATGTCCGGCTTTCATTATTAAAATATATAATTAAAATTCCGATATTAGAGATTGGGCCGGCCCAGTTTGGTTGGGCTTAAATGGGCTGATCTAGAGCAATCCGCGGTAGGGATTCACGAGTCGGAGTACCTTGACAAGCGTCTGTCCGATCAGGAACGTCGTCGCCGACGAGGCGGAGACCGTATGGGAGGGAGACCTCGAGGAAGTGATGCATCCCGGCGCTGACTGGGAGGTCAAATGCCTTGAATGGGAGACTTCGCCCTCTCATCGTCCTTGTCTTCCAGCCCTACAGTAAGTAACCTCCATTAGTTAATTTGAGCTCCAGCTCGAGCTCGTCCATACTAATCATCTTGAGGCCATTTTGGATTTAATCAGGGCGTGGAGAACTAGAAACTCTTCAAGGAGCTAGAGAAGTGATGCAACCTAGAATGCCCAAAGAGCCCCAAAACATAACGTTAAGTTCCAAAGACACAATATTGACCTTTAAAGAGGAGAACGTGAAAAAAGTGACCTAAAAGCATATTGGGCCTCCTAAATTATGAGAGGACTGGTTTAATCTTGGTGTTTAAGACGTATAGAGTCTATTTTTTTCTCTTTCTCATAGTCTGATTTTTCTTGATTCAAAATTTATTTTGATTTTTTTTAGAGTTTGTTTTCCTTTTTGAGAATCTCTTTTGCCTTAAGGGGCATCCCAAATCTCTTCAGTGTAAGTCCAAGATCCAATTCTAATCTTTTGAATTTCTCTCCTATTTGGTCCTCATTTTTTATTTCTAAATTTATGCATCTCTTTGTGGATTTCAAGATTATATCTTTGATCTTGTGGATCCAAAGTCATCCCCCTAGTGGATTCAGCTATGTGAATTCATGATCAATTCCTCCATCCAAGTTTGAGCTTTATATATTCAAACCAAAATCTCTTTATCTTTCACAACTCTACTACATCAGTTGGTAATAGATCCAGGTTAATCGTCATAGATTTACCTTTGACAATCTATAGAGGTGAAATAGTTCATATTAGTAATGAGGATGTTCTAAAGGTATGTCCTATCTCATGATGTGATTCTATTGAGTTTAAAAAATAAAATAGATTATAGATTTGAAAAAATTGAATGTAACCTTAAAACAACTTTTTGCATGAATAATTGCTTGAGAAAGTCATTCATGCCCCCCAAGAGATCCTGATTTTAGGTGTACTTAAAAGGTTGTCTCTAATGATAATATGACACATAATTATTTAGTATTAATTTCTAAAAATTATAGAATTTGAGTTGTTGAGAATCAATCTCAAGGTTTTCACAAGAAAATAGATTTACCTTCTTCTAATGGTCACTTGCGATTGGAAGAAATTTTGGATTGATTGGTCAAAGTAATGTTATTTTTCAAATATGTGAAAGTCTCATATGAAAAATAAGTAAAGTTAGTAGCTTGTAAATTAAAAGGTGGTGCCTCTATTTGGTGGTAAAAATCATAGTTCACGTGACAAGTCAATTAAAGAACATGTTCACCCAATTGACAAAATGAAAAGACTTTTAAAATCTTATTTTCTCATATCTAATTATGAAATATATATATATATTATAAATACCAAAATTGTGAATAAAGTTTTTAATTTATTTATGAATACAAAAAATAATTTTATGAATTCTTTTTTGTGTTAATCTAACAAAGTCAATGTCTTATATGATTTCAAGATTTAAGAGTGACTTAAGATAAGATATAGAAGAAAAAGTAACCTTACAATCTTTCTTTAAATTAAATGATGAGGTGATGGCTGTAAAACATATAGAACTTTGGTCAAAATAAAAAAGGTTGGGTCTCAAAATCTTAACAATAAGATTTTCTTTTGAGACTCATTAAATTTTCAACCAAACAAGATCTAATCAATAATTTTGTTTACCTTCAAATAAGCTACAGTCATTAAAAATCTTTATAATCCTAGTGTCATTCCAAAATGAGAATAAGTTGCATGTTTTGCTTAAAACATGGTTCTGTCAATTTTATAGATTTTGTTGAAGAAAAAAAATGAAAAGCAAGAAGAATGACGAAAGTCTCACAAAATTATTTCTTGAATATGGCAATGGTGATATACTCTCACAGTTATTACTTGTGTGAAAGTAACAAATACACTGAAGAAGGAACATGTATAATAAATTAAAAGATATTTGACATTATAATTGACATTGACAATAGTAAAAATATGATATCCTCTAATATAATTATAAAATTAAGGTTGAAAACACAACTACATCTACATCATTATCATATTGGTTGGGCTAAGAAAGATATTTAAACAAAAATTATGAAACTTATTTACTAAAATTTTCCTTGAAAATATATATTTTAAAAAGTTCAATGTGATGTGATCGAAATAGATTACATCACAATATTTTTATATACATTGACATTTTGATGTTCATGGCACACAAATACATGTTTGTGTTCTAGAAAAATGAGAAGAATTCTTTTCTTTTTAACCCTTATGTAGGGAAGTTATTTCAACAATGGTGATGAATACAAAAATAAGATTATGATAAGCAATCAAAATAATTTTTGTAGTAATGTTGATGGTAAAGGAGAAATATTTGTTATTGCTGAAAAATTAGAATTCAAAGTCAGCACAAATTTTTCATAATATGTTCACAAATAATTTGAATTTCATAATCATAAGTTTCTGATGTGCAAAAAAATGTTTTAATCATTTACTATCAATGTATAAAGTTTTTGATATTAATCATTCACTACTTTATGTCTAGAGTTAACTTACCTAACATGCTCTATTACATAATGAGTCTCAAAAGAAAATCAAATTCTATAAGAACAAATTGAAGAGCTGCTAACAAAAGGATTAATTAGAAGAAGCATGGGGTCATGTTCAATTATTGTTCTACAAATGTCCAAAATAGAGAGAAGTTGATGAATGTGAGTAAACACTCATTACATCAACAAAATTATAATTAATTGTATATTTTCATTCCACTACTTCATATGGGACATGCTTTGTGACTCTAAAAACATTTTAAAAACTTATTTGAAAAGTGGATATCATAATTTCAAATTTTAGTCAACAGATAGAAGGAAAATAATTTTAAAATAAATGTAAATCTAAACAAATGATTATTATGATATTTTGTTTGACAAACTCACCAAATACATTCATGAGAATGATGAATCAGGTTTTTACACTATTTATTAGAAAAAAAATTATTTTATATTTTGATATATGCACAACAAATGAAAAATATGACAATCATTTGAGAATAATGTTCAAAGTTGTACAACTAACTCAATTATAAATAAAGTTGAAAGAATATAATTTCATAACTCATAATTTGGTGCTTTTAAGTTTTGTTGTGAAGATAGATGAAATTAAGGTGAACGAAGAGAAAGTTTAGGAATTAAAAATGGCCAACATCACATATCATTCATCAAGTTTAAACTTTTCATAGTTTAACTTCTTTTTATCAAAGATTTTTTATAAATATTAATATACTTATTTCTCATATATAATAATGTTCAAAGTTGTACAACTAACTCAATTATAAATAAAGTTGAAAGAATATAATTTCATAACTCATAATTTGGTGCTTTTAAGTTTTGTTGTGAAGATAGATGAAATTAAGGTGAACGAAGAGAAAGTTTAGGAATTAAAAATGGCCAACATCACATATCATTCATCAAGTTTAAACTTTTCATAGTTTAACTTCTTTTTATCAAAGATTTTTTATAAATATTAATATACTTATTTCTCATATATAATAATGTTCAAAGTTGTACAACTAACTCAATTATAAATAAAGTTGAAAGAATATAATTTCATAACTCATAATTTGGTGCTTTTAAGTTTTGTTGTGAAGATAGATGAAATTAAGGTGAACGAAGAGAAAGTTTAGGAATTAAAAATGGCCAATATCACATATCATTCATCAAATTTAAACTTTTCATAGTTTAACTTCTTTTTATCAAAGATTTATTATAAATATTAATATACTTATTTCTCACATACAATAATGTTCAAAGTTGTACAACTAACTCAATTATAAATAAAGTTGAAAGAATATAATTTCATAACTCATAATTTGGTGCTTTTAAGTTTTATTGTGAAGGTAGATGAAATTAAGGTGAACGAAGAGAAAGTCTAGGAACTAAAAATGGCCAACATCACATACCATTCATCAAGTTTAAACTTTTCATAGTTTAACTTCTTTTTATCAAAGATTTATTATAAATATTAATATACTTATTTCTCACATACAATATGTATGAAAAGAGAAAATTATGTGTAATGATGAAAATAAATATAAATTTTCACATAATTAAAGAGCAGATGTTCTACTTTAGTTTTAACACTACCTAATTTAGATAAGTTATTTGAAGTTGAATGTGATAATTTCATAGTATTGATGCCCTTAATTTTGACCATTATATTTCAAAATTATTCATTGAATATTCATCATGATAAGTTGTATCATAAGTTAAATATCCTTAAGAAATATTTAATATATATTAATGATACTTGATATAATCTTATGACTAATAATGAATTCAATAAATTATATTAAAACATTATTTATGTTAAAATAATACAATATAGCATTATTAAAATATAAATGCAGAGTAACATGTATCAACACTTGTGATGAAGTCTCACTTATAATCTAGAAAAGTAAAATTATCCTCAAGATTCAAACACAACATTTGAGCATTATGAATACAAAAGTATTAATATAAAAATT